CATCTTTGAGATTGCTCAAACTTTGATGACGGATTCATCATGACGGATTCATCAAAGTTTGAGCTGAATCCGTCATCAAAGTTTGAGCAATCTCAAAGATGGTCGGGGGACTCATAGCCCGAGGTGAATTGTTGAATGCGGCGTCGTCCGACTCGTCTTCTTCATTGTTTGACGGTTCGGGATGTGAGGCACCCTCATTCTTCTTCGGAGTCGACTGCTTCTCCGGCACACACAAAAAGGTGTTCAATAGATCATAGTAATCACTAACCTTCTCCGGTGACCAGTCGGCGGACTGTGAGTCGGACAGTAGCTCAATGAACTTATCTTTCTTGATTTTTCCCATGGCCACCGTCTTGCAGCGGATCGCATTAACACTACGGTCGTTGTTGGGGTGCTTGTTGAAAATTTCTGTCAGAGGCAGCCATTTTTCCCTCTGACTTTTACTCCTGCCTTCGGAATCCATCAGGATGGCGATTGAGGTAACGACATCGCGCATGCTCTGCCTGTTCCATTCGCGTTCGTGCATGTTGGTGGGGTCTTTGGGAGCGGGATCGGATTGAGACTATAACGTGGATGTCAGCCTTCTTGCCCAAGTATGGTGAATGACCATGTGTACAACCTCGGGGCCAACCTCAATGCCGGAGGACGATGTAGTTGTGTTGTTGTTGGTTGATTGGGCGGCTGGGGTAGTCTGGGACGGGGCAGCACCAAACAGGGTGGGGATTTCGGGAGCGGGTGACGCGGCCATGATGGTTTTGATGTGGAGTCGAGCTGATGGATGAGGAGACTTCAGCTGATGAAGAGGTCGAGCTGATGAAGACTCGAGCTGATGAAGAGATCGAGCTGATGAACAAGCGTCGCTGCGGGGTTTTGACCCTCTCCCTCGTTCACGCTCCCTGATCTCACCACATGTTAAGGGTAGCCCCATGACCTCGTTTCCGTGCATTTTCACCCGGTCACCGCGTCAGCTGCCGGGCAGCCGTTGGCCCTTTGGGTAACTCGATCCCTTGGGGAAGCGGCAAGATTAAAGTTTTTCTGGGCGCTCTGTCGTGTGATTAGTGCCGCAGTTGGGTGGAGCACTATACGTGTACGCTCAGGCCTCCCCTGAGGTGCAGACGACTTGGCAAGCGGGCCGGCAGCGGTGAAGGCTTCGTGAGTGGACATATGTTCGTACTCACGAAGGCTGCTGAGTATTGATGTTGGGGTAAGAAGGATTATGGACGGTGTATTGCTCGGTCGAGAGGTCTGTCGCTGCCGTGCCGTTCGCGACTAGCTCCGCCGCTAGCTCGGCTAGTTGCCGACGTGAACGGTGAACTCTGGACTCTGTATAAGAACTTCAAGTCCCTGTAAAGGCCTAGATAACCAGCAGCAACACACAATCCCTTGAATACTACCCTTCAGTAGTCAACTAGGATACTGTCAGTGGTTACACCCAATTATGTAAGACGTATCACGACTGCCGTCCAACACAACCCGTGGCGGAGGATAACAATCGCAGACCGCACCTCCACCCGAAGACATACTCTTCAGTCTTCATGGTAAGCATTATCTCCACTTTCACTGAATGTCTTCGTCAACCTGAACATAAACTTTTGTGCTCTGTGAAAGTCCATCCCGAATGGTTGGCAGAACCCCTCGACGGCTTGCCGCACACCTCACCCGCAACGAAGGGGATACATCACACATTGCCGTTTATCAGAGCTTCGTGCTCCTATTTGCCGTAACTGGATCGCCTTTATGCAATATCCGGTTTACGAATACCCCAGACTTTCGACGCTTTTTCTCAATACAGCACTTGGGACCATAGCGGTGTCAATTATCATCTGCTGTACGTAACTGAACAACGGGCTGAATGGGTAACGGGGAATTCGGGAGACGGGTACGCGCAAAAACGGCGTGGGAACAATGCGGGTAAAAGGAAGAATAAAAAGTAGCATCGGGAGGTTTCGATCCTCCGATCTCCGGGTTATGAGCCCGGCGGCTTAAACCACTTGCCTACGATGCTTAGTTCTTGTCAATTTATCCGGTACACTCAAATAAATGCACCCCCACGGAAGCGTCGAGGACGAATTCTGGGTGAGCATTGCTGCCCACTCAGTATGACAAGACATAAAAACAAAGCCCGCGAGTTCCTCTCTGTGCGCAAAACCTGCCATATCGATCTTTCCGCCCGTCACGTTCCCTTTCCATTTCCATTTCCCTTTGCCCAGTCCGTTTTGAATCGGGTCTTCGTTACCGCAGACACGCTATTCCCGATTCGGTGGATGGGTAAGGCCCCTCTACCTTATCGCACTGGACTGCAGATCAGCGATCATCGAAATTATCGGCGTGAAGAGGAGGCAAGAAGCAAGAAGCAACCCTCTCCTTCCTCATTCCCCACCAGTGCCCAGGCTTGTTCATCAGTCAAACCCACAGATATTCCAGCAATCGACGAACGAATTCGAACGAGAGCAAACAGCGATAAATAATCCATAAGCAATGACAGAACCCCAACCCCACGAAGAGTTCCCCCCCATCCGTAAGGGCGGATCCCTCATCCTCGCCTGGCAAATACGCAACAAGAAAGTCTTGATCGTAGGCGGAGGCAATGTCGCCGCCGGCCGAATCGTCAACGTCCTCGAAGCCGACGCCAAGGTGACCGTCATCTCCCCCCGCTCCGGCCTCATCCCCGAAGTCGCCTATCGCGTCGAGGAGGGTCAGGTGGAGTATGTCGATCGCACGTTTATCGAGGATGACTTGGAAGGGGTGGATATGTGTCTCACGGCTATTGATGATCCGGAGGCATCAAGGGAAATTTACAAGTTGTGCAAAGCGCGCCGCATACCCGTCAATGTTGCAGATGTCCCCCCCGAATGCGATTTCTACTTCGGGAGTCAGCATCGGGATGGCGCGCTGCAGATTATGGTCTCCACCAACGGTAACGGCCCCAAACTCGCCAACCTCATTCGCCGGAGGATTGCAGAGGCGTTACCTGCCCGTACGGCTGAGGCAATCGACAAAGTCGGTCAACTGCGCCGGAAATTGCGGAGGAGGGCACCGAATATTGAGGAAGGTCCTAAGCGGATGAGATGGATGATTAAGGTGTGCGATGAGTGGTCGTTCGATGAGCTTGCGGAGTTGGATGAGGAGACTATGGAGAAGATTCTGGATGGGTATGCGAGTGAGACGGTCCCGTCGTCTCCGAGTAGGACTTTCTTCAAATGCGGAGCTCTTGGGAGGGATGCTGTGTGGTATACTGCGGTGACGGCTTCTTTCGTTGCTGGCGCATTATCCTCGTTTATGTGGGCGAGACGCCGGTAAGTGGAGGGATGTGCGAGGACGAGTCTGGGATAGCGGGTACAGCACGAATGAGTGGACGGGTTTTGACGGGGTGCTAACGAGACCACATTGCTATTTAAATGGGGAAACGAATGTGTACGTATGTAGCGATTAACGAGTGAAGAGCAAGGGGAGCACAGAGCCCGATGAGATGAGATGGAGAACAAGGTGTTCGAGGAGGTCGAGGCACATGATAGTTAAGCAATACATGCTATTCACTGACTGTCACCAGATAATTCTTCCGTCGAGTAATGTTACGACCCAGCTGCTGCTGAGATGCGGGGACCCTCGACCCTCACTAGACCTGCGCACGGATCGCTTACCATGGGACGACCGACGACCGACGAACGTAAGAAAACACCAGAGCGACAACTATCGATCCAAACGAACACGAAACAAAATCGACAACCCAGGTCAGCATCTCCTATCCCGGCCGCTAATCACGCGGCAAACACGCAAAGCGATCTGCCCACCACGGCTCCAGCAAGCTTCCACATCGGTCCTCAAACGGCCGACCCAAAATCCACATCACGGCGTCTACGGTCCTCGACACTCTCCGAGACGCCTACCCCCCCCAGCGGTCATCATCGCCCGGGTACGACACGGACACACACCTCTCCACACCTACCCTCACGCGCGAATATGTCCGTCCCATCAACACCGACCCACGATTTCGGTGATCCAATGAGTCTCATGACTTCATCCGAACTCAGCACCGCGCCTACTTCTCGTCGAGACTCATCTAGTGGCGTAGCAACTGGTGGAGCAGCCGGTGGATCTCCGCTGGATTACTTCAACGCTCCCATCTCGCCTGGGACTGCGACGACGCCGTGCGGGAGTACGATGTCTACATCTGGTTTGTTTCCACCAGCGTCACCAGGAGTGATCCTACCCAGCGGACCACCACGTAGGGCAGGCAGTATCGTTCCGAACCTCTCTATGGCACACACACAATCCCGCCTCCTCGGTGCCCGAACACCCTCGATGCGCTCCTCCACCAACGTCGCCGGTGCGACTTCTGCGCCGAATAACCGTCCCCTCTCATACGCCCCTCCCGTCCTCAAACCAGACCATAACCCCTCCGCCGACGTCGTCCCATTCTTATACCAGGATTTCGAGGACTTCCGACGAAGCGGGAAAGCCCCCATCAGGGAAGCCGCGGTAGAGAGCCGCCCGAGTAGTGCGCATTCGTCCGATCGGAAACACAAAGGATTCTTCGGGAAGTTGAAGAGGAAGGTCAGAGAACATGGCGTTGGGAGTTCTTCTTTGCAGGCGGGGAGTGGAGGTGCGGGACATGTTCCACTCGATGCGCATGGGAATATTGCAGGGGGTTCGATGGTGGGGTTGGATCGGGTGCCGAGTATGGAGTCGATTGCGCCTACGCGTTCTCATACGCATCTTAACCTCTTGGGGCATGGACACGGGCAAGGGAAGGACGGACATGGACATCATGGGAAGGATGGAGGATCGAGGTTGGGGCATGTACCGAGTTTGACGGGGATCGCGCAAAAGGGGAAGAAAGCAATGAGGCAGGACTCATTCGCGAGTTCTGCACTACCGAGCACGGGTGTCCCTCCTAGCAGTCTACGAGGTGGTTCAGGCGCACGTATGGGAACTATTGTCCTGGATACAGATTTGAGTCATCTCGGTGGAATCGTATCAACCAACAACAACGCAGGTGGGTCGGAGAAAAAGGGGTTGTTGAGGCGTATGACACAACACGGCTCCATCTCCGACATCGACGACACCAGAAGTCGGGAAGCGTCCCTCGCAGGGGCGGGGTGGAGTGCTCCTGATTCCTGGGGTGTCGTTGGTCCGGCATCGGAGACGAGTACGATTGCGGGAGGCGATAGTCCGAGTCTCGCACGGATTCCTACGACGATCGAGGAAGGAAAACAAGCTGAACCGAGCAAGAGTCGCGGAGGGAGTGTGCCCGATTCGAGGAGTATTCCTGGGAGGAAGGGGAGTAATAATTACTTTGCGCGGGTGTTTAAGGATGATGGGACCTTTTCGACCGTACAATGTCCACTGGACTCGACTGGTGCGGAGATGATGGCGCTCCTTGCAAGGAAGTTTTTCTTGACGAGTACGGCGGGGTTTCAGTTGCTCGTTGTGAGGAATGGGATCTCGCAGGTTCTGGGAGCGAAGGATAAACCGATGTTGTTGCAGAAGAAGTTGTTGGAGGAGGTCGGGTATACGGACGAAGACCGGATCGAGGAGCTCGGCCGTGAAGATAATTCGTATCTGTGTCGGTTTGTGTTTACGACGACCACGGTACCGACCTTCACGCCGGATGAGGATGCGGCGGTTTTGGGAAGTTTCGAGCATGCGCAACTCGCGGGGAAGAATTTGAGTACGATTCCGGTTGCGCTGTATCGCCACGCGAGTCGGATTCAGAGTTTGGACGTGAGTCGGAACTTATCGTTGGATTTACCGATGGATTTCGTGCAAGCGTGCACTGCGCTTCGTGAACTCCGATACGCAAACAACCGCGCCAAAGCGGCGCCGGTCGCGTTCAAGGAAGCGAAAGATACGTTGACGGATTTGGATCTGGGGAGTAATCGCCTCGAAGAGGTGGAGCACATTGGCATGGAGGAGTTTGAGCGGATACAGACGCTGAAACTGCATAATAATATGTTGGTGGAGTTGCCGATGGCGTGGGCGGGAAAGTTGCAGGGGTTGAAGTGGTTGGATATCTCGTCGAATCGATTGAGGGAGTTTCCGAAGGTTGTGTGTGAGTTGATGAATCTGACTGACCTGGATGTGTCGTTCAATGGAATGGAATCCTTGCCTGATGAGATTGGGAATTTGAAGAATTTGGAGAGGTTCGTTGCGACGAATAATAAGTTTGTTGGAGCTTTGCCACCGGGCTTTGCGGGGTTGACGGGGTTGAGAGAGTTGGATATCAGGTTCAACGCGTTGACGAATTTGGATGTCGTGGCCAGCTTACCGATGATCGAGGTACTCTGGGCGAGTCATAACCAAGTCACGCAGTTTGAAAATGGGTTTAGGAGGTTGAAGGTGCTGCACCTCAACAAGAACCCGATTACCAAGTATGCGCTCACTGCGATTCCGAATGCTGTTGCTGTTGGACAGAGTCTTACGGTGCTCAATCTGGCGAGCGCGAAGCTTGCGAGTTTTCCGGATAACTTGTTCGAGAGTTTGCATCATTTGGAGAAGTTGGTGTTGGATAATAACCATGTCGTTTCTCTGCCACCGGAGATTGGGCATTTGAAGAGGTTGACGTACTTCTCGTGTGTCAACAACTTGTTGGCTGCACTACCGGCGGAGATTGGACAGCTTACGGAGTTGAGGTTCGTGGATGTGCACAACAACAACTTGAAGCAGCTTCCTCAGGAAATCTGGAATTTGTTTGCGTTGACGACGTTGAATGCTTCTAGTAACTTGCTGGATGAGTTCCCCATCCCACCGGCGCCGAAGCAGGAGAAGGTCGGTGTTGATGGCGTTGCGCCTCCGAGAAAAGATTCGAGTGCGAGTAGCCGTGTGGTTGGGACTATGGCTGAGTCTTTGCGGGAGTTGTCGTTGGGTGACAACCGCTTGACTGATGATGTGTTTGAGCAGATGTCGCTATTGGTCGAGTTAAGACGCTTGAACTTGTCCTTCAACGATATCTATGAGATTCCTACTGGTGCGATCGGACGGTTGCAGCAGTTGTACGAGTTACATCTTTCCGGTAACGAGCTCACTAGCTTGCCGTCTGATGACTTGGAACGCATGGGTACGTTGAGGGTCTTGCACGTCAACGGCAATAAGTTGCAGACTCTTCCTGCCGAGCTCGGAAAAATCAGAAGGTTGTTGGTGTTAGACGTGAGCAACAACACGCTCAAGTACAACATTGCCAATTGGCCCTACGACTGGAATTGGAACTGGAACTTGGATTTGAAGTACCTCAACTTGTCTGGTAACAAGAGGTTGGAGATTAAGCCGAGTGCCCAGTCTGCGCACATCGCGTCCAGGGAGCGTAATCTTTCGGATTTCAATGCATTGACAAAGTTGAGGTGTCTTGGACTTATGGACGTCACGCTCGTGACGCCTTCCGTACCAGACCAGACAGAGGACCGGCGTGTACGTACCACGGGTTCGGAGGTTGCGAACATGTCGTATGGTATGGCAGATACGCTCGGCTGGTACGAGCATTTGTCTATCATTGACATGGTCGTCCCCACCTTCCGCGGAAAGGAGAATGAGGTCATCTTTGGAATGTTCGATGGTCACCATATGATCCAAACCGATAGCGGTAACAAGGTCTCGAAGTACCTCCAGGACTCGTTTACCACGACGTTTACACTGGAGCTCAAGAAGTTGAGGGATACTGAGGGCATTCCGTTCGCTCTCAGACGCACGTTCTTAACTCTGAACAAGGATCTTGGCGCGCTCGTTGTGCCACCATTGAAAGAGCAGCAGGACATCAAACCTCCAAGGCATCTTTCGGCTTCCGCTTTGCCAACCCCTGAGGACATTCGTTCGGGTGCTTGTGCTACCGTTGTGTACATCGCCGACAAGACAATGTATGTCGCGAACGTTGGTACTGCCATGGCTGTTGTTTCCAAGAGCGATGGTGAGGCACACCTTTTGACTCGCAAGCATGAGCCAGGAGATGCTGCTGAGGTCGAGCGTATTCGGGCTACTGGTGGATACATCTCGAGGACTGGTAAGGTTAACGACGCACTTGAGATTTCCCGCTCGTTCGGTCACTTTGAGCATATCACTGCGGTCAATGCTGCTCCGCAGGTAAATGAGTTCCAGTTGACTGACAACGACGAGTTCGTTATTGTCGCGAACAAGGAGCTCTGGGAGTGCATGTCCTATCAGACTGCAGTTGATATTGCACGAACTGAGCGCGAGGATCTCATGCTCGCTGCTCAGAAGCTCCGTGACTTTGCCATCGCTTACGGCGCCCATGGCAAGATCACTGTCATGGTCATCGGCGTCGGAGATATCTTCTTGCAGAAAAAGAGGCGGACCAGGAATGCTTCAGCCTTCAAGAACCTCCCCGGTGGTCTTGCCACGCCTGACGATGATTTCATCATCGGTACGAAAAAGCGTCGAGGGAAGGAGGGTAACATTGAGGACTCTACCTTGGCTCGTTTGCAGCGTGAAGTGCCTCCACCTGTTGGTAACGTTGCCTTGGTCTTCACTGATATCAAGAACTCGACACTGCTGTGGGAGACGCACCCAATTGCCATGCGTGCAGCCATCAAGGTACACAACGCTGTGATGCGTCGCTCTCTGCGGTCCGCTGGTGGTTACGAGGTCAAAACCGAAGGAGACGCATTCATGGTCACATTTGCTGCTGTCACCAGTGCGATGTTGTGGTGTTTCAAGGTCCAGACTGAATTGATGGCTGCGGATTGGCCTCAAGAAATTCTTGATTCAGAGCACGGTAGGGAGGTTTTCGATCCTGAGACTGGGCAACTCTTGTACCGTGGTTTGTGGGTCCGTATGGGTATTCACCATGGTGCACCAGTGTGTGAAGTCGATCCGATCACTCGTCGTATGGACTACTTCGGGCCCATTGTCAATCGTGCAGCTCGAGTCTCTTCTGTTGCGGATGGTGGACAGATTACGGTGTCTTCTGAAGTTGCTAATGCTATCCACAAGTTCGAGGATGCCGAGACAGACGAGGAGATCATCATGAACGAAGTTGGAGATGAGGCCTTGGTTCACAAAATCAAGAAGGAGATCTCGTCTTTGAAGCGTCTCGGGTTTGGTCTTGCACCTCTTGGTGAGCGCAAGCTCAAGGGATTGGAAAACCCTGAGTTCATCCACTTGATCTATCCCAAGTCTTTGGCTGGCCGTCTCGAGTTGGAGCGTAAGCTCAACCCTCAGGTTGCGCCAGCTCCCAAGGAGGAATTGATGTTCCAGTCTGAGCAGCCACGACACGTCTCACCCGCGGATGTCCGTTCGCTGGGTATCATTGCACTCAGACTGGAGAAGATCTGCGGTGCCTACTTTGGTCAGAAGACTGTTGGTAGAGATGAAGCGACTCTGAAGATATTGGCGGCTACGATGGAATCAAAGATTTCTGAAGATGTCGAGGACTGGAAATTGGTCTCGTACATGGCTAACTTCCTTGTTCGAATTGAGAACTGCATGTTCAATCTCTTTGTTCGATCGCTTCACCCTGCGGGACTTTCGACGATGGGTCTCCTGCCGAACGACATATTTTCGATGCTCTCGGCCGCCAAGGAACAAATCGCGCAAGCCGCTCCTCAGCTTGATATGGACAACCTGAGCGAGGGTATGCTCGGCAGCTTCTTGGCTGAGGGATCAGCTATCGACCGTGCGTCGGCTACACCATCCTCGGTCGCTTACTCTTCTGACAGGGCTGCTTCTGTTGCATTCAGTGACCAAACTGAGTTTACGCCGTCGCCGTCTGTTGCTACGGCGTCCAGGAGAGACTCGTTGGCTGACTTTGGTAGTGCACCGTCGCCGATGTCGTATGCCGCACCGATGCCGCTTGCACCACCGAGGAGGGGTAGCTTTATGGATGCTATGGCTGCTGCACCACCGGTGTCGATTGTCGGTAGCAGGAGAGGAAGTTTGATGGCTTTGCAGCCTGATGGTTTCGCTCCCTCGACGCAGCCTACCCCGCCACCACCCCAGCCGTTCCCTACGACTGCTGGTAGGAGACAGAGCTTGTTTGCGAATCTTGGTAGTGAGCTTCAACCGGCGAATGGAAGGAGAGGAAGTTTGTTGGCGTTCTCGGAGACGTACAGTGATGAACCGGCCGACGCGTCTGAATTGGAAGATAACGTTGGTCCGGCTGCTGCGGCTGCAGCAAAGGCTGCTCCACCGAAGTTTACGACGTATTCTGGGAAGCCTTATAATCTTGGAGCAGTTGTGGGTGCACCAGAGCCTGAACAACCTCCGAAACCGAATGCGGAGTGAGTGATAGAATAGGATAGGATGCGAGGTATGATATGGATGGGTGTGGATGGTGTTTTTGATAGGGTACCGGGATTTTCTGTTTGTTTTTGTTGGCCATGGGTTTGACATACCCTTACTTGGGTTTACTTGGTTTTGGATTTGGGCATTTGTTTCGGCAGTAGTGACTAAAAAAGATACTGAATTGACTTGGATAATCATACGGAATTTGTCGTGGCTATCTGACAAGAGTCATTGAGCTGTGTACATGTCCGCTCAGCGAGGTGTACCAGCATTCATTGCCAGAAAGAGCATCAACAGCTGGCCGAACAAACGTGTGACAGGTGTAACTTCAATCAACAACCCATTCCATCATTGATCCGCAACAGCAGTCCCTTCCCGTGTTCATCACACTGGTGTCGCCCCCACTCCCACCCGGGCCCCACGCATATCAAGTCGATGACAAATCAACCACCGTGCCTCATCCTTGCCACCCGGCACGCTCAACAGCCGATTCCGTCTTCCATATCCCTTCTATCCCTCCCTATAATTCGCAATCATTGCTCACCCATTCCTGATTTCAAAGCAGCCCAAGCCCTAAAGGTTAGCTGCGCCCTGGGACCCGCGCGCACGCAAGACCTCTAAACCTCTGTGTCCGCAAATTTCTGCCCCCTCTGTCACACCCAACACCAACCCGAAAAATCAGTAAAAATGGCTCGTCGTCCGGCTAGGTGAGTGAGAGATGTGGTTGTTTGTGCGTTGTTCAGCAGTGTGCATTGTGCTTTGGAGGCGAATTGGGTCGGTTTTGGAGGGGTCGAAAATGGGGGTTTCGGAAACAAATTCGGTGTGGGTCAATGGGCGGTTGTACGGCTTCGGCAAGGTCATCAGCGTGTTCTATGGCCTATTACGACAACGACGGTACCGTTCTTCTGCTCGATATTGACCTGGAAGGTGCTGTTTCGAATTTGAATGGTGTCGCCACCGTCCTGTCAGCACCAGCCTTGGTCGACATACATCCCAGGGTCCGCCTTGCTTCAGCAATTGCTCAGAAAGGCTCCAGTACACTTCAGCGAGTCAGTTTGTATGCGTCAATGCCAGCATTTATCCTGTCCTCGTTCGGAACAAATTTTCTTTGTTGTCGTGCTGGTCCTCCGTTCGACCCACCATGGCCAATCGCACTGCTGAACAATGCTGACCAACATACAACGTTATCTGAACGGGTTTACTGACCTCTATTTAGGTGCTACCGCTACTGCAAGAACAAGCCCTTCCCCAAGTCTCGCTACAACCGTGGTGTCCCTGACCCGAAGATCCGCATCTTCGACCTCGGTCGCAAGAGGGCCTCCGTTGACGAGTTCCCCTTCTGTGTCCACCTCGTCTCCAACGAGTACGAGCAGCTCTCCTCCGAGGCTCTCGAGGCCGGTCGTATTTGTGCCAACAAGTACATCGGTAAGACCTCCGGAAAGGACTCCTTCCATCTCCGTGTCCGCCCTCACCCCTTCCACGTCGTCCGTATCAACAAGATGTTGTCTTGCGCTGGTGCCGATAGGTTGCAGACTGGTATGCGTGGTGCTTGGGGTAAGCCCAATGGTTTGGTCGCTCGTGTCAACATTGGCCAGATCATCATGTCCGTCCGTACCCGTGACAACAACAAGGCTGTTGTCATCGAGGCTTTGAGGCGTTCTGCCTACAAGTTCCCTGGACAGCAGAAGATTGTCGTTTCCAAGAAGTGGGGTTTCACCTCCCTTAACCGTGAGGAGTACGTTGCTCTCCGTCAGGAGGGTCGTGTCAAGCCCGACGGTGCTTACGTCAAGTTCTTGACCAACCGTGGTTCCCTCGAGAAGAACTTGAAGGCTTTCCCCGAATTCAACGCTACCGCTTAAATGTGGAGTTTGTGAGTTTTTGGAGAGTTGGAGAAGTCTGAGGTGGAGAAAAGTTGGTGTGAGGAGGTGTTAGAAGGGAGATATCTTTTTTTTCTGGGGTCAGGGGGGTTCGGGTTTCTTGTACTTTTTGCAAACTTGGGTTACACCTACTCGGGAGAATGGATGCCATTTCAAAAACAGAGTTGTCTGTCCATGTGTCGTGCTTGTGCGTGTGCGTGTTGCCTGTTCATGTGTCTGTGTTCGAATTGCCAAGGATGTAGAGCCTGTCCCTTGAGCACATGTACCATGTTGTAAAGTCTTCAGTGTCGACATACGCCGAGGTCGAAGTTCGGGACAGGTATCGTCGACGAGGCCATTGTACCCGGACACCTCGGCCGTGCTGCCACTCGTTGTCAACCAAAGAGCCTCCGAGATAGACCAAAAGTATGATCCGACGTTCCCTGATCGAACCGAAATACTTCCTTGCATCCCAGGTCATTCCCAACCGAATCGTGCACAGACCTTCGCCTCGTAGTGTTCATGTAGACTGATTTCATTTTCCCTTATCGCCCCCGGTCGGTCCGCGTCCCCCACGGCTGCTGAGAGCACGTACAAATACTCCACCAACACCCCAACCACAAACAACACCCTCAACCAACCAGCAAGTCTGCCTGGAGCAGCAGCCATATAAACCCTCCTTTGACCATACGCATATATCTGCTCTACACCACCCACCTCTGCCGCCAGTGAGAAAGTCAGTCTTACGTCATGGCTTCCTACGGCTACTTCACACCCCATCACACCCACCCAACTTACCACCGCCGGGACACCTCCTCCTCACTCGAACGTCTCCAAGCCGCCGAAGTCGGACGTGCACGTCGCGAATCCGCCGTATCAGACCGGGACCTACAGGAACGGGAATGGGTTATCTTTAGTGGGAGGCCGGGGTTGGGGGGGCATAGGGATTCGATTCAGAGTTTGGGGAGTGGGGTTACGGGGAGTTTGATGTTGAGTAGTGTTAGTGGGGTGGAGAGTCAGGCTGTTACACTTTCCAGTGGGACGGGTGGGGGGATCGGGAGCGGGAGCGGGAGTGGGAGCGGGAGCGAGAGTGGGAGTGGAGAGGCTGTTGAAGTGAGTGCAGCACGCCGAGGACCAGCACTCCAGTTCCCGAGCGTGCACGAAGAACTAACATTAAGTACCGCATCCGACGCACGGACAGTTACCACCACTTCCACAGAAGATGAAGCCGCTTCACTCCTCGCAGACGTCATGGTGACCCCCACCTCCGACGAGGAAACAAAGCGAAAAGCACATGGGACAGATGCCGTGGTGGATGTAGACGAAGTGGACGAAGGCACAGCAAGCGTCCGCCGTGTAGAGGCATGGATGCGAACAGTCGATTCCGCACCTCTATCCCCCTCCGTCGAAATACCCGCACCACCCACCTCCACTCACCCTCCAGCACCAGCACCCGCAACTTCTACGTTAAATGCGGAAGAAGGCATCGTGAGACGAGTCATGCGCGAACTCCTCCACCTAGACGACGAAGTCCTCGAAGTATTCTTCGGCGAACGCGTCTGCTCCCTCTCTCCCACCTCCTCCGCCCACCGCACCCGGGCACCGCCGCCAAGTCCTGCAGGGTTCGATGCACGGAGTTTGGCGCCGGATGATAGTGCGAGTGCGATGGAGGTGGTGGGGAGTATTGGGAGTGATAGTTTGGATGGGGTTGTTGCTGAGCTTGGGATGGCGGGGGGGAGGGCGGCGAGTATGGGGTTTGCAGGGCTGGAGGGGGAGGATTACTCGAGGCCGAGACGGGGTGGGGCTGGGGCTGTGGAAGAGATGGATTTGGCAACGAGTATTTGGCGGGCGGTACAGTCCTACCTCCACTCCCTCTCCCACCCCACCTCTCCCCACGCCAACGCCAACGCCAACGCCAACGCCAACAACCACGCTCACCCACCCACAACCGCCGACCGCGTCCGTCTCCACTTCCACCGTCCCGATCTCTACACCATGAACTCCAACCTAACCTCAAATTGGGAAAGGCGCCTAAGTGATTTGGGCCGTAGGGCGCAGAGTCATTACTCACCGAAACCGATGAGGAGCTGGACGTGTCGGAGTCAGAGTCGGAGTTTGATTACGAGGACGACGGGGGTGGGCGTACTTGGGGTTGGGTGGATGGGGAGTTGGGCGGAGATTTGAGAGTGTGCATGCTTGAGGGGGGTCGAGGGAATGGTTTGTGAGGTTTCATGCATATGGATGCCTGATGGGAACGGGGATGCTGGGTGCTGGACGGGGTTTTGGGTGCTTTTCTTCGTTGGGCCGGTTCTGATAGGCTTACACAGTCCTGCATAGACGCCTGTTATGGTTTACTTCTTTCAATGAGCCACGCCTAATTACTGTTAACGTTGTACACATGTGGAGCATTGAGCGCTTCGTGGTACCGGTTATCGAGCTTATCTAAGGTTGGCACTATCGATAGGCTCGTCGGTGTGTAGAGATGAGCTCGAGGATACCGGGTCTTCCGGAAGCTATCAAATATGATGGAATGAAGTTTCCGCCTTTCACTGCCACCCCTCAGTCCGTGAACCGAAATGGAGCTGTAAAAGAGAAGAGACTCCCTCCACGTATTAGCTGTTACGCCAAGAAAGCGATGAATAGGAAATGGGTGTGGCCTAATCGCCCATGAAGAACTACACGTAGCAATCCTCTATCGTCGGCGAAGGGACGCTCGGGGCATGTGTCAGTCAAACAAGCACCGGGACTCAGTGCGGAAGCTGGTAACCGTGTCAAATGGTTGTGGAGAAGTCAGATGGAGCGCTTGGAGAATCTCTTTGTAAAAGATTTGTTAATGTCGCTTTCAGCTCGCTTGAAGACTGAAGCTCTCGCTGACGCGAATCGCAAATGTCCCACGGTGACCCGACCCGATCCGGTAGGGCAGCAACGAGAAACGCCAAGCGATCAGAGCAAGAGTCATCTTGGCGTCTTGAAAGCCTGGTAGACCCATGCTGCGTTGTCAAACAGGAGTCGCTATGGGGGCCTCATTCAACATGCGACGATGGTATAAGACACTTTCGGCTCACATCACGACAGCAGCCTCTCTGCGGAAGGAGACAAAACGCGTGAAAACGATCAGCCTACTATATTGGACGCGCTGTGAAAGATCATCCAATAGGTTCCGTGGTCTAGTTGGTTATGGCGGCGCCTTAACACGGCGCAGGTCCCCGGTTCAATCCCGGGCGGAATCACATCTTTTGCTTAGTCTTCTGGCTGCTTTCCAATGATCGCGTTTTGCTTTCCGTCGCGTAGTATCTATTCCTAGACGTTTGCACTGTCCACACGCTTCACGACATATCCATCTCATCACCACCTCCCTGTCCCTCCTCCGTTTGCCCTGGCTCAGCAGTATCTCCAGACCCTGAATTCGGCGTTCCCTCCTTACTCTTCTCCACCGTCCTTTCCCGTTCCCGTTCCCGTTCGCGGTCTCTCGATGGTGACGGCGCATGCGTCCCACTCGGCGTTCCAGTCCCCGACGTCGCTCCTCGCGGTGTATCGACCATATCAACCTCATCGCTCTCTCTATCCCCTTCCTCCTCCGCGCTGCCTTCCGGCTCGCCCTGAATAACTCTTCGCATACCCTCCAGCCCAGCTTCCACATTCGTGAACTGCTCTTTTCTTCTCTGCCACGTCTCCGCATACCCCTCCCGTTCCTGCTCCAACTCACTTATCTCCCTCTCAAGCTCGGAAATGGCTTCGTTGATCTCGGACCGGGATTTAGGGTGGCGGGAGAGGATTGTGCGGGCGAGGTTGTCGTATGAGATTTTTTGGGCGCGGGATTGGAGGGCGTGTGAGAGGGCGAAGCGGGATTGGGTTATCTGGGTTTGTGTTTGGGTGACGGATTGTTCTGGTTCAAAGGGTCAGCTGATTGTCAATGTGAAGCACGACACCACAAAGAGGAAGACGGACGTATTGACAGTTTCTCGGCTTCGTAGCGCGCGACTTCCCGTTCATTTGCTGTTCGGAGAACTTGTTGTCGAAAGATGGTGTTGGAGAAGGAGGAGAACTCTAGATCTAGCTCCTCTCGTAGTGCGTCACTGTCCATAAACTCGTCAATACAATTTTTGGATCATCGGTGATTAAGGACATACAGTTCTTCGCCTGTAGGCAGTTCCGTTAGAGACGTGATCTTCCCGACTTGTTTTACGATGCGTTTGAGAGGGCGTTCTTCCACGGCGAGGCGGGACTTGATGATGACATCTGTTCGATTTGTCAGTGAAATTGAGAAAACGGCACCGAGGACAAGCGAACCTTCTTCGGAAACGGGGAGCTTCAATGACATGGTAGTGATATGGTGGTGATGTATAACCTTCAAGAGCTGCAGCTGGTGCATGTCCGTAGGGGCACCGGCCAGCGCAGGGACCCTCGAGGTTATCAGGTATCTTGTAGGAGAAGTAGACTGAGTAGAAGTATATTAACAAATGTAACATTTCAAAATGAAAAAAAGGATCTTTCTCCATATCACGGGACGACTGCGGGTTCGGAACGGGATGCAATAGGCCTAGGTCTAAAGGGGTCGCAAACATCGCATCACGCCTACGACAAAAACATACGAACGACGACAAACCTCAGGAGACGTTTATAGACAGCCATCCAAGCAGCTGTGCGTCCAGCAGAGCTCATCGAAGCATACAAGTCATTAACTCTATCCTCAGGATGGACCACAACGCAATAGTCATGGTTCGTATCTCGCCCCCCCCCCCCAAACCTTCATGACCATGCATATACTAACCATTCCTCTCTTCTAGTCCTGCGTAGAGAAGAAGATTGTACAAGACGGATTCGTGGCAGCCGACGACGGCCCAATGTACGCCGAGTTCATCACCGTCATGGCCATGAACGGCAAACAGGAGGCCGAGATGAACACGGAACTCAGCGATCTTTTCGGCGCGAAATATGATCCGGCGTTTGGTACTTGGGTGAAGCAGCTGGTACAGCATATTGAGCAAGGCGGGACGGTTGCGCCTGAGCATTTGATGCCCCAACACCGACCCCAAGAAGCGGCAGCGGTCACGGTGGCGGATGCAGACCCTCAGCAGGATCAGAATGAGCAGTACGAACAGTACGACGATGCCGCCATGGACGACCAACCAGCAAAATTGACAGGAAGAGCACGGGTAGCAGGGAACCCCTACCCAGCACCCCGATTATTCAACCAGCTCACGAAAGCACTGGAGCGGAATCCCGATACTCTATCCAAACCACGCCGAAAATCGATTGATCCCGAGCTTGGAGTAGCTGTACCAACGGGACCGAAGAACGATATCGCGCCGCCGACGGGACCGAGAAGAGGGGGTGGGCCAGTGGGGTTGGATCGTGGGCTTAGGAGTGGAGGACGCGCAAACGGAGGACCATTAAGAGGGATGAACAACCAGAACCAGCGTGGTGCTCGTGGTGGAGCACAGATGAACCCACACATGAACAATATGAACAACGGCCGCATGGTACAAACTCCCTTCGGCCCAATCCCAGCCCATGTCCTCGCAATGGCAACAAACATGGCCTCCATGCTCTCCGCCAACGGACAATTTCCCGCTCCACCAAACACTCTCGCACAACGCCTCGGCGCAGATCCCACACGACAAACGAAACCTCGATGCAATAAATGGCCGATGTGTCCTTATGGACAGAAGTGCCAGTTTCCGCATCCGGGGAAGGTGTGTCCGATGTTCCCCCGGTGTCCGAAGCCGAGGGGGACTTGTGATGGGATTCATCCTGGGGAGGATATGCCTGTGCACGAGGTTCAAGCATTTATCACAAAACAGCAAAAGAACAACGCCTCAAACGGAACGAAGACGAACGGTGCTGGTGGGGTTAAGAAGGAGGGAGTGTCGCCGGTTGTGAGTGGGGATGCACCGCTGTGCAAGTACGACTCGAAATGCCAGAATGCAGCATGTTACTTCGCGCACTCCACCCCCGCCGCACCCGAAGGACAAGGTCTCGTATTGAGACCCGAGCCATGTCCCTCCGGAGCAGACTGCGCTGACGCCGAATGCGACCGCGCTCACCCATCCCCCGCCATCAACAAGCCCGCAACCGACGGCGACACAGCCATGGACGGCGCAGCTGAACACAAAGAGGTAGATACCCGCCCCCCCTGCAAATTCTACCCCGACTGTGCCAAGGGTGACGCCTGCCCCTTCCGCCACGACGCAAACACCTCAACGACAGTCCAGATCCCCTGCCATTTCGGACTCACGTGTACGCGTCCCAACTGCCACTTCCTCCACCCCGCGGGCGATGATGGGAAGTTTCCCATCCCGTGTAGGTTTGGAGCGAGGTGTAAGAATGATAAGTGTAGGTATCAGCATGCGCCGGATTTGAAGAATAAGATTTGGACGAGGGATGGAGGAGGGGTGGGGACGAGTGAGAGGGCGTTTGTGGGTGGGGAGGTGGTCGAGAAGGTTGTTCCTGGGAGTGGAGTTGGGGTTGAGATTACGATCGGGGAGAATGATGTTGAGATGGCTGCTTGAGCCTAAGAAGTCATGGCGAGCAAGCGGCGAGGAAAATGATGAGGAGTATTTGAGTGGAAAAGAGTTGTGACTGGGTGATTGGGATTACGAAGGCGCATCTTTTCTTGTATGGAAGGAAAATGCATTGGTAGAATGATATGATCTGGCTATACGTCTCCTATACCGAACCGTTTGACATTCGCCATGCTGTACTCCGCGCGCTCAAACCCTACCCTGCTCCTCGGCTGTGACAGGCAGCACCAGCCCCACTCACAACCGCACGCGCCACACCTGTCCTCCAAACTTCGAGCTCACTCGCAAAAGTTACCAACCCGAGCATCTCCACCACCCCAGACAAAAAAACAGCAGCAATGGCCCCCATCAAGAAGTCTAAGAAGAACGCCGAGTCCATCAACTCCCGTCTCGCCCTCGTCGTCAAGTCCGGAAAGTACACCCTCGGTTACTCCTCCACCTTGAAGCAGCTCCGCTCCGGCAAGTCCAAGCTCATCATCATCGCCGCCAACTGCCCTCCTCTCCGCAAGTCTGAGATCGAGTACTACGCCATGTTGGCTAAGACCAATGTTCACCACTACTCTGGTAACAACATTGATCTTGGAACTGCTTGTGGTAAGCTTTTCCGTGTTGGTGTCATGTCTATCCAGGATGCTGGTGACTCTGACATCTTGGCTTCTCAAGCCGCTTAAATGGTATGTTTGATCCCCCTGTTCGTAACTCTCCTAAACCCCGGGGAAGAGATGCGTTTGAGAAGGTCGCTCTGGAGACAGAGATGGCTGGAGACGCTTTTTGTTCTGATGCTGATTGTGCGTGTGGTTTAGGTTTCACTCGCGTGATTCCTGTGATTTGAGTAAATCTTATGTCTCTTCTTGTGGATGTGCGCCTACGTGCTTGCTATGTTGCGGATTTTGGATGTCTTCGATTTAGGTCTGATGATGTTACTTAGCCGTATCAATATGAGTCTGGGGTTATCCTCTGGGGAATTTTTGCCCGTTTTGTTCATCGATATGTCGTAAGTTGTAATTGAAATGTGCGAAAGTCTTGCGGATAGACCGAGATGGGACCGCGGACGGGGATGCGGCTGCAATGATCTGCTTTCTCGAAGGAGCGCTTCAGCGACGGCGACGTCGACCTCGAGCTGGTGCAGCTCCCGTCAAGCTGGACGACCACTCAGTCGATTGCCTCAGACGACCATAACATCATCTACCCTCACCCTCACACTTCCCTTTCTCTGTAACAGCCCAGTCGCCCTTCCCGTCCAATATCCACCGGCGCGCGCCATCCAACTCCGTGCATGCATCCTGATTAACGAGGTAAACAAAGCCGCCAGCAGGAGGTACATCTATGCCCAGAACCCTCGCCAAGAAGGGACGGTAGACAATTCAACAGCGAAGGGATCCCGGACTTTGGCCACCATTCGTTAATAAGAAGCAGCAAGTCGTTCGGAGCTGGTTCTCGCGTTCGACAAAGGCGGTCTTCACACCTTTTTCTTACATCTTACAGCAATTACAACGAGAAGGGATAGATTCCGATTTACAGCAGCACACATCCCGGCAGCTACAAGATGTTCGGGTTCAGTAAATATAGTTTCCTCGCTCTCGCCATGGCCGGCCTGGCACGAGCCTCAAACACAATTTCAACCGACGGCTTCTCCCTCTGCTCCTCCAACTCTACAATCACCGTCTCAGAATTCTACGTCTCATTCGATAAATCAACATCCGAAGTCACCTTCGACGTATCCGGCTCCTCATCCTCCATCGCGAACGTCACCGCTGTCCTCAATATCACCGCGTACGGTAATAACGTCTTCAGTAAGACTTTCTCGCCGTGTGCGTATAATGTGGAACAACTTTGTCCGGTGCCGAGTGGGGCGTTTAGTGGGAGTGGGAGTATTGCGGTGCCCGGGGGTGTTGTGAGTCAAATCCCGAGTATTGCGTTCGAAATCCCGGATTTGGATGGACAGGCGACACTACAACTATATGCCGAGGATGGAACGGAGTTGGCGTGTTTGACATCTTCCGTGACGAACGGGAAATCGACCGATGTCGCGGGTGTCAAATACGCTACCATCGGTATCGCGGTCGGTGCGGCTGCGTTGAGTACTTTCGGGTCCTTGATGAGTTCCTCGAGTGCGGGGGGTTCCACGCATCTTAGCCCATCGTTCGTGGAGGTGATGTGGTGGTTCCAGGGTATCGCGCTCAATGGTGCGTTATCGGTCAACTACCCCTCCGTCTACCGCAACTTTGCGAAGAATTTCCAGTGGAGTACGGGGTTGTGGGGATGGGAGTGGATGCAGAATGGAATCGATGGTTTTCGGGTGAAGAGTGGGGGGAGCTTGACAAAAGGATCTTATTTGACGCTGAGGAATACAACGTTGGCGTTTGGGAATGGATCGGATTCTTCTTCTTCGACGACGGTTGCGAAGAGGGGGTTGGAGGGGTTGGTGGATGGGTTGTTGAAGCGTGATATCACGATCGGCGGACTCGGGACGGGTACGGAGGCCGATAATTCGACTGACTCGAACTCATCCCTCACGACCGTCGTGAACGGCCTCAAAGCCTTCAGCGAACAAATCGAGGTCCCGTCAACAAACACATTCATGACAGTCCTCCTCATCTTCCTCATCATCATCGCCGCCATCTCCGTCCTCATCCTCGGGTTCCGCGTCATCCTCGAAGTCAAATGTCCCCAAAAACTCCAAGGGTTCAGAAAGAGGTATTGGTGGTTCTTGAGTGGTACGCTCGTTAGGGTCGTGCTGATTTTGTATGGGACTTGGGCGATGTTTTGCTTGTACCAGTTCCGACGGGGGGATTCGTGGGCGGCGGATTTGTTGGCTGCGATTACGTTGGCGTTGTTTACGGGTATCCTTGCGTTCTTTACAGTGAGGATCGTGATGTTGGCGAGGAGGGCGCGTAAACTCCAGGGTGGTGTTCAGGAGTTGTATGAACACAAGCCGTGGTTGCGGAAGTATGGGTTGTTTTACGACTCGTTCAGGACTCGGTTTTGGTGGTTTTTCATCCCGCTTATTCTGTACTCGCTTATCAAGGGTGCGTTTATCGCCCTTGCGGATGGGAATGGATTGGTGCAGACTTGTGGACAACTCGGCGCTGAAGTGTTGTTGTTGTTCTTGATGCTCTGGGACCGTCCCTACGATAACCGTGGTGCGAACATCATCAACATCGTCATCTCTGTCGTCAGGATCTTGTCCTGCGTTTGTCTTCTCATCTTTGTCGAGGAATTGGGGATTCAGGCCACGAGTAAGACGGTTACGGGTGTTGCGTTGATTGTGATTCAGAGTGTGTTGACGGCGGTATTGGCAATCTTGATTATTGTGAATGCGGTCAAGGCTATGATGCCCAAGAAGCCGAATCAGAATCAGGAGAAGAAGATGGAGAATGGGGAGAGTGATGATGAGGATGTACTTACGACCTTGACGCCGATGGGGAAGGGGGGGAGTATGAGACGCAGTGAGAGGGAGATGGATGATATGGAGAAATTGGGGTTGAAGAGGGGTGATGGGTATATGCGAACCCCAACGCAGGAGAACTTTGCCCGTTTCGGGTTCCAGGAACGGGAGGTTTCGCCTTCTCGATCGCGTGGGTCTTCGCCGGATTCTCGTGGTGGAGTCTTAGTTGCGGAGGAGGGTGATATCGGAAAGGAGCGGTACTCGCTTGGTGGTGAGGATTATGCCTACCAGGGTCCCACGATCGCTGGATGGGGACACGGCCATGGCCAGGGGATCCACAGGACGGAGAGTCGGGAGGGATTGGTGCCCAATGCGGCGGATTATGATCGGACGGCAAGTGTGTATGAGGCGTATTCGAGGGGGTATGCACAAAACAACCGCCTCTAGAGCGTAGATTGTGCCGGGAACATTCTCTTAGACATTTTTTTTTCTTCCCACTTTTTGATATCGCAATAGCGTGGGATCGATTGATCTATAGGCCGGCAGTGCGATTGGGAAGGACTGTCTGGCAGATCTTGGAGTTACTTTGACATTCTTTGAAACTTTCGTTACAATTACAATCGATGTGCTGTTCTCTACCATCGTTCGAACTTGTAGGGCGAACAGGGTGCGGCTTGCTCGCGAGCGGTTCGCCGCAGCGGCACACCTGCGTTCGCCCCGAATTGGCGGCCGATGCGGTAACCTGCAAACAAATCCATCGAAGTGCAATATAGGGGCATCTTAAGGTTGACAGCAGGGCAGAATGAGTCAGAGGCAGTTAACGGTTACGTTGACGGAGGAAGCGTTGTTGATCGCCGCTGCTGGTCATGATGTGCAAGGGCCACGGGTGCGGGTCTCGTTTGGGGATGCGAAGGTTGCTTCGGAATCATCAGGTTCGTCTCTGTAGGTAGAGTGGTGTAGTCAATCCGGTTCTAACCGACGTTGTATACAGCAAGGAACGTTTCGTCTGATGTTTCGTTACGGGTTTCCGGCATAGCGGGTCTGCTGCGGCTGGACAGTAAGAAGAGTTATCTTGTCGCTCTCACGAAGGTTACGGATGTTGGTTTCCTGCCGACGGAGAAGAAGCGAGAACGGGTGTATCGTGTCGATGACGTCGTACTCATTCCACTCGTATACGAGCCAGCAAAAGAAATCCTGGAGAAGCTCCGGAAGATCCAGACGGAGCACGAACAGTCGCGGAGCATTATCGACGATGACGAAGAGGATAACACCATCGACGACTCCGGTTCTGATTACGAGTCTGAGTATTGCAGTGACGACGATGAAGGAAGCGTTACGAAGGCCGGATCCGCCGAACCAGCGACCGATCCAGCAGATGAAAGCATTGTCCTCGATGAGTCCCCTTCACTCGCACAAAGTCCACCCCGCGCACCCGTTGCAGAAAACGTGATTAAGCGAAGAGGATTGTACGGCCGTATCATGAAAGGCTGGTTCGGGAGGAAGGGGTTCCGTGCTCAAGGACAGGATCAATTGGCACTTTTCGAAGGCGGTGCGACCCCGCGAAAGGAGAAGTCGGATCCGTTCTTGACTGAGGCTGGAGCCGATGCCGAGTCGGAGGCTGAAACAACGGAGGAAGTGAAGAAAGAGGTGTTGGAGGATGAGGGATTTACGGCGGAGAGCTTGGTGGGAAAGTTGGTGAAGACCATTCAGGTGTTGTTTTCTTCGCAGACGATGTTCTTTTGTTACGTGCATGGTGAGAGCAGTTTTCAGTCCGATACTTGGGAGTTTCGCTGACACAGTCCTCGCAGATTTCACGAGACAATTCCAGGGTGGAGACGGCCCACGCCGCGAATACATCTTCAACAACCACATCTCACAACCCTTCGCCGACGCCGGGCTGGAGTCATTTTGCGTGAAACTTACTCAGGGGTTCTTTGGTCAACGAAAATTGAACTTACCGGAAGATAAGGGAGAAGGGTTTCTTACTATTGTTTCACGGCGGAGCTGTTTACGGAATGGTAAGTTCGGACCTCGCCCACTCCATAATGAATCGTGCTAAGCTGAGCTTACAGGTCTGCGGTATATGAGGCGTGGGTTGGATGACGATGGGAATTGTGCAAATTTTGTGGAGACGGAAGAGGCTTTGTTTGTCTATCCTTCACCGGGTGAAACGTCTGCTGAACCAACCTGGTTTTCGCATATTCAAATCCGGGGTTCAATACCGCTGTTTTTCTCACAATCGCCGTATACGCTGCATCCCGTCCCGCAGCTTCATCGGTCTGATGCGGCGAATACTAAAGCGCTACAGAGACACTTCGATAACTTGAAGAGAGTGTATGGTGGTGTACAATGCGTCAACCTTGTGGAAAGCCAGAATCGGGAGGCGATCGTGGGAGCAAAGTATGAGGAGGAGGTGAGAGACCTGCATGACGAAGCAGTCGGATGGAAGTGGTTCGATTTTCATCATGAGTGCAAGGGCATGAAGTTTGAGAATATTTCGCGGTTGGTGGCGAATGAGGACATCGATGCGCAACTCCTTAAATACGGATGGTCATCTGAAGGCTCCCGTCAGAAAGGAGTGTTCCGCACAAACTGCATGGACTGTCTTGACCGCACCAATGTGGCACAAAGCGCGTTCGGCAAAGCTGTGCTAAACCGCTGGCTCGAACAGCTCAACCTCGAGCTAACAATCGCAGACTCCGATAACCTCAACTGGATCTGGGCCGATAACGGGGATGCAATCTCCCGCTCCTATACCGGTTCCGCAGCCCTTAAAGGCGAGTTTGTCCGTACCGGTGTGAGGGACTACAAAGGGGTGATCGCTGACGCCACGAATTCCTTGACGAGATATTTCACGAATGTCGTGAGCGATTTCTTTACACAGCTCGTGATTGATTTCGTGCTTGGTGGTGTTTCAGCGCATGCGTTTGATGATTTTGAAAGTCGGATGATCAATGAGGATCCGGGACGTCTCGTTAAAGCTGAGCAGATGCGGCAGAATGCGATTGAGGTGACGGCTGGTATCGTCATTGTCGAAGGGGAGGAAATGCTGGATGGGTGGACGCTCTATTCTCCTGTTGAACCGAATACAATTCAGACACGGGATTTTACGGAGTTGGTGTTGCTGCTGACAGAGGGAGCGCTGTATGCTTGTCGGTTTGATTTCGAGACGGAGAGGGTGTTGGCGTTTGAGCGAATCGCGCTAAATAATGTTGTTTCGATTCAGCGGGGTGTGTACATCACGTCGACCCTCCATCACGTCTTCACGGACCCGAAACGGAATGTTGGGTTTGTATTGCGGTATGTTGCAGGTGATCCAGACGCAATCCGTACGAATCACAGGAGTATTAACAACACTGTCGATCGAGGGAAGGGATCGAGTGATATCCGAGTCCTGGCGTTCAAGGCCACGCCCTCGCAGAGTGGCAAGCGTGATGAAGAGAGGCTTGTTAGGGCTGTCGTAGACGAGATCGCGACGAAGTGTATGGGTGGGGATGAGGAGAGGGCTAAGGATTTGATCGAGGAGAGGGATATCGTAAGTCTTGCGGAAGCGCAGGGTGCGACGGGCTTATGGGAGCGGTTGGAGTATGGGTTCAGGAAGTGGGTTTGGGCCTGAAAGCCTTGTCGGACACAAGTCATAAACAAACAATCCAGCGTAAACATTCCTTTTTGGCGAGGATTGTATAGCTAAGTTTAATCATAATCGTTCCCACGGTCTTGGAACCAAGACTTGACAGGAAGGATGCCATATTAACCTCGTGAACGTCAAGACCACCCTACGTATACTTACCTAGGTGTTTGCGCACATGAAATCGTATGTCTTCCGGTGCTGAACCAATGTTATTTACGGGAGCCTAGACGCCTTCTCCGTTCCAGCTGCCCTTTGACAGCTACTATCCCAAGCAGTATCATGACGATATGGTTGGAGGAATCACAGAAGCAGTCGTCTTTCATCCAATAGGTTCCGTGGTCTAGTTGGTTATGGCGGCGCCTTAACACGGCGCAGGTCCCCGGTTCAATCCCGGGCGGAATCACTTTTGCCTTCGACGATAGGCTAAATGCTCCCTTTTTTTTACGTACCTGGGTATGATGAGAGGTGCCAGTTGTAGAGAGAGTGGTTTTCATTCAATGTGGTCCAACAGAGCACGCATACCAGGTATTCCTATCGTATCCTAAAAACGGCGACCAAGCGCGCCCTCAATCATACTCTCCATCCTTCATTGTTCATGGTTCATCTCATAACAGCAGCAATCACTCAGCCTTCTTAGCACTCGCCCCCTTCCTCTCCAAGTCCCTCGCCCAAAGCGCAGCACCAACAGCATTCGTCCAAGCCGCTAACGTTCCCACAACAGGAACCATTCCCAACGCAACACCAACAACCCCAAACGCGGTATACTCTCCATACCTCTCCTTTACGAACTCGTGCTGTTGCTCGCCCGAAAGAGATTTATAGGAAAAGTAGCGTGCGTGGAGGGATTCTGCGAGCTTGGTGCCGTTGAGCAGGAAGAAGAGGGGGGTACCGAGGATGGGGAGGAGGTTGAGGGGGAGGGAGATGAGGTAGCGAACCAATCCTTCCTTCGAGAGTGAAACCTTGGGCAGAAAACGGCGCTTGCTGCTCTGTGCGGCGGAGGATGACTGCACGAGGTTTCCCATTCCCTCGGCAATCAACACTTTATCGAAAACCTCATCGATCGCACCCTCTCCCACACCAACGATCCTGACAATAACGTTCGTAAGAAACCCAGCTTCACTCAACACCAATGGAATCGCACTTGCGAAACCGAGGGGTCCGGAGAAGAGGGTGAGGATTGTGGCTTGGGGGAGGTAGGTGAAGAGGAAGAGGAAGACGGCGGTGGTGAAGGCAATTGCGAGGCGCGGGGCGAGGGTTTGGAGGAGTGGTTTGTAGAGGGAGGGGGAGGAGGCGAGGTAGACAATTCCCTACGCATGCAATGTTAATTCACTGTTGCGACCGAGGAAGAGTGAGGGGAGGGAGGTGACATACGCGAAGAGGATAGAGGTAGGTGCCCGAGAGAGCAGCCTGCTTTCCGACTGCGAGGCCTTTGTATGCGTAGGATTTTGCTTGATCTTGAACGGACATGATGGATCAATTGAGATTGCAATGGGAGTTGGTCATCTCGTCCTGGGAGGTGAATGCTTATATGCTGGCGACAGCTGCCCCTGACGTCATCCTCGACCCACCACACCTTTTGAAAGCAAAAACAAACAGATACGGCCATACCATGATGAAGTATCTTTTACAGTTTGACACTGTTCTAGATGCCATTGCAGATGAAGAAAACGATGAACTACCTAGGTATACACTCCTACATGCTCCCGTAAACGTAAAACTCCCATGTCCATTCCAGTTCACGCAAGGATCTACTGGAGGTAGTTTCTCAAGCCCTCTTCGTCTTCGTCTTAGCAGTTGTAGTCGACTTAGTAGTCGTGCTCACCTTCGTAGTTGTTGTGCCTCTGGCCGCCGACGACAAACACGGCCCACTCTGACATCCGATCCCACAGTAATCAGTTGTCTACACACGCATAATCAGCATTCCGCATCATAAACGGAGGAGTACAGAAAATACTTACAGTACCGCACCATCCGAACTGAGAACAGCAGCCGGGGAAATCACCTCCACAGATGATGTTGCCACCACAAGTACCGTCTGTGGTCGTTTTTGTAGTACCGGATGCTGAGGCTGCCGCGGCGGAAGATGAGATAGATGCGGAATTGGAGGATGATGAGGTAGCTGCACCGCCCGAGGACGAGCTAAAAGAGCTGCCAGGACTGCTGGCACGGTACCAATTCGCCTCCGGATCACCCAAGCATTCACCCACAGTAACCATCTTATACCCCAACTGCGTCGCCAACCCCATCACATAATCCGTCAAATTCAACGCGGTCTGCTCATGGATATCATGCATAATCTCCAAGAAGCTACTCGTGCTCGGACTCTTCCCCTGGGCCTTCATCGCATTCCTCACATTGTCTTTCGCGTTCTGGACGAGTTCGGGGGTAGCTTTGTTGTAGTCATCGGAATCGAGGTCGAAGTAGATGATGTGGTAGCCGAGCTCGGTCATGGATTGGATGCAGCCTGAGGCATCGGTACATGACGAGAAGGGGGGACGCATGTACGTGGGGAAGAAGCCGAGGATGTTGCGGAGTGCCATTTCGTTCATTTCCATTTCCCATTTTTCTGTTTCCAGGTTGCCAAGGTGGACAAATCGGGATGACTCCAGGTGTGCGAAGCGATCTGGTGGCCATAGTTATGCATCTTCGTAATCACCTTGTCCCATCCATACTGCGGATCATCGATGGGGCCTTTTCCGATGTTGTTGCCCGTGATGAAGAATGTTACGCGAGCGTCGGGGTAGGAGGTGTGTATCTTCTCGAGGAGTTGGTCAGTGTAGATGTAGGGGCCGTCATCGAAGGTGAGTGCGATTTGGCCTGGGGTCATACATTCAAAGATTCCGCCGAGTCCGGAGGAGTAGTCCTTGTACTCAACATTCCCGACCAAGGGACGCGGAACGGTGGAGGTATTGGTACCGGCTGGCATATATCCACCTGATGTCACTGCGTCACCAGTGGAGCATGTCGCACCAGCTCCGGAAAATGATTGCTGACATCCTGTACCGCAGTAATCTGTCGTCGTGCCGCACCATCCGTATTGACTACAGCACGAGCTGTCGGGACAGGTATACCCGTTTGTTCCACCACAGGTGTTGTCGGGGGAAATGGTGGTTGCGCGACGGACGAGTTCGTCAACGAGGTTGGAGATTGGGCGGGGGTGAGGGTGGGCGGTCACTCCGATGGAGACGGTGGTGAGGAAGGGGAGAGCTGAGAGAAGGGTGACTCGGGTCATTGCGAGAGATTGTCAAGTGATCCCGTAGTCAGTTGAGTAATTTGGACTGAGAAAGTCGAGCTCAAGCTGTGCCGAGAGTGCTGGATGAGTCCAGAGCACTACAGGTGCGGACACCTACTCTTTATAGCCATCACACCTGCTTTGAACCGTCCGCTCAAGCCGTCTTTTTCCTCATCTTCACAGTACCCCAATTCCCGGCACAACGAAGGGGAAAGTCAAGCCGATCAACGGCTCAAGGCTTCCGAAGCTTCTGCTCCGCCTCGTAGAAATACGGGCTGTTTCTCCGCGGCCGCCGTGAAACAACCAGCGTTCGCGTGCACGGGAGATGAGCGGCTCATAAAGAAACCGAGCCGTAAATTAAGGGTCGGTCCGATGCGAGTGCGATTGAGTGTCGGACGTTTTGTACATGAGCATCACGCTATCTAACGATGTCAATAGAGTCCGAGAATCGAAGAGCGGTTCGTGCGTATTCATGGCCGATTGGACATTCTCACACCTCGTATCCTCCCTTCAGCGTGACCATCCCAACCCAACGTACTTCACGCTCCGAGCCGCTCTCACATATGCGTCCCACCAATTCTGATCGAAGTTCAAACTCGGTTGTACGGTATGTTTCCCCGTTTACGGTTGGCGCTAGACGTTTCGCGCGTACTTGAACTTTCCTAGGGTGGAGCTATTGTAGCCAGAGAAAGCTTCGGTGCGAGATCCTGCGAGATTCGTGTTGATGGATGTGGAATTCGTGAAATGCGGTTAGGACGGGTCATTCGTATACGGATAGCTTTTGTTGGGCGGACCCGGTGCGGGCTGCGGTGTTGCACTACCCGTGGCATCGAACATGTAGTATAAAGGGAGGATTTTCGAGGCGAACCGCAGTGCAATTGAGACCGGTAGGAACTTCAAGAAGCTGGCGAGAAATATCTTTCCTTCAGTTCACTCTATTCGTCTGGAAAATCGTAGGAAGGCGTGGCGAAGATGACCCGTCCCATCCTTACGTAAACCCCGCCGTGCACGACGGCAAACGGCAAGCTTACATAACAGCCACACAGACAGCAATGATCCCGTGCGGGACGAGGCGGTACAGTGTACTTGTCAGATACCTTCAGTTACGTTCACAAATCGGCACTTCACCGCCCCCACCTCTCCAACCCGGTAACTCCTCTTTCCAACCCAATTCCAACGTCCCTGCCTCCCCTGACACAATCATTAACACTGACTCCACCCCATCCAGCACCCACAACGCTCACCCTACCTCCTCCCCACCCCTCCACCACACTCTTCGCCTTCCCCAAGAACCCACGATGCCCAACTCCATATTGCGGGATACACTCCCTCTGTAAATGGGCCTCAGCCAGGATCGGCTTCGTGATGATACCTAAATGACGGCGTACAGTACCAAGTGCTAACTCAACACCTTGTTCTTCTCGTTCTGCAAGCTCAGAGGGCGAGAGTGCCGACCACCAATGCCCACCCAACATAACCGTTAACTTAACCCCCTCAGCCGAATCCTGTCCTGGTACACCATGCGAATCAAACACAATCCCGAGTGCTCGATGCGGATTTTCATCCAACCCAACAGTTTTAGGGATCAAATATCCGAAACCGGCGGGGACATGTGGTGCGGCGGAGGGTGGGAAGAAAAGGTTAACGAGGAGGACTGTTGAGGAGGAGGTGCTGGGTGGTGTAGGGAGAGGGAGGGAGGGAGAAATGGAGGCGAGGGTTTTGGGTGCGACGTTCGCGATGACATGCGAGAAGGACGCGTTATCGCTGCCGGCGGTGATGGTCACGGAGGATGGGGAGATGGAGAGATCTGTTACCGGCGTTCCGAACTTGAAGGTGACGTTGTCGTTCGAGAGTGAGGTGCGTAAGCGCTCAGTGAGAGTCGCGAGTCCGTCCTTGAAAGAATATACGGACATCCCATTCATCATTTCCACCAACTCCTTATTCTTCTCCTTCAGCTCTGTTTCCTGCTTGACCTCCCTCTCATCCTTCGGTATCCGTTTCGCACCTCCAAGCATTCCTTTTACCACCGATCCATGATATGTCTCCAAATCCCACAAAATCGGAAACGTGGAGCGAACAGACAACGTATCCAAGTCAGCTGCGTAGATCCCGTGCACGATGGCGCTGAGGAGTGTATCGACCCCAACACCCCTCACGCCAAATCTCCGCCTCACAAACGCCCCAATGGACTCATCCTCCAGTCCCTCTGGTCTCTTTGCCGCGAACGGCTCATGCGCAACACTCGATACAAGACCCCTAAGAATCGGTACCGTCGCCGCAGCTTTAGGAAGATCCAGTAACGCTGATGGAAGCTTGTTCAACCCTCCTTTGTAGTACACATATCGATTCTTCGCACTCGGATGCGTCTTTGGAACGAGGATCAACTCTTTTTCCAACCCAAGTTCACGGATCAAATCGAAGGTACACAACCCACTCAACCCCACAGGCCTTAGCGAGCGTGGACCATGCTCAAATATAACACGCTTGTCCTCGACGGAATGGTGTGTGGTTTGCAGCCATCCGCCAAGGTGGGTTGGGTGGGATTCGTAGATTGTAAGTGGAGTTGAGTGGGGGAGGTGGCGGCGTGCGTAGTATGCTGCTGTTAGGCCTGAAATGCCGGAGCCTTCGAGAAAGGTAAGCACTGAGCCAAGGGAAATGAACTGATAGCTTACCTATGACGGCGACAGATTTGACGGGCGGTGCGGCCATTGTTGGGTTCAAGGAATCGGGGCGGCACCGCGCGGTGAATTGCCATGTTCGGGAGTTGACCCGGTAACGTAGAGTCGAAAACAGTTCGAACACGGATCTTACAGGACAATGGTTGGACAATTGCATGTTGTTTTCAGCACTCTGACAAATCTTTGTCTCGCTCAATTGCCCTCCGTGGAAAGCTGATGACGAATATGACGTATTTCATCGCATTAAGGTTGCATTTCCCATTCGATCGAGGAAATCGCGATCTCAGCGTATAAGTAGACCTCCGCCTCCCCTCCCTCCTAGGCCTCCTCCCCTCCTAGTAAATGTTCACAGCACGCACTCTTCTACGCACCCTCTCAAAACAACGACCAATCCTCCGTCTCTACACCGCATCTCCACTTCGCACGTTCTCCACCACACTTATCAGAATGTCCTCCACACCACGCCATTTCGCCGAAGACGCTTCCCACAAGCACTCACTTCACGTCGTAGACGACAAAGAACGTCTCGAGCGCGCTCCCTACCTCTCGCCTCCCGGCCCCGTCAAAGGTCCTGACGGCAAAGAGAAGGAGTTTAAGGCCGAATACACCGGTCAATGCTTCTGCGGTGAAGTCCAATTCGAGATCATGGGCGAGCCGTTGGACTCTTCATACTGTCACTGTCGCGATTGCCAGCACATGCACGGAGCACCGTATACCCACCACGCCATCTTCCCCAAATCCGCAGTGCACTTCACGAAGGGCGCAAAGGAGAACCTGATCTTCTATAACCCCCACGAGAAGAAGACCGAGTACAAAGTCCCTTGCAAAGTCACCTGCAAATCATGCCACTCACGTATCGCAGATGAGGGAAATAACATGATGCTCATGCTCCCCGGCCTCATCGACTGGAAAGACGGGAAAATGGCGGAAAGCTTCAAGGCCACGCATCACCAGTACTACAAATTCCGTACGGAGGATATTCAGGATGAAAAGGCGAAGTTTGATGGGTGGAAGGGTGATGAACCCGTTAATGATGCGGCGAAAAAGATGAAGAAGGAGATGGATAAGGAGAAGAAGGAGAAGGAGGAGAAGGAAGAGAAGGATGAGGTGAGTTTGCCCGATTGCTTGAAGGATTAAGCTGAATGCTAATGGACAGGAAACAGTAGGCGACCAAGGCCCGGATGTGAAGAGAAGGAGGAAGGAGTGATACCTGTATTGTGTGCTTTCAAATCTGATGCCTGGCGGGGCGAGAAAGGCGTTTTGGGGTTTGTACGATTATGGTGTTGTAGTTGTTTGTTTTCATTATTCGAGGTGCATTGTATTATCTTCATGAACGCATGTCATTATCGTTCCCACCGTCTTGGTCATGGTCCTTTTGAGTAAAAAGGCTCGACCTGAATTGCTCCGTCCGTGTCCCACGCTGCTCAACCTCAGGGCGCCCCCGCGCACTGTCTTCCCCGGCCAAGTCCGCTGAATGCGCGGAAGCATCTACGGTAACTCAGCAGATCCCGCTCCTTACGACATACTCTCACGCCGGCCAGGAGCAAGAGGCACAGCGTAAAAGGAACATCAACTGGCTTAAGGATGATGTAGCAAAAGTGATTCCGCCCGGGATTGAACCGGGGACCTGCGCCGTGTTAAGGCGCCGCCATAACCAACTAGACCACGGAACCGTTCACGTGACGGTCAAGGTTTTTGTTAACAAGTGTACCCACGTTCATTCGAGGTCGACCTCGACGATGTGTGAGCCAATACTTGGGTTACAACCCTGAAAATATGGGAATGGAAGTCATGAATACTGTAGTACCCCTTTGCGGCTTCGGCATGTCGTGAATTAGCCTACATTCGCCAACCATCTTCTTGCCCGTCAGAGTTTGCGATTGCGTAAAGAACTCGGAGGGGCACTTATTCCTGTTCGCAACGGCCATACCTGTCGCTCACTGTTGTTCCTTCACTCTTAGTTATGGAAATGTGAACAACCGCAACATTGACCCAGCTGGACACGTAATAGAGTTCGTGCACGAGACACAATGAACTGGCATGACAATTAACACCGCCACCCGCAGCCGGCACACAGCAACGTAAACATCTAAGATCAGATTGTCTATTATATCCCGCTAGGAAACTGACAGATTCATGGCACTTTGCACAAGTTCCTTCAGGAACCCTGATATAAACGTGGGAACGGACCAAACTTTCGGAGTCGTTGCCGTGGGAAAGGAAGATTTTTATGGCGTCGTCGTAGATATCGTGAGACTGAAAGTTTTGAGTGGTACAGCTGCACCTCATATGCCGAGTTTGACATGACCGTGTGAAAACCAAACTTCCTGGAACAAAAACAATTCGGGGCGGTGCACGTCAAAATCGTGGGAAGAACGTATTTTGCCACATTTCATTTCACAACCGGTGCAGAGTTGTATGGACGTGAGCGCGTGTAGAAGGTTCGCGCATACGAAAAAGAAGAGAACGGGACACGTCCATGGCAAAAAGCATGATTCCGCCCGGGATTGAACCGGGGACCTGCGCCGTGTTAAGGCGCCGCCATAACCAACTAGACCACGGAACCTATTGGATGATTGCAGAATCTTGATGACCAATAGAATTAGGTTTCCCATTCTCGTTGCTGAACTGCTTCAGTTGTATCCGACGAATGCCCCTACGGTTCACTCAGTTCTCTTAGAACACCGCAATCGCATTCGGCGGTGACGCGATCCCTCCAATAACCGCCAACGGACTTGACGTCAAAAAGAATGTCCACTGGCCCTCCGTCTTACACACTTCAACTCTTCCAGATTGATCGATTCCCCTACAAGCCCGGTTAGCACTTCACCTACGCCACCTTCTAGTGCAGAGTCAAACCCTATCGGCATTCCCCACCCAGCAATCATCGTCTCATGTATAGGCGCAACTCGCTCCGGCGCCGGCCACCGCTCGAAAGCCGGAGAATCAGTCGCCACGGCAGCGAACTGCGGATTCCATATCCAAATGCTTCCTTGCTTTGTTCGAGTCCTGCGCCTTCGGCGAAGCAAGCGGGTCGATCGTGGTTGGGGAGAGAGTTGTGTGCGGAGACGAAGTCGGTGCGGAGGAAGAGGACGTCTCCTGGCGCGAAGTCGATACCGTGGGCCTTGGCGCAGGCGACGAGATTGGAGACGGGGATAATGGGTCGTAGGTTGGGTTGTAGCCGTAATAATCGAGGAGGACGCCGCGGCCCACGATGCCTTTGCGAGCCCAGTTGTGCATTCCGTTGAGGCCGCATGAGAGCATTTCGTCCATTGTTATTCCACCGTAGAAGAGCCCGTTACTGTATGAGACGTGGCGGAAACCGTCCCATTGGCTTCCACCCTGTGTGCTGAATTCGACGACATCGTGAAGTACACGTCCGGGCTCTAACTGGATGATCTCATGGCGATATGGTTGTCGATCTTTCAGTAGTTGTGATATATTGTCGAACTTGCAGTCTAGCGACACCCCGATCACCTGTTAGGATCTGGCTTTGTGCTGCTTTACGGACGACATTTTTGGTCAAGAGGTTTAGACGGCCGAGTTGATCATACGGGCCGTAGAGGCCCCATGCTGAACCTGGCGGATCCCCGTTCCGGAGGGGTAGGTCTGCGAACTTTGGATAGGTGCGTCCTTCTTGATCTGACATTTTCGAGGAGTTCTGTTGTGCTGGACGTCACATGTCCCTTTAGAGTTTGTCGGTTCTCCACGCCAACGCGGGGCCAACGCGGGGAGGCTCGAGCGTCGTGCGATCATTCTTGCGGGTGGTGGGGTGCAGCTGGCTGGGCGGTGTTGCAAGTGAGTTCCTATGGGCGGTCGCAGTTGATTGTGGGAAGGGTCGTTACTGGAATTGGGATTGGGTTGTTGACTGCTGCTTTGCCTGTTTGGCAAGCAGAGTGTTTGACTCCTGATATCATCTTCGTGGGAAGATCGGCATGGACCGTCAACAATCCCTTCTCGGCGCCGGTGGACTCCAATTCTTCTCCCTCTGTGCTTCATTCATCCCATGGTACGCCATTGACCGTGGAGGGCGGAGACGGCTGATCATGTCCACACTTGCTGGCATGGGAGTTTGTTTGGCGGTTTCGGGGGCGTTGGTGAGGTATGGAGGGAAGGCAAATGGGATTGGGGCTACGGATATGTTGTATTTGTTTGGGGTCTATCTGGCTGAGCCGCTCCCGCTTCGCTTGCGAGGGACGGGGAATGCACTCGCAGTATGTTCGCAGTGGTTACAACGGTTCGTATCTGATGCCTACCTTCACCGTGATTGGCAAATGCTGACAGGTGTGTTTGTAGTTCCTCGTTGTCGAGATCACGCCTCCAGCCATCTCTAACATCGGCCACTGGACGTACGTAATCTTCGCTCTCTTCAACTTCGCCAGTATTCCCAGTGTACTTCTGGTTTCCAGAGACTGCCGGACAGAACCTGGAGGAGATCGATAGTTTCTGCACTGAGACCAACTTGAGAGGGGCAGTTGTAAAGTCGCTTCAGAACAAGAAGACACATAACAGGACGCTGATGGAGTCGATAAAAGAAGACAGGCATATGGACGACGGCGACAAGAACCAGGACATAGTTATGGTAGAGTATGTCTAGATGGTTGTGATGGGAAGAGGAGCTGTCAGCGCCGTATTTCTCACGCTCCACTAGGATTGTTGGAATCAGGCTGATAAGTATAAGAATTCTTGATTGAAAGTATGTTCTAAATACGAATGCCAAAGACTCCTAACAAAATGCTCCTAAACGCCATAAACGAAAATCTAAGTGAATGTCTAGCCACCCCTGCTCAACTTGAACTGAAGTGACTTCTTCTTCCTCTGCTCCTTCTTTTGAAGGTTGTGCTTCATCTTCTTCTTCGCAGCCAACTCGGGCTCAGCAACCTGCTGCAAGCTACGCTTGTGCCTTCTATCTTGTCTTTTCTCGAAAGCATCCTGCTTGACGTGGTTGAAGGCGTGGACATAACTAGTCACACCAACACGACCCTGCAACAAGGACATGATTTCCTGAGACAAAGACTTGAGTTCCTTACTCTCAGTGTTAATGTCAGGCAACTCGGAGAACCTGTATAGAGGCCTCAAAATGGATTTCACATGCGGTTCCAGATCCGTAGGCTGAATGATGTTGATCATGGTTGCGTACCACTGCAACATCAAACGCTTGGACAAGGCCTGACGATCGTTGGTTCTACGCTCGCGGCGGAGCTCAGCAGACAAACGAGTCATCATCCAAGACAAACAGGTAACAACCTGTCCTGCCTTGCCTTCGGCAGCATCTTCAGTCTCCTCCTCATCAGCATCGGCGTCTGTAGCAGGCATGATAGCCTGCGAGCCGTAGAAGGCCCTTCCGACGAATATGAGATTCTTGATGGCTTGGAAACCAAGATCTTCGGACAATTGAGGGCTCCTCATCTGGATCAAAGACTTCCTGGCAACCTCGATGAGGTCCTCCAAGGAAAACTTCAGTCCTCCAGAGATCTCGACAGGCAACTGGGTAGGAGCAGCCTTGCACTGAGCGAACAGAGCACCAATGAGACGTGCTGCAGACAAGCGTACCCATGAATGCCTGTAAAGCAAATGCTGCCTGACAGCACTCCAGATGTCGGCACCCTTCTTGGTGATGACAGTCTCCGGACAGGTCGTAGCGATCTTTGACAAAGTTTGCAAAGTGTAATATGCCATCTCCCAAGTATCAGAAACTTGAACGTCCTCAGCGTCCTCGTCAGTCGCCCGGGCACTCTGCGAAAGAAGATCCCTGATTCGCTTCACACAGTACTGCATCTCATCCGTCTTGGTAGCCTTGAAGACATCGAAGAACAACCCATAGACCTGCATACCAGTTCTCTGCAACGAGGGCTGGTCGTCGGCCTGAGTCCAGGTCCTGAGAGCCTTGACGATACCAGTGAGACGTTCTGCGTCCGCCCTCTGCAAACACTTCTGAATCAAAGCACCCGCCATCTCACGACACTCAGCCACGTCATCGTTCACAAGAACCATAACAAGGGCGACGAAAAAGCTGCCAACCACTTCCTGAACGAGGACATCACCAAACTTGGACAAGATCAGATGCAAGACCTCCATAACAGACTGACGACCAGACTGGTGCTCGTACGACAAGTTTCGAACAAGGAAAGCAATTTGAGCCTTGAGTCTGCCTTTACCCTGAGGGTAATCCATCAAGAACTGGAAGTAGGTGGATCGCGCAACATCACGAGCAGAACGAGTCTGGTTAGTGACCATCATCGTGGCAACAGTGTCCATAACGTCGTAAACCTCAGGAATGATGAACTTGCGCGACAGGACAGAGCGGATAAACGTGAAGGTGACACCTTGACGATCAGGCTCTTCGAGGTCAGGCTTGATACGCTTAAGGATATAGGCCAGCTGGCTTTCCTTGATGTCAACGCCCTTGCGGTCCTTAAGAACCGTCGCAAGAAACTTCAAACTCGCTTGACAGATTTCAGAGTTAGTTGAAGGCGATGTCTTCACGAACGAGAACGCTTGCGCGACAAACACATCAGCACCTTCGTCGATGGCAGACATCTGAACGCGGAGCAACAGGTTCAGCAATCTAAGAGCCGAGATTTGCAACTCTTCCGACTCTGACAACATGCAGTCTCCGATCAAAGGAATGAAGCCCGCCAAGTTTGCCTCAGTCATAAGCTCGTCGTTCCTCGTGAGCACGGATCGCAGAGTATCCAACGCAAATCTGGTAAGCTTAGAGGCGTTCGCCACGTAATGGTCACGGATAAAATGCTTCTTTGGCTTGATGTCAAGCTCAAAGAACTTACGAGACTCAGCCCTGGCTTCACTCTCGGTGGATTTCTGCACAACCACCTCGGCCTTCAAAGAAGACTGGAAGACATTGTACGCAAAGACAAGCATCTCCCTGGAGTTGCCTGCCTCGTTCGCTTGCACACCAAGAGTGATGCGGCGCAACACTTCATCCACCTTCTTCAGTAGCTTTAGGGTAGATAACTCGTGTAGAAGGTTCTTGATAGGAGCAATCATCACACCAAGATGCTCAACGCTTGAGTACTTCGCGAGGATTTCATAAGAGTCAAACGATTTGTTGCCCTTTACTTCCCTCATACTGGTGCTGTACCCTTCCGCCTCCTTTTCAGATCCAGTTACACCGAAGATGTCATCCACAAGCATGTCGGCGATTGCCGGCAGGCAGTAATCCAAATCACCCTTGGTAATCTGCTTGTTCTCTGTGAGACGGACCAACAACGTGTGAACCGTAAAACCCAGAACATGAAGCTGCGATCCACGCAAAAGGGCACCGCGAAGCTCAGTCAAGACGTACTGGAAGTAAGCCGGACCCAAAAGAGCCACAATATCGGCGAGGGTCTTGCGAGTCATATCCCTGGACTCTTGAGACTTTGATTTCAGAACGTGCGACAGGTCCATGAGAACACCGGGGAGCCTGTTCGCAATGACTTCTTCCGGCAGGAGACGGAGAAGCTTAACGATGGGCAAGGCCACCGGTACACGAAGGATAACCGTGGATTCTTCTCTGGTATGTAGATACTTCACGAGAGGAGGCAAAAGCCCATTCAGGACCTCTTCCTGCAATCTTTCCACGGGCGGAAGAGATGACAGTAGCGCCGTTGAAGGCTTGATTTCCTCGACCTCTCCCGCATCTGCCATATCGACATCTTCTCCGTCTGCGTCACTCTCCGCGTCCTCCGCTGTGGATGCCTGGGCGTTGCTACTACCGGCAATGCCATCGACAACGGCTGAAATGAGACGAATGGTAGTACGTTCTGATTCAACGTCTCCTTTAAGCATACCGATATAACGCTTCAAAACAGCCTTGTACTGAGCCCAAGTCAACCAACCACTCAGAACTCCGATCGTCTTCACCGTCTCCGCAATCAAACCGTGAACTTCGGCCTTCTCCCCCGTCAGCATGACGAAGTGTTCGATCAATGGCATGAAGAGGTGCGCAATGTTCTGCGGGTGAATGCCCTTTGAAGCGCTAACAGCAAGACGGCGCAATGCCCTCAAGCGACGGTGCTGCTGAATATGCAAGATGTTGTTGAAAAAGTTGGCTTCCTCGTCGTTACCGAAGAGCAAGGGTTCCATATCTCCAACCTGATCCCAGAAGGAGCAGTGGCGGACTACATGAGCCAAGACAGAAAGGTACTCAGCGCGGACAAGTTCATTGGGATTACGCATACCGCGACGGACCTCCTTCATAACGACGTTGTTGAGGACCTCGATGCGTTTGTCTCTCTGCTCGTCATCGGCAGCACCAACGACCTCAGCAAACCGTCTCAAAGTAAACGAGGCACTACTGCGGAGTGCAAGTTCTTCCTTATCCTGAATATTGAAGAGAGCATTGTGCAACAACGGCAACCACTCCCGCAAAGTCAATTCCGAGAAGAGATTCTCGTTGACCTCGGCGAATGCCTTCAAGCGGCGGTTGAAATCAGGCTCATCAAGCCTCTTCTTGGAAAATGAGTTAAGGTCGACAATGAGCTTAACCACGCGAAGCAGAATCTCGTCAGCAGCACCAAATACCTCGAAGACTTGCGAAAGAACGAGACGACCGTTGCGAGTCGCAAGGCTAGCGAAAAGTGACGAGATAGTCTTGTACCTCTTCTGGAAGACAGGCTCTGCAGGCTTGAAGTCTTCGCAAAGCGGAAGGAAATGCTTCACAACCTCCAAGACATCAGTCTTCACCTTCTCAGAAACAGCCTTCTTGGGCTTATCAAGCATGACCATAAGGAGACCGACCAACTTCTGTGCCTGATCACCAGCAGAGACCATAGGTGCCAAACGGGAAAGGACATTGATCAGCAACTCCAACAAGTCGCCCTTGAGTCCAGCGGACTCCTCGTTCTCGAGAAGGTACGTGACACTATCAAGTGCCAGGTCAAGGTTAGGAATGAGTACCTTGTCCTTGATGGCCTCAACCACGTCCTCTTCAGTTTCGGAATCATCAACGTGATCCAAGACCTTTTGAAGCATATTCAGGATGTATGTGATAACCTCAGGCTTCACACTCTTATTCGTGAGGCAACGGAGAACATTAGGAACGACCTCAGTGTCATACTCCGCCAAATACAAGACAGTAGCAACAGAAGATGCCCAGGTCGCCAAAAGCTGAAGTAAGCCAGAAGGATTCTGCGAAGACTCGATGGGTAACTTCTCCAATCGAGGTGACACAAACTCCTTGAAAATGAGGGGTACATATGGCTGCCATGTGAACTCGGTAGAGTACTTGAACAGGGCCGTCAAGCACTTCAAACCAACCTGACGGATATTGCGAGCGATCTTGAGTTCTACGCTACCCTCAGATTCCGTCTGCTCTTGGTTGCGAATGCGAGTATGCGCACGGTACAAGCAGTACACGAGAGGCGTCAGAAGCTCCTCCGTAAAAGGCCCAATGATGGTTCCGAGCTGCTCCATAATCTCGGCCAACATGGTGACATAACCAACCTGCTTCCTCTCGGGCACCTCTTCGGCATCAGCCTGGTTATAACGCAAGACGTGATGATCCGCGTCAGACTTCTTGATAACATCGAGGTCTTTGAACGCCGTCAAGACCAAATCCAAGAACGACTTCAAATCGTCCCGGGGCAAGTTCGCCAAAGCAGCCAAAATAGTCGTTCGTCGAGAGGCGAGACCCTTCTTCTGACTAGCCTGTCCCCTCCTGGCCACGACTCGACCGAAAAGGATACGAACAACAACTGGCATAAGCACGCCTCTGTGTGCTTCTTGAATCGTCGAGTCTCTCTGATCGAGATGCAAGAACAAGGTAATCTCATCTCTGAACCTCGTATCGTCCAACAAGTTCTTCAAGTTATCCTCATACGTCCTCAGCTCAACCTCCTTCCAGGTCAACAAACAGTTCAACGCTAGAGTTTGGATGTGGTTGTCTCCCATAGCCAAGAGATTCATCAAGATCTCACGAACGGTATCAGTCTTGGACAATGTTCTAGGGTTCTTGAACTTGGCGAACAGCTCCAACATGGTATTCTTGTCTTTTCTCGACCAGGATTCCTTGGTGATCTCGGCGTCGACCCCCATAGCATCACCTTCCTCAACGGCAACAGCATCCGTACCGTTACAGTCAATGAACAGAGGGACAAGCTGGGCGTTGTGCTTCTCTGCCAACTCAGGGACGCCAAGCAACACCCTCAATGCCTGAGACCTCGCCATCGGACTCAATGTGCTATCCTCCACAAACTTCTTCACATAGAGATTTTTTACCTCAGCAGTACCGGCCTTCATGATGCTAAGACTCTTCTCAGAGATCTCAGTAACGTTAGCCAAGTTGAAGCACTGGAACACCGACGTCGTAGTCGAATTCTGCCCAACCGGCTCCTCCTCCTCAGCCTCCGGAGCATCATCAAGCGTCGGCTGAGTCGTCGTCTGCAACCCTTCCCATACAAGGTCCCACACCAACTCTGGTCTCTGCTGTGCAACAGAGGTCAACGCTTTACACGCATCTCCCCACAACGCAGTAAAGTTCAACGTCAACACACCGAGACACAGCCGAGGAAAAACTTGACCGACCCAGTCCTGCTTGGGAATGAGGAAGTAGTTCTGTGCGAGGTTTCGGAGTTGCATCTGGACGGTTCGTACGGACTCGACGGTGAGTGGTGCATCTTCGACGAGCTGGCATGCAGAGATGTGTTCCGAGATCTTGCCTTTGTTGAGGAAGGAGTATGCGGAAGCGAGGATCTCCAAAGTAACAGAACGGCGGCTCTTGGAGGGGAGAGCAAGGATGGGGAGGAGTGGGTCGATGATGCCCTGCTCAACATTGTTGACAGTCAACCCCTTCTTACTCGAAGCAGCAGCAAAGACAGCCTTAGCTCCCTCAAGGAAAGAGATGACGCTTGTCCATTGATTCAAGTTGTCTGCAACCAACTGTACGATGCTCTGGTCATTTTCAGTAAGGTGCTGAGCGAAGATAGTCAACGCAGCACCCAACACCGGCGCGACCGTTTTGCTTCCCTGACCCTTCTCGAGTAGCACGAGACCGAGTTGCTGCACAACGGGCTTGATAGCCGCAGGCGTAACATGGATGCACTTCAACGCCTCCAACCTCGCCAACTGTTGCGCAAACCACTGCTCATCCTGCTCATGAAACGCAATCGTAAGCTCCTTCGACACTGAAAGCTTCTTGAGCAAAGCTGGGACGAGGCCCTTCTCTTGGTTCAACTGCAACAAGCCAGTGTTGCTCAAATTCTTATTGGGCACAGTGCCAGTCCGGAATACACCATTCTCCTTCAATCTTGGCAATGTCACGAGCAAATCCTGTTCCGCGGCTTCCCACCTCTGGGCAACGAACTTGACAAAGTAGGGCAAGGCAAGGTCTCTAAACCGTTCCGGCACGCTCTGTCCCAAGTAATCGCAGAAAGCCAACACAGCATTCACATCTTCGCCAGCAAAGATAGGTGTGAAAAGGGAGTCGCACTTCTGAGCCGCGAGTCCGAGTTCAGCATATTGCAGGAAAACAGCAGCAAGCTGTGCAGCAGGCCAAAAGACTTCGGGGGTCTTAGATGAGACGGCGCGGGCAGCCAAGTCGGCGATACGCGGCCAGTCTGAGACACGCGTACCCTTGCGAACAGCGGCGAGGGTGTAAGCCAAATCAACAGCGAAGATTACTCTCGTGGCAGGAGCGAAGGTCGCCTCGAGTGCTGCAGAAAGGTTATTGCAAACAACATCGAAAATCGACGTGAATGTTTGCCTCTGACTGTGATGCAACAGCGCAATCTCAACCTTCTTCACCAGTGCCCGTCCCTCTTGTGTCTCCGACTCATGAACACATTCGAGCAACTGCTCAAAGATCGCTGTGGCGCGAGAGTGCAGTGTCATCTCCACGCTCTTGATCGACTCAGTGAAAATCGTGCACAATCCATCACTGTAGAGATCCGAAGGATTTGCCGCAAGGTCCGCCAAAGCGTGCTTCACAATAATCTTAAGGTGCTCACCTCTGGCGCGGCGGATCAGGAAGGCGAAAGCCTCTGCGGCGAAACGAGTGGTGTAGTACTTCTGCTGCTTCTTTCCGAGCAACGGACTCAACAAGTCGAAAACTGGTCGCAAATCCGGAACGAGTTGTTTTGCGAGGTACTTCAACAAGAAGGCAAGACAGTTGAAGGTGTGCTCGATAACTTCGAGGTCGCCTGATCTGACGAAAGGGAAGAGCGCCGTAATCGACCTTGCAAAAAATGGTTCATATTCAGTACCGAGGTCGCGGGCGAATTGCGTGATCAAGTCCAACAGCGGCTCCAAGGCAAGCTCATCACCCTTCTTCAAAAAGCCCTCCAACAACTCAAAGATCTTCTCCTTGTGGTACAGCACTTGCACCAGGGTATTGCTGAGCGGTCGCACTTCTCTCAGAAATTGTGTAAATGTAGTTGTGAGGTTAAGCTCCGTCCATGACTCCAACGCCGTCTTGAAGAAACACTCCTCGGCCTCCTCATGTTGGACTTGACGGTTAACGCGGTGGTACACATCGATCTTCACGCCCTCTACCCGCTTGGAGAAGGGCTTGAAGCGATGCCTCTTTGTCGTCTGGGTGTTTTTGTCCTTCATTCTCCAAGGACCTCCCTGAGAAAACAGCGACCTTTCTTCGTACGCGACGGCAGCTGCAGGGTTGCCTCAGCTTTTTCGACACAGCCACACGCGCCACGCCGTATCGAGAAGTCTAATTGAGAGTGAATGTGAGAATGGAAATTATTATTAATCAACGTCTAACCAACAATCCTGGGAGCGTCCACGGCCTCATCTTCCTTTCCAGTCACCTTGGTAGGCGTCGTCTCCTCCGACGGAGCAAAACTGACACCGGAGACCCATTCCCAGCACCTATGAATCTCCCCATTCACCTCCAGTTGCCTGACACGAATATTCGAATTCCCCTCAACGACCTTTTGAACACCGAGCCATAACCTCTGCCTCTCCTTCGGATCAAACTCCCCAGCCAACACCAAATCCCTCAACTGCCCAACAGCCACATACGGCACCGGCGTAGCCTCAGGATTAGAAATATTGAAACGGCGCTGATCGGAAAGCTGACGAAGGGTATAATGCACCAACTCCTCCACACGACGAGAGTACTTGCGCCGACGAATCAAGAAAGAACGAAGATAAAGGAAACCAAGAGCAAGGAGAACTACGCTAATAAGCGCGCCTCGATGTCGAGCCAGGGATCCGCGGATGGACTTGCGGATCGCGCAGCCGAAGCTGATGTTTGCGAGGGAGGAGGAAGAGAAGATTCGGTTATTTCCACTGTTGAAGTGCGGACAACAGTCCTGTGGTCAGATCAGTCCATCCTGCTATAACAACGAAATACACAAGGCGCAAACTTACTCGGTGTGAGTGACGGTGACTTCCTCTCTATCGACCACATCGTTCAAGGCATGCTGCCAGAGATTCTCAAACTGCTCATCCGTCAAAGCGGGAGACTTGAGCTTGTACAACTCGGCCTTCAAATCCTCCTCGTTCAATCCCTTTGGCTCGCCTTTGGGGAGCTTGACGTGTCCGCACTCCTCGGCAGCGTTCCTGTTCCTCAACTGCTGGACAGCCTCATCCGCCACAATCATGACCTTCCTCAATTTTTCTGAGTCGGGCTCACAAGCAGGCGGCAATGGGATCAATCCATTGAGGGAAAGTGGGTTGAGAACCTCAACAAAGTCGGGCTCGCAAACAGCCTTGAAGTTAGGGTAGCAGACAGCGTGATCCGGGCATGGCACGCACTCGGGACGAAGGTGAGGACGAGGGTCGTACTGCTCGTACGGCTGCAAAGCTTCAGGAATAGGCCACCTTGGATGTTCTGAACAAATGTTAGTAAAATGCATTGCGTACGGAAAGAAGACAGGACTCACCAGGCGTATCAACCCCACAATACCCAACGTTGACCTTCTCCTCCCTCCACCAAGCCCCATAAGCAACCGCCGGCGCAACCAATGCCCCAAGCAACACCTTCGGCCACACACTCGGACCGCTCTTCTTTACCTTTCTCCTCTTCATCAACCTACGCGCCTCAGCTCTGCTCTCAGACAACCTCTTCCTGCCATCGGGGGTAGCCTGCAACTCCTTGACCTCGTCCGGGGTGAACTCTTCCGTGATTTCGGGCTCCTGTTCGTCGGAATCCTTGTTCTCCTCCTCAACTTGGTTCACAAGCTCGCGGAACTCGGTAGACGTCTGTAGCGTATTAACACTCGGCATGAACCTAGCCGGCACCCTCGCCTCAGGCGGCGCCAGAGCCAAGATAGGACCAAGATCAGTCCTCCTCCTGTTCTGCGTACCAGGCGTCGTAGCCGCAAGACTCTTCCTCTTCGAACTCGCCGTTCCCTCCGCCAACGTCTTTCTCCTGCCACCCTCAAGACCAGCAGGCGGCGGACTCTGAAACGGATTATGCGGACTAAACGTGTCCACATCATCCTTCTCCCCCTCATTGAGGAGCTTAGAACTCTTCCTCCTCGCCGGTGTCCTCGTCTCAACAGCCAAGACCGGCTTCTCAATCTTCACACTCTTCCTCCTCGTCGCGGTCGGTGGGGGGCTGATCTCCTCCTCCTCACTCACAGGTTGCATGGCCTTCCGCGGACTCAAACTCCTCCGACTCTTCCTCCTAACCATCGGAGTCTCCTCTTGTCCTGGCTCGACCTCAGACGTGGATTCGATCTTGACTTTGCGGTCGTAGGCATACACATCCGGCGAACCAGCTTTGGTCGCACGAGCCTTTTCCTTCTTCTTGAGGTATTTTGCGGCGTTAGGTGTTATGCTCTGCGAGAAGATATCCACCAAGACAGCCTTCTTCGCCGACGAAGGATACTGAACGTCCCACTCCAACAAAATGCGACGAAGGTCCGCGACGCGGAGGGTGGCGGGATCGAACCCAGCCTGAAGGTAAGAAAGGTCGTCGTCCATCTTGATCACTAATTCTCCAAAAAAAGTACACTCCTAGTCGAGTTCGCGACAGTCGGAACTCGTATATTTCTTGTCGCCTTGTCGCCGTCGCCGCAGCAGCTTGCGCAAATCAAAACAAACGTCCGGATCAACATGACGACAACCGCAACCTCCCCAAAATACCCCGAAAACATGCAGAACTTTGCGTGTAACATTATCTTGTATTATTACCTGTATTGTAATTTCACTACGAATACTTTCCATGCGATGCATTTTATGCCGTGGGTATCTCTCATGCTAGTGCATCCTATCAATAATCAGTTGGTCTCGACTGGACCCAGCGTGATGCTTGGTGTAGCCTTCTTCTTTTCCTTATCAACGTCTCCCGCTGCGACCCCAAAGTAATCATCCCCACCCTTCTCCTCAATGCTCGGCCCCACCTCCTCTTCCTCCTCCTCCTCCACTTCAACCTCGTGCTTCTCAGAGTCTTGAGCTGGATCCCCCCCCACCAAACTCTCCGCACCCTCCCGGCTCTCCTCAGCTTTGGGTAGCACAGCATTCCCAGCCCTCATATCCGCCTCCCCCAACGTCGCCCTCCTAATCATCGGAATCGCCTGCGTAACCCTCTGCACAACCTTATCCACAACATTATCCTCCGCCCCTGTATCGATAAGCGCGTTCGAAATCGTATTCGTATTCCTTCTTCTCATTTCTTTTCGTGCCTGTTTTTCTTCGGGGCTGAATGCGGCTTCCAGAACTTCCATTTCTTTCTCGTCGTTGTCGGGGGAGGAGAGGGAGATGGAGGGGGGGTATGTGGTTGGTGTTGCGCGACCGGTTATATGGGCGATAAGGCGTCGTTGCCGGCGGACTTGGTCGTCGAATTCGGTTAGGCTGGCCCACTCCCACCACCCGAACAAAAACCCGATTAAGCCGTCAACGACCCCCACGACCGCCGCGACCCACGCCACGAACATCACCGCACAGACTCCCCATTTGTTTTGAATGTAGAAGGGGATGATGTGGAGGACGAGGAGGAGAGGGAGGGTGAGGAAGAAGTGGAGGATGCGGAGGCGTGAGTGGGTGGAGGAGAGGGAAGTGTAGGCAGTCGTCACGTCGTGGATTCCATCCAAAGTCCCGACATCCAAGTAAAACTCCGGTACGAGCTTTGATTCCTCGCGCATGACGAGGTCGACTTCGATGGCGAAGTGGTCCGAAAGCGATATACTCACCTCCTGCCCCTTCTCTTGTACTGTGATACGGTCGAGCATGGTAACTTTAGCGTTCGTGACCTCAGTTGTCCGCGGGTCATGGAAGACATAATCCAACCTCCTCGCATCCGGATCCTGCCTATCCCCCGGTAAGTTCTTCCTCCAAGTATTCAAGTTGGAATCACACGTCGCACCCACGACCTCGATCTTCTCCACGCCCGTCATGTCATCTTTTCCCGTTCCTCCCCGTTCCTCGCCGTGTGCGCTGATCCATGCATCAGCCATTAAACCATATGTCCGGAGGATGCGGTGAGCGAGGGAACCGGGGACGGAGTTGAAGTCGCCGGCGCAGAGGAGGATGTGGGATTGTGCGATGGAGGCGCGGGCGAGGCGGGCGAATTCCCAGGCTTGGGAGGTGCGGTGGGCCATGTAGGAATCGGTTTTTTCGCCATAGGGGGCGTGCAACTATCCATCCCAAAATATTAACAGCTGTCAATAAAAGAGAAGGATGGAAACGTACGTGGGTGTTGAACACCTCGATCTTCTTCCCAGTGGGATGACGGATAATAGCACTAGCAATCCCCTTCCCAACATACCAATCCCCCCGGAAAAAAGCCGTAGGCCGTCCATTGAGTTTATACGGATGCATATGCGTCTCCTCGATTGGCCATTTCGACAAAACCACTAGCCCACCACCCAGGACACCAGAATTATAGAACTTTGCGTGTGGGAATGTGGAGGAGCATGTTTGCGCGAGGTGCTTGAAGTCAGATTCGACCCAGATTTCTTGAAGGAGAATGATGTCGTATGAGGTGGTTGAGAGGATTGAGGCGATTGTCCGAAGGCGGATGGCGCGGTGTTTGGAGACGTATTTCAAGCCCCTTCGCCAGCTATTAGCAGTGATCCAGGGCAAAAGAAAGAGGACTGACCAGCAATTGAATGACAGCAGTCTGATTCCACGGCGGTGCTTTTCCTCAACAGCATCGGTCATTGCAAGTGTTGTTGTTCAAGTCGTCCCCGTCGCTCGACGTCACACCAGCCACACGCCTGCATCCCCTACCAGCTCCTCGATAAATCCAAATCGAGCAGTCAACGTTACACCTCAACCATGAGCGACAGATCACGATCATCCTCCCCAGATGCCCCGGCTCCAAAGCGCGTCAAGACTTCCTCCTCTCCAGCGCACGAGCAGGACGTGAATCAGTTCGCTGCTCCGCCGGCTGCGGTCGCACAAAAGACACCCGTCGCACAGAAATCACCGGCTGTAGCACCGAGGCCACCAGTAGGAGGAGGAGGGAGCGGGAAGTATACACTGAGATTTAGTATGGTCGGCCACAAAAAAGCGATATCATCCGTAAAATTCTCTCCGGACGGAAAGTGGATCGCCTCATCAGGTACGTCCCAAGCTTTCATTTGTGAATCATTAGGGCTAACAATGTGACAGCCGCCGACTCCTTCATCAAAATCTGGTCAGCCCACGACGGCTCTTTCTCCCAAACCCTCACCGGCCATCGAAAAGGCATCTCAGACGTCGCCTGGTCCCCCTCCTCAACCCACCTCGCCTCCGCCTCCGACGACCACACCGTCCGAATCTGGGAACTCTCATCCGGAACCTGCATAAAAACCCTCAAAGGCCACACCAACTACGTCTTTTGCGTTAATTGGAGTCCGGGCGGAGAAGTGCTCGCGAGTGGTAGTTTCGATGAGAGTATTAGGATATGGGATGTGAAGAAGGGGAAGTGTATGAAGACTTTGCCGGCGCATTCGGATCCGGTTAGTGCGGTGCATTTTAATCGCGATGGGACGATGATTGTGTCTTGTTCGCATGATGGGTTGATCAGGATTTGGGATACGCAGACTGGACAGTGTTTGAAGACGCTGGTGGATGACGCGAATCCACCTGTCTCGTTCGCCAAATTCTCACCAAACGGGAAATATATCCTCGCCTCAACTCTCGATTCTCAAATCCGCCTCTGGAACTTCCACACAGGCCGTTGTCTAAAGACCTACACCGGACACACAAACACCTCATACTGCGTCTTCGCCTCTTTCTCCGTGACGGGTGGGAAACTGATCGTATCCGGTTCCGAGGATGGTGGGGTCGTTATTTGGGATTTGCAGCGGAAGGAAGTGGTGCAGAGACTTGGAGGGAAAGGTGCGACGGGGGAGGATGGAGAGGTGGTGGAGGGGGGGCACGAGGATGTGGTGTTGGGCGTTGATACGCATCCGGAGTGGAATTGTATTGTGAGTGGGGGGTTGGATAAGACGGTTAAGGTGTGGATGATGGAGTGATTTCGATGTTTGAATTCGAAGAGGAGGGGTTTTTACGTGATGGTTAATCGATGTTGGACAGGCTTGATGGTCTGTGAAAGAATCGTTGTCTTGTGGAGTAAAAAAGCACATGCCAGAACCGTTATGCGACGATCTCTGTGTCCATAGGACATACTGGCGATATAGCTGAAAGTGTTCGTCAAGCTCGTACATGTGTACATTAGTCACCGTCGCGTGGTAACATAATAACACCCAATCCAACCAACCAGGCCTTCTTCGTGCAGATTGCCAAGGGGGTTTACAAGTTGTGATACTAAACTGCTTCCGCTGACATAGATATCTGAACCAGCCCTTGACTCAACTTATAATTTGACACGGCTGCCAAGCGCTGGTAGTTCCCACGGTATCGATATCGGTTGGCATCGATATTATCGAACTGCCCAACGACGGGTTTGTGCGGATAAACAAGCTGCGTTCTCCCTCTCAATTCCAAGACGGTTGTCGGTTCTATACAGTAACTACTTAAGAAGGCGTGCGGTCTCTGGTGGCAGAGTACTGGTTGGGATATCATACGCATTCCACAAAGCCGTGAACGCCCCGGTGACTTCAGCTGGGCTTTACTCAGCAAGGGACCTTCAGGTTAGCAGAATGTACGAGTTCTGAGTGTACCTAGTCGCCAAAATCGATACCTGGTGCGAGTCTACGGGAACTCAGGCTGCGCTGGCGGTTTGTGCACATGGACGCATACATTGCCTTCGCATGGCCACAACAGCTCACAAGAGGTCAATTATGCGCCTCAATTCAATAAATGCCTTATCGGTATATAAACCATGATGCATCCACATTCATTCGTATGACTTCACCGCTCGGGCCAGCTCGGCACATAGGTGATGCGCCAGCACAATTGCATTCCCCGGGTTCGGCTTGCTGTACTTGGCACAATGTCATCTCATCCGACACACACTTTCACCATGATCGCGTTGGAGATGATGGCGGGCTACATCACATGTCCCAGGCGGAATGGTGAGTTGACACATCTGGGCTGTGGGCTGCCGTCGATGGCCGCATTACAATTCACAGCCTTGGCTGCGGCTCGGCTCGGGTTGATCGTGAAATGCGGAGAGAGAGAGCAGTCTCACACGGCACGATTGGGCGTGAAGCTTAGCACCCAATCGGAATGTTGTGTCTCTGAGCATGGGCCCAGTTGTTTACAGTCTCACTCACACTCAACGTCATCCTCGCTTGAGCTCCAGCCTCCAGCCTCCTACGTCTACCTCTAAATCTCTATATACCTCGTCTATATTCATAAATCTCCGATATAATCCACCATCGCATTCATGGGTACGTCACACCTCGTCACACCTCAACCTTACGCTTGGCACAGCCTTGACCATGCTACTCTCCGCAGCTACAGTGGCGAACTCCGATTGAACTCGGAGACCGGAGGAAGGTCAAGCCCGAGCGCATGAAGCGGGAAGACGTGTGGGGGAGCGAGGTGGGTGCAGATCAAAACAAACGCCTACGCGCGCGCGGGGCGGGGAGGGGAGGGGAGCGTGGGACCGCGTCCGAGAAGGAGGTGCGGGAGACCGGGAACGTTAAGGGAGGATTCGGCAGAAAAATGGAAGGACGACCGGGCATGGGAAGCTTAATATCGTGCAGGGGAGGGAGGAAGGCGGTACGGCTCGGGTGGGCAAGCTTAAGCTCGAATCACAACAAACAAGGCGAGACTCTGGAACAAAACAGCGCTTACTTTACGTAAACCTTCATTGCGATCGCCTTTGTACGCCCAAAAGCTTATCTCCCTACCTTTGTCCTCGGCAAGCTCAATAGTCTCACCGTGAGTACAAAACATCTTCATCTCCAATTCGACGTGTCGATTCTGAACGTGGTCCGTGCCTCGGTACGATCCGTCCGTACAGGGCTGTCCCAAAGCGGAGAACATACAAGAGACCCCGACTTCATTTCTCGGTTCGTCTCCCACGAATAAACGCGTCGGCGAACAAAGCATGCATTCCCCTCGATTCCCACAGACATGCTCACACACACAATGTCGATCCACGCTGAACGGCAACAATGTACCAATTTCGGAAGGTGACTAGGAGGTTCGGTGTGCAGCAGTCTTCCGATTAGTCTCGTGTTAGGCAGTGTTCGAAGAATGGATGGACGGCAAGCGTGGGAGGGGTCTAGGCCTAATTAGGGGAATTGAGTGCACAAATGTGTTGTGTTGTTGTTGGCCGTGTGGGCGCCGCAGACGTCGCCTGCTGTCTGATCATGCGGTGTGCTGTGTGCAGGTGCTGGGTGCTCGCGTTGCCATAGCGAAGCGCGTCAACTTGAAAAAGTGTCGTGGGATGAATGCTACACCGATAGGATGAAGAGAGATGCGAGGCGAGGAACGAACATAGAGGACAATGGAGACTCCCTCCTCTTCATGATCAACGGGACAAGCAACGCCGTGGCTTCTTTTCCAACTGACGCCGGAGCTATACTTCACACACGGGCTGTCCGGATCCATAGCAACGGGGCAACTGGCGGCGCGTCCAACGGCGTCACACACAAACACAGGGGTGATATGACCCACCTGCAAAGAAGAGGCACGTAGAGACGCCCGTTTCGAAGCCTTTTCATTAGCGAATCAAGGCTTTGCATCGAACCGCGGACAAAGCACTTGAGCGTAGGTCCAAAGGCACTGTCCACTCTGCCTAGCTGTAGTTCCTAGGCGGCTTGACAAAACCTGCTGATCTCCCTGCTTGTGCTGAGTGTCTCCCACCGACCGACCTGATCCCTCCTCGACTGGGTAGACGGCAAACCGGTAAAGAAGCTTGCACTCGTTTTCAGCTTCGATTACCCGACCTTCTTTTTCGTTTTGCGCAGTTTCGGTTGTGTCCACCTCCACAACTTCATTCCCCGCCTAATACCCAGGTCATTCAACCCGACCAACCACGAACCACATCAAGGAACCACTCCACGACGAGTCTTCCTCTAACAGATCTACGACAGCCGTCCGTCTGGATCAGATCACCAATCGTTTGTTTCGTTCACTTCGTTTGTCTTTTTGGTATACACAGCAGATCGGATCTTGCACTCGTTAACGAGATCCTCATCACACAGAAGAAGCAGCATACACTCAGCTTCTCACAATCGATTCAGCATTCACGGATCGATATACTACTCTTAGTACTTTAATACCCTCAACAACTGCATGTACGACAGGTCGTCCTTGCAAAACCACATAATCTAAACCATGTTTCACCAATCCATGGATATTTCACCCATCCCTACGCCCAACTCACAGCTCTCTCCTCTTTTCGAAGTTCATGAGGATCACGATAACAACACGAACCATTTCGCCATTCCGGATCGACCAAAGTCTCGACCAAGTGGGTTTCAGCGGAGTCGTTCCCATGTACTCGATGAAAAGAAACGGTATGCGGGGTACTTTGACCTCAAGAAGAATGCCGAGAATGGAGGAGCGAGTGGGACATCTAGCAAATGTGTCAGTCCTACGAGTTGCTTGGTGGCCGATATGAGCGAGAACTTTCATATCGATCCAAAGAGGTTTGTGGATGCCAATCGATAACGCATATACGAGATGAAATGCTAATTGAATGCCGCACAGCCCTTCGCTTCCTACTCCCCGCCGTTCCCTCCTCCCTTCCTTTTCCTTCAACAAACCTGCCCCAAGGACGCCGGACGAACCTGGCCTTTCCGTTGATCACAAAGCAATGCTGTCCTCACCCATGGACATTTCTCCACTCCCTCACAAACTCCCGGCTGCGGCAGATAACGCCCGCGACCGTAAGTCTTCGGATGCGTTCTTGAAGCCGTCGAATCAGACTCGAAAGGCTCGACCTCCGTTGACGCGGATGAAGGGTGCGAGTTTTGCGGCGTTGTCGAATCGGGGCTACACGCTCGCTTCGATGAACGCTTCGAATAAGGAGAATTCGATGACTATGACTATGACGATGGATCATAAGCCTATGTCACCGGTTGGCAAGGTTAAGGCTTCGTCGACGTCCGTGTCTCTTGATCAATTGTTCGGGTCTGACGAGGATGCTACTCCGATCAAGAAGATCGGTGGACTCACTGCTGGACCTTCTATCCTCGGTGGTAGCTCATTGACGGATTCTCCTACTCCTGCCGCGAGTGATTCGCCTCTTGCTCAGGTCCGTCGCCCTGGATTGCCGAGGGCTGCTCAGCTCGGTCCTCGTGCGCCAAAGTTCAGGAGGACGCAATCTTTGTTTCAACACCCTGCAGAGGTGTTGAAGCCTGAGATCGAGGATGCGATCGACGCGGCTGCTGCTGCGACCGCTGCTATTGCATCCGCGAAGCAGGCTCAGCAGTTGTTGGCTTCGCCTGGTATCTCTACTACTGGTGCCGGAGAGTCTCTCATCTTGCCTTGCTTTGGTGTTCAGTCTGATCCGCTTAAGCGTATCGACTCAAACATCATGCGGGATGTTCTCGAGGGGAAGTACAGGGAGCGTTACGATGAACTCGTCATTGTTGATTGTCGTTTCCCGTACGAGTACTCTGGAGGACACGTCCAGGGTGCCATGAACATCAACGATATGACTCAGCTTGAGCCTACGTTCTTGAATAACCCCATGCGTGGCAAGGTCTTGATCATCTTCCACTGCGAGTACTCTCAGCATCGTGCACCCAAGATGGCCATGCACCTTCGCAACCGGGACCGTTTCCACAACATGAAGAGGTACCCTCAGTTGTGGTATCCCGAGCTTTACATTCTCGATGGAGGCTACCGCGGGTTCTTTGGGGCTCACAAGGACAAGTGCCAGGGTGCTTATGTCGAGATGGAGGATGTCAAGCATAAGAGTGCTTACGAGAGTTCCATGCACGGGTTCCGCAAGGTTGCGAAGAGCAAGGAGAGGGGAGGCGATGGCAAGAAGGCCATCGGCATGAGTCGCACTGCGTCTTACACTTTTGGAGAGAACGAGGCTGTTCGCAGGGCGAATGGCTACGATCTCGATGCCCTTGTTTCGTCCGACAGCGAGATGAAAGAGAGCGGCAATCTAAAGGCTAGGGGTGTCAAGTTATTTGAGGATCTGAAGAGGATTGAAAACAGGAGAACGGCAAGTTATTGAGATGTATGATGATTACGAAGAAGGGAAGATTTCTGCTTCCGGGGAAGATAGAGATGAGAAAAGACGACGAAGCACTTTGACGGCTATTTATAGTCATGACGGGAACTGGCATCCACGAACACGCCACTACAATCGGTCGACATTTCTCGACGAACAATATATATTGCATCACGGCAAGCGAAAAATCAGCTTTACATCGGCTTGACCAGCAACACACTTACAATCACACTCATTCATGCAAATGCATCGCATTATTAGCATTTGCATTCCTCGACGGTGACTGAGAAGGCATCGGCCGAGCATTTCATCTTGCGGCACCCTTTCTGCAACATTCTTTCTTTATTCGAACGAAACCGAGCGCCTTCGTTCGCACTTTTTCATTCTTTTTCTCGTCATCTATCTTCGACATGAATTCGTCAGGCACGGTTCGCGGAGGACAAGGGACGCTGAAAAAAATGGCAGGGTGACCTTGACCTTCTTGGCGTCCTTCTTTATCACACAGTCTGGTTTGCATGAGCATTGGAAGCCATAGCACGGACGCATACTCTCTTTTTACTCTCTTTTATTCTCTATTAAGACCATATACCTTAGTGGATCATTGGAACATGTCCGTTGACGTGTTTTCATGTTATCTATTAGTTAATCGGAATGGAATGGATACTCGTACCTACCAATTGCAATTGTCTTCGCCATTCTCATCCTCCTCCTTCGTCCTTCCCACCTTAACGCTCAGGATCCTCCCCGCGCACGTGAACTGCAATCAGTGCCTGTGCCTTCATACAAGTGCAGAATTTTGGGATAAGAGTAAACACCGAAGTTTCTCGAGGTTCGCAATACGATCCAGAGAGAATGTCGTTGCCTAAACCTTCGGCAGGATTGAACCTTCAATGGTTCTCGGCGCTTGCTTCACCGCAGCCTCAGGCGAGGCTCGACGCTGCGACGGCACTCTTGAAGCATTTGGAGTCCGAGGAGGCTGCGAAGGAGGATGCGGATTACATTGTTAGCCGATTGATTAAGGGTTTGGCATCTGGAAGGGGTGGGGCTCGTTTAGGATTCAGCGTTGCGTTGACTGAGGTGCTCTCGACCGTCGCAAAGGGACAGGATGAGGAGGGATGGACGGTTGAGCGCTTGATTGAGGAAATTCAGAAGTGGACGAAGGGTGGAGGCAACATCACCGGACAGGAGCAGCGCGATTTTGACTTTGGACGCCTTTTCGGTCTGCAATCTCTTGTCAATGCTCGAATTCTCGACAAGTTCACCTTGGAAGCCTATACCAAGTTGATCGGTCTATTGTTCGCCCTTTCCAATAAGAAGGTCTGGCTGCGCGAACTTGCTTCTTTCGTCATGATGGAGTCCGTAAGACAATTGCCCGGCACTACGTTCGGCAAGGAGGGTGCAAAGTTGGTTCTCGATAAAGTCGCATCAGCAGGGATGGGAAAGACGGTCGAGGGTGTTGGTATCGTTCTCGCTCTGAGAAACTTGCCGGATGGTCAGAGACCTAAGATTGGTGCTGAGGTTGGCTGGAAGGACGGAAACCCCTTGAACACCAGCAACTCTGCTTTGTTGGCCAAGGTCTTGAAGGAGGTCACTACTGAGGAGACCCAGGAGGAGCCACCCAAAGAGGACGAGCAGAAGAAGGGCAAGAAGAAGAAGAGCGCCGATACACAGAAGGGCAACTGGAAGCCGAAGTTGCACTTTGTGTGGCCTATGGTTCTCGATCTCTACTCTCCCAAAACAGAGAGCACGCTTCCTCCTTCATCTCTTTCCTTTGCTGACTTCTGGAGGGTCACCGTTGACGAAGGTTTGTTCTCCGAGAAGTCCTCCCTCGAGCGCAAGTTCTGGGGCTTCCAACTTGTTGAGATGGCGGCTGCTCTTGACGTTCCCATGAAGGATACACTTACCAAGAACATCTTGAGAACTATCATCAACCACGCCGCCGATAACGAGCGTTACCTTCATAAGGCCGCTAAGCGCTCCCTCAGCGCATACCAGGCTTACGCTGAGAGCCACCCCTCCGAAATTGCCGCGATGGTCAAGTGCATTGTTGGTAAGAACGGCACACCCAACTTCGACCGTATTACCAAGTCCAAGTTGGTCGAGACCATCATGCCTATGGCTGACGCGGAGGGTTTGAAGGCGCTGGCTGGTATGTTCCTCGAGATGATCCGCGTCCCGGGTCTCGAGGAGGAGGAGGGCGGTAACTTTGAGAAAGCTGTCGAGACCCGGCGTCAGTGGGCGATCGACCAAATCCTATCGCTCATCCGCTCGGGTAAGACTGACAAGACTGGTGCGTGGGTTGGTGAGGTCATTGAGTTCTGGGCTATTGAGGGTCATTTTGGGCCTAAGGATGGCGAGGAGAGAAAGAAGAAGAAGAGAAAGACGGAGACTACTGCGGTAATTGAGCCGGTCTTTACGACTGCTACTCGGAATGTCATGAGGGCACGATTGGGCGCTGCTCTTAAGGTGCTTATCTCTCACCCTCCCGCTGACAACGACTCCTGGCCAGCACGCGCTCTTCAGGCTATTCTCACTCACGAGGCTTCCGGTGCTTCGCTCATTGTCGAGTTTAACGAGACTGTCAGTGATGAGCGTGATGCCGCTCTGAAGATGCTCGAGAAGATTCACAAGAAGAAGGCGGCGGCGAAGGAGGACAAGAAGGAGCAGCTTGCTAGTTTCGAGTTGTTGTATGCGTTGGTTATTCTGCAGATCTATGATGGAGATGCGGAAGCTGTTAATGTTGTGGGTGATCTCAAGGACTGCTACGAGAAGGTCTTCTCGAAGGAGAAAAAGGCCGGACATAAGCATAAGCACCATCATCACCACGAGCATGACCATGATCATGACCACGAGCACGAGGATGAGCCGGAGGCGATTGAGGTATTGACTGATATTCTGTTGTCCTTCATGTCCAAGAACTCGGCGTTGTTGCGCAAGTTGGCAGAACAGATCTTCACTACTTTCGTCGACAAGATGAATGAGTCAAGTTTGGTGCTGTTGACTGAGGTGTTAGAGACGAAGGAAAGCAAGGAGGGGAGTGAGGAGATGTTCGATCAGGAAGGTGACGAGGATATGGAAGAAGGAGATGAAGAGGAGGATGACTGGGAGGATGAGGGAGAGATGGATAACGAGGACGATGAAGATGAAGATGAAGATAATGAGGACGAGGACGAGGAAGACAATGACGAAGGCGATGAGGCTGCTGAGCGTAATGCAGCACTTGATAAGGCGTTGTCTGATGCTCTTGGCGCGGCAGGCGCTGATGTCGACATGGACGACGAAATGCCGGATGAGGACTCAGAAGAGGAGTTAATGGATGACGACCAGATGATGGCTCTCGATGACCACCTTGCGACTATCTTCAAGGAGCGTTCAAAGAGCTCGTCAAAGAAGCAGACCAAGAAGAAGGAAGCTAAGGAGACCAAGGAGCAGATCATCCACTTCAAGAACCGTGTCCTGGATCTCATCGAGATCTTCTGCAAGACGCAGAGTGCAAACCCCTTGTCCATTGAGTTGATTCTACCTCTGTTGAAGGTGATGCGAACGACTACCAGCTCTATCGTTGCTGACAAGGCTGCTGGTATCATTCGCACCAAGCTCTGCAAGAAGGACTTACCCACGTGCGATAAGGTCCGCGTCTTGCTGATCTTGGAGCAAGTGCACCAGGAGGCAGCGAAGACAAAGACACCGCAGGCGAGTGCCGCTTGTAGTCAGTGCTCGCTCCTCCTCGCTAAGCTTTGCTTCACCGAGGGTATGGATGAGAACGCTGTCAGCGATGTCGTTGCCGTATATGCGAATAGTTTGAGCGAGTGGTTGGTGAAGAAGAACAGCAAGATCCAGCCTGGGTTGTTTTTTGACTTTGTCAACTGGGGGCAGGCAAAGAAGGGTCAAGGAAAGGGTGGAAACAAATAAACAAGAAAGCATTGCATATGAGATATATTGGGCAACCTAGTATTCGAATCCAAACATTTCATACCTAATGCTTGCCGAACAACGCAGTCTTGACAACCTTCGTGTTGACAGGCGAAATGGGATCCTTGCCATCAATAATGTATGTCTTTATGTTCAACATCGTCAGCTCCTCGAAACGGACGATGGTTTCCCTGCTTCCTCCACCGGCGTGACACGTCAAGGTAACATTGTACATCTCGGCCAACTCCTTCGGAACCTCGGGCTCGAACTCGAAGACATCAAGGCCGGCGGAAGATATGTGACCGGACTTGAGGGCCACAATGAGTGCTTTCTCGTCAATAACTGGACCACGGGCAGTGTTAACGATACGCGAACCGGGCTTCATGGCTTTGAGGGCCGCCTCGTCGATAAGATGGTGAGTAGACTCCATGTATGGTACACTGAGGTTGACGCAGTCCGAGATAGCCAGCATCTCGTGCAAATCCTCGTGGTAGACCAAACCATACTCTTCTTCCACCTCTTTAGGAGCGCGGAAGGGATCATAATAGTGAAGGACCATGCCGAGTGCCCTCGCCTTCCGTGCAATCTTGCGAGCGATGAGACCCATGCCGACCATACCCAAAACCTTCTCGTTCGGGTTGCATGTCGCTGTCAACAGCTTGTCATGAACGTCGTTGAACACAGCTGGATCGCGACAGCGCGTTGCTTGCTCAGCCCAGGAAAGAAGACGGAATACCCCAATGATGAGGTAGATCGCGGTATCGGATGTAGCCTCGGCGGGCGCATCAGCGCAGTTGCAGTAGTAAATTCCACGCTTGCCGAGCTCAATTGTGTCGATGGGATCGAAGCCTGCGCCTCCTCCTGCCATGATCTTCATACTTGAAGGAAGAAGGTCGATGATCTCTTTGTCGAAACGCTTGCCTTCACGGTCAACGCGGAAGTCATTACCGCTTTCAAAGTGGGGTTTGAGGATTGCGGCAAAGTCTCCATACCTACGAAAGTGTTAGCACTGAGCCAAAGGAGGCAACAACAAGAGAGAGCGTACTTCTTGTCCTTCAGGTTCTGAATAAACTTCTGACGTTCGGGAACTTCTTCAGTTATGATCTCGAAGTGTTCACAAAATTCTTTGAATTGATCCTGCTTGTACCGAAGAGGGGCACCGAGGTAGAGAACACGGGGTTTAGGCGTCATTGTATGTTTGCAGTTCCCGTTGGATTAGTTGCCCGAATCATCATGGGCAAGGACGTTTATATAATTTCCTGTAATCATACGGGACATGCGCTGTACGGCGGAGACTGAGGAGTACGACGTCGTACAACGCGGGGAATCCAACCGAGGCCGGAGCGCAGAGTTCCGAACACGACTTACGAGATACATACCCGAGAAAAATAGCAGTCACCTTGGTTTCCAGTCACCACATGAATGCTGCTTCATTCCCGCCCGTGACAGGTGCTCATGTCTTGAACTGCTCGTTCTCATCATGGTACTCACTCTATAAGCCACTCACTCCAAAATCGCGAGTTATCAAACCTCTTCCAAAAGAATTCCTGCAATACCTGGATGCAGATGGCATCCATTTACCAGGCCGAGAGTAAGATGCAAGACTCATTGCATGAAACGAAGCTCATCATTCTGATTAGAGACACACACATTGAGGAGCTTAGCGATGCCGAGGGCGATGAGAGCGATGCATCAAGCAATGCATCCTTCAGTACTGCATCTGATGCCGGTGATCCATCTACCTCCTTCCCGTCTTTAGATGCTCAAATACGGACAACAATTGCCGAGCTTGATGGCGCAGTTCTGCCAAAGCTCAATTGGTCATCACCCCAGGACGCAACATGGATATCAGCTGACAACACTATGAAGTGCACTTCTGCATCAGATGTCTACATTATGTTGAAGAGCTCGGACTTTATCAACCATGATCTAGATCACCCTTTCGATGACTGTGACAAGAAGGAGGGCTTGCCGTTTGAGTACGAACTTGTGCTGCGAAAGTGGTTTGAGATAGTCCCAAGCATGGAGTTTCGATGTTTCGTCCGGTCGCGGACCTTGCTAGGGATCTCTCAACGTGATTCAAACCACTACGATTTCCTTGCCAACATTGAAATACAGCTGACCGAGCTCATAGAGTCTTTCTTTGAAGAAAAATTGAAGAAAACTTTCCCTGATCCGGACTTCGTGTTCGATGTCTACGTCACACAATCTTTAGAGCGTGTCTGGTTGATTGACATCAATGCATTCTCGCCAAGTACAGACACATTATTGTTCACCTGGCCAGAGATATTGGATATGCCGCACGGTGATGGCGATGAGGAGGCCGAGGAGATTGATTTCAGACTGGTCCACAAAGGGGACAATGTTGGTACATTCAATGCACCGGCATACTCTGCACATCGCGTACCAAAAGACGTTGTTGATGCAAGTTCTGGGGCAGATATTGCGGAGTTTGCAGAGAAGTGGAGAAAGCTTGTCGCTGAAAGCGCTATTGGAGTATAGCGACTCCGGATGTGAATTGTTCTTTATTTCCTTTCCGTTATACACCAATGACACCCATTTCCAAGTCCATAAATACTGATCCGGTTCATTCCCCCATCCTGTTGCTATATTCAGAACATGCAGGCACTGTTTGTGTAACGTAGACTTTGTCGTACACTTTCTGAACAAACAGCACTGTGACGAGAGTCATGAAGGTAGAGCAGCCCAAGTGGAGTTTGACTTCGACTCTCACTAATCGCCCTACAGATCCTGAAAGTAAGGGAGGCATTCCTCACAGATTACGAAGTCCTTGCACACTTCAAAGAAATTGAGGAACGGCAGAAGGAGACAGCGCAAGTACTGGGTTCAGCAGCTGCTCTGGGTTCAGCAAACTTCAGGACTATTCAGTATGAGGTGAGGCAGCCACCCATTTTCCTTGTCTGGAATTTGCTGACTTGGCTCACAGCTTCTTGATTACCTGAAATCATCTCCAGCAGCAAACTACACCGCGGAAGAAATCGTTCAACTGTCCCAGGATCTTGCACAGTTCGATCTTACGAAGGCAGAAAGATTACAGATCATTAACTCAAGACCAAAAGCTGCAGTGGATTTGTACAACATTGTTGAGGAGATGGAGAACCGCTTGAGTGAAGAAGACATGTATGCCATTCTGGGGTTGTTTGGCGTGACTGCTGAGGAAAATGGGGAGATGGAGAATGGTGAGGGTGACGAGGAAAGTGGAGAGGGATATGAGCACCATGATGGACAGGAGGGCGAATATCAGGAAGGGGAGTATCAGGAAGAACATCAAGTGAGACATGGGGAGGACAATGAAGAAGCCGAGGTGGTGGGACACAGTGACGATGCAATGGAGGAATAATCAGCTCAAAGAACGGTGTATGAATAATAATACCCAGCGGAGAAGGATATAAACAATATACCCAAGGCAAAACATGGTCTATAATTAATCAAGACTTTTACTTTACTGGAGCCGGTTGGGAAATTGCAATTTTTGAACCTTAATTCTTCGATCGTATCACATCATATTAGAACCAAACCCAAACGCCGAAGCAAATCATAATGCTATGCTATATCCATATAACATTCTAAAGCGTCTCCCAACCTCCGATATCAATGGTAGCCTCCAACTTCCTAGCAACGTAACTCGGTACCCCATGACTGAGCCATAGATTCCTTACCGCAAGATCGTAGCGCTTCTGATTCAAGAACTGAGGTCGACCACGCTTCAAACCAACATCGACTTCGCCGTGAGAGTCCAGGTATGGTGCGTTGAAGAATGTCCCATTGCCGTTGTAGAGAAGCAAAATGACGCACTTCTTGACCATGAGGTACATTCCGATAGACCCGGTACAGTCTTGTGCATGCCGATTGCATTCTCCCTTGCCATCTTCTGAGCAGCAGAAAGACTGACTGCAGACGAACATTCCACAGAAGAGACAGATGGATGGGTCACTGGGTGCCTTCCCGCAGCGGTGACATCTGTGTGACAGAGACGCCTCAAACAGTATGTCCAACCTTCGCGGCAAGCCAATCAACTCATAGATCGTCGGGTGAGGAAGTCTAATCCTGGTAGTCAACTGCGACCGCTGCTCCGTGGACAAGTCCATTCCTCTAGCAGCGTGCTTGTACCAATGGTAATGCCTGCACCATCCAGAAATCATCTCCTTGAGGATGATGCCGTCTGCAGTTGTTGATTCGTGAAGGGCACAGATATCAGTCAATGAAGGCAAATCCATCAGTCGGTATAAGCGAACCAACTCAGGCTCGTCTTCGTTAACTCTCGGTGCGTCGCTGAACTCCACATCGCATCCAGTATGGAAGAAAATGGCTGCTTTGCGCAAGAAGGGCAAGGCATACTTTTCAACCATACAGATCCAAATGCGCGTATCGAGCTTCGTGATCACATCAGGATGGATGTCGTTTCCACCCGCATGAAGCAACAAGTAAGACGTATAGTTCCTGAAGCTCTCCAGGTCTTGTTCTGGGTATTGCAGGCTGCCAGCCATTGCCTGAATGCGATGATCTTTAAACCACGTCATATCCTCGGTCTGGATCTCATTAGCAATGGTAATGATGATCTGAGCGACTTGCGCAATCCAGCATAGGTGGAGAATGTGGCGAATGTCGATTCTCAGTGCAGGCGCAAGTGAGTAGGCGGTAGACACAAGCACCTCGAATGGATCGTCGAACAACAACGGCTTGAAGTCAAGCGTTAAGCCATCAGCTTCCTGGAGGCCATCGATATGGGGGTGTCCGAAGAAGATCTGAGTAAGCGTCCTTTCGACAACCTTGATACATTCCGGCATCATCTGCGAGCGTCCACCCAATCGGATGCCAAGCGTAGTAAATGTCATGCATGACTCCCACAGAACCTTGAGCATAGTCAATGTCTGCTCCGGAATAGCCGCCATAAGCGTTTGAGGAACGGGGTCCTGCGACAAAACGCTGCCTCGTTGAGCGATCTCTGCTGCCGCTACGGTGGACGCGTACAGCTCCCAACACATCTCTACGCCCTTGATATTCGCGCCACCGTCGCTTCGGAACCTCTCTTCTTCTGCCGAAAAGCTTGCGCGGAAGCGGCGGTACATGGTATACAAGACCTCGGATTCACTTATTGCGTCTCCGCCAACACCACGCATTTGCCTGAAGTTCAGGTGCGAAACGGCGTTCTCGAGGTGGTTCTCATCGAGGGCTTTGAGGACAGGCTCAAACATAGCGTCTTCGATATAGAAGGTAACTGCATCTCGTAATTTCTTCGTGCGGCAAGACCAAAGTTCGCGTGATGAGTTATTGAATTTGATGGGGAGTTTGATCTCCGGCTGCAAGTCAGGCTCATCGCCCCATGTTTGGTAACGGCCAAGCGCTGCACCAACCTCCTCTGTCAAGAATTGTCCAAGATCCCGGCCTGATCGAAGCTCGCCAGGATAGGAGATCTGCTTACCCTTCCAGAGAATCGGAAGGAATGCGTTGCCCAAACTCTTGCAAAGCGGGCAAAGAACCTCCCTGCGATGTATATTCTCGGGATGATTCCTTGAGGACTGAACTGCATGTCTCTGTACGACGCTCTCATGATACTGGTTAAAACACGTTGCATGCATTAGATGCCCACAACCAGTAGTAACTTTTCTGTCACGAACACACGCAGGAGGCCAGCCCATCCCAAGACCTTGATCTTCAACCTTCTTCCTCTTACCATCGGCAGAGAGAGTTGAACGCACTTCCTTATTCAAGGTAGCTGTGCCGAACGGCCTAATGTCTTCAGCGGATCGGTCAAGACTTGAGGGCACACCCAGGACTTCATAGACAAAGTCATTGTGTTCGAACGGTGTTTCGCGGAAGACATTGGTAGGTTGGACCATTGCCAAAGTACCGTAAATCTGTGATTCACCGCACTCTTCCTGACACAAGATACAAGTACCTGAAGGGAACTCCCAGTGTTTGTGTGGAGTCGAACCTGTAGTCGGTGCGTCATCCTCCATGTCTTCATCTTCGTCAGAGCCCCAGTCCATGTTGGCCATGAAGCTAGCTTGCTGCGCCTGCATCTGAGCCATAATCTTGGCTTGCCTGGCTTTCGCTTCTTCCTTCTTACGCTGAGCCTCGGCAGCTGCAGCGGTGGCCGAAGGATTGGCTTCACCGTCGGATCTGCCAAAAATGTCGCTGCGAATATTTTCTGGCAAAGATTGCAAGTCAAATTCCTTCAGCATATTCATGACCAAGGAGATCTTCGGATGAAGCGCGTTAACATCTTCGATGGTCGAAAAGAACTTCAGTTGTTCCAAGATACAGGGCCTCCTGTATTCAGCGTCGACACTACCGACCGGCGAAAACGTGCAGGCCTGGACAGCAAAGGCATTTCGTCCGTCCATTTTGTCTTGCTTCATGGCCAAGATGGTGAGATGTAAGGCCTGATCCAGTAAGGTTTCCGCCTTAGAGCTTTCCAAAGTCACACGAACCCAATCAAGGGCATCGATGATGATGGAGACGAACGCAGGTGTGCGCACAACGTCACCAAGGCTGGTGAAAGGTCCGTTCGTAACCGGGCGAAGCGCTGGAACCACAACCGCGTCCTTCTCCGATTTACCTTCAGCCTTGAGCTTCTTCTGCAAGCGCTTCCTGAGCACAGACTCGGCCTCCTCGCGTTGATTACGTGAGAAGTGGAAGAAATACGGATCAACCATATCAAAGAACTCATCCTTGAGTTGATATGTTCCCTGGTCATTCAGGCCATCTGGCTCCCTAAACGAGGCAAACTTGCCAAGAATCTCTTCAAAGTTACCTTCATCAGCAACACGTTCAGGGATGCGTCTGAGTAGGTCAGAGTAAGTTAGAGGACCGAAGCACAGCGCATGTGCGATTTCCCGTCCTGCTTGTTGTTCGTGACTCCAACCGACCGCGCTCGATCGCTCTGATAGAAGAGCAATCAGTAGTGCCAACATCTCTTCAAACATATACAGGTACTGCTCTTTGTCGTACGCGGGATGGTCTTGCAATTGCGATACTACCTGAATCGGAACCCTGAAGCGGTCCATCATGGAAATAAGGACAAGCTCGGGATCAACAATGCACAGCGCTAACTGCAAAAACAGAACGTCCTTGTCGTAAGTATGCACCCTGATTGAGGTCTCATGGTAATGGTGTTGTTGCCCACGAATGCTAACACCATTACGTACCCAGAAGCCCATCTTGGCTTGAGATTGCAGCACGCACGTTCTCAACGGGTAGTCCGCAATGGCAAGGAATACCTGCTCAGCTTCCGCGAAAGCGTGGTAGCCGGCAACAGACCCAACCCGTTTGCAGGGTTCAAGAACAAACTGTTTGATCATGTCTGCAGGAAGCACACCGGCCTGCTCGACCAGCGAGATAAGAAGCCAATGCATAGGATGATGGAAACTCACAGATTCCTTATCGACCTCAAACTCAATTACACGTCGATTAGTGATCAGTTGAGGTGGCTGGTAGAACCTAACAGGACCTTTAGGTTCGTTGTTCAGGAACCTCATTCGGTCACCCCCCATAGCCCAAGTACCCAGCATTTTCGTAAGATCCGATATTGCGCTGCACACTTGTATCGGTGAAGCGTATGCGTAAGCATCTGCGAAAAGTTTGCAAACCTTCGATACCTGGATGATAGCATTAAACGCATTCGCCCAGGTATCGGACTCGTACTCGACGTGTCTATCGCTGATGCGCTTGTTAGGGTTAATTCCCTGGAAGAGGTGCACAAAGTCGAAGAACTGCGAATAGTACGAGCTCGACGCTGGGATATCCTTCTTAATGGCGTCAGTGTTGAGGAGGTACCGAAAATCGTGGAAGAGATGGTAGTAACGCCTATTCTTGAAGCTCGACGATTCGCATAGAGCGATAGCGTTCGGGTCGACTCTTGCTGGAGGTTCAATTTGTTTGTACGTAAAGAACGTATACAGAGCGGCGCAGAGCACTGTGAAGAAGTTAAACCGAGTGACTAGTTCAGTAGCAATTGACGGAACGGTGAATATCTGCACGGAGAAGAGAATAATCGAGTGCTCCGGCTCGCGATCGGCAATAAGGAAAGCTTCAGCGAGTTTGGGATAGACACGAGCAAAACGAATACCCATGATCCTCTTGAAAGCAGGCTTCACCACCATGGTGCCGATGTAAAGCTCTCTCAAACCTTCTCGGGCGTTCTTCCATAACCTCAGATCAAACAGGAACAGCCAATCCAGCCTGAGATACTTCTTCGTGTCCTCCCATACCTCGGTAGGCCCAACAGGCTTCTTCTCCAACCAGTGGGCTTTCGCGTGAACTTTCTTCGGAGGTGTGGGTGTTTTTGCTGTTGCTCTTGCCGCTGCAGCGTTGAGTACGGGAACAAGCTGCTGCACTTGAACGCCCATGTCACCACCATCATCAGCATCTTCTCCGGCAAGCAGCAATATCTCTTCCAGAGCATTCTCGGCACCCATAAGAGCCACGTCCTCAGCGCCGAATCCAGTCACCTGCGCCGCGTTCTCATCATCGCTATCATCCTCGTCGCTTTCCATATCACTCGGATCCTCCACCTCATCGTAACCCTGAAGGCCAACGCCAGCGTTTGCACCAGCACTGCCCCTCTTCCATTCCTTGCACAACTCCTCGCAGATGATTTCCCTCAAGATGTTGTCATCGTCACCGACCTTGCATCCGGCAATGTCCTTCAGCCACTCAATGATTACACCACACATCTCCTCGCGGAAGACATCACGAGCGGAACGGACCGTGACAGCGAGACGGATCTGTTCGATAACAGAGGCAACCTTCATACAATGCGGAAGTGCACTGCTGATCTCCACCGTTTCGCGTCCGATATTGTCGACTTTGTTGGCAACATCTTGCCCGAATGCACGGCCTTTACCGGTTGCTCGCGACACTTGCTCAATGACTTCCATGAATGTATGCGACTCATCATTCCAAAGAACCACCGCCCAAAGCTCCTGCCCATCTTGCTCTTCTGTAGGGTCATCCGGAGAAGACCGTGGGTATACGTCCTCGAATAATCGTGACGAGGTCTCATCCGCCATGACATCCTTATCATTCCTCTTCAACCTCAGATTCTCCGGCGAACAACTGATAACGTCAAGCATAAAGTCCAATGTCTGCCCAATTGTCCTCCGAATCGCATCCTTAAGTTCGTCGGGTATTGGTGTAGGATCCTTGGCCATTGGATCGGCCACTTCTTCGGAAGGTGTTGGTTCCACGTCGGCAGAGTGAATTGCGCATTTTAAAAGTTGTTTCCACGCTTCCGGATCACCACAGTCGCAGCATCCACCGCTGCCGCCGTTCACGGAGAGCGACGTATCGTGTCCAGTGTGTTCGGAGGCGTGAAAGCATTTGGAGCACATGACGCATGTATCGTCGAGACCGCAGTTTCTGTAGACCAATTAGCAGGGTCCAGAAGGAAACGCCCATGTTTGTCTCACCTGCATCGGTAAACGGCTTCTCCCTTCTTGAAGACATGTCCACACGCTTCACCCCGTCCACCTTTCCTTCCACCACCTTGTGCCTTTACCAGACTCCAATCAACGCTGCCATCGGGCAATCGCTCTCGAGGCAATCCATGAGTAAAGAAGAGATGATTATACTTATTTGAGGCGGAGATTGCACCGAAAAGAACAGTGTAGAGGTCATTCTTGGCGGAAGGAGTGAAATGGAATCCGTGTTTGCGAGGAAGCGACAAGAAAGTCTGGGAAAGTTTGGTATGAGCTTGCTGGCTTAGGGACTCCATGATGTCCGTTGGTCCAGCAGTTGTCGTTTATCGGGGGTATATGCTCTTCCCTCCCTGGTTTCGTATGTTTTCGCCGGACCTCCCTCGAGACAGGCAGAGACACTGGGGAACGCGGCCGGCGCACGAACATGCACATAATGCAGCGTACGTCACAGAAGATACAAAGCATGACTAGCTATAGAGAATGGGAGAGTTGTACATGTTGATGTTTTTATTATTAGATATTGACCCAGCTAAGGCGATGGGCCTGGTATTCTCCCCACGACCATCATCGCTCCGTAGTCATGGGCGTGTTGTACAATGAACGTCCCTCTTCCTCCGTCTAGGTCGACTTGGTCTTCTCCTCCTCCTCAAACCGCAATAGATCCGGACACTTTTTCGCCTAAATTTACTCCTCGTCCTCCTCCTCGACGTAGCGGTGGCGGATATCCTTCCACTGCTTACCGGCGTTCATCTTGTCCCAGAATCTTGAGGTGCCGACGTCGTAAACACTGTGCACGGCACTGTCAGCATTGATCGTGCAAAAACTCTTATGTCCGCAAATTCCAAGCCCAGGCAACGGGCGACAATACGGATGTAGAGAGTCAAACTCACATCTGGAAACCGAAAGCGCCGAGGAAGATGGTAGACAAGTAGATGGAGTTGCGCTTGAAGACGGTGTTGTAGAGGGTGGTGGAGAACTAAACACACAGGTCAGTCATCGGTGAAGCACGGCAGCAGGATCAGGACACGTACGGCCATTTTGAATGTCTTGTGGTTTCTTGAGTTTCCAGAGCTTCGGATTGGCGGTTCCTGAATTCGAAGGCCAGGCAGGACACAGCTGCAGTTGTGTGGGGGCCGGGCTGTTCGAAGATGGCTCAATGGGTGAGATGGGTGGAAAGGACGTGCTTTTTAGATTTATTCCAGATGTTTAAACCCGTCTCAATGTAAAACGAGGTCGCTCTCACGTGAACTTGTCACCGCCCGACCATCGCCGACGTTCGACATGGACTGTTTACATCATATATCGTCGCAATTGAACTCCAAGAACAGCAACCATGGCAATGGCATTACGGACTGTATGTAGGACGATACTCATACTTCTTCTCAGAGAAACTAACGATCTTCTTACAGCGCAATGTCCCTTCGGACGCAAACCGCATTCTCTTCGTGAAGAACATATCATTCAAGGTCAAGGATGAGGATCTGTGGGACCTGTTTGGTCGTTACGGCGCAGTAAGGTGTGTGTTCTGCGGTTCGACTCGAAAACGAGACTGACGAGTAGCTCACACACAGACAAATTCGAGTGGGAGACACAACGGCGACAAAGGGTACAGCTTACGTCGTGTATGAAGATGTCATGGATGCGAAGACCGCATGTGAGAAACTCAGTGGATTCAATTTCGCAGATCGATATCTTGTCGTGATGTACCACCAGCCAGAAAAGATCAAGGCGACCGATTTGGCGAAGAAGGAGGCAGAACTGGAGAGGTTAAAGGCACGACATAACATCGAGTGAATCAACAGCATGTAGTGAAAGATTTTGGGATTGGGCTATTTCAACATGGAACGGCGTTTTGGGGGTTATTGTTTTCTTTCTTGGTCATAAGGGCATGAATGGTATTCCCGGCATTTTTCGCACGAGTTATCAAAAACTGTACAACACACATATATATCTTAAGATTTTCTTCCTTCCTCCTCCTAAATCTTCAAGTCAAGCTTTCCGAAGATGAAGCTGATGACCAAAGTTGCGAAAACAGCTCCGGCAACAGTCATAGGCTTCCTCATCATCTCCCACTTTCCAAGCTCGTAAATGACAACAACCTCGCGGCCACGGACATCATCGACGATGTTCTGTGCGGAGAGCTCAACGACGGGCTTTCCGATGGTATCCATGAACCACTTGTGTACGCTCCTCGACTCCTTCATCGGGAAGGGGGTAGCGACCTGGATGTTCTTCGCACCCTCGGGCAGAACAATACGGACCTTCACATCCTCATACTGCACACTCTCCGGACCCTCCAAGAAAGGAACCTTAATCGCATACTTCCCATCGTCAATCTGCTTCAACGACTGCGAAAGGTCTTGATCCCACCCGACGGTGTAAGAGTAATTCCATCCACCGAAAACAGGATAACGCGGGAAGATATCCAAATTTGCGTTTCGTCCACCTTCACGTCCAGCCCTGAATCGGGAAGTCGAGACATTGCCGATTTCGTCGGTGAAGTAGGCGTTACGGGTGCTGGGGTGCAAGCTATACCTCAACGAACGGACGGCAGAGCTAATGGGTTGGGTATAGGCGGACTGTTGGTACTGGACGCGGGAGAAGTAGCCCTTGAGCACGGCACCGACATTCGCGAGCCAGTATCGTTCTTCGACGGCGAGGTTTCCGCCCCAGTGAGAGATCTCGATGTCGCGCTCGAACTTTGTAGCTTTGACGACGGGAGCCTGAAACTCGTAGCGGACAGCGATCGGCTTACCCTTCGCACCAGCGACCTGAGGCCCGTAGGGACCGTAGGTCAACGCGGTACCGACACGAACAGGATCCTCCGCACCCTCGGTGTTTCCGTCGGTGGTCGTGACGTCGGGGATGTCGGCCGACTTGAGCTTGAACTTTGTGCGCTGCTTCTCGGTTTCGTAGGCGCTTGATGCGAATTGGTAGCCGTGCCATTGAAGATATTGTTTTCCGTTTTGAGGGATTTGGTAGGGGTGAGGGGAGACGGAGTCGACAGTTGCGGATGAGACGGTGAGAGTAAGTTTCTCTGAGGGTGCTAGGGATGTTGGGAAGGAGATTCGGTAGTATTCATAGCCCCTGTGAGGTACTTTAGCAAAGAGTCAATACATACGTGCACTTCGTGAGCGTACTCATCCTCGGGAAAGTGGTCATAACCATCATCCTCAACCACCTTCTCAACTTCAAACACCGCACCGTTCCCACCACTCTTCTTCTCCTTCGCCTCAACATACGCAACCTTGTCCTGTCTCGGTGCGAGCCAGTAATACTCGCTTACAGGCTCATCCGCAATGTTCTGCACGACCACGGCATAGGTTTCGCGAACGTACGGTTTCGTGAGATCGATTGTTCGGAGGAGATTGGTGTGTTTGAGGTTTGCTGGTGGAGTAAAGGCTGATGCTAGCGATGCTAGAAATAGCAGGGAGGACAGTGTTGGGAGGATCATTGCAATTGCAATTGGTGTTGACTGCTCTGATGCTCTTGGCGGTTCGGGGGTCGCGCGAGTCCTCGACCGTCCGCCGGGCACGTGCACCCCGTATCGAGCACAACCGCTTGCGTCCCGAATTTTTCGAGGCGAAGGTAACGTAGACAAACCCAACAATCTCCTTCTCTATTCTCAGTAGAATCGGTCATAGAGCGATGTCAGAGACCACAGCATCCCAGGCTCCTGTTGCTCCAACCGGCCCCGCCTTTGGCGAGCCCAGTGGACCCACTATCGACTCCCTCGTCCTCGACTCCGGACCCATCATCTCCGCCTCCATCAACACCCTCCGCGCAAAGGCTGCCCACTTTTACACCATCCCCCGCGTCATCCAAGAAATCAAAGACCCCGCCTCCCGCGCCAAGCTCGCCCTTTGGGAACCCTTCCTCACAGTTCGCGCACCACAAGAGGCGTCACTGAAGCATGTTGCGTCGTTTGCGCGCAAGACTGGTGATTATGAGGTTATGAGTGGCACCGATATGCAGGTTATTGCGTTGACGTATGAGTTGGAGTGTGAGTTGAATGGTGGGGATTGGAGGTTGAGGAATGTGCCGGGGCAGAAGGGGCCGAATGGGGTTGATCCGAAGAAGTTGGCGGCGGAGAAAACCCAGGAGGAGGGTGAGGAGAAGAAGGTTGAGGGAGAGGCCGAGCAGGTTTCTGAGCAGATCGTTGAGCCGGCAGCACCCGCTGAGGAGGCACCAGAGGCCCACGAGACTGCTGCACCATTGGTGGAGGTCACGGAGGAGCCAGAAGCGGAGACCCAGGAAGTCGTCGAGGAAGTCGAGGTAGTAGAGGAGGAGGAAGAGGAGTCCGACGGCGAGGGCTGGATCACTCCCTCCAACATCGCCGCCCACAAAGCAAAAGACGCCTCAACCCAAGACGTGACCTCATCCAAACCCCAATACATGAAAGCCGCCTGCTCAACCGGTGATTTCGCCATGCAAAACGTCATGCTCCAAATGGGTCTCAACCTCATCAACTACGAATCCGGTGCACGCATCAAGACGGTTAAGACCTGGGTTATGAGATGTCATGCATGCTTCAAGATCACGAGAAAGATGAACGAGAAGTTTTGCCCGGGGTGTGGTGGTGCGACGCTCATGAGGACGTCGTGTGCGACGGATTCAAATGGTAACTTCAAGGTGTTTTTGAAGAAGAACATGCAGTGGCACACCAAAGGAAATGTGTACTCACTCCCTAAACCCACGGCGGGCAGAGCGAACCAGAAGGGTGTGTTCAATCCCATCCTGAGAGCAGACCAGAAAGAGTACGAGAGAGCACAAAAGCGACACTCGAAGAAGAAGGAGGTGGATTTGTTGGATCCGGATTGGATGCCTGGGTTGTTGAGTGGACAGAGGGGTGGGCCTGGCCAGCAGGGCGTTAAGATTGGCATGGGAAGAAATATCAACGAGAGGCAGAAGAGGACTGGGAGGAAGAAGTCGTAGATGATGGGAAAGGGGAGTTGGAGGTGAAACAGGACGCTTAGTAGCCCGTTGATCGGGGCATAGTCTACAATAGCTCCAATATACCCAGAGTAAAGATGAGCTAGGATGTGCACCGGGGCGCAATTATGGCGATGGGAGAAGGTAGATAGATGTCATGCTTTTTTGCTACATGGACTTTAAACCTAAACACCCCAATTTTTGTCTCGGTTTTGAGCCGCGAATGAGTCCGGTTGTTTTTCCCACGGGTGCTGCTTCTCTCACACGATTCTTTTCCCAAATCATTTCGCTTTGCTTTGATCATCTCTACAGAACGCTCTCTGCTGTTTGCTTTGTAATACTTTGGCTTCCTGGAACGAGACCCTGACTTGGAACAACCGGCCCGGTACCGGACCTTATTAACTGAGAACCAGGCTCCGGAGTAACGTCATCCATCACCTTGACTCTTCAGTCCGAACGAACAGTCAAGACAAACCACAAATGTCCGCCCTTCTCCCCTCCTTCTCCAAAAACGATAACTTCATCCTTCCCAACATCGGGAAAGAAGACACCAACGTTAACGCTCGCGAGACAGAACAGCAAGACACCCCTGTTGTTCATGCGAAGCAGAGCAAAGACGAGACACAAGCCACAAACGACGTCGTCCGTTCCGAACCGCACGAGCAACTTTTGGGTGATATCGATGAAGAGGGCATGAGTGAGGAATTGCAGGCCGGGCAGTGATCACGTCGAATCTTGAGGATAGCCATGATTAATACGAAGACTCCAGCCGCTGAACCAAATAACTCCAAAATGAAAACGAAACACCACGTAAACCCATTCACTGAATATCGTACACCATAATCCCACACGTTCCCTACATAGACTTCCTCCTCCCCCTCCACCCCCTCTCCTCCCTCGCCTCCTTCCCCATCCTCAAAAATCTCTTGGCCCTCTCCTCCCTAAACCCCCTCCGAAACTCCATGATCTCCTCTGCCAGAGCGTTAGACGCGTCATTTGGATCAGCACTGATGGCACTTGCGCGCCGGCGGCGGTTGTGGGAGAGGGGGGATGATGGATTGGGTGGGGCGAGACTAAAGTAAGTCGATGGGCGGGATTTGTAGGTCTATGACACAGTGTTAGAAAGAGGCAGAGTGGTGACAAGAACGTACCCGGTTCAGTGTCTTCGAATGTCTCCGCTTCCTATCCTCCTCCTCCTTAACGAGCACGACACCCCTCCTAACCCCCCACCTCTCTTCGATCCCCCTCTTTCTCTCCTCAACCCATCTCTCGAATCTCAGTTCTCTTGAGCGTTGGGATAAAGCGGCAGACAAAGAGCGAGGAAGACGGGGGAGGGAGTGAGGGGTGAAGGGGAGGACTGCGCGGCGGTTGAGGGGGGAGGGGGCTGGGAGGGTGCGGGATAGGGAGGACATGTTGAAGGTGGACATTGGTGAATGTATGCTAGCAATAGTCGTTGTTGTGAATGTATGCTGGTCGAATAGCAGTAGCAGTAGCAGTAGCAATGGTGATGACTCGATGACTCGATGGTTCGCGGGACAACGGCACGGACGGGAGCATGAACCATGATTTCGGGGGTGGCGCTAAGGGGGAAATGGAGCATCTTTAATATGAAAAATACATCTATAGAGATAGAGAGGAGAGTTCTTCTTCTAGTCGTCCGAGTTGAGAGAGTTTGTCTTCTTGTTCGGGGAGGAGGAGGATCCCGGCTTCTTTTTTGGCTTTGAGGTCTGTTGCTTGTCGAACTTTCTTGCGGAGGGCACGGGCGCGTTTTTCAGGGTGCTCTTCAGCGGTCGCAGCTGGTGGTTCATCGGCATCGGCCTTCTTCCCCTTTCCCCGACTCCGCTTCTTCTTCTTCCTGCCCTCCTCGTCTGCAGCCGTCGGCTTCGCCCGCTGGTCAACCCCCTTGAATGCCTCCGCTCTCGCATTCCTGTAGCGCGTAACGTCTTCTGGTGGAGTGTACCCTGGACGGATCCTGATCTCCTTCCGCACGGAGCCGTCTGGGCGCACGCTCTCGGGCACAGCGCCGTTGACGATTCCCGAGGCGTGATGGGACGTCGAGTGGTGGAACATCACACTTGGGGATGACACGATGATGTAGCACAGCGGGGTTTCCAAGTGGGGGGGATGTAGCGGCGCAGGTACAATCGATACACAAGCAGGTACAATACACACACACACACTCTCTCACTCCTCGACCACGAAACCGCCATGTTCCGAAGCGTCCCGCCCCTCTGCAAACACCTCCGCCTCTCGCCCCGCGTCGCCGAAGCACTGCGCACGAAAGCCCCCGTCGTGGCCCTGGAGAGCACCATCGTCACCCATGGCATGCCATATCCTGAGAATCTGGCCATGGCGAGGGACGTGGAGGCCGTGGTGAGGAGGAATGGCGCGGAGCCGGCGACCGTTGCTGTGCTGGATGGCGTTTGTCATGTTGGTGCGAGACCGTTCTTCTTGTCAGGGAGGGACGAGTTGTTGATCTCTGGGTGCAGGGCTGACCGACGAGGCGCTCGAATCCCTCGCCAAAATCGGGACAAAGGCGCACAAAGTCTCGCGCAGGGATATGGCCGTCGTCACATCAAAGGTATATGTCTTCGTTTAACAGGTGGTCGTGGTCTCTAACGTTGGCATACAGAGCCTAACAGGCGGCACAACCGTCTCGGGAACAATGATCCTCGCACACCAAGCCGGCATAAAAGTCTTTGTCACAGGCGGAATCGGCGGTGTCCACCGCGATGCTCAAAACAGTACTTTACCCCTTCCCCACTTGTCCCCCCACTAACCGATGTGGCGGATAGCAATGGACGTCTCCGCAGATTTACTGGAGTTATCCAGGACACCAGTAGCAGTCATTTGCGCAGGCCCCAAAGCAATCCTCGATATCCCCCGCACGATGGAAGTCCTCGAAACACACGGCGTAACCGTCGCCACGATCTCGAACGCAAATAACGCATTCTCCACCGATATTCCCGCGTTTTGGACCCAGTCGTCGGGTGTGATGAGTCCGACGACGGTCGCTGATGCGGAGGAGGCTGCTCGTATCATACACGCAGGACACAGTATGGGTCTCACCTCGTCAACGCTTATCTGCAATCCTATTCCACCCCGATTCGCGCTTCCGGAGGCATTGATCAATAATGCTATCAATACTGCGCTTCGGGTTGCGGAACAGAGGGGGATCAAGGGGAAGGATATCACGCCATTCTTGTTGCGTGCGGTGAAAGAACTGACCAAAGGAAAGAGCCTGGAGGCCAATATTGGGTTGGTGATGTGGAATGCCGAAATCGGTGCTCGCATCGCGAAGGAGGTCGCGAGGTTGGATGGGTGGAAGGATGAGACCGTGCTTAGAGTGGCTGAGGAACCGGTGAAAGGGAGAACGGTGGCAAAGGATGAGGCGCCATTGCTTGTTGTTGGGTCTGTTGCTATGGACGCGACGTCGACGTTGAGTGCATCTGCTTCGTCAGCTCTTCAATTGCATACATCGCATCCGGGTCGGACTATCACTACTCCCGGCGGTGTTGGGCTCAATCTCGCCACAGCCGCGGCATTCTGCGGTGTCAAAGACGTTCGACTCGTTTCTCGTGTTGGCTCCGATGAGTCGGGTAAAGCGCTTCTCGAACACATGGACAAGTTCGGTCTAGATACGAGTGGAGTTAAGATTGTGGAGGGTGAGAGTACGGGGAGGTATACAGCTGTCCACGACCAACATGGTGAATTGGTCGTTGCGATCGCAGATATGAATGCGGCAGAGCATATCGCTGCAGAGGACGTGGCTAGGGAAATTGAGAGAGCGAAACCGAGGTGGGTGTGTCTTGATGGGAATCTTAGTCCGGACACCATCGCATCGACCGTGAAAGCCGGCCGAGCAAGCAAAGCAAACGTCTTCTTCGAACCGACCTCCGCACCCAAATCTGGCCGTCTCTTCTCGAGCACGAAAACCCGTCTTCCCCTCGGGTGCATAAGCGTCGCAAAACCCAACACCCTCGAACTCGAAGCTATGTTCGAAGCAGCCCGTACGAACGAGTACTTTGCCGATGAGGGATGGTGGCAAATCATCGATGGTTTAGGTACTGGACCCCAGTTTAGGAGGGATGTGGAGGTGTTGTTTAGAACTCATCCCATGTTGAGGACGTCCGGGTTGTTTGAGGCGGGGTTGGTGCAACAGGCCGTGCATTTGTTGCCGTATGTTCCGGTGCTGTTGATTACGCTGGGCAGGTTGGGGGTTATTGCTGTACAGCTTCTTCCACCGGAGTCTGGGATTGCGCCAACTTCGGTTAAGGATGGCCGTATCGTCGCTCGTGGGCTCAGTGGAGATGTGTGTATTCAGTGGTATCCACCTGTCGCGGAATTGGGTGAGGGAGAGATTGTGAGTGTGTCGGGGGCTGGTGATTCTTTTGCTGCTGCGGTGTTGGCGGAGTTGGTGAGGGAGCCTGGGTTTGAGTTGGGCAAGTTGGTGGAGAGGGGGCAGAGGGCTGCTGTGTTAAGTTTGAAGAGTAACGGGGCGGTGAGTGAGGAGTTGAAGATGTTGAAGTGAGGTGATTCAATTGCATTAAAATAGATCTAATTTGCATGTCATATCACACCTTCATACAGATACAGCTTCCCACGGTCGCGGGAGCACCTGCGTAAACGCTAACGCCAATTCCGATAAACTCAAAATACAAACCCTATCCAATTCGCTGTAGACCGTCGACGAACAGCATCATGCTACCAATGGAAGGCCACCTTCATAAATACTCTGAATCACCCGCTCTTACTGCCTTCGAATCAGGCGACCTTTCCTCCGGCTCCCTCCTCCTCTTCATCGGCGGCCTAACAGACGGCTACCTCACTGTCGGCTTCATCCCGACGCTCGCAGAATGGTGCAATAGCAGAAACTGGGCATTCGCGCAAGTTCATTTGAGTACGAGTTATGGTGGGTATGGCGTTGGCGGGTTAGATGGGGATGTAGAGGAGATCGAGCGGTGTGTCAAGTATTTTGGGCATGAGGTTGGGAAGAGGAGGATTGTGCTTGTCGGACATTCGACAGGGTGTCAAGACATCATACATCTACTCCTAACAAAGGGCGAGGGGCTTCCGGAGGTACTGAAGGGAGTGGTATTGCAGGCGCCCGTGTCGGATCGGGAATATATTGCGTCGCAGATGAAGCAAGAGGTGTATGATGGATACGTGGAGTTGGCGCGGACGATGAAGGCTGTTGAAGATGGGCAGGAGATCATGCCGAGGAAGGTTTGTGATGTTATTGGTGGTGCGCCGATTACTGCGGACAGGTTTTGGTCGCTGGCAGCGAAGGGGGTACGTGAGCTCCTTCGGATATCGAATCCTGACTGACTGAGTGTACGTACAGGGTCAGGATGACTATTTCTCTTCTGATCTGGAGAAGGATGAGAGGCCTTGGTCGAGGTTACCCGAGGACATGCCATTATTGGCAGTTTATAGCGACGAAGATGAATACGTCCGGGAACAAGTCGACAAGCAGATGCTATTGGATACATGGAAGAAAGACTGCCCAAGTGACGCGACATTCGTGCTCCTACCTCGGGCACGTCATGACATTGGTGAAGAAGGATCAGAACAAGTCAAAACCTTTTTGCAACATCTCGAGACATTCGTAGATAAAATCTAGATATAAAAGTTGATACAATTGTCGGCGGGCGGGCCGAAAGACGGCTTCGAGTTCCGCCCAATCCCCCGCGCGCCGGAAGTCCAGTCTAACGACCGTTCTCCCCGCGGCCGCAAAGTACAAAATACAAGAGACATTGGTCTGGTCAAAACCAATTGACAAGAACAAGGACAACCAACAATGTATCCCGAACCAGTAAACAAGCCTGTGTTGGACCTCTTCAACTTGAAGGGCAAGGTCGTTGCGATCACCGGCGCTTCCCGAGGGGTACGTTCCCGTTGATCCGCTGCTTCTTAATGACGTAGTCTAACTTTGTGCTGGTAGATCGGTGCCGTTCTGGCACAGGCAATGGCCGAGGCGAACGCTGATGTTGCCTCGATCTACACCTCCGAAAGCTCGAAGAAGTTGTCCGAAGAGTCCGTGGAGGAATTAAAGAGCAAGTACGGTGTTCGTGCAAAGTCTTACCAGGCGGATGTCGCGAAGCCGGAGGAAATTGAAGCTTGCTTAAACAAGATTGTCGAGGACTTTGGAAAGTTGGATGTTCTTATCGCAAACGGTATGTCTTACTAAACCGGAAAGACCAAGGTCGGAGTTGACTGTGGGAAAAAGCCGGCGTCTGCAAACACGTCTCCGCCCTCGAAAACACACCCGAAGACTTCCGCTGGATCACAGACGTAAACCTCAATGGCGCCTTCTTCTCGTCCCAAGCTGCCGGAAAAATCTTCAAGAAACAAGGCTACGGAAACATCATCATCACCGCCTCCATCTCCGGGACCATCGTCAACGTCCCACAATCGCAAGCGGCGTACAATGCTTCTAAAGCGGGCGTGGTACAGCTGGGAAAGAGCTTGGCGTGGGAGTTTAGAGATTTTGCAAGGGTTAACTGTGTTAGTCCTGGATATATTGAGACGGAGATGACGGGGATGGCGGATCCGGCGTTCTTAAAGGAATGGTTGGATTTGACACCGTGTGGAAGAATGGGGCAGCCGAGTGAGTTGAAGGGATTGTATGTTTATCTCGCTTCGGATGCGTCCACTTTTGTCACCGGAGCCGACTACATCATTGACGGTGGATACACTCTTCGTTGATGGGGTGGGATGGGATGGGACGCTGCGGACACCATGTTACACTGTTGATACCCGATAGATGGCCACCCTAATATGAGATGTATTGCATCACGCGTATTTCATGAACCCAACCCAATCCGCCAAACAATTTCCAAAAGAAACGCTCGAAACACCATATCATGCCAGTGAAAACCTAATTAATCATGCCACGCCAAAGAACCCGCTCAAGCTCAAGCAAGATAATTATAAACCCTATGGTCACCTTCCTTCCGCTCCAAATAATCCCGCTCAATCAATCCCTCGATACGCTGTTTGATCATGTTCGGACTAGGACTGAATCGCGTACTCAGTTGTTTTGTGACCTCGGCGACGAGGTTGTTGTGGTCCATCGTTTTACGGGACTTCATAATTCGCACAATGGCAGCTTCCACTTCGTGTTTGCGTTCGTCGTCGAGCTTTTTCATTGTTTCGCGGCGCTCGGCGTCGTTTTCAACTTTGTTGGAGGCTGCGATCGTTGGGACCTTGATGCGGGTCATTGGGGCCGAGAAGGACTCGTTGAAGAAGAAACGGTCGGTAGGAGAAACGTTCCTTCCCTTTGGTTCCTTTGTCAGGATCTTGTACTTTGCGCATGCCAGTGATTGCAGATTACGGACAAGCTCGCCGGCGGAGATAGACGTCGCTTGCTGGATGTCCTGGAAGGAGAGACTTCCTGACTGTGGCACATTGTTGAACTGCAGCAAAATCACCATGGCGTAAGTAGACACGTTCAACTCGTGTCTCTTGTTCGTAAACACCGCTCGGATATCCGCAGTACCAAGGTGTGGACACCATGCAAGCTTACGCCCGTTGTGACGAGAAAGGTAGAATGCTTGGAAGGATAGGCGTGCCTTTTCGACCTCTGGTGGGTAAATGCAGGTGTCCTGAGTCTCCCGTGCTACCACCGGTGGCCAGTGCGTTGACGTCAAGATCTGTGGAGTCATCTCAATCGCCCTCTCCTGTCCTTCCATGTGCTTCTTGTACTCGTCCACTACCTCTGCAGACAACCTCATGTCCTTGAACATTCCTTCCAACTTGTTCGTGAAGTTGTATCCCATTTCCATCTTCATCTTCGCAATCATTCCGCGCTCAGCGTCGTCGCTCACTGTTCTTCCCCACAGAAGTCGTTTCGCCAGGTGGCCCTTATAGTATTTCTCGAATACATCCTTGTCCTTCAAGTACCTGAACAACGTGATTGTTCTATCCAGCACCGTCTCCACCTCCGTCTCAGTCTTGCCCTTGAGCCCACGCTTGAGGTTGTCGTCGATGAAGAGGGAGATGTATTCTGGTGCTTGGGGGTGCAGAGCAATAAAATGCTCGAAGGATTGGGAGATCGTCTTCTCCATCGTGTCCTCGCTGCCGAAAGCCCCGTGCCAGATTGTGTCATACTTGCCCTTCAATCGGACAACGTCCTCAACCCATTTGAGCGCCAGGCTCGTGGCGGACACCTTCTCCTTCACAGTCGATTCGCCTTCTGCGCCTTCCTCCACGGAATTTACGCCAGCAGCAACAGCGTTGTTGATCTCCTTACCGGCGGCAATCACATGCTCCGACACCGCCGTCTTCAGCGCATTGACATCTGTATCAACCCTCTGGAATAGTCTCCATGCGCGTCCGAGATCCTCGATCTTGTCATGCTCCAGCATCCAGCTGATACCTGTGCCAACCTCGATAACCGCCTTCATATGCGCCTCGATCATAGTCCCATCAACGACCCGCGTCAACTTTGATGCTGATGAAGCCGGAATGTACGTAGTACAACGCTCATTCTCCTCGCGTAACCGGCGGTCAACGAGAGCAAGGTACTGTGGTGCAGAGTATGTAGGCAGTAGGGTACGTGCCTCGTTGATGTAATATGTCCTGGTCTTCTCGAGAAGCTTAGGTTCCAGATCTGACTCGTAAACATTTCCCGCACCATTTGCCGGGATTGCACCGCCTGCTTCAAGTGTGCCGAGCATATCAATAATCGACTTGACAAGTGATCGATCGATAACATCTCCATCCCTTTCTGCTCGAACAAGATTGACGATTGTGGAAATTAAGGATGAATGCACCTGATTATTCCGAATAACGACGTCTCGAAAGATATGACATCCAGCGTCGTAGATCTGGGGAACATTAGCCGTTTTGGTGTAAACTCGGTCGAGGTAGAGCATAATGTCGCCGACCATGCCCATGCAAAGAGTGTGGTCCTCCCAAGAGTCTTTCAAGGCTTTCAAGAACCGCAGCCCTTGACCATCCACGCCCGCTTGTCCACCGGCACCTCTCAGTCCAGTCGCTGTTGGCAAGATATGCGTCTCCGTCACATCTTGTAGCTGCTTCTTGACCAGTTCCTTCACACTGTTGTACAATCTCTCTGCATTTTTCGATAGAACCAAGTTGTAGGCATTGCGGTAAAGCTGCTCGTATGAAAGAACGGAGGCGTTACGGCGATGGACCTCGTGAATGGCAGACGACAAGAGCTCCCAAGCTTCGTCAAAGTTACTGGCGCCATTAATCTTCCTCGGTGGCTTTATCTTGCCCTTCAGCCTTGATGCGGACATGATCAAGAGCTGTCTTCCTTGCAAGGTTGTCGGTGTTTACGTCCTTACTCGTAGCGACTGGAAGGTTCACCGAAAGCAGAAGAAAATGCGCGTCAACGTTACACTGCAGGAAGCCGTAACTACCGACGACACCGATATCGATGATGAGATCAGCACTGAGATCAGCTATGGCCGTAGCTTGGAGGCCGGCAGCATCATCATCTCTACGTGCACCAGATGTTGCCCGGCCAAGTCGTATCTTGCAGCAGTGCAGATGGAATGCGACCGTTCCTCCTTCGGATGGTGGTGTAGGACCACAAGAACTGGGGCGAATCGTGCCGAAGTATGAGTTGACTTTTACGTGCAAGAAGTAGATCTTTGAAGCTCTCCTGTTTGCTTAGGCTAACAGCTGTACAGGTGCTCCAATCGCTCATCACATCATGTATCAAAGCAAGCGTATCATAATGGTACTGTTCTCATCACATGCCCGGGCTGCCGAAACAGGTATTCACAACTTAAAAGCTTCTATAATACCAGACTAATGTATCGTCAGGCATCTGATTGCAGACCACCTGAAGACCTTCTCAGACGACCGCATTACTCTAGAAGATATCCTCGCAAAAGATGGAGTGAAGATCAAGAAAGGCATTAAGGTACAAGAAACAGGAGACATAGAGATTCTTCCAGATGAAGAACCATCCAAAGCATAGTATGTTACAATCATGCTTCACTTGGTATGTGTACGATTAGATAGAGGGTATCACTCAAAAAGATTCAAAGCGCCAATTCCCCGTTCCGCGAGTGCCTCATTACATCCGTCCAAAATTTTCCGTATCACCATGCTCCACGCAAACTCCGCTCCCTCCGGGTCTTCGCATAAGTTGTGTTCGGCAGCATGTATAAACTGCCTTCGCTCTTCGGCGCGCCTTCTGGCGGCATTCTCAACAGCGTAAGCCAGCCATTTGATCATGCCTTGAGCCTTCGCCGCATTCATATCCTCCACCACAAGCTTTTTAACATATGCCATAATCACTTCCGCGTCTTCGTGAACAGGACCCTGCTCCCAGTCCGTCTCGACCCATTCGCTCAACATCCTTCTGACATCGTCAACATCTGCAACTCCACCAAGCTTAACCTTCATCCCACCTTCTGGTAGATCAACAAGGTACTGGTCAACTTTGGGCCGTCCTTCCATTCGTTTACGGATGCGGTCTTCGGCCTCCCTCCGAAGCCGGGTTTTGTCACGCTGAATGCGTTCCTCCGTGAGAATATCCTTCTGCACATCAGGACCCAGTGCATCCCACCATTCTTTATCAATATTCGCTGGCGGCGTCGACTGTGTTCCAAGAGTGGTTGTTTTGAGTTGCTCACGCTGTGCTTTCAGGAAATGATTTTGTGTCAAGGTCATCTCAAGCGTGTTGGATTGGCGTGCTTTGCTCGGTGACTTGCGCGGACTCTTTCTGGGCGACATCGAATTCTTCTTTCCCAAGGTTCTGTTCTTGGTGGGTGTCTTTGGTGCTTGGAGAAAGCTCACATGCTTGCGTTCGTCCTTCAAGACACCTAGCTCTTTCAGGTTCTGTGTGCCAATCTGCTTGACAACTTCGGGATCCCATTGACTCGGACTGGGATTCTCCGTGATCGGTCGAGCATCCCGGTCTTTTTGCGCTATTTTCGTCCGGTATTGCTGCTCAATCCTTGATCGCCACTCAGAAGGCAGTTCGGCGAGGACACCGGAGTTCAGTTGCGAAGGAATGTTGAATTGCGACATAGGAGATGACAGGTTCGTCGCAGGCGAGGTGGCAGGGCCAATGTACGGCGTCTTTAGTGGCGAGGGTAACATCGGAGAGGACCCGTCCTTGAGCAATCGAGTCGACTTGCCAACTGCCGCTGGGGTTCTTGGGGACACCTTCAACGCAGGTGGTCCCATATCACCAATCTTTGGTGCAGCGATCCATTCTTTTTGCCGTTCAATCTTTGCCAGCAGATCTTCCGGTAACTCCTTGAGAACATCTGGATCCATCTGTGACGGTAATTCATACTGGCTAAACGCTGGTGAGGAGTTTAGCGCTGGAGAGCTGGGATGCCGGTGTGCTGGGGATTGACCTCCATTATTCATGATGAAGTTGCGGATGATTGACCGCCTGAGGTCAGTCTTCGGTGTCTTCGCCGCCGGAGTTTTAGAAAGGGCGGGAACTGTAAAGGGGTCTGCCGCCGCTGTAACTTTGAAATCCGCCTGTTTTTCAATTTCCATGCGGATATCATCAGGTAGGTTGGAAAGAACTTGAGGATCAACCTGGGACGGCAAAACCCACTGACTTGAGGCTGGACGTGATTTTGAAGTAGAAGGTCGACTCTGCGCTTCACCTTGCGGTAAGCTATGAGATTCAGAAGCGTCCTTAGGCACTTGTTGTCGATCACCGGTAACTGCTGGCGCACCCCAGTTCAGCTTCTTCTGACCCTTGCCATCCCCGCTCTCCTCCAGCTTCGTCATCATGAGTGCAATACCTCGCAAATCCTCGATTACGAGGTTCAAACTCCATAGCAAGCTCTTCGCTTCGACGGATAGGGCGTCTTGATCGTCCGTCGCAACGCCGAAACTCGTACTCTTATTGAACGTGTCACACTCGCCATGACCACCGGGTTTAGGCGTTTCAATGGGAGCATGAGCTGCACGTCGCATAACCTTCAACGTAAGCTGTTTCCCACGGACATTGATCTTCTTCAGACGCTTCGAGAGTTCGCCGGCGAGTCCGTGCATGAAAGTATCGACGTCTTCACGTGTCTTGAACCGAATCATGTAGTTGACTTCAGCGCTCACGCTTTTGCGCTCCGACTTTTCGCCTACAGGAGTATCATCAATCCCACGTGCGAAGTTGAAGAGCTTTTGTCCGTTCTTCTGCCCAAGGAGATTTTGTAGCGCTGTCTTTGCATGTGAGCGGAGATCAGCAACTGTGATAATACCGAGCTGGTCACGCAACTTGTCCTCGATAGATCGTCCGACACCTGGTAAGTCACGAACTTCAAGGTCCGCGATGAAATCGAGCACATCCGCCTTGTGCAAGCGGTACTGTCCAGCAGGCTTCGCTTTCCTCAAAGCCAAACGCGCCAAAAGAACATTTGAGCCGATCCCAACACTAACCTCACATCCAGTCAGTTGACGAACTTGTGACCGAATCACAGTCGCCAATTCATCTGCAGCTGAGCCTTCATCCTTACCTGTACACTGTACAGGACTTGTAACATCCAGAAGTGCTTCGTCCACGCTAATAGCCTGCAACTTCTCGCAACCGACTCCCAATAAGACGTCGTAGAACTTCCGGCTGATCTCCTCGTATTTCGAGAAATCATACCCAATGCACCTAACGTGCGGGCATAAATCTCTCGCTTTTGCCATCCACATCCCGTTCCGAATGCCGAAATCGCGAGCAGGGTAGTTGCAGGACGCAATCTCTCCCATAGCTGTACCACCGTGTGAAACCACGATAGGTTTAGCGCGTTCTTCAGGTGGTAAGGACAGAGATGAAACAGCAGCAAAGAATGAGTCGAAATCGACGTGTAAGATTGTACGATCGCCCTTCCTTGTCATCAGCGCTGGCGTTGGAGGATTCGAGGCCGCAAGCTCTTGCATTTGCAACTTGAGCTCTGCTTTCCATGTTGACAAGTGATGCAAGCGAGACTTGCCGTAGTACTGATCGAAGAATCCAGGGTCGGTAGCATCTCGTATCGGACCTGCGTTTACAGCATGTACTGTCTTAGGCCGATACACCACCTCGTCTTCAGGGTATGTGTCACCCATGACAGGCACATCCGGTGCGTCAGTAGCGGCTTCACTTGCGACAGTGGGTTTGATCAGATCCGTCTCCTCTTTTGCCGGTGTCTGCGAAGCCTCGCGTGGGGGTTCCGATGCAGGCCCGTCAGTAGGCGGCCACACAAGCGGTTCATCGCGTGGTGTTGCAGACGCTGGTCTGTCAGTCGGTGGCCATACAAGCGGTTCGTGCCTGCCGATGGTATCCGTGTGTGTTTCCGATAGGTCCTGGTTCACAGCCTCATAATGTACACGTTCCGGCACAAGCTCATGACTCTCGCTATCACCATGCATACCGATGTCGTCCAGGAAACTGTCGTCAATGCCGTAATCACTTTGCGGATCATTCGCCTGAAGCGTGAAAGAATTCTCTGGAAATATTAGCGCTTCTGACAGCTGAACTGGAGCCTCCGTAGCCTTGGAGGGTACCAGTTCTTTCAAAGTCATGGTATGCACGTCACCAAACATTTCCTGTGATGGCACGTACTCCGCCCGGTCAAAGACATTAAGGACGGGTTCATTCGAAGACGCAGGTACCTCTTCCTGAGACTGAGAAGGTGTAGCAAGGATCTGGTCCACAGATGAAAGAAGTACCTCGTCCTCGACATCGGCAACGGCAGTGGTAGCCGGAACAGCCGTTGGCTCTGGCTCAGTCCTGTTGTTCACAGACTGTCGTCTACTACTCATCGTGGCTGAAGAAACCGTCTCCGTTACCTTTGGTGGTTGTGTGACCCCTGAACCTTCAACGCGGTCTGACACAGCCGAGCTCTGCGTGCTGATCCTCTTGCCGAAGTAATCGTTCAGCTGCAGAGGCACCACCCTCCTTTTCTTCCCGGTGCTACTGACACTCTTCGTGGATTCGCTCTTTTTCAACTGTGGGAGAGCTTTGTATGAGGTCGATACCGAAGTTATCTGCGCTTCCAAACCACCGTCCTTGTTGAAAGCAATCTCTCTTTGACCGGCAGCCTCGGCAACGACTCTGTACTTCGTCCAGGATAAGGGTTTTCCAGCTTTGACGCAGTCAACAATCCACTCAGGTTTCACGACGCGATACTTTGCAAACTCAATTCGCTTCTTTGGTGTCAGGGCTGAGGCAATGATGTGTGTCACGGCTGTCTTCCCATCAAGGAATTGCTTGTAAACACCTCCATGGACAACAATGAGGTTCCAAAGATCGGCTTGAGGGGGTTTCGTGTATCCATTGATCTAAATTATAATTAGAACCACTTGACTTCTGACAGGCAGAGGAGCACTTACGTAAATGATCATGCCTTTGAAGATCTGAGGGGTGTCTGGCGTGACCTTGCTCCGAAGCACAGCATCCTGGTTCTGCAACTTCGCCTTTTTGTGTCGCATGTAGGTGCGAAAGTTTCCAAACCTCGACCCCGAGTACTCATCCCCTTCCTCAATATTGATCGACCTCTCATCGGGCGTATCCAGAGCGCGTTTCTTCACCTGTGATGACTTGACGGTAACGAGGGGCTGAAGACCACGACCCATCGTGTCTATCTCCTTTGATTGACCCCCGTCTCCCTTGTCCAAAGAGGTATATCCTTTCTTCTTGGTGTTTGGTTTCGCGGTCGAGGATTAAATTAAGGTGTGGCGAACTGCAGCGTTGTGCATGGAATTTGAAGCCGGGAGATGCGCGGCCGTGCGAACGTGACATGTGGACAACGAAGTGCTGGATATTAGACATTTCCAAGGGATGGATAATAGTAAAGACAGGTCTACTGGATCTTTCACTTATCTAGCATTTCTAACCTTCTTGTCTTATGCTTCAGTCAGTAACGCTCCGGCGTCCTCCAGCCTCAATCCCTCTTTCTCCTCCCTCGCAAGCAGCGGTCCGACCTTAGCTTTATCCCACACTCCCCAGACTTTTCGTACGTTTTCGATAGCATCACCACTCTCAATCACCAAGCAGAAGATGGCATCGTAACCACCGGCTCCTGGAACACCGGCTCCCACAACACCTGGTACATCGATACAGAGGTCAAGAAGGGCAGTTTGTGTTTCAGGTTCAATGGCTGTGGATGACTGTTCGCCAATCAACCGAAGAAGCGTCCGCACCTCGAGGAACTTATGGTAGAGTGCACGCAGCGGTCCACCGACGGTGCTGTCTGTCTCAAGGATCTCACCAATCTTCTTCCCTCCAAACGCCCTGATCTCCTCATCATAGTCTGGGCTCTCCTCACTAGCTTTCTTCAGGCTCCTCAGCAGTGCCACAATCTCCATGTTCTTTTCACCGAGTTCGCTCCACACCTTCTGTGCTGCTTCTCTACCCTCGCTCTTCCACTTCAACACGTTCTTCACCATTCCCGGCGTCGCAGAGCCAGCATCCACATCACCCATGATCACCCGCAACCCACGCGGCATCTCAAAAGACTCGGCTTTCATTTCCCACTCCGCCTCCACCACCTTGTTCAACTGCGTGTAAAAGTCGCTCGAGGCGGGTTCGGGGATGGCAGACAAGACGGAAGGCGCGAATCGAGTGTAAACACAAGATCCAAAAGCAGCAGAAGCGACATCGAAACCGGACCCAATCTTCCCCTGTGCAGCACAATGCGACGCCTGCGCCAGATTATGTGCCAGTCTTTTCCCTTCCACATCTGTAACATCTCTTCCAAAGAACGCCAATAACGCTCCGGTCAGAGAAGTGATCAAGGCAGCGGATGATCCGAGACCAGTTTTGTGCGCCTCGGTAATATTGCAAGGAAGTTTGTTGAATCGAGGGAGTGATTCTAGATGTGTCGTGGTGATCGCCTGCCCGGGCGCGAGTGAGTCGCGTTGAGAGTAAAAGTCATTGGCAGCCAAGATGGTGATGTCAAGCTCCGACGGAAGAGATAGCGGCGCAAGGTACGTTAGGACGTATACCAACGCGAGATGGACATACGGATTCGTTGATCCCGTCGATGCTGGCTCAACAGTGATCCCTTCCGCGTCTAATCGCTTCGCAGTATACCCCCATCGTGCTTCCTGGAATTGCGGTGAAGTGACAGTGATCACGGACCGGTGGGATAAGACAGCACTATCCCTAGCACGAACAACGGCGTAGATGCGTGCAGAGAGACCGAGAACGAAGCCGGAAAAGGCGGGGTCTAGCACAAGGTAACCACCTGCAAGAAGGACTTTGGCCGGAGCGGAAACGGCGCTTTATAGAGACGAAGTCTTAGCTATCAGTGTAATATTCAAGAATATAGGTAGGACTTACACTGCCGTAGAGTGCGCCTTTGGCGGCGGGGGTAAATCTCCTGGAACGGGTGTTCTTACACCGCCAACGTCTAATTCCTTGCTCTTCTGCTCCTGCTCCTTGAAATAATCGTCCAATCCACTAGCTACCCTTCCGCCAGTTGGCGGCCTTCCAGTTCGTCTTGGCGGCGGTGGTGTTTGCATCGGCAAAGCCTCGAACCCGGGATCATCGGCGATTGGCGGTGGTGAGAACATTCCATCAGCGGTTGATCCTGCAACCGCCATATCTGCAGGTGTGAGGAACTCTCCTGGCTCTTCTGTTTGTGCGCCATCGAACAACGTCTCACCTGGCGCCTGCATCCGTTCCCCAGTCTTCAAGGGCGCTGGGATACGGTGCAGAATACCGGTTCCAATGCCTGCTCCAAGTGCGCCAGGCCCACCCCAATTCCGTGATGGGATGATATTCACTTGTCGTGTGATATTGAGGTAGTGGTTGTAGATGTATAGTGGTAATGGTAGGTTCAGATAAGACCCAATCAAATCGCCCAGTGCTGCCTCGCCATTAATTGCGCCTATGTTGTCTCCGGCGAAGCCCAGAATGTAGTCACCAAACGGCTCCAGGCCAGCGTTGTGTGCCGGCGAACCTTCCTTGACCTCCAAGATGTGGAAGACACTGTCTGCAACAGCCTGAATGTTCGTGCACCATTGTAGACTCATACCAAGGGCGGCTGATGCGGAATATGATGCTGTCAAGGTAACTGTCCGAGTGATTCCTCCCTTGATTGAAAGGACATCGACAGAAAGCGTTGTACCGCGGGTGGACTGAAGTGTCTGAAGAGTGTACTCATTCTACTGATGTCAGTAAGCTCTTGACATCGATCGGGAAGGACATACAATTGGCTCGCCATTCAGCCCAACGATAAAGTCAAAATAAGCCTCGATGCCGGCTTGATCAGCAGTGCTGTCAGGATTGACCTTCAAAACCTGGAACCCTACGCGGTGTGTAAGCGTTAATTACAGGCCCAACGACGTCAAGTAGATCACGCCTGCGCACCTTGATCCGTCGAACGTGCTGTAGGAGCACTAACAGCGCTGACGAGGTTCTTGAATCGACTGAACATGACGAACTGCTTGTCGAATTGGTTCGTCTAACGGTGCGACTTTCCGTCTTTCCACCGGGCACCCTCGGGGTCAGGCACGACAGGACAGGGTCCAACCGCACGTCAACACGCGGGTCTTACGGTACAGTAGATAAGTATGAAAGTAGGCAGAGAACAGAGGTGTAGTGTTTGTGAAGATATGGTCTTTTTATTGGAATTACTTAAGGATAGCTAACCGCTTAAGCCATCTTGACCAGCTTGACCTCGAACACCAAGGTGGAGTTCGGGGGAATGCCGGGAACACCCTTCTTTCCGTATGCCAACTCAGCAGGGATAGTGATCTTCCTCTCACCCTCCAAAGCCATACCGGCGATACCAATATCCCATCCCTTAATAACCTCACCCTTGCCGAGAGTGAACATGAAGGGCTTGCCGGAAGTCGAGGAGTCGAAAACCTTGCCGTTCAAAAGACGACCAATGTAACGCATACCGACCTTCTTTCCGGCCTTGGCCTGAGGACCCTTGCCGATCTTATTGTCTTCAACAACGACACCGCCCTCGAGAGTCTTCTTGGTGGGCTTAGCTGAAGCGGCCGCAGGGGAAGCGGTGGAGCCAGTGGGGCCCATCTCGAGGTTCTTAGCGAAAGCAACGTTCTTCTTCGCAGAGGAGGTAGGGGTGTCAGCAGCGGCAGCAGCGGCAGCCGCCTTCTCGGGGGTCTCGGTGGCAACAGCCTTACCATCGTTGGCCTTGAGCTTCTTCTTCTGGTTCTTGGTCAGAGGCTTGACATCGTCGGCGGTGACGCTAGCGGTAGCAGCAGCCTTCTTAGCACCCTTCAAGACCTTGCCAGTAGCCTCCTGAACAGCCTGCGCCGCAGCATCCTCCATAATCTCGTCCAAGTCGTCAGCTGAACGCTTCTTAGAAGGCTCATCCTTGACCTCGGTGATCTTGCCCTCCTCAATGTCGTCAAGCTCATCCTCCTCAGAGTCGTTCTCCTCACCATACATGTCGAGCTCATCCTCATCAGGAGAGTAGTCGTAGTCATCCTCATCCTCGTCCTCCATATCCTCTCCAGGTCTGACGATGTAGTTTCCGCTCAAGTACACGACAGCATCCTCGTTACCAGTGCAGACGAAAGCAACATCCTCATCCTCAGCGAAAACGATGTCCAGAGGCTGCTGGTAGATCTTTCCAGGGACAAGAGTACAGAGAATGATCTCCTCCATTTCCACAGTGGGCTCGAGGGCCTCATCCTCCTCAACCTCGTCCTCCTCATCCTCATCATCAGAGTCAGGGCCAGTGGTGATGAGCCTAATGGCCTTCAAGGTAACGGGCTTGTCGCCAGAGACAGCAGAGTCAATCGCGGCCATGGTGACACGGAAAGAAGCACCAACATGGTCCTGAACGGGCTCATCACCCTGCACCTTCAAGGTGAAAGAAGAAACGGGAATAGACATGACTTCTGGACGAAAGAATGTTAATTTAAGAGCAGATATTCACCAAGTGAAGGCTACAAACCTGATTGATTTATGCGGATTGATCCAAATGGCTCACAGGATCGTCGCCTAAAGAAAAGTCGAGCGGCGACAACAGACGTCATGTGACCTGGTCGCCCGGGTAACCTGAATCATAAGCTTGTTCTATAATATATGTACATCGAGAGTGATGAGAGTAGTTCTAAATCATGAACGAGAAGGTGTCTTTTGAGAGACTGTAGCTGCCCGGTAGCGTTTATATCAACCCTGCCCGGTTGCACGATATGGAGGATTGTATGTAATGGAACACATTTACCATGTTGAAAACGCCCTGGGGCAGATATTAGGTATACTAAGGTTCAAACATACGTTCACCTTTGCGGTTATTTCTTCAACATCTCGACGAACTTGTCACCAAGGCCGTCAGCTCCCATAGGGTTGGCCGCGGAAATGAGCTCACGGTCCACCGTAATGCGCCCCAAAGCACTTTGGGCCAATCCTTCGACCATTTCCGCACCTTCATCCCTCAATGAACTCTCGACCTTAGTGATCTCTCCGCCGAGCATCGTCTCCATGAACTTCTCCTCGGTGTCGGACCATGATGTAATCTTATATCCCTTGTAGACGAAAGTACCCTGAGGCCCAACCTTCGTCGACAGAAGGGCATATGGACCATGACACAAGCTTGCGGTAGGCTTCTGCGTTTCGTGGAAGTGAGTGAGAATGCGACCAAGTTCTTTGTCGGCGCCAAGATCAGACAAGGGTGCATGTCTGTAGCCAAGTCAGCGATTACCCGACGGTGACGACAATAACACCCACCCCCCAGGAATGAAGACACCATCGTACGTCGCCAATTCCTCATCAGAGAGGCTACTGAACGGTCTTGGAGTGTTCAGGTTGTTCTCGGTCTTCATCTTATCTATAAGAGCTGTCTCCCTCTGCTTCTCCAAGTAGTTGCCGGCGAAGGCAAGAAGAGAAGTGCTCAATGGATCTGGCTGAGGTGTTTGGCCTTTGGGAGAAGCAAAGGTGACTTCGTAGCCTGCATCAAGGATCTTGGCAAGGGGCTTTGCGAGCTCCATAAGGAAGAAGCCAGACGGCTGATCGACCGTGGTGCCATCCGACTTGTGCAGAGGGAATGAGTGTGCGTCGGAGAGGATGATGAGGACTTTTCCTGTTGGCATATTGATTGAGGTGTCAATTTGCTTGATTGTGATTTGTGTTTGAGGGCTGTTCAGGGAAGCTGATCGAGAAATACAAACGAACCCTCGTCGCTCACGGGCTGATGCACGGTTTACGTCATAGCTATAGTATAGGGCGACGAAGCCGTTTCAAGTGTCCACTTGCCATGCAAAATAAAGAATTCAGCAGCAAGTAACTTGGTACTCTGCTTTTGTTAGCGAGCACGAGGTAGCTCAACCCTTCTTCTTATCCGTGTCCGGCGCTGGTTCGCAAGGATTCATGATCAGGCTAGTTCGGGGCGTGGGAATGTTGCACACTACAGGAAACCAGTGCAACCACGTACGGGGCTGCGTGCTGCCTTAAAAGCGCTCTAACTGTATGACACTGACTACTCTGGTAGTTATAATCGGCTAGATCTATACATAGAGCGCTGCCCGTGTCAACAATGAAGAGGGCAGAAAGCTCCCTCAGGTTATTCACCGCAAAGTCACGGAGATTGAGGGGAAGACCGTCGCTTAAGTGATAGTCCTTCCAGTGGGAGGAGAAGTGAGATGAGAGAGGCGAAGAGAATTTTTCCTATGGGCCTCTGCGTCGGGATTGATTCCCACATATGTTGGTTTGATTGGCTTTGGTTGAATTGGATTGGTATTCATGGGTACTCTACGAGTCTTGCTTCATTCTTTAAATCAATGTGCCCTTCGCAGACATGTCCCTCCTCTCCCCTCCTCACAACCGGTACCGATCCCGTACCCCTCGTACGACATCCCTTAGGCCTAATCACCAACAGCGCGAACGACCCAAGCGTTCAGCTGCCATAATATGTGAATTCAATAATCGCAATCCGCTTCAGGAAACCTGCTTGATGTTTCCTAGAATTTTTGCCTCGCAAAGCTTCAGGGAGTTCAGTATTCAATTCGCGCGGTAGCGTTGTTAGAGAACCTACCTGTTAAGACGTAGATCATGTAAAACATGTGCTTGTCCCAGGCATCAATTGAGGTGTATTTGGGGCAACAATTGCGGCTTGGCCATGAATCCCAACTTAAGGTATTTTTACACTTCGGCTTTCCTTAAGCGCTTTTGAAGACCCTATGAACGTTGGAGGGCAAAAATCAATCTGCGATTAAGAGGTTTGGCTTGTCAATCTTTTTCGGACATTTTGCCTGGAATTACTACCGGTATGTTACATGTAACTAAAGGTACGTATTGTTATCACTGAAACTTAAGATGTCTGTTCTCATCTCTTGGAATTACTAGTTTCATCAAATTTTCTTGACTAAATCCCAGATAATAAGGTTTGATCAAAAATCCCAAAACCCTCCTTTAAGTATAAAAGCTATAGAAGTCATATTTTGCAACGTATTAGGTACAATCTGCAAAAAACATTAACGGGCCGAATTTTTGCCCTATGTGAATGGCAAACCATGGAATAAACCTAAAGTTCACTTATGCGTGTGCGTAATCAACGACAATTCTTCTGTCTCATCTCTATAAAAAAAGAAGTTCCTCTCCATCGCGCTTGCAACCCCGGTTTCCACGTTGGCTACCAGCTTATGCCGGAATCGTATAGTGGATTACACCAGTGATGAGTGTGGATTACGACAGATCGCATTGTGGGTTCATCTTGGGTTTCGGAAAACTGAATCATGGATCATGCCAAATGCCGCGTGATTGAACAAGGATTATACCGAATCATGTCTTGCACTAAAGCGAAATTTGCCAGGCAAGCTGGACGTGCGTCTCCATGATAAAATCAGGTATACTCGCTACTGCTGTTCAACGGTTAGCCATACAAACTAAGAACCGTGGACTAAACTCAATAACAAGGTCATGGGGTACAAGCTCAGCTAAACATGGATCATGGCCAAAGAAAAATCGCAACAACATACCTGAGAAGTTTGCGCAAAAGTATGTATATGCCCTAAATTTAATTCGAATGCTTGACATACACAACTATTTTCATGTACTTGACCCACAGGGGCATCCCTATATAGAGACATGATCAATAAACATCATGTCAGTAGTTCTTCACTGTTATTGTTTTGAGTGCATGGCTGTCTAGCTGTGCAGCAACGCGTACATACAGGACCCGCGCTTCTTTTCAAGCCTCCAAGAATCTCTAAGACCCTTCACATATTCATGAGGAGCAAACGCCAAGCAAGAACAGGTATGAGTGAGATTTCGTTTTACAAGATTGAGCTTGTGCTAACATCATATGTCACGGTGCCATGTTTTTGTCGCTACTACAAACTTTAAATTACTCACAGTGAAGCTGTTTAATCTGGTAATCACGCTTTTTGGCCTGACACTCCTGTGACTTTTTCCGCAGACTATCGCACATGTTTTCATGATTTCTTCCAGAATATCGCTTGACACAATCTGGGTTTAAGCCCAATATTGATCTCATCGTGGATTATCCAGAATCGGATCGTGCATTGCCCGAAAGATAATAGTGAATTCCTCATGAATTATGCCCAATTTCATTAAGAATTCAGCTAACAGAATGTGTGGTTTGCGTCCCGTTACCGGATTAGGATTGTGGCTTTCCACCAACGGCAATTGTGATTGACACCGGACCTAGTAAGCTGTGGTACTCGCGAACGTAGGGTAGGGTGTCCAGATCACTTATGCCTCACGCGGGAGGAATGTCCGTATGCAGCTGATAGCTACACAGACTACTTAGGCCACCACGCCAATGAATAGTTAAATCTGTGCTCAAGCGGAAAGAGTGTACAGCGTACGTCTAACTCTTCTGCTTATGCACTCGCCGTATAACTCCCCGGTATGATGCGAGTTGTCAAGGATTAAACCCGTTCAGTCCTAACAAAATGTGTAACCCATGTCAATCATGGATTAGACAAGGATTACATTGGATTATGGCGGTTGGCATGGTTTACAATCCACGCTAAAAACCACGACGGAACATGGATCAGAGTCCTTGACATATTCATGGATTACGGTGTGAAAAGAAATTCCGCAGTTTATGGCATCATACTAGACATGATTAGCATACATGACATCACGATGACATCACCACTTTTCTATCTGGTTTTGTGTGTGGCTGTGCAGAAATGCGAACATATAAACCAGAGCCCCCCACTACTTGAAAAATTTCCGAAAATCATCTAGGTCACCACAAACAAAATCAAAGTCAGGTATGATAGACGATACTTCTCTTTGAGTGAGGTTATACGAACACGTTGGGTTATGGACGAATGATATCGCTACACTGACCTTTATGATACTTATAATAAACTTCATTTTCTCGCATTTTTGCCCCCATAAGCTGCGCATTTCCCCCAATTTGTAGCAATTTTCCTGAATTTTCAAGGAATCTTACATGATAGAATCATGGATTAAACCCAAGAAAATCATGGATTATGTCTGATTAAATCAAGCAATGGGTGCACGAAAGCCTGAGAATATCAGACATTGCATGTACAATGCATGTGGACTGCCTGACAGCTTCGTGATATAGCTTGTTCCTGGAAGATCTCGACCGCAGCGTATAATGTGGGTTTTGTGGATGCCCCGAGATTTTTTGGTACATCGGCAGTTACAAAATCCCGCTTAATCCATGAGCGTATCATGAACTTCGGGACCCAAACCTTGATTTTATTCCTCATAATTCACGATTTTTTCCGGATGATCCAGAATTCTATTGGGCATGATCCACCATATCCTTCGCCTTGGGCCATGACTTCGTCGGAGATTTCTGTGCGGATTGTAATCCACGATCGCGATGTGCAATCCATGTCTTATCGCAGACTAAGGGTCCTGATCATTCCACACCCCCAAATCTTCATACCACACCCCGGCGCACTCACAATTTCAAAAACATCTCAACAGCCATTGAACTTGGGAATACGGTAAGAGCGTAGAGAGATAGAGAGTAACTTTGTGAATATCCTGATGCCTTTGACTCGCAGATTTCACCCCACCAGCTGCTGTACTCTGCCAAATACTGCTGAGATGTGATGTGCAGATTTATGCATATATGCACTGTGCCACACCAGCCCCATCGCCGGGCTGAGAAGTGAGAAACAGTTGGTATCTTCTCCAAGGAACCTTCAAATCTGAATTTGAAGGTGGGAACGGATTCAGGGGACTTTTATTAATCTATATACTCTCTACCCTCCGAGATCCGATTTGCTGTTGGCGAGATATCCTGAGTTTTTTGTTGGTGCTGGGGTGTGGAATGAAGAAAATGGGGTGTGGATTGATCAAGACCCCAGACTAATCCATGATTCTGTCATGGATTATGCGCGCGCCCAAAGGAAATGGGGCTTAGTTCATGATTTTTGAGTTCGTAAGGGGATCCCATGAACGTTTCTGAGAACATTCCGGAATTTATTGGGCAAGATTCCACGAAACCTTGAACAGATCATGCATATGAGACCTTTCGGACATCGATGCTAGGGAGGTATCAATATCAGGCATGTAGCTAGACAGACATCAAATCAGAGATCAATTCTATCCCTAAGACCTGAACGCTAAGGACTTTCCATGAAACTTCTTACAGCTCGAAGAATGTTCATGAGCAAGAGTCTCACGTTCCCTGAAATGTGGCATGGATATTCCATGAGCAGATCCGTGATCTCAACAGGGATTATCCTTGAAAACCCCAGGATCTCAAATCCATGATAGCAAACTTCGTAGGCCATGGCCAGAGGTCGTCGGGCTTCTCCGACAACATGAAATATAGTTACGCAGCACCAAAGCCAAGTTGCACGCAGAAATATACTTGCCTCCATCATGATTGTATGTCCTTGCGATGCAATAATACGTCGACTTCAGGTTCCGATGAAGCGACAGCTGGACTGTAAAAGCCAGTTGCATGATAATGTATGCACTGGACCCAATGAAGGCAGAAATATGGGATTGCTATTCCCTATGCGACCCCCAAATTCTACCAAACACAATTATAAAACACGAATAAAATTATCCAGTATCACGAATAGAGTTATTCGAGTTAGTGGGACCTTTTGGGCACAATCTGGATTGACAATTCATCTTGAAAGTAGAATTTTTTATACGATTTACCAACACTACACTGTTATACTATTCTACCTCATGACTGCACACTGCACAGACTCGACGTTCATTGGTCCCATCTATTACAGGTCATCAATCTAGGCCCATTGAGATTATTGAAACTTAAATAAGACCTGAAAATTTCAGAAGCCCAACCTTGCCTCAATTCCCACTGTCAACGCACATATGCATGCCATGACGCTTCCTCTCATCTCTCCTTTGTTCAGCCAGTCGAAACAAGTTCATCTTCTTCATCATCATTGTCAACGTCAAACTCCGGGTCATCTTGGAAACTGCAATTGGACGTGTATCGATTTGATGCTCCTGAAGTGCGCAAGGTCTTCTTTCCGGGCTGTTCCCTACCATGATTCTTCATTGCCATTGGGTCAGCGCTGGTTAGTAAAAACCGTTGAGTAGTTGTTTTACTGTTGCTGTCAACAAAGTGCGGGACTCACCCGAATAAGAGGAGACATTGAGCAAGAGTGTCGAGATTAAATAACCATCATGTTAACCTTTCAGCAACAGCGATCATGTGCCCAGTTTGGGTTGAGACGATACAAGCCATAGCATTGGGAGAACAGATGGGAGAGGACCAGGGAGATGTAGGATTCGATGCTTTCGTCAGTCAGCCGTGAGACACCCAGGGAGATTGAGACGTTGATGGTGGTTGGTTCCTGGTTGGTGCTGAGGACTTGGTGAAATTTGCCAGCGCATCAGCAGTGCTCACTTGTCACTCTCGAGAGGCGCAGGCCGAAGAAACGCCACCAAAGACCATTGATCCTCGTCAATCCATCAAAGACCTTCCTCCCTCGAAGACCCTCCACCCTCGATGAACCTCGAAGACCCTCGAAGACCCATGAAATCTAGCCAACCTCACGATCCAAACCCGTCAAATAAGGTATTCGTGTACCATAAATTGGAATTCCACTCTACTTGAATACTTTCCCACTTTATTTGTGTTTTTCGTACAGTTGAATGACTTATTCAAGTGCCTTTGCTGAAAGTGGAATATGTTATTCCATATTTGGGCAATCACGAATCAGGTATTCGTGACAGTCGAATTCGGGGGGCTCGTAGGGATTGTAATCCCAGATGGGCAGCTCAAAGGTTCATAGGGAGACGCGTGCCCGACTGCGAGCTCTAATCTTGTACATAAGCATACCGTCTTAGCATATGGAGCCTTGTATGGCATCTGCATGTACATTGTAGTCGCAGCTGCAGGTCTTGATGGAGGTTTTACTTTTCCAACCTAAATTATAATGCATATGCTTTAGCTGCAGAAGGTAGGTATATGCCACAATTGCAATAGGCTTGAAGGCCATCGAAATGGTGCAAAAGGACCATCCATGGCATTTCTCAAGGGTCAAAGCGGTTGGCAGAACGGCAATTCTTAGCCTCCACGACAGATACAACCTTGCCCCTTGCCCGCAGTGCCTTATGTACTTGGCCTGCTAGCTGCCTGATTATTAGATGTACCTTGCGACGGTTTTTCAATTCACTATTGTCCGGCCGGTTAATCAAGCGACAGTAGTAGTTATCGATCTATGTTGGCACAGTTCAACTTTTGCACATGTGCCCCCGTCCAGCTGCGGGCCCGGCAGGAACCCGCACAGCCGACGCGGGCCTAAACTTTATTCTTCAGACTGAACAACGACGAAGAAATGGGAAAACGAAAGAGGCAAGAGATTGAGGAGCATGCAGAGGCTGAGCTGACTGAGGTGGCCAAGCTGTATTTCCTTGTGAGAGTTTGCTTTACTAACCAGCCCTGATCAGATCGGCGGTACCATCCTTCAGCACACCGAAGCAACCTTTCCACCGTCTCTCTTGAAGTACTGGCACCAACGGTACCGGTACTTCTCCCGCTTTGATGAAGGTATTTGGATGGACGATGACGGGTATGAATCCCCTGCATACCTACTCGACTCTCTGCTCATATATCCTCAGTTGGTTCTCAGTCACCCCCGAGAATATCGCTTGGCAAATCGCAGAGCACACCAAACAAACATATCATGCACGAGTGATAGTCGACGCCTTCTGTGGCGTCGGCGGGAACACTATACAATTTGCACAGACCTGCGACAAGGGTATGACGCCAGCGGTTATTGGTCTTGACTTGCCATGGTACTAAGTCGTGCGCAGTGATTGCTATCGACAATAATCCCGGCCGCCTGGCCTGTGCAAAGCACAACGCCGAAATATATGGAGTGCAAGATAAGATCGAGTTCATTGAAGGTGATTTCCTTACGTTGGCCGAACAAGGGCTAATAGAGGCGGATGCAGTGTTCATGAGGTACGTAACAGAACGGAAAATAGCATAGCTGCATCTGACAAACTTTTGAAGCATGCCTTGGGGCGGTATCAGTTACGGCGAGGCGCCTGTTTTCGATATCTGCACTATGGAGCCCTATAATGCGTGAGTTCCATTCGTTGCCACTATGAGCTGCACTGACCTTCGGTGATACCCTCCTAGACCAGATCTCATGCAAGCAGCAAACAAGGTGAGCAGGAACGTCATCCTTTACCTGCCGAGAACGTCCAGTCCAGAACAAGTATGTCTGAGCGCGACCGAATCGATACAGCAGCTAATGATGGTACAGATCGCAAGTTTGGCCAAGTCAAATGAGCCCGTTGAGATGCATTATCTGTATACGTCAGGGAGAGCAAAAGCACTGACAGCATATTTTGGTGGTGTATTGGTCGATCGATTATGAGGAACGGCAGCGGCTGAGCGAACGAATTTTGAGTTCCGGTATGAACTGAAGCTGTTTCTTCAATCGAGTGCAATACCCCAATACCCAGTTTCTCCATGGCCACGCTATCACGCTTTCCTAGACCCTCTCTTTCTGCATCCAAGACTCCCTCAATACATGTCCATGGATTGCATGGCCCACCCCACCGCAGTACGTCATCCCGGAACCCTTCTCCAGCACTCCTGTCCACTGGGTTGCTAGCAAATACATTCTTCCATACTTTGAACGCGATAGCGCGATCAAACACATATGAGCACCTAAGTAGTACGTGCCTCCATAAGCTAGCTAGATGACTGAATCACATTTGCCATGTTGTGCCCAGAACTTGTGTGTGTCCTGACAACGCAGCACGAGGGTCGCGAACAAAAAGCGAGGTCGTACCCGGAATCGAACCGGGGTTGTTCGGAAGCCGAGGCATCAGAACCGAAAGTGATAACCGCTACACTATACAACCAGATGGTTGATTTTTGCTGGGCCAGATTCAAAACAACCCCAAATGTGAACGTGACGTCAGGACTTGGAATGCCCCTCATCACGGATACAACCAACAGAGAGATTCACTTCCTTCAAGGCCGGCTAGGGAAGCAATGGAGGACCTTGTGCTCCGTCCCCAGACTAAGGCTTCGACCGAGCTTGAAAGCAACGTCAAGGAATCGACGCGCTCGCGGCATCCTTACCTGGACGGCAACTTTTACCCTCAGAAAACGGAGTTACACCTGGTTGAATGCTACTTTGAAGGTACCATACCTCATGTTCTGGCGGGTGGGCAATACTTGCGGAACGGTCCGAATCCGTCCCATCCACCAGCTCCTGAGCAGCCTTACCATTGGTTCGATGGAGACGGCATGGTTCATGGAGTATACTTCCACCAAGACCCGAAGACTGGCTGCATCGTTCCACGTTACGTCAACAAACAAGTAAAGACAGATGTGTTAATAGCATCACATCACTGGACCTTCAGCTTGATGCCATCGATTGCTACATTGATCGATCCTATCTCAACTACTACTTTACTGCTCAAAGCCATCTTGCGAACAGCGATTCTCAGTTTCTTGAGCGGAAGCACCAGGATATCGGTGGCGAACACGTCACTTGTATTTCATGACAACAGACTGTTGGCCAACTGCGAGAATGGACCACCTATGACTATATCTGCACCAGGGCTGGAGACACTTGGATGGCAGAGATTTATCGACCCTGATACTGGTCGAAATGCCGGCATGCCGGGCAGTTTCGATGAATGGTCAACCGCTCATCCAAAGGTGGATCCAGAGAGCGGTGACCTCATCACGTTTGGCTACAATATCTTTGCGCCACCGTACGTGCGATATTCCGTCATCGGCTCCGACGGAAGACACCAGACCTTTCAACAGCCGCTTGACTTACCAGAATCAGTTATGATGCATGACTTTGCTGTCACCAAGACGCAGTCAATCATTTTTGACCTTCCTTTATCTCTTTCACCATTCAATGCTATCAAAGGAGTGCCTATGATCTCATTCAACCCTTTACGAAGAGCAAGGTTTGGCGTCTTTCCCCGGTTGTACAAGGCTGGCGAAGATGAAATCATCTGGTTTGAGACTGATGCTTGCATGATCTTTCATTCCGCTAACGCTTGGGACGAACACGACGAGAAGGGCGAGGTGAATGCTGTTTGTATGGTTGCATGTCGGTTCCAAGGTGCGAAGCTAGTTCATGCGGCCGCTGGCATGGCGGCACCCGGTGGTGGAGGTACAGACGTCGTCCATCTTTTCTACTACAAGTGAGCTGAGCCAATATCCGCTGGCATAGAAATGCTAATAGTATGGCAGGTTTGATTTGAAGACTCGGCAAATCTCACATGCATACCCTTTATCAGACTTTCCGATGGAGTTTCCCACGGTTAACCCAGCTTACCTGACCAAGAAAAACCATTACGTTTATGGCGCATCACTCAGTTCCGGATCGTTTGATGCAGCACTATCTGGGGCAAAAATCGATACTCTTGTCAAGGTCGATGTCCAGGAGCGCATCAAGAGTCCACCTATGTGTGTAACCCAAGAAACCGCGAACCTCCCACCATCAGGATCAGGCGTGAAGAAAATTAGTCTCCCTCCAGGACACTTCGCATCGGAAGCCAACTTCGCACCGTCGAGACCAGATGATCCAGATGCCGAAGAAGACGACGGTTACCTGTTTATCATAGTTTATGATGAGGCGCGCCTGGATCCTGTCACCGGAGACGCGCCCGACGATGATCCTGATGCTTCATCTGTATGGATCATCGACGCGAAAGCATTCTCACTACCACCCATTACGAAAATACGCATACCGCAGAGAATTCCATTCGGATTGCACGGTACATGGGTGTCTCGTCAACAATTGGAATCGCAAGAAAACCTCCATATTAACGTTGACGGCCAAGTCGAGTTGAAGCCTGGGACCAAGACACGGACCGCTACTTCTATCAGTGCTCTTACAAGCTTATGGAAGTGGCAACTAGTTTGGGCGGGCAATGAAGTGAAGCGCGGTGTAGGAGACCTTGGAACTTTGAGCTTCGGTTTGAGCGCTCTGGTGGCTTGGGTATTGTTCTTACTCATGACTTGGGATTTATGGGCAATGTTGGGCGGATGTGCAATTCGGAAGGTATTTGGATGACACACAGTGGTAATACAATTAGGATACGGCGTTAGGCACATTCGTTCAGACAGCACAAACATAATGTTATTTTTAATCGTCCATACTCCGACAGCAAGCAAAGAAAACTGGGTACTATGATACAGCAGCATGCGAAACTCCTTTTCTCAGCATACACTCACGCGAAAGACCCGCTTTCACACACCTTAGATGTCCTTGGGGTGCAAGACACCAGCAACGTTACCCGCTTTGACACGCTCGAGGGTCAACGCAGCGATAAGAGCCGCACCGACACCGGAACCATCCTCAGCGTGGACAATGTCAATGTCATCACCAGCATCACCGAAGATGTCCCTCAAAGCTTCCGCACCGCGTGCCTTGAAGTGGGGGTATAAGTTGAAGACGGAACCGTCGGCGCCGACCTTGCACTTGGTAAGGCCAGCCTTCTTCGCGATGGCCGCGACACCACATGCGGAGAGACGAGCGGAACGGGTGCCGATCAACTCGGCCAAGCGACGGACGAGCTTGGCTTCCTGCTCGTTACATTGGATGCCGAGCTTAGTCTCAAGAACGTCGATAGTCTCTCTCAAATTTTCGAATGGGTCGAGCTCGATAAGGGACAAGATCTCGGTATCGATGGTGTAGGAAGTCTGGAGCTTGGCCACGGACTGGCCCAAGAAGATGTGGCCCTGCTGGTGAAGGTCAAGGAGAGCGAGACGGAAGACCTCACCCAAGTAAAGACCAGCGATCATCTTCTCGAAAGCCTGCTGTCCGGGACGAGGAGACTCCTTGTCGATGATGACGTCGTACTTGGTACGGGGGAGGACATCCGGACGGTCGGAGAAGGCTGCACCCCACTCGCAGTTGATGGCCATGGGGGTGTCTGGGGGAAGGTTGTGCTTGGCGACCTTGGGGATGTTTTCGGCAACCTCCATGTAAGCAGCATTACATCCGGTACCGAAGATGACACCCATCTTGGTATCGGGGTGAGCGTAGTTGGAGGCAATGAGGGCACCCGTGGTGTCGTTAATCAAAGCAGTCAACTTGATCGGGACACCCTTCTCCTTCAAAGCAGCCTCGAAGAGAGGAACGACGTCAACACCCTCAACGCCCTTGACATCGAATCCCTTGGTCCAGCGCTGAAGGATACCGTGGTCGATAGCGTGCTGGTCGCAAGGGTAGGAGAAGGTGAAACCGAGGTGAAGCTCCTCCTTGACAACACCCTCGTGGTGGTCGTGGACGAACTGCTTCAAGCAGTCGGCAATGTAGCCGAAAAGCTCCTCGGCAGTAGAGGTCTTGACGGAGGGGTCCATGCGGTACTTGGACTGGAGGATGTCGAACTTTCCGTGGCCCATGAGGGTGATCTCACAGACACGCAAGTTGGTACCACCCATATCAAGGGCGAGGTAAGTTCCCTTCTCCTCGCCGTTAGGGAAACCGAGAACCCAGGTGGGCAATTGGGGCTGTATGCTTGTCAGCCGTCGGATCGAGAAGAAGTACATCTATACGCACAATAGAGGAACCCTCCTCAGTCAAACCCTTCTCGAACTCCTTGACGAACTCATCGCAAAGCTCGTTGATTCTCTGCTTGTCGACGGTAAAGAGCTTCTCGAGGTCGGTGATACAATCCATCAAATCTTTGGGCACATCGGCCATCGAGCCCTTCCTGCGGGGCGGGTTTCTTCCGAGGTTTAAATGGTAAGTATCCATATTGACAGATCAAACAGCACAAACGTCACGTCCGAGCTACAAGCAACCGATCGCAATGGATTGATAGTACGGTGTAACCCTTTGGGGGTAGGCAATGTACATGTAGTAGCAGGCCATGCGACGGCGCGCCGGAGGAGATGCGGGCGAGCTTGTGCCATAGGGGAGGGAGAAAGCAAGACATACCGGAGTTCTGCGGCGAATTAGATCAGCAGACATTCTTGCGAAAGCGGAGGTGACAGCGGTTGGCTGCCGGACATGACCTGAGATAGCAACCAATTGCAATTGACAGGAGGCATGAACCGGAACAACTCGCCAATGGAACGAGAACTTACGAGGAGCCATTGATCTATTTGATATTGATTGATCGTTGTTGGTCTTTCGAGACTGAGTTCTTTGGTCGTCTACAGTGGTTACGTCGCTCTTGGGTTTCTCCGTGCGCTACGGGTCAACTTCCGGCGCTTGAACGGCACTTGTTCGGCGGAATGTCGGTTATCTGCAGTTTAAAGTTCTGAGTGTGAGCGGGGTATATTCCTAAGTCAATTAACGCCGATGTCCTGGTCCTTGTAGCAGTCCCGCTGCCGTTCCCTTATCCTCTTCCTCCTCTCCTTCCCTCTCTAACAAACCACTCCTCCATGGCCATGGGGTCTTTCCTGATCGCGCGCGGCTCCACTCCGCTCCAAAGCAGCTGTAGCTCCATCCTCCTTCATCATCGATATCGCCAAATCCCAATTTCCACATAGACCAATGCACATAGTCCGAACGTCGCTATCATGCGATCACGCACATGTCCTCCAATGCCAAGTCTCGGTTGTGTCGGGTCTTGGGGTTCTCAGACTAAATCAATACGCCATTGAGGTAAGCATGTCGTCCATTGGTGTTGGATACCCGGGCCTCGTCATGAACCCGGAGAAACATACCTGGATGAGGATCAACACTTCCGGACGGACCGGCATCGGCGGTAAACAAACTGGTTTCACGGGCATTTCGATCGACGTCGCCTTGTTTGAAGTTCTGTGAAACTGCAACGAAGGGGGAGGGTCCTCGAGACTTATAAAGCGTCACAGACTTTTCAGCGTTACGGACAGCCTCCCTTTGAAACCTGTTCTTTCTTTCATCTTGTTCCTTTTCTCATTGCTTTACCGTTCTTAGGTCCGGGGAAGAACAATACCTACCCTCCGCAATGCCCAGGAACCTATTATTCTCGGAGCATGTGCCCCATCCACAACGGGCACATGGCTGCGCACAAGGGTTATAGATGTAACGAATATGCAAAGGACTCTGACGACAGTCTGTCTTGACTATACTAATGCAAACCACTTTCTCACGCCGAATAATGAGCGAGCCTATATAACCTAACATGACCCTGCTCATTTCCGATGCACAACATCTCACTTCCCTGGCTGAATTCCACCGCACCAATCTTACCCAACGGCGTATTCATCGTAGGCCAGTTCTTGAAAACCGTTCCGCTTGGGAGGTGTACCAATTTCAACATATCCTTCTTGACTCTCGATGCCATGGCCAGCACTTGTCCATCGTGAGAAAACGCGAGTGTGTGGACGGAGGTGGTGAGTTGTTCGAGGGTACGAAGGGGTTTGGGCTCGGTTGTTGTTGAGGTCATCTTGCGACGGTCGTAGACGTTCACGATACCAGTCTTGGAGCCGACGGCGATGTATCTGCTGTCCTCTCCACCCAAGGCAATCCGCACAGTGGCAAACCCACCCTCATCTCTCCATCGTCCGACAATTCTTCTTTCATCAGAGTTCCACTCCCAGAGCTCACCAGCAGTATTCGCAATCGTCAATCCCTCTCCCGCCGCCCACCATACCAAATCCGCAACCTCACCCTCGACCTTGACACCAGTGATCCACTGTCCCGTGGTCGCATTCAAGATATTCACCCAGCCCTTTTGACCCAGCAACGCCACATACCGTCCACACGGCGACAACTTGAACGTCTCCATACTCCTCTGCATACTCTCATGCCCATACATCCTAGAAATCTTCTCCACAGTCCCCGTCTCCAAATCCCAGATATAGAAATATCTTCTCCGTCCACCGATGAACACCCTCTTTCCATCCGGGTGGAACTGTGCGGTCTGAATCGGCATAGACTTGACATGCAGCGAAGTAACGAGCGGGTTGACCTTTCCATCGAGATGGTATATCCGTACCATTCTGTCATAACCACCCGTCAACACCAACGGATGGGTGGGGTGGAAGGACATCGTCTGAATTGCCGCTGCAGAAAGCTGTTGCTGATTCGCATCCTTCAACCTCGAAATATCAATCGTACCAGGCGCCAACGCCGCACTCTTTGTCTTCCGAACATACCCCTCCGCTCTCTGAAACAGCGTCTTCAACGGATCCGCACTCAAATCCTGATCCATCTCGTCGGCGCTCTCATCATCGCTATCAGCCTCCGCCCTCAACCTCTTTGCCCGTGCGGCGGCCTTTGCGCCTGCGGGGAGGGCCCATTCTGGCACGGGGTACACGCGCTCGAATTGTAGTCGTAGTCGCCGTTGGTAGTCTTTTCCGGTGACGTGATCGTCAGCTTCTGTGCGGCGCAATTTTCGTAGACGAGGATGGGAGGCGAGGGAGACGGTGATGCGTTCGTCGTCAGAGTCGTACCATGCTGCTTCTCTGACATGCGGTGCTTCATCTTCTGAGATGTATTCCTCGGATTCGTCGTCGTCGACATCGGGTCCGGTTCCAGGTGCGTCGTCCAAGAAGAAAAGGTCGTTGTCGGCCACTTCCTCCATACCGTCATCCTCAGGCTGCTGATACGTTCCGTCGGTGACCTCCACATCACGATCCTGCTCATCCGTATACCCAACGCCAAACTCCTCATCGCCCAATTGCGCAATTCCTTTTCTAAACCCCTCATCATCACCGAAAATCAAGGCCTCGAGCTCCCTTTCCTCCTCATCCTTCTGAGGCAAAGCGCGTGCTGGCTTTTCAACAGGCTTATCTGCCACAGCCACTGCCACAGACGTCGATTGTCTTCTCTTTGACTTTGAGGGCATTGCGGATCTGCTGTTCTTCAATCTTTTTACCCTTCTCTCGAGGAGTGTTCAAGGTGATCCAACTTTTGCTGCTTAGCCACACGCCTGCATCAGGGACCGCACCATCTTACAGGAAGAGACAACCACCAAACTTCAATGCTAAGAGTAGGTACTTGAGATGTCCAAGGTGTAAGTGTGACGCTCAATGGAACGGAATGAATGCTAACAGGGAATGTAGACTGCTTCTCGGCTCGCCAGAAGGCAACATCCAGCAAGCCTTCGCTAAGGCTGCGATCATCCAAACCAAGCAGGCATTCGATGTATGCATCGTTACCGGTGACCTGTTCAATGGTCAGAACGAAGACCAGGTAGATGCGCTGCTACGAGGTGACATAAAAGTACCAATCACTACATACATGACTCTGGGAAAACATGCGCTCCCATCGACAATAGTCGAGAAGGTACAGCGGGATCACGGAGAGATTTGTGAGAACCTCTTCCTGCTCGGGCGCGCAGGGTCGTTGACCACCGCAGAAGGTTTGAAGATGACTTTCCTTGGTGGAGCATACGACGTGGACGCATACAATGCCACTGTCGAGGGTGCAGATGAGTATTCGCCGTATTTTACCCACGCAGACGTCGAGAAGCTTTGCTCCGCATCAAAGCCCGACTGCGACATCCTCATCACCTACGAATGGCCAGAGTCAGTGCGACAGTTCTCCAAGCAAGATTTGGCTCGTGATGTCAAAGGTGTTCCGCCTGTAGCACAACTCGCCACCGCTGTCCGCCCCCGGTATCACTTTGTCGGCTCGCAAGGCAACCTCTTCTACGAGCGCGAGCCATACCGCAATATCAAGCGAGCCGACGAAGAGGCTGACCCACATGTCGCCCGATTCATCTCGCTTGGTAATGTGGGCAACCCTGAGAAAATCAAGTGGTTTTACGGCTTCAACATCGTCCCTAATCAGACACCCCAACCTGAGCCTGCGACTACGACAGCTTACCCATACACGGAAGTCAACACCAAGAAGCGCGGACTGGAAACGGTCACGACTGGTTCAAATGGTTTCTTCTGGTCACCGGATGAGTCTGAGCCGAAGCGCGCGAGACGAGAAGAAGATGGAGCCAAGAGGGAACCGCCAGAGTCCTACGTATGCGCACGGTGCAGCATTAAAGGTCACTGGATCCGAGACTGCGATACCCTTCCCGAAAACTACGTCTGCAAAATCTGCAAGCAGACCGGCCACCTCAACAAGAACTGTCCAGAGAGAGACGAAAGCGCACCAAAGAAGCCAAGGAGGGGATACAAGTGCAAGATTTGCGGGTCTGGTGATCACTATATTGGTGATTGTCCTGAGAAGGGGAAGTTGTCTGCTGACCGAGGACCGAGGATTAATCCGGATTCATGTTTCTTCTGTTTGTCGAACCCGCGGATTGAGAAACATCTTATTGTTTCGATAGGTATTGAGACGTATGTTGCGCTGGCTAAAGGCCCACTTATGACGTCTAAGACCAACGCGAAGCTGGAAGTCCCTGCGCATGCACTGATTATCCCAATTGCTCATCAAGCAACACTGGTCCACTCTCCAGACACAATAGCTGAAATGGGGAAATACCGTGAAGCGATCAAAGCGATGTACGCTGAACACGACTGTGTTCCTGTAACATTCGAAGTCTCACGGTCAAGTGGTGTCCACGCGCACTGGCAAATCATCCCAATCCCCAAAGAAAAGGCTGACGAAGTCGGACCTAAGTTCATGGAGTTAGCCGAACGAGAGTCATACGAACTTTCCGAACGTGCTCTGCAAGAAGGTGAAGAAAACTTCTTCCGAGTCATGCTACCTAATGACACAGAACTCGTCCACGCAATCAATAAGCGGTTTGATCTTCAGTTTGGTAGGAGGGTGATTGGGGAGTTATTGGGTATTAGCGAGCGAGCGGAATGGAAGGCGTGTGTGCAGAGCGAGGAGGAAGAGAAAGAGGATGCGCAAGGGTTTAAGAAGTTGTTTGCGTCGTATGACTTTACGTTACAGTAGTGAAATAAATTAGGGGGATAAAATGACGGAAGGGATCATAAGCAGTTAGACGAGCGGCCGTTCATGAGTAGAGACGGAGACGGTTGTTCGTGTGCTGGGGAACGCACCAAAGGGAGGCAAAAAAGCGAGGTCGTACCCGGAATCGAACCGGGGTTGTTCGGAAGCCGAGGCATCAGAACCGAAAGTGATAACCGCTACACTATACAACCAGATAGTTGGCATTTTTGACCATACTACCAATATAACACCGTTCCCAGCCGTGACGTCTAGTGTAGTCATATCCTCGTTACACGGCATCTGTATTCCGAGCATACAATCCGAGCGCGTTGGCGTACATTCAGGACAACGACCAACGACCGAGCACATCTATGTCAGCGTCTGTCGTCCGGAACAGAAGCCCAATGCCAAAGCCGGCGAGCACGGAGGATCTACGCAGTGAACTAGACAACTCCGCTCAATCTGGTCTCGACAATGGAGCGGAAACACAGCATTTAACCCTCCGGTCTATCGTCGTCGGTATGTATCCACACTATCTCGCACACTGTACAGCTCATTGTTTCTCTAGGCATCGCTATCGGCACTTTAGTTACTTTCAGCAACTGTTACTTCGGCCTTCAAACAGGATGGGTTTCCATGATGAGCCTGCCGTCCTCACTCATTGCATTCGCAACCTTCAAAGCTTTCAGTTCGCATTTATCGACGCCGTTCACGCCTACGGAGAATGTGTTGTGTCAGACAATTAGTGTGGCTGTTGGGACGATGCCTCTTGCCGCTGGTACGCTTCTCCTCAGTGTCCAATCCTGTAAACTGACGTAGTATTTTAGGGCTCGTCGGTATCATCCCCGCCATGGAAAAGCTTCTTACAGCAGAAGAAGGAGGACCCATAACCTTCAATGTATGGCAGCTGATGATTTGGAGCGCCGGAGTTGCGTTCTTCGGCGTTTTCTTCGCCGTACCATTACGGAAGCAGGTCATCATCAAGGAGAAGCTCCCTTTCCCGTCCGGAAAGGCCACCGCGACAATGATTTCTGTATTACACGCACAACCTTCCCGGTCTCCCAACTCGCCGGGATTCACTGAGAAGTCCTGGGGGACTAAGATGAAGTGCCTTATGTACTCATTCGCTGCATCCGGCATTTACACGATCTCAACCTATTTCGCGCCGGCTCTGCGTTCCTTACCGGTATTTGACTGGATAACCTTATACAAGTTTAATCTAGCAGAAGACTGGTTGTGGGCTTTCCAGCCCTCCCTAGCATATGTGGGTCAAGGTATGATCATGGGTCTACCTACAACTCTGTCAATGCTCCTTGGTGCCATCATTGGGTGGGGTTTCCTATCTCCACTTAGCAAATCGCAAGGATGGGCGCCAGGTCCTGTCGATGACTGGGTTGAGGGAAGCAAAGGTGATAGGCCATTTATCCCTCCGAGGTCAAAGCTAATGGCTTATCACAGGCTGGCTCCTTTGGGTCTCACTCGCTATCATGCTTTCGGACGCTATGATCAGCTTATTGGTCGTTATTGTTCGCGCTTTCGCGGCATTCACTGGAAGGAGTGATCAAGGAGGGCGCTACAGTCTCCTCAACGAAGAGTCTGCCAGCGCTCCTACTGTCTCGCGTCCCCGGAGCAATACAGCAGGAAGCCAGGTGGTGGATCACGATGAAGATCCATCCCTTTTCAGGTCAGATCTGCAAGGCAAAGATAATGAGCCCGATCCAGATGCTCCGCCGGAGGAGTTGGTGAGTACGAACACCATTGTCATAGGTTTGTTTGGCTCAAGCGTGCTGTGTATTGTGGCAATCAAGCTCGTGTTTGGAGATATAGTGCCGGTATATGCTATTGTCGCCGCAATCCTTTTGGCATTGCTTTTGTCTGTGCTTGGGGTGAGAGCGTTGGGTGAAACGGATCTTAATCCAGTCAGCGGCATCGGGAAAATCAGCCAGTTGCTCTTCGCCTTCATTGTGCCGAGGTCAAACGTCAATGCTGTGATTATCAATCTCGTTGCGGGAGGTGTTGCGGAAGCGGGTGCTCAGCAAGCCGGTGACTTGATGCAGGATTTGAAGACTGGGCATCTCCTAGGTGCTTCCCCGAAAGCTCAGTTTCAGGGTCAGATGATTGGTTCTGCTTTCTCTGTGGTGCTTTCAGCCGTCATTTACAAGCTGTACATGCACGTATATGAGGTACGTTGTTCTTGAGAATACTCACCTGTTTACATGCTTATCTTTGACTATAGATCCCTGGGCCTATCTTCCGTGTTCCCACGGCAGAGGTATGGATTGATTGCAGTCGATTGGTCATGGGTCATGGGCTGCCTCCCATGGTTCGCCCGGCGTGTATTTTGTTTGCCGTCATTTTCGGCTCCATCTCACTGATCAAGGCTACCGTACGAAAACCCTGGACCATTTACCTTCCCTCAGGTCTTGCTGCGGCTGTCGGAATGTACAACCTTCCTGAATTTACATTAGCACGAGTTGTCGGCGGTGTTCTATCGTGGTGGTGGTTGCGAAGATGTCGTGAGAGGCAGGATCAAAAAGCGGAGGTATTGAGCATCATCATGGCGTCCGGATTGGTTCTTGGCGAGGGTGTATTTTCCATCTTGAATTTAGCGCTGGCCGCAGCAGGATGTCCTCACCTTTAGCTGGGTCTCGCAGTTTAACAGGGTTCAGGCAAAGAACAATGACCCGGAATATGAACTCTGACTTGCATTTTGCTTATGATATTCAATGCCCCATTATGCTGATGCTGCTAGCCAACAAAACAAAAGAAACCAAGACCTAGACCAAGAAGCATACTTCTGAAAATTCAACCTCCAAGTTTAGTTCTGCGGCGGCGGGCTGGCAGCAGCGGGGGTAGCGGCACCTGAAGCACCTTGCGCGGCCGCTTCATCGAACTTCGGACACAGTCTGGACGTTCGCATGTGACCATATGCTCCACACGCTCCGCAACGCCTTCCCTGACCAGTAGCCGGACTTCCCGTGTTGGGAGTTCTGTAGAGCGTACCCGCAGCCTTCGCGGCCTTACGAGCAAGACGCCTCTCCTGGTTACGCTTCAGACGAGCAAGTTCATCCTGGAGAAGTTTCATACGACGACGGTTGGCGTCTTCGTCATTCGTAACCTCGATGGACTCGGGGTTTGCCGCGCCATCCTCAATTGCCTGTCGGCGGCGCACATAGGCTCGGATGACTGACGGATCGCGAACAATCTCAATCTTTCTCTCGATATCTCCGTATGCGTTCTTCACGAGACGCGTGATGCGCAGAACTTTGTTCGCGCTGTTGGCGCTCATTTCAGACATGACATCGTCGTCCATGACACTAGGATGGGGCGACGCGCCGAACTCTGACCTGGGTGTACCAACTTCTGTTCTGTTCCCCTCATCGAAATCGCCCTCCATCAAACCCACCGGTTCTTCCTTGTTGCTCAAAGCCGTCTTCTGCGCCGACCAGATACGCTTGATCTCGCTCTCATACGCCTGCTGCTGCTGACGCACATTGTAGCCATGACTCTTATTCTTGTCCTTATCGTTCGGATCCACCCTATCTTCAACAGCAGTGTCTGTGTTTGACCTGAAACCGCCTTTCATAGATGTGCGGATGAAACTGAATGCCTCTCCACGACCAGTAGGATCACCTTCACCGTTCAACATCAACATCGCCTTACCCTGCGTCGCGTTAATGAAATTCCGTGTAGCGATCCAGGGTGCGAGTTGTTGCTCAGCGGACATCTCCGATTCGTCTTGGTTATCTTCCTCTTCCGCAGTCTTGCCATAACCAGCATCCTCGAGATAACGACGGCCGACATGCATACTTTCCAACAAACAGACAGTCTCGGGAGAAATCATAGCTCTGACACCCTCCTCTGGTGGCAGAGGTTCGGAAGGCTTCAGTTTCCAGTAACCTTGGTCTTCACCCGTGTGCTGATACTCCATGAATTCCTTCAGCCTCTGACGGATCTGCGTATCGCTTTGATCAGGGAAGTGCTTCGTCACATCCCTAACAAGTAAGCGCTGGTTCGGTGTCTTGCTGACCAAACGGAACACCACCATCTTCAGACGATTCTTGCTAGCGGTCGTGACCTTGCGAGAATGAGGCCCAGGTACTTCAATGCTCGGGAATATCTGTCCAGCAAGATAGAGATGCTTGATGCCACGAATGTAGTATCTCGTACCGGTGTTGTCGGTACTTCTGACAACAAGGAAATCCGTAGGCTTGTTCTCGTGCCTAAACACAGGCGCTCGCAACATGTTGTTGTAAAGTGTCGGAACCACCTCGCCTTTCTCAATTTCTCCGAAATTCCAGAACGGACTGCGGTCTTGTAAACCCAAAGGTTGCGGCTCTCCAATCTCCATTTTTGGTCGATACTCATCCGTTTCGGTTTTCTTGCGATAGTAGTTGATGACTTTACTTCCCATACCCACATTCGACAAGACAGGCGGGTGTTCCTCGGAATATTCGACCAAGACAAAGTTTCCGTTATCAGCGAGAGAAACATCCTTTGTTGTTTGGAGCGTCATGCGGTCCTTTGCTTTCTTGTCCCTCTTCTTCAACTTAGTGAAATGAATGGGATGGTTGAGCATAAATGAAAGTTGTGGCCGATGGAAGGATCTCGCTTCGGCCTTGGAGATGCGCGTCTTGTACTGCACAATATTTGTCAGTTTGGCTCTGCCAGCACCTTGAAAGTGTAGAGACTTACGTATGGACACTGCAAACGATTTGCAAATGGCGCGTGCTCGATGTTAAGCTGACTCAACATCTGTCGGATACGAGATTGAGAGTCGGCCCGCAGAGCATCGTACGCCTCGTCGTTCGAGATGTTGTATCGCTTAAGGAGAGCACCAGCGCCGCTCTGGAAAGCACTCTCGAAGTTCCGCTTGAGCCCATTACTAGCTTTAGCTGAAGCATTGTCAGCATCAAAATCCTCGTTATTTCAGTAGGTGACTCACTCTTCGCCTGATCAAGCAACAAATTCGGGTCATTCTGATCCAGAACGACCTTGTTAACCCTCTCCAAATTCCCCTCAAATACCTCTTCATCAATCCACTTCAAATCGCTATCGCCTGCTGTAGACGCGTTAATATTTGTCGGTTTGACTCGTTTTGGCGCCGAGGTATCCCACGCAATTCGTGACTCCCAGTCATCGACGGCCATGTATAGACCCACATCCACACTGTCCTCAGGGCCTGATGCATCGTCCTGGTCATCTTTGGATTTGTCCTGTGCCGTGGTTGGTGGCGGCGGCTTGTGTTCGGGTAACCCCGCGGCACGGATACCGCGATGGGCCGGACGACTCGCTTGCAATAACCGCAGAGCATCGTCGACCTCCACATCCAACTGAAGACGTGCAGGCACACACGGCTTAACCTGCTTTCCCGTGCCGTATACCACGGGCGCAGGCTTAACCGCAAACAACTCCGTGAAACGCAGAATCGCACCAGGCTTGAAACTTGGGAACAGCTCCTTCAGCATCTGCTCCTTCGTCTTTCCCTGAGCCTGACGCGCCGCCTCAAATTGATCGATCATATCCTGATCATCGCCATCACCTGCAACACGATCGAACTGTCCGGGAAGCTGCATACCCCCAACATCAGGAATATTGTAGATATCCATGTTGATGGCATCTTTCCCGCCGACCTTGCCCTCCATGAGCATTTCCTCCAGCGTCTCGTCCTCGTATCCGTCCGGTCGATTTGTAGCCTCCTCCTCCTCCGGTAAACTCCCATCCGACAGATTATCTTCATCAATCATCTCGCCATCTGCCAGTCCTTCGAACTGCTGTTGACCACCCCCAAACACCCCCATCCCTTCATCATGACCAGAGTCGGGTCCGGGCTGACCATATGTAGGCAGGCCATCAAGATCCTCAAGAGGCGTTCCACCTAGCGCTTCTCCAAAAATCGCATCAACATCGTCGACATGGTTCTCCTCCATGGGTACATGCTGCTGCACTAATTGTTGTTCGGGCGAATCTGGTGCTCCCCATGCTGCTAGGAGGCCATTCAGGTCGTCGCCGCCTGCTGCGTCACCAGCGTTCGTGTCAACGTTTCCGAAAATTGCGTCGAACGACATTGAGTAGCAGTTCTATGCGGCGTCCGTGGCACTGAGCGAGGTAAATGCTATATGGACTGACGCTCCCGTCGGCTCCTGCTCACGCAGGCCGTGATATATGCTGTACAGAATGCCGTGACGCGCCGAATGAATGCCTCAGTCAACAACAGCTGCTGCTTTTGGGCCTCCTTGTTGATGTTGTTTTCGTGGAACGTACGAGCAGCCGGTCGCGGTGCTGCTGCAGGAGGCTGCACGGGAAGCATGAACACGCATACAGGCAAGTTGATCGTGGGAAACTTCAAGAGGCGGCAAACTGCTCAGCATCCGCCGTGCCCCTCGCCACATCGACCATCCGAAACAGCGGCAGACACGTCGCCAGCATCAGGAACAAAAACACAAACGCGTACCGCATCTCCCCCGTGACCGACACGAGCAACGCAACCACAGCCGGCCCCAGCGCACTGCTCCCTCTGTCTCTCGTGTCAGCCGCACATCCTTCATACACGTAACGGGAACGGGGTGGCGGGACATACTCGTCGGTAATGGAGTACAGCGCAAACCAACTCGTCTCCTGCCCCCTCACAACCAACCCCCCATACAAGCTCCTACAAAACCCCCTCAACCCACCATGCAGAAACCCAAACCCCGGCGCCACAAAATACATCTCCTCCTTCCTCGTCAACCCTCCCACACCCCACTCCCTCACCCTCGGTATCAGTCCCAACATCCCGTAGAGTGGAACGAGGAGGGAGAGTGTTATGATGAGGTACATTGTACGGAGGGGAGAGAGGTGGAAGCGGATTGCTATGCGGGGCCAGGTGTAGGCGCCGAGGATTCCGGCTAGCGTGTAGAGGAGGCCGATTATTGCGAGGCCGGAGGTGTTGATTTTGAGGGTTGTTTTGGCGAAGAGGATTGCTGTACCGGTCATTGTTGTGTATGCTAGACTTATCGTGTAAGTGGATGATTGCTGGATAGAGGTAGTGGGGTACAGTACGTACCATCACTGAGGAGAAACCACCCTGACAGGAAAAGAGAGATATCCTTCAACTGCCGAGCAGCCTTCATGATTCCCCATAAAGCTCGCCATGAATACCGGATATACCCCCAAACACCCGTCCGTCCTTCGCGTTCCTCCAAACTCAACGGAGGTCCAGGCCGTGGTCGCATCCAAATGACGACAGGGATGGAAAAGAGGAGCCACCTGTACACTATCAGCATGTACCTCACAACAGCTGCAAAACAACCTACCATACACCAGTGATCAGGATAATATTCTGAAATGCACTCGACGTCGAGGAGGATTTCTGCATAAGCACCAGAACAACGCTCAACTGAAAGATGATCGCTCCTAGATACCCTGCCGCAATACCTTGTCCGGAAATCTTGCTCGACAAAGCTAGTGATACATCCGTATCCTGTCTCGGACTTGCATTATTATTCTCTCTCAGCAACGTCTCTGTGTCTTCACCCCCATCCTCATGCGACATAGAAGCTTCCAACTGTTGCTCGGCTTCAGCTACGTCGTGTATCACTACATTCGCCAAAACCTTGGGATGCGACCGACACAACACCGGCAGAAACGAATTCAGACACGTAAACGCCGCACCCAGACAGATCTAATCCCACACGTCAGGCTCATCATCCTCACTCATCACCTTTGACAACAGGGATACACTTACGTTGACCAAACACGCACAAACCCCAGCCAGAAGGTACGTCTCCACAGCCCCAAACATCATCGCCGCTACCGCCCCAACGAAAGTGAAAGCGAGTAGGAGGAGTTTACGGTAATTACCGTGATCAGCCGCACCTGACATACTCACCACCGCAATCGCCTGTAACACAACCGACAACGAAAACACGTACAGTGCGTAAGACGCCGTATCCACATCCCGCCCAAACACCACAAGTACACACCTCTCCCCATCCTCCACTACCGCCGACTCAGATTGCGCGAGACATGGAGTGAGGTGATCGGATGCGAGTACACCGCTCTTCGCAGCTAATGTATCGAGAACGATTGGGATGAATGTCCCGACCGATGTCACTGCGACGACTTCAGCGGCGAAGGCGTAAGAGTACCATGCCCAGATCTCTGAGCGTTTGGTTGGTGAGTTATCCATTCTCACATCTGAGATCATGACAGTTGGTGGTTTGGTGTTTTGTGGGGATTTGGCGGGGATGAGCGCGTACGTGCATGATTGCGGGTGCGAGCATCTCTCCCACGACAAACCTTGAATGCTAAGAATTGTTTGATCTTGGGTATCTTCGGTATCCTAACATACACCCTCCTTCTCCGCCCCTCCACGCTCTTTCGTTAAAACACGGCCCCGCCCACGCAAAACAATCTCCCCTCTTCCCTCCTCGCCCACTTCACAATCACATTTGCATTCTGCACCAACACCCAGATCGGGACCCTCGGTCCTCCAACACAGTACAACTCAAACTCAGGCGTCACCCACGCGAACCCCGTCTCTGTCTCCGTCACGACTTCGTGTAGTCGGTCTTTGGTGTGTTTCTCGTGGATTGCGGCGTGTAGACGATGATATAGTTGTCCGAGTCGTCGGCGGTCGGGGAGGGGGTTGTAGTGGTGTCCCCATGGCGGCATTACAAATTGTACGTTCGCTCGAGATTTGTAGAGGAAATGCCGGATGTACCCCGCTCCGATCTCCGCACAGGTCTTCCGTCCCCGCCCCACACTGCCCTCGACCTTTCCCAACAGCTTACCTTCACGCATTTCCTCCTCGATTCGTTCCCTGACCCCCCTCAACGCGAAAAAGCCCTCCTTCTCCGCACTAACCAACACACATCTCAACCCTGTTCCCCCATTGCCGCTCCCACCCCCGATCCACCCCAAATAAACATACAAAAACCCATTCGGATTAAACTTTGGCAGACAAATCGGCAACCAATGTTCCCCTTGTGAGAATGTACTGCTGTTGTAAAGCATATTGAACAGCAAATGTAGGTCAGATGGATGTAGACTGTGCTGCCGGGGCCGGACGATATCAATCAACTGCCCCCCCGGCGCCACCAAAATCCCATACAACAATGCACTCTGGCGGCCCTTTCCTTTTGCTGTCGGGTCATGTATGGAGGAAAGGAGAATCTTGGATATCGCAGCCCGTGTTCTTTGTCGTAACCACAAACTCTCCACACCCCCAACCAACACCCCAGCCTCAAATCCCCTACACATTCCCCTCCCAAAACTCCTCAAAAAAACATCCGTCCCTCCAAGCAACCTCCTCAAATCATAATTTCCGCGACGAGAGAAAGCGCTGTTCAAAGCGGGCAACGTCAGTGTACTCACAATCTGCGTATACAGCGCATCAAGCTGCGTCCTCAATTGTCCCTCACTCTCCTCGCACGAGCTTATCGCAACCAGATATAACCCACCCTCTGCCATGACCACAAATCTGTATGGTCCAGCCTCGAAGGATTTAAGTTGGTCGTCGAGGTCTTCCCAGAATGAGATGATGGTTTGTATGACGGCGACGTAGCCTGCGATGAGGAGTTCGTCGCCGTAGGTTGCGTAGATGGGTTTTCCGGCGCGGGAGAGGATGAGGAAGTTTTTTGGACGGTGGCGGAATTTGTCGAGGCGTTCCTCTACTCCAATGATCAATGAGAATCCATCATGGGAAGAGGACAAGTGCGTACCTTCAGTTAGCCCTTCATCGTCTTCGGACTCTTCTTCTTCCTCCTCGAGGTACGAGAATGAGAGACGTTCGGAGACGGCATCAGACATATCCCGCTCCACATCCCCAACAGTCAATATCGTCGGCGCCAAACTCTTCAGTGACTCCCGCCTGCTCATGATGGGCGGTGGGTCATGAGCATCATCCAATTCTACCTCAGCCATATTATTTGTGTGCGGGTGGGTCGGGTACCTGGCCCTGCGCTTCGCCGGAACCTGTACTGTAACGTCGACATCCCCCGCCTATGCCACAAGTAGCAACCGGGAATGGCTACGTTACAATCGATCAGGGCGGACTATACATCGGACTCTGCGTATCGGAAATATGCGAAGGAGGTTGATCGCGTTCTTGGGACTTGGGATACCGATATCCAGGAGTGGGCGGATCATATCGCTTTTCTCGGGAGGTTACTGAAGGTACGCCATCCCCCACCCTTCTGCCAATTGATCCCTCGCTAAGAATGGAGGTCATAGGCACTGCAATTACATCCATCAATACCCCGTATACCGTCACCACTTTTGACTTCGAGTCGTCTAGCGCAATGCCTCTCCCCCCACCTCCCCTCCGGCGTCCACCTCCGCGCCCTCGAAGTCTACTCCTACATCTTCTCCAAAATCGGCCGCGACGGCCTCGCTACCTCCTTCACCCTCTACTGGCCAGGCCTCGCCCCAGTCCCCTCCTACGCCTCCTCCGCCGTTAAAGACTCTTTGCTGAGTTTGATCGCGATCTTCATCCCCCCACTCGGGCCAGCGTTGATGGATAGTTTGCCGTCGGTGTTGTTGGGGTTGTTTTTGGTTAGCCCGGATGATTTGGGTGATGTGCTGCCGATTTTGGAGGCGGTTAGAGAGGGATGTGGGAGCGAGTTGTGTTGGTGGTCTACGATTTGGTCGCTTGCAAGGGAAGGCCGGTGTGGGCTTAATCTCGTCACATACCTCTCCAACAACCTTCCCTCACTCGCCTCCACAGAGTCTCTCCATTATGCAAATATTTTTGGGCCCGACAAGTCGGTTCCGATACGCGGGTTGTGTGGTGGGCTCCAGGATGAAAGCTCCCTTGTGCAGCGCGGGTTTCTGGATCTGTTGATCCACAAGGTTCCATTGAGTTGCGAGCTGTTGCAAGACGACAGACCTGATCTAGCGTTACTCACGGCTAAAGTCGCGGCCGTTCTGTTACGTCGCGACTCCTCCCTTAACCGGAGAGTATGGACCTGGTTCATCGGTCCCCGAACATCCCACGATCCCGACACCGAGCCACAAACACCCTCCACCTCAACCGCCGTCGAAGCAGGCGAACTGTACTTCCGAACCTATGGCCTTGACACCTTCCTCACCGGCTTCCGCTTCGACATCCTCCCCAGCTCCACCCCCACAACACCCCTATCCTCTGACACAATCATCCGCGCAACCCGAATCTTGATCGGAATGATGGACCACCCCGAAATACGCTGCTCCATCCCACCTCTCTTCACCCATGTCATGCGCGCCGTTTACCTGTATAAGGGTGAGCACGAGAAGGAAGTATTGGATACCGCACGGATGTTCTTTGATCAAGTTGAGGCTAGGGTTGTGTGGGCGCAACTTTTAGAATGGTTGGCATGGAAGGAGGGAGAGGAGCATCAGGAGCAGGTGGAGTTGGCAAGGTGGGTGTTAGGGTCGTTTGATGTTACGGGAGAGGAGATGAGGGACCATCTTGTAAGAGTGGCATACATTATTCTTCGGTCGCTCGTGTGCAGCCCTGGGGATGATGCTGGGATGTGGGCAGTCGGTGAGGATTTGGCGAGGTTGTTGCAGGCGGAAGCGTTGGCCACTGGCGATCCTGAACAGGGAGCAGTTGACTTGAGTACGGATGAGGTTGTGAATTGGTATATGGATGCGGAAGACCCGAATAGCTCGTCACCGCCGTACTCCGGTAGGGCGTTCTCGTTCGGGTTACTGTCGATAGGTAAGGCAGCGCTGATGAGAAAGAGTGATTCGAATCTGGTGGCAACCCGACGAGCCATATTCCTTTCGATTCTGCAGAACATACCCAGCGACATCGCTTCGACCGAGCTGAAGAAAGCTTTCCTCGCCTTACTATGGCTCGACAATGAGGGATCATTCGAGGTTCTACGAACTCAAGTCGAATGCGCCTCGGCAATCTGTGATAAAGCCCCATCAGCAATCTCCAACATGACGGACTACGACTTCATCAAACCCATCATATTCAGCATCTGGCACCACCTCCGTCATTCCTCCGTCCACAACCACCAAGACGCCGTCGAGCTCCTATGGCGTGTCCAAGCCGCCGGTTTCAAGGACATCGAACTCATCATTGCTGAGTTCATCGCCAGCGCAGATACCTACACCGCGAAAGTTGACGTTTGTGCTCGGCTGAACGTGGTGTGGGTGCATAGCGCACACCGCACAGACATTACCCAAGTCTTGCACCGACCTATCGAGCTCGTGCTTGATTTCTGCCGGTCGGAGGAGTTGGCTGTGAGGGGTATAGCGAGAGATTGGTTAGCAAAGCTCGGGGTGCTGGCACGAGGTATTCTTGAATTGCTAATCGACGAGGTCGCTGCATCCCCGGTATTGCGGAAAGCGGTGCCGGAACGGTTTAAGCAGGTCACGATTGATGTGTCGAGGTGTAGTGAGGAGGACGATGTGCCCTTATTGACCTATGCGGTCGAGTCGTTGTTACTTGTTTGTCAAGCCATTGATCAGGCTGTTCTGGAAAATACCGTGACCAAGGAGTTCGTGATCGACGGCGTCGAAACTGGTGCACAGACGTACATTACGGCACTGCAGAATGTGTGCATTCGACTGCTTCGATTACTTCCTGAAACTGGGGCGGGAGCGAGATCCTCAGCGGAGGTCGTCCAAGTACATTGCGCTGCACTAGAACTCGTCGAACATCTCCTACCACGACAGCATACCTCACCACTGATCGATATATTGTCAAAGATCCTCTATGTCAACATCCACTTACAGAATCTCCCAATACAGGCAGCACTCATAAACACCTTGGGGATCTGTTTGAAATCAAATAACCCTTCAGCATCCCGCAGACGCCTCTCCAGCTCTTCCTTGCGGTCCTTCGATTTCGCCAGAGCTTCTGTTATACCGGCACAGTCGGTCTCGGCGTCTTCTCTCGGCGATGAATCTCAGGCGATCCTGATTCAATCTCTGGTTGATGCACTGTCCATGCCAGCGCTCCGGTCCAGCCTGGATCAATGGATAACTTTCCTGGAAATCTTTGTAAGCGCGACGGGAAAGAGCTTCATTCATGCCATGTTGCCCTTGGTCGATCGCATCTGTCAACAAACCGAATTAGCCATGATTCAGATGGGAGATTCCGTAAACAACGGCGCTTCACCTTTCACCTTGGCGGATATCAGAGCGTTCCTTCGTGGGCTGAATCTTCTTATCTCAGAGGGATATCGTTTCCTTCAATCTGAGTTGGCAACAAAGAATGTCGGATCGAAGCTTGCCACGGATGGAGGCTTCTTGAGTAACGTAGTGTCTGGTGTGTTCTCAGTTGAAGCACCGGTTCAGATCAATGAGTCGACCGTTGAGCCTTTGACGTCTATGTGTTTGCAGCACACTGTACGTACGGCTGCGAGTATGTGGAAGTGGGCAATCCAATCCAACACCCCGCTCGTAGCACAGAACCTGACTGCCGATTCTGAGAATCTTCTGCTAAACTGCTACAGCATGAATGCGAACGAGACTATGGAAGCTCTGTTTAATATATGGGCTGGGAAGCCGACGCCTGAATTTTTGCGTTTAACTCAGCTGCTGGAGGCACCACGTCCGAAGGTGTTGTTGAACATCTTGATTGAGACTATACATCTTCAAGCTAGTTCGGGGACAACAGGTTCGGCCTCAAAGTCTCCTATGTATGTATTCTCCCACGCGGTACAATTTAACCACAGATTGCTCATATGATGTTAGGACTGCATCGACATTCATCAATTTTCTCATAACTTTCATCAAAGCAGAACATGCCAATAAAACCGCAGCCACCTGGCCTGAGCTGGCAAAGTTCTTGCGGGATATCTTGACTCACACTTCGAGCTACCGCACTTGCAGCCCAGACCTGCTTCGTCTGGGACTTGCGATCAATGATAATCTCATGCGTACCTCTCTATACGAACAGAAAAAATACCGCAAAGAAATGCAGGAGTTTGTACAAAAGCAGATCAGCGCTGCATTGTCGATAACCGTCCGTGTCGAGCACCACGCCATTGCAGAGAGACCTTCAACGCCAATGTCTACAGATCGAGATAGTACTAAGGCACGAGCGAATGGAACGAGTGTTTCAATGGCGCCGAATGTCATGCACCTCTTTGTTAATGAGGTCATTCCAAAGCTGCCACTTGTCTTCGTGGAAGCGGACAAGATCCTGGCGGTAAGCAACGGTATTATGTCACAAGCGATCACCTATGGGCTTCACTCTCGCACTGGCGGCAACGAGGTGTTAGAGTTGCTTGTTGCTCTTACCAAGATTCCTGCCACACAAAAGTCCTGGAAGAAGGAGGTCTTCGACGTTTTTACCGAAAACAGCTTCTTCCGAACTCGGATAGGACTTGTCAAGAACTGGAAACTCATCATGCAAGCTGTCATCGAAAATGATAAAGTTCGTACAGAAGAAATCATTGGAAGGATTACAGCAGCGTCTGCACCAACGGCTCTCTTTGTATCACGTGAACAGGAGAACATCAACAAGCAGATGAATCTCCGCCGTGCCGCGTTCATGCTTTTGTGCAGCAGCAACGATGCGTACCTAACGTCCTTGCCATCACTTGAAAACAAGGTAAAGGAGGTTGCGAGAGTAACGAGGACGGAGTATGTTTTGCGAGGAGAACTCTATATGTTCTTTCGAGCAATGCTTCTTCGTTTCTCTTCCGTGCACCTTGGACGACTCCTCCAGCACTTCTTGTTTGACATGCAATTTCTATTCAACTCTTTCCTAGAAGAGGCTTCAGCCACAGCTACCAAGGAACAAACACGGGCTTTTGCTGAGGCGTGTAAGCTCCTTGATACCTTGATTGTTGTATCGCCAACGGGTTTCCAACTGCACGAATGGGTATTCCTTAGGGATACAATCGAGGCGGTTTTTCCACCTATTGATCGTCAATCGATTGCGTTGACCGACATGCTGGCCAGAACATCAATTACCTCATCACCTCCTTCCTCATCCTGCGGCCCTCCCAGCTTGTCAGACAACGTACTGGCAGACCTTTCAAGACGGCAAGCGAAAAGAGCACCATTAATCGCTGCAAAAACCATCAACGACATTGGTGACCTGCGACCGTTCTTGAGCTATGTTAGTCTGCATGCTTACGAAAGCAGTCTGGCGATGGAGAAGCCTGACCTGGAGACGTGCGAGATGTATCTACTACGGGACATGTTTGAATAGAGGCTTATTTGAGTGAACATACACAGGATATCAGAGATACCCCTTAGCTTGGAAATGCAAATCCTATTCCTGGTATAATCTTCGCTACTGAAAATAATCGTCACACACTGAGCCGCACCCGCCCCATATCTACGAAGGAACAGTGTTGAAAGAGTTCTCCTCCGCCTTAATCTCCCAGAACAACTTGCCGAAGTCATGAACACCGTGCTTCTCCCAACCATCTTCCTTGATATGATACACTGCAAGAGATGATTAGCAGTTGTTTCCCCTCGTTCGATGAATGTGCACTTACGTCTCACACTTCCACCAGAGAAAGCATCACGGTGCTGAGCAGCAACAATAGCCCTCTTACCCAACGCCAATGCATCTTCCACCGACAAATCCCAGTGGTATCCAGCATCCAACACACCATATGCGAACGTCTGACCAGATCCAACACAGAACAAGTCACCCTTCAACCTCGTACCATCGGAATCGACGTAGAAGATCGAGGGACCAAGTCCAGGATCAACACCACAGACCATAGTACCCATACTCAGACCCATACCCTTGTAATTGTAGGTGATATTAGACAGAATCTTCGACGCGGCAGCCACAGTAATTCGCTTCTTGTTCCTCAACTCGTACAGTCTGCACTCCATTCCCAAATACGTCTCCCAGTACTGACAATCCGCCGCACCACCAGCCATGGTACCCAACAAGTATGGGTTAATCTCGATGACCTTCTTCACTGTCTGACTTGCAATCCAGGTACCGGCCGTTGCTCGAGAGTCGACGGCGATGACAACACCACCCTGGAAACGGAACGCCAGCGTCGTCGTACCATGGTTGATCTTGATTGTGCAGTCGCGGTTGGAGAGGTCGTCAGTGTGAGCGCGGAGGAAGGCTGTTGGTGCCGAGATTGCTGGCAATGCGAAGCTCAGACCGTCGGTGGCCTTTGGTGGTTGGGCTGCGTATTCATCTGCGAGGTCGTGGTCCTGGTCAAAAACCGAGGTAGACTGAGAGTATTTCTGGACAAGAGAGTTCATAATGGATGCCCTGGATATATCTCGGTCGTTCAGGCGGGCAATTGTAAATTAAGCTGTACGTGACGGTCGTGCTCACAAACTCCGCGTACGGCGACGCGGCCCTGCTCAAGTGACGCAAGCAGTTCCCTAGATAAATGTGACAGATGTGGGGAAAACGTTTTGCAGAAACTTTTCGTAACAAGACGGAGGAATATCTCTTGTCTCTCTTTATATTTCAAAGTTTCCATGCTGCCGCTACATACTGCGGTACCGGTTTTGGAAAGGTGATGAGAATCGACATCTACGTTACCGCAGACGTGCATAACCGCGCTGCATCCCCGCAAAATCCGGTGAGCGCGCCCGCAACACCAGCTCCATCGAGCACTGGAGAAAGCTTGGAAAAAGCAGGAAAGCTCGAGTAGATGAAAGTATATGAAAGAAAGTCATGTTTATCTAGTTCAAAGCAGTAGAAACAGCGTTAGGCTCCACGAATCTCACGAAGGAGTCGCACCATCGCACTCGACCGGATTGGGTCCGGCGACAGCAGTTGACGTAAACTCCATTGCTAGCAGATCTGGAGCGCGCAGCGGATCGAGACAGGGTGGCAAACACTCAGCTGTGGGCTATTATAGCTCAAGTCGAGAAACTTACACCCTTGCCAGGTGCTCGTCCAAACTCTCCTCCTTACCAAACCACTTACCAAACCACTTACCAAACCACTCCATCTTACCAACTATCCACAACCTCTACTTACCAAAAGCAAGTGTCATGTTTACGTTCTCAAACAACTCTACCTCTACCTCTACCTCTGCTGCTACCTCCTTCGAGGCCAGCCAGCAAGAGCCCGTTTTCCAGACTGGCGTCGGTTGTCTCCGTCCTTTCCTTACCAAGGTTGGACGTCGAGCGCCGCGCACACTGGAGATGAAGGCCGAGCATGAGAAGACGTTAGTGACTGCCGATATCGTCGAAAAACGGCATGGAGAGATCAAGGATCTGCTTAAGCCGTGTCCCAGTCACGAGGAAGGGAGGAGCCTTGAGAGACCTGCGGGCAACTATCAAGGCTACCCTCCGAACCAAGGGCGGGGATTTCCACGAGAGGGTGGATGACTGGAAGATGGCCGCTAAGAAAAATAAGGTATGTGTTTCCCTAACGTGCGCGTTCCGGATCCGGAGTCCCGCACCAGATCGGGGCCGATACCAAGACCGTGGACCGTACCGGTACCGTCGGTAGACTATCTGGAGGTTGCTAATAGTCTATAAAGGCGGTGAAGAAAGTGGTTGCCTTTGCCGAGAAGCAAAGCCGGAAGGTTATGTGCATTCGGTTTAAGGAGAATGAGAACACTAAGTTCTGGACCATGCAAGAGCACCTTGACTTTAAGAATGCTCTTGCCGGGTGGTACAGGATGGGAGACGAGTTCAGGTCGCAGGAGAAGGTAAGTTATTACAGTTACTCCTGTATCCTCTTTGCGATGTGTATTAATCTTTGCTCTAGGGAAAGAAGGAGAAGAAGGAGAGGAAGTAAAGAGGAGCTTGGAGAATGATGGATAGCAGGAGTTGAGTTGAAGGTTTGTACTCTTTTCTCTTCCTCGCGCAAGCACAACACACCAATCCAGAAACTAGAGGAAGGCAGCGCGACGCCGTCGGGAAGACTGATGTCAAGCCCAAGACAGCACCCGGATGCGTCCGGGAATTTGCAGAGCCAGGAAGCCGAACGGGAGAGACAGCTCCGTAGTAGGCAGGAAGCCGGGCGCCATTACAATTCCGCTGGGAGACTAAAGTCAAGCCCAGCGAAGATCTATTGCCGGCGTATAACTAGCATAGATTCCGGTCATGGAGTATCAAACATGGCCGGCGGGAATATAACCGGCATATACCCGCTTGTTGTCCACGCCCTCCCGTGATCGTAAATTGCAGATTGTAGATTGTGTATCCAAACTACCCAAACTGATGTCGCAACCAAACGTCCACCTCGTAAGCCAAGACCAGATCAACAACGTAAGAAGATTCCCCGTCGCCTTTAAGTACCCATGTTAGTCCATGTCATGCACCACAACGGAGAAAAGAAGACTTACTGTTCGTCTTCTCTGGTCTCAAACATAATTTGCACCGCGCAAGACAAACACGCAACCGTAGTGACCAAAAACGCCAGACCTGTAGGAGTCATTAGCAAACAGCACAACGGTACGTCGAGAACAACTCTTACCGTATAAACTTCCAAAAATCCCTACAAGCATCTCCTTCAACCCATCCAACCCAATCACAAATCCAACAAGGTTCGCACATACCATCATCAACATGTTGAACACCCCTCCAAGCGCACACAAATGTCGATACCACGGCCACGAACCCCACTTCTCCGGCGAAAAAATAGCTGTGGCAATAAGTTCTGGAAGAATGAAGAGGGTAACCAGCCATCCCCACGCAAGCAGCCGGAGCGAGATATCATGCCACAGAGCGACAAAGGTAAACACAGCAAGCGTGTTCACAATCGGCAACCGTGATCCTCCCAAAGGAACGTAAATATACCGCACGATCCACCTATTGAAACTCCGATGCCACGCCCTCCAAAATGTCTTGACGCTGTAGGTATTACTCATACACCTCAACACATTTTCACTGGTCTCAATACCGTCCCACATCGCCCATAGTCTGAAGAACCGCCAAGGGATCAACAGCTTTAGCCAGACGATCTTGAGGTTCCAGTAGGAGACCATAGAGAGTTGGAAGGGGGTGAGGCCGGACCATGCGTGAGACTTGGCGATGGCGACGACGTAGAGGTTGTGGAGGAGGAACTCCATGGTGAGGATGGAGATTAACAAGCGGATTGCGTAGAGGAGAGTGCGACGAGGAGAGATAGTCGGGGGGCGCAGATGAATCTATGTGAGGATTTGTCAGGAAGTGCCATCGAGGACTCTCACGGGCCATGTCACATACCTGCGACATGTAATTGTTGAACGTAATAATCGGACCAGCGAGGTACAACGGCGCATACAATGTATACCCCAAATAATTCAACCACCCATAATCCTCCCTTTCACAAGGCGCCTCAATCCTTTCTCTTTCCGTCAGCGTATCCGCATTCGCTTTGTCTTTCTTCAGGCGCGCCTGTTAGCCAGATCAACACTTGCAATTTACATAACGCAGAACATGGGAGACGGGGGGACTTACTGCAAGAGAGGGACCCTTCGAGAAGGACCAGTAGTAGTCCATGTTGAAGGAGATGAGGCGGAGGACGGTGATGTTGAAGTGGACTTGCCAGCGTGAGAGGAGGCCAGGGTAGGCATCGAGCAGGGCACCGGATTCGTGGACGTCTCGGAAGCGGTAGCCGCTGTATCGTTCGTTAAGGAAGAGCACAATGATGTTGAACGCCCATGTCAATACTGGGTTTGATATGCTTCCCTTGAAGGTTTTTGCGATTCCGTAATTGATGCCCAGTAATAGCAGAATCTTCACAGCGGAGAACCCGTGCAATGCGGTGATGAACACTAACGCGAAACCGACATCAAAAAGTACTCGTCTCCGAGCGCGTATTGACTGTGAAAGAGTGCTCAGGTTGTATGTACGGTCGTAGAGGCGCCGCAGGGCGGTGTAACCGACAAGGACTGAAAACAGGATAGGGATGCGATCGCGGAAGTCGGAGTACTGCACGTCAGAATTGTCCTATGTGATTACTTAGCATACATATGGGATACCACAGCATATAACCGAGATACCACTTTCCGCCCGGGTATCCATCCTGGTTCCAAGAGGTTCTCATATTGTGGGTAACTGGGATGTGTGTCTGTTGACCTGTAAGGCAATGATACCCAAGAGATAGCTCACGCACCAACCTTTCGAAAGATCATAGGCACACTTGAACATCATAGGCACCACAACCGCATGTGCCGCATAGTAAAGATAGAACTCTGGCGTCTTCCATCGCGACGGGCTCGGTGTAGTCTCTCCCTTCCCCTGCGGTTGAGCGTCCACTCCAATTGTGCTCAACCCAATGGCATCCTTCTTTGCCTTTGCTCTGTTTACGATCTCGGGCTCGAGGACTTCTATGGAGAAGAGGTGCATTGCGATTGTTTGCACGATGACTGGGACGTTGTACGGAACTCGAGCGCGGGGACAGTTCCGCCCTGCTTTGAAGTGATGGTGGAATGCAGGAGGAGAGCAGAACGTTGCATCGACATACGGCTATTGCAGAAAGTAAAAGGCGTCGTTTTCAAATTGCATGCGAAGGAGATTCTACCCGTTTTTTTGTCCGTCTTGCAATTGGTACTGTAACTCAGTGCACCCTCAACGCGTCGCGATACACACATTGCCCGATTTAGTCACCGCGAATCGGAAGGCGAAACAGAGCAGAAAACAGAAAGAGCAAACAGCGTGTATGGCTCTGTCAGAGTAGATGGACTCAAGGGAACATAGACCAAAGAACAATCTCAGCATTCATCTGGACTGGCTCAGGAAGCAACGGCCGCATTTACCTCCGAAAGGCACCGTACCGCCTCAGTCGAGGGATATCTCGGTGCAAGAGCGCATACAGCAGGGTCAGGGAGTGTCTATACCACGGTCGTTATCTCCGCCTACTTCCAGTGGGTTGGGTAGATCGAGTGGCGCGGTTACACAGGAGCAGAAGCCAACCGACAACTATTTCCCTACACCAAAGCCGGCGACGAGTGGTCATCAGCCTCTAGCCTTGCCAGCGCCAGTGCAGCGTCAGCAACCTCCTTCTCTCGCTGCATCATCAAAACAAGAGGAGCATCCCCGACCAAGGACACTAGCTATGCCAGCACCATCGATACCGTTCCCTTCAGCGTCCAATGTTGTCGATCTGACACTGGACGACGACGAGGACCTCCCAATTGCAGCATACGTCCCTAAAACCAATCCGGCACCACAACCAAAGCGTCGCTCCCCCTCAGTACAACTCAGTCCCAGAAAACATGCGTCAAAGAAGAGGAGAAGTGGAGATGGTGCGCCGCTACCCGTGGGTTCTGATGATCCGATGGTGGTCGGTGATTCGGATGATGAGTTTGCGGATGAGGATTTGGATGCCGAGATGGCTACGTTCGACGAAATGACATTTGCGGCACCGGGACCGGCTCCTCCCTTTTCACGACAGAGTTCGGCTATGGGACGGCCAGCACGAGAAAGTCCCCTTGCGCAAGACTCACCTACGAAGACTCAAATTCAACCACAACAACCGGCCGCCAATCCTGTAACCAGTTACAATAGTATGGGTTCTGCCCAGCTCCTCGAATTACTCAACGACAAACGACGGGAAAAGGAGGTTATCATGGAGGATCTCATGCGCTCCGTCCTTGAAGCATCCGGTACACCAGGTGTGATCTCCAATCTGAAGGACAGGAAAGCCGCTATAGACAACGAGATCTCGGCGATCGAGACTGCTTTGGCAAGAGCAAAGGTTTTGGGTGGAGGTGTGGGCTTAGCGACGCCGAACAGCAGGACGAGGAAGAAGGAGGAGAGTATTGGGGCAACTCGGACAAGCCAGACGCCTACGCGGAAAAGCTCGAACACGCCAGCTGCTAGACGTGATCTGGGCGCGTACTTCTCACCGAGGAAGAAGGAGCTGGAACAAGTTCAGATACAACACTCCCCTACACCATCGAAATCAGCGAGTCGCAAAGTACCAGCGCGGATCATGGAAGACGATGAAGAGTACCATACTATCTCTTCACCATCACCACGCAAATCAGCACCGGAGTTCATTGACGATGATATTGAGATGTATGCGGATCAGCTCGACGACGACGCTTTCGTTCCTGACGACTGGAAAAGCGACCCTCAGCCCCCGGCACCGGCACCGGCTCCTGCTCCTAGACGAGAGGCAGCCCCACTACCTTGGCCGCCGAAGAATCTGCCCGTACGGCAGGAGAGGCAGTATGGATACGGTGGATCAGAGGATGCGTACGTTCCCGATGACTGGAAGGATACTGAGCCGGTGCGTGCTCCAGTGCAGAACGGAAGGAGGGTTCTGGAGGAGGTGCCAATATCGGTACAGAATTCACCGCCACGGCCACCGCAGCAGCGACCCAAACCGAAGACTACAAACTCAGCCGCTGCTAATGCTAAGGCTGCACCTGATACGGAGGAACTTGACGTGCTAGGTGCGAACCAAGCACTGAAGGTCAGCGTACCCTTGATGTCTCAATCCGGTATGAAGCATCGATGGTCGAAGGATGTGGCATGGGCGTTGAAGAATAAGTTCAACCTGCAAGGATTCAGAAACAACCAGCTCGAGGCCATCAATGCTACCCTAAGTGGACGTGATGTGTTTGTACTCATGCCTACGGGAGGTGGTAAGAGTTTGTGTTACCAGCTGCCTAGTGTCATCGATTCTGGGAAGACCAGGGGAGTGACGATTGTGATCAGTCCCCTCATCTCATTGATGCAGGATCAGATTGAGCACCTTCTTGAGCTGAACATCATGGCGGTGGTCATCAATGGTGAGATGTCACCTGAACAGAAGAAGTTTGCGTTTGGGCAATTGAGGGAAGCTGAACCAGTTGTGAAGATGTTGTATGTTACGCCTGAGATGGTCTCGAAGTCGCCGCAGGCGCAGTCGATTATGGAGCAGTTGTATCGCCGGAAGAGGTTGGCTAGGATTGTTATTGACGAAGCACATTGTGTCAGTCAATGGGGTCACGACTTCCGGCCTGACTACAAAGAGCTGGGTCAATTGCGGCAGAGATTTCCAGATGTGCCTTGCATGGCATTGACGGCTACGGCGAATATGGCTGTGCGGACAGACGTCAAGCACAACCTGGGTATGGATGAATGTGCATTCTTCACACAGAGTTTCAACAGGCCGAACTTGACTTACGAAGTCCGGCCGAAAACCAAAGATAACGTTGGCGAGATGGCGCGTGTTATCAGCCAGAAGTATCGAGGGAAATGCGGGATTATCTATTGTCTGTCGAGGAAGATGTGTGAGGATGTCGCGACGAAGCTCAGGACCGAGTATCGCGTAAAGAGTCATCATTATCATGCTGGTATGGATTCAGCTGAGCGTGCGCAGATCCAGCAGGACTGGCAGAGCGGACGTTATGATGTTATCGTCGCCACCATCGCGTTCGGAATGGGTATCGATAAAGCTGACGTGCGCTTTGTCTTTCATTTCTCATTACCGAAGTCGCTTGAGGGTTACTACCAGGAGACTGGTCGTGCGGGCCGTGATGGGAATCACTCTGAGTGTACGCTTTTCTACTCCTTCAAGGACAAGATCATGCTTGAACGTCTCATCGACCAGTCCGAAGGTGCGCGAGAACAGAAAGATAGGCAAAAAGCCATGTTGAGGCAGGTGATTCAGTTCTGTGAAAACAAAACTGATTGTCGTCGAAAGCAAGTTCTTGCATACTTCGGTGAGACGTTCGATGCGAAGGAATGTCGTCGAACCTGTGATAACTGCAGAGAGGGGAGCAAGTTTACTGAACGTGATGTTACGGACCTGGCAAAGAGTGCGTTGAGCATCGTGCAGGCAGTGTCGAACAGCAAGTGCACGTTGCTTCAGTGCATGGACATCTTCCGTGGAAGCAAGACCATGAAGATCGTCGATAATGGTTGGGACATGCTTGAAGGTCATGGCGCTGGTGCATCGTTGTCGAAGGGTGATGCAGAGCGACTGATGCACAATCTTGTTGCAGAGGAAGCGATCAGAGAAGAGTGCGTTGCAAACAAAATGGGCTTTGTTATGGCGTATGCGGCAATTGGTCCCAAAGCCCGGGCATTCTTGTCCGGAGGACGGAGACTGAGGATGTCCTTCAAGGACAATGACAACTCGCCGCCAACTGCTGCCGCGCCGAGAGCACGAACTACAGCCAAACGTAAAACGTCAAGTACCTCAATGGTCGACTACGATATCCCTACGCCAGCTGAAAGATCCAGGCGTCCCAAGCCGATCGCACGCAAGCAGTCTTCACGTCACCAGGATGACTTCATTGTCGATGATGATGATGTTGATGATCCGACATGGGAGGAGGAGGATCTCGAGTTTGAGCCTGTTCGTGACGTCGGAAAGCCGCATGCTACTCGGCAAGCGCCTGCGAACCGCGGCCGTGCTTCTCCGATGGATCCGTTGGCGAAGATGTCTCCCTATGAGCTCGATATTCGACAGAGATGCTACGACGAGATGCGTCCTCTCCGCAATCGGCTTGCCAACGAAAACGAAGTGCGTCCCGCATCGGTCTTTGCGGATCAGGTTTTGCTGGATATGGCAACTTCCTTGCCCGAGAGTATTGGTGAACTGTTGAAGATCGACGGCGTGACTGAAGACAAGGTCCTCCGGTACGGGAACGCCTTCATGACTATTATCAAGAAATTCGCACAGGAAAAGCGTGACAATCTCGGTGATGTCGATATGAGAGCCGGTGCTGGTGGAGGTACGCCTGACGAGCCCTTCGAAATCGATGATTTTGAGAACGCAGACTTTATCGACGATGATCAGACTGAGACAAGTCCACATTTCATTGCGGAGACACAGCAGCCAAGGCAACAAGCGGATTTGGTTAACCAGTTTCGTCAACAGTTCAGCAGTCTTGGATTCAAGAGGTCGAACACGACGGCTAGCAGGTCTGCCGCATCGAGCGCACCTGCACGTGGACGGGGTGGAGCAAAGAACTTCCGTGGTCAAAGTAGGAGAACAACGAGCAATGGATCGAGGAGCGCTGGCGGCAGCGGCGGAAGCAGGAGTGGAGGATCCAGAGGAGGGAGCAGGGGAGGCAGAGGAGGACGAGGTGGAAGCAGCATTATCAGGCCAATGTAAAGGCAAGCTTATCTCAGGATCGGAGTTTTGTGTTATCGGCGTTTTCGATTACGGACATCTGGACATTTTCCTAGATTCTAGATTCTATGGTAGAACAATAATCATCCCCACGGATAGCCGGTGGCTGTGCCTTTTGCGCCACACATCCCGAATTCCAAAAAGTGTCGCGTCGAGGTAACGAAGATATAAACAGAGGGATCTCAGCAGCTGCCGGCCTCTGTGATGCCTATCAAGCAAAAGACCCATATTCTATTCGACACCGGGGATGTGGTGAACGACAACGCGAATCCCTTTGCGATCAAGGCGAATGGCGGGAGCGGATCAATGCGGAAGAAGGCTGTTGATTTCTTTGGGGATGGCGACGTGAACGGCGTCGATCACGAGCAGGCGAATGGACTGGTTAATGGTGATCACCACGGTGCGAATGAGCAGCCAGAGGTCAATGGTATCAGAGAGACGAAGAAGAAGGGCTTGAAGCTTACAAAAGTCCGGAGACGGCAAGGGAACAGGGAAGCTGCGCCAATGGATCCAGCAGAGAAGCGAGAAGCTCAGAAGAAGCGACTGGCACTCAAGCAAAAGCTCCTTGTCGGCCGACAAAAGCTGCCTATGTGGTCTGCAAAGGAAGCGTTGAAGGAGAAGCTGAATTCCTCGAAGTGTATCGTCTTGGTCGGAGAGACAGGTTCCGGAAAGTCTACGCAGTTACCCCAATTTCTGCTGGAATGCGACTTTGCACAGGAGGGCTGCATTGCTGTGACCCAGCCTCGTCGTGTCGCCGCGGTCAACTTGGCAAAACGTGTCGCGCAAGAGTATGGAACAGAACTCGGCAACAAAGTGGGTTACACCATCCGTTTCGACGACACCTCTGGCCCCTATACGCGGATCAAGTACATGACGGATGGTATGCTACTCCGAGAACTGATCTCCGACTCTGATCTGTCGTTCTACAACACCATTGTTCTTGATGAAGCTCACGAACGGACGCTCTTGACGGATATGATGATGGGATTTCTGAAGAAGATTATGAAGAGAAGACCGACATTGCGCGTGGTGATCATGTCTGCCACTCTTGACGCCGAGCGATTTTCCGAGTTCTTCGATGAGGCGGAGATTTGTTATGTTGAGGGCCGACAGTTCCCTGTGGAGATTCAGAACACTGTTGCGCCAGAGAAGGATTACGTGGATGCCGCGCTACGAACGATCTTCCAGATTCACACGAAGGAGCCATTAGGAGACGTTTTGGCTTTCTTTACGGGACAAGACGAGATCGAGGCGCTGGAACAGTTGATTAACGAGTATGCCAAACAGCTTCCGTCGAATATCCCTCAGGTGCTCATCTGCCCGCTCTTCTCCGGCCTTCCGCAAGCGCAGCAACAAAAGGTCTTCGTACCAACACCCCCCGGAACTCGCAAGATCATCTTGGCTACCAACATTGCTGAAACATCCGTCACTGTCTCCGGTGTTCGGTATGTCGTGGACTGTGGTCTGAGCAAGGTCAAGCAGTTCAACAACAAGTTAGGTTTGGAGTCGCTATTGATCCAACCTATCAGCAAGTCTGCAGCAAGACAAAGGGCTGGTCGCGCTGGTCGTGAGGCGCCTGGAACGTGTTACCGACTCTACACCGAGGAGGAGTTTAGCAAGATGCGGAATGCTGCTATTCCCGAGATCAAGCGTTGTGACTTGGCCACCGCTGTTCTCACGCTTAAGGCTAGAGGTGAGAACGATGTGCTTGGTTTCGACTACATGGACCCGCCCTCAAGACCGGCACTAATTAGGGCATTGGAAAACCTGTACTCGCTTGGAGCGCTGGACAACAAAGGAAATATCACGAAGCTTGGCGAGGAGATGAGTTTATTGCCCTTGGTGCCTCCGTTGGCGCGAGTTATGATCGCCGCTGCTCGCCAATACGACGTCCTCTCCGAGGTTGTCGACATTGTGGCTTGTCTTCAAGCTGAGAACCTCTTCGTTTCGCCGGCGGATAAACGCGAGGAAGCAGCTGAGGCTCACAAGAAGTTCGCGGCGCGTGAGGGAGATCATCTGACGCTGTTAGAATGCCTGAAGCAATTCCTTGCACTTAGTAACGGCAAAGCTGAGCGCAAGGGCTGGTGCGAGACAAACTATATCAACGCACGCGCCATGTCAAACATTCTCAACGTCCGTAAGCAGCTTCGTCAATACTGTGAGCGGGCTCAGCTTTCGCTTGCGCCCTCCACCGACTCGCGTGATGCTGGCGAGACTAAGGACGCGATCTTGAAGTCCTTCTTGGCGGGCTATATGCACAACACAGCGCTCTTGCATCCGGATGGCAGTTACCGGACGGTGGGTACGCACCAACCGGTGGCTATTCACCCCAGTAGTGTGCTGTTTGGGAAGAGAGTTGAGGCGATTGTCTACGCGGAGAACGTCTTTACGCAAAAAGCATATGTGAGGGGTGTTAGTAAGGTCGAGGGTGGATGGTTGACGGCAACTACTACCCCGAAATGAGTGCGCGTAAAGAGAGAAAGATGGAATGCATGATGGTCATGGTCATTATGGGACGATTTGCATAGATTGGTTCATGGCGTTCAGTAGCACATGCATGTAGGGTATTCGATAAAATAGATTACTCCAGGGTCATTCACGTCCAACTCCTGCAAAGGTGTTCTCTCATCCGTAGAAGCCGACACACCTTGTTTCCAGGTGCGTCGCCTTACATCCACTGTCGCAATATCTCGCTCCACACCTCATACATTTGTACGTCCCAAAGTATCCACACACGCTGCAAAACTCGCGCCGAGGATACCTAGATGGCGCTGATGAAGCTGCTTGATAACTCGGGCTATCCGCTTCGTCGAGGAGCTGGGCGAAGGTTTTGCGGGAAAGCAAGTGCTTGCGGACGGCACTTGTCAGTTTTTTGCCTTTTCTGAATGCTATCAAACTATTAGCCCGAGAATTTATAGAATAGGGGCGGTCGTGTTACATTCAGTCTTGGGCACGTCTATCTTCACGTCATGGTAATTGTCCCTCTCCAGCTCAGCTAGATGCTTGATCACAGCCCTGGTCGCCTTCGTTCCAGCATCAATTGGCTGCGGAACATTGATTGTCTTCCGTCTATCAGCATTTTTCTTCAGCTGGCCCGACATCCCATTGAGAGCCCGGTGATCTTCGTGTTCTAAGTTCTAAGTTGTGGTTCAGGTCTTCGGTCGTACGAATTCACGTGATCGTACTGTATACGTACGTACGGTACGTCCGCTGGCTAAGTATAGCCCGTGCAACGAGAAAAATAAAATCCGATTGGATTAAAGCAGCAAAGTTCGATCGCTTGCGACCAATGTGTTAGGATCAGAAGGCGATGAGAAAATGTGCCCTGCTCACTACAAACACAGCGCTGAATGTCGGTGCTCGTGGCTTTGTGCACTGTCCTTTGCCTACGAAACGACATCGACCACGGCCATGTACGGAGGCCACAGCGACAGAAAACGCGTGGCTCGAAGCGTTTGCTGCTCTCTCGATCACCTCGCCTCGCAGAAGCACGGCAAGAGGAGTGAATCAGAAACGCTTTTACAGGCGTAAGATCGACGGAGGCAGAAGTTTTTGGAGCCAAGAGCCGCTAGAATACGACGAAGGCGACAAGAAATGGTTGAATGATCCGAAGACAGGTCTCAAGGATTTTCTAACTGATCTTGAATCACCACCGACGAATAAACCTGTGTACAGGAAGCCTGCGTATATCGTTGAGAAGAAACTCGACAAAGTATATGAAGATCATGATGTTCATTTGTGGAAGCCAAAGCCGGGCGGTTTCTGGGATCAGTTTCATGAGGATTTGACAAAGATACTGGAGCCAGAGCCACCATCCTCCAACGTGAAATGGGAAAAGCGCTCAGGGTTGGGTCCTAAAGAACTTATCGCCATGTTCCACGATTCAATATCAGACATCCAGAACCCCCTGTCTGCGATTTTAAGTAGGCGCAGGGATTTGATGGAGCGGCACGACCTGGGGCCGTCGGATTTCCCTACAGTTACAATGGTGCGACTGGTGTCTCGGTGTCTGCAGGAGGATGACTACGCAGCGGCATTGAAAGTCGTGTTGAACGATTATCCCGTGTGTGAAGCTGATCAACTTCTCGTGGATGCTCTTGCTGAGCTTCCTACCTTCACTTCCAATCATGCTCTATTCGGGCTGGTCCGGACTGCTCTGAAGAATGATATGAAGGGGATCGCTATTACGTTGTTGTACGAGAAAGGGTATGGCAAGGAGCAGAAGATGTTGTTGGAAAGGGCGCTTCTGGAAAACAAGATTGAAAAACATGGTCTTTCTCCAGAAATCCCCTCTGAGGCCCTCAGTAATCCGATTACACAGCTGGCTGTGGTGAAGCATCTCACTCGAAATGGCAGAGTTGACGACGCGATGGCATATGTGCTGGCACGTGCTCAATACCTCGATTATATGAGCGTACGGGTGGTTATTCAGGCGGGTATACGGCAGGTGGAGCAGACACGGGATTCGCATGACTGGATATTCTTGGACCCCTCTAAGCGAAGCAAGACGCAGGCGGAGCGGCGAGATGAACTGCTATCTTGGTTCGGAATGGTTGTTGAGACTGGCAAGATCACAGTTACTGCAGCTGAGCTAAAAGCAGCCTTATCGGCTGTCCGTCTCAGGGGACACATCAAGTACTTTCAAAAGCTACTAGCGAATCCCGCGAGCGGTTTTCCGTGGGATGAAGACTGCGTGAATACGTTGCTGGATACCGCGACAAAAGCAGCGGCATGGGGCGAGGGAGTCGAAATTGCGATTTGCGCACATAAACTGGGGTTACCAGCGTCTTCAGGAACACTCGGCCGCTTCATGGCTCATGTCGTGCAAGCTTTCTACCCTGACGCTTCCAACAAATACTCTCCTCACCTCAAGACGCTCTTTACTTTTCCAGACGTTTCGACGGTGTTTGATGCAACTCGTGCCTGCCTTGAACATCTACGAAACTCGCATAAAGAACGTGGGTGGCTGGTACCAGTGGCCCAACTTCGAATATTGTTTGACCCGAACGTGTGGAAGGATCCGCTGAAGGACAATCCAAAGTTGCCTGACCGTGTTGAAGACGTTTTGTTGGATGAGCTGGTGCACCGAAATGCGAAAAATGCTTTGAGGTTTATGAGCATGGATAGTATAGAAACGGGCTTCAAGATGAAACTGGTTCAGCGCCATCTGGATCGACGTTTCGAGCGATTGGCTTCTTTCACGCCCAAATCTCCAGCAAACGTACACCTCGAGGCTGGCGGCATAAACGACGAAGTTGTGCGACCGTTGGAAGAAAGGCCGTTAATGCCAATAAGCTTCTACACGGATGTGGTCGCACTGATAAAAAGCAAACACGAGCGGTGGGAAGAGAGCCTGGATTCTATTATGACCTTGCTTCTCACGGAGCCGACACCTGCTTCAGCATTTGAGTTCTTGCGTCAATTGCATGAAAAATCCATCAATCCGAGAAAGTTCACTTTGGGCAAACTGTTGCGTACTTTGATTGAGAAAGGTCATATAGAGCTGGCATGGAGACTGCTCGAGAAGTTGACGCCAGATTTAAATTTAGCGAACGGGTATGTATTCGAGGAGTTCATCAGCGCTTCGGGGTACCGCTACCCCAGGTTTGCGATGTTGGCAACACGAACAATGGAGCAACGCGGTTTGATTCCACGCCGTGACACACTTGTCGACCTTACTTGCAACCTGGCTCACTCACCACGACTTTCAATCTCACAAGCTGTTAAACGCGTGACTGAGGTGATCCATATGCTGCGGAGACACGGCTATTCTATTCCTAAGCGCACAGCTGCGGCGCTCTTGCGAGTTGCTGTGCTTAGGCACGGCGTGAGCGGTAGCATAGAACGGCAGAGGTGGGCGATTATGCGGGCTGGTCAATGGGCTGGCCCGAAGGTTGCAATCAGGGTAAAACGCATGATGGTGAAGTGGGTTAGGGACTACAATCTCGGATTGCAGCCACCGCAGTGAAATGGTGTAGGAGAAAGGTTCATGAAAGAAAAGCAAAGCAGAGGTCTAGGGTTTACACTGAATCACGCAAAGAATGGCATCGGCATTAATATTGGCATGGCGTTATGTGCATTGGATAGTATCCGGATTTAGCATAGCATTTTGGCATCTGGAAGAGTAGTGTACGGGAATACGATATCGATGAGGAGCATCACATTATGTATCTATCTGTACCCGTCATAATGCACCCCGCAGTCACAATCGATACGAGCGATTGACAACCCTTCAAAAACGACAATGACTCAAATCGACAGAAACCCGACGAGTTCTAGAGCAGATGATTCCTCGGATGACAACGAGGGCCACGATTACCCTGGTTCGACCGTGCCTGTCCCTTACCACACTTCGCCTGCTAACCTGCCACCATAGAGGCAACCTCCGTTGACTTGTCTCTTTCACCCAGCGGCTTCGCAGCCATCAAGAGACAATATGAGGACGAGATGAGCGCCGGATACATCTCTCTACAAGCCAAATTCTCCTACGCCTGGGCCTTGATAAAGTCCACCTCACCGAGCGAGCAACGACAAGGAATGATTCTGCTAACCGAGATATATCGCGATACACCGAGTAGGAGGAAAGAGTGCTTATGGTACCTTAGTCTGGGTCATTACAAGCTGGGCAATCTCGGACGTAGTCTGCGATATTTGGAGGTGCTTGAACAAGAGCGCGCATCAGGTATCCCCGAGAAGGAGGTTAGACGGTTCAAGGGGAAGATTGAGGCAGAGATTGGAAAAGGTAAACTGAGATTGGCGTCGTTACACGCGTAATGCTAATCGTTGCTATAGAACGACTTGTTGGTTACTCGATAGCGATAGCGGGCGTTGCAGTTGCCGGTCTGGTATGTTGGGGAGCGTGGAGGAGGTATAAACGGACCTAGTGGGGCCGTTTCGATGAGTCGAGCGGTAGTCTACGGTACGGACCGATACGCATCACCCTTCCAAGTTTTAAATCATTTGGCATGTGGAATCCTGTCCGTGTGTCATCAGGCGAACAATGTTTCGATGTCTCTCGTGATCACGGAAGCAGAAACAGCAGTACATATGTCCCGACAGCTGTAGCAGCTCCCGAATGAGAAACACTTGCTACAGGATAGGTTTCGACAGTCCAAGCAACGAGAATGGCAGTTCTTAGAAGAATTCAAGCAAGGCCGGTTCTGCCGTCAGTCCCACCCTCTTCCCGGACCTTCCTGCCTCACGTGAAAACCTTAACCCCTGGTGCACGGTACCATAACACCGCTCCCCAAAACACTACACCATACCATCACTGGACTTAGAAGAAATGACACAATCGAAAACCCGTGCACGTCTCGGAGCTCATCTCCGTAACCTTGCGATCATTGCACATCGCGCTGAGGCCGGTGTCGAACCTGTCCGAGCACCCGTGGACCGCGCGTACGAAGCGAAGCTGGATCGTCTTATCAGCGATTTGCAAGGACGTGTAAAAGCACGAGGAGAACTCATAGCTCAGGTTAGTGTGCCTGATAGCAGGAGGTGCCAATACTCGTACTTACCAAGCGACTAAAAGATGAGAGCTGGCACGCGACGGAAAAGCCTCTCCGAATTCCTCGACCTCGATCCAACCCCAGCATCATCCCCTCTCCCCTCCATCCTCGCTCGTCGCGAAACGGAAAAGACAACTATTGCGGCTCGTCAAGAATTTATCACCTCCTACCAATCTCTCCAGCAAACACGTCAAGAAGTCCAATTCGCCGAGGAGAACCTACGCGTCCTCGAAGATGTCGGTCACGAGCTTCGCACACGACTGGAGAAACTCGAAGCAGCGTCCCCCGCAAACACCCGATCAACGGATACGGAACAAAAGATTGTAGCGACTGAACAAACATTCCTGCATCTGTTGCGACAATTGACGGGGTTCATCGACACACACCTTGCACCGCGTCTCTACGCCGAGACCCGAGGTGCACCATTGGGTACCCTCGATGTCCCAGGCAAAGACCGCGAACCACGACGAGAGACGGGTCAAAGCACCCTCGATGCGCACATTGCAGCGGACAAGGGAACGGAGCAGAAGGTTAAGAGACTGGCAAGCGAGATGAAGGAGTTGCTGGAGGAGCTGATGAATCAAGCCGTCGACACGACGCAAGATGGTTACATTACTGTTGATGCAGAGAGTGTGTGTGTCCAGATGCTTACACGATCTGGTATCGCTGTCGACGATCCACGCGACTCGAGAAGAATAAAGCTGTGCGAATGGGGGTCAATCGGTGGATAACCATATGATAAATTGTTTTTGATAACTAGGTAGTGATATCTTGAACGCCCCCAAAAAATCACTTGGGTGCAATCGTCTCAACGACAGCATGCCTCTTCATAACTTTCCTCAACTTGGCAAGCTTGACTTCCCTAACCGCAATCTGCTCCTCGTAATCCATCTTGAAACCCGGCGTACTCAACATCGTATGTTTCACGGGACTATCAGCGACGTCGTCATCATCCATCAATCCCCAAACTCTCCTTCCTCTTGTCGGCGTCTGCGGAAGCGCCGACCGTTGAGCAAAGGAACGTTGGCGACTGTGACCGCCAAGTCGCACGGACCCGAGCGCCTTCTCAAGTTGATTGACCTTGTTCTGCTTGATCTCCGCATCCAACTCGATGTTCTCGATAGCCCTCCTCATTCTCCCAACGGTGGTCTTCTGCTCCGGTCCGCCTCCACCTCCAAGCTTCGCCTTCACCAGGAAGACCTTCTCCTCCATCGCACCGATAAGCCTCTCGACCTCCTGCGTACTCTTCCTCAACTGACGCTGGAGCTCCGCGTGTTCCGGCGCGAGGTGGTGACCACGCATCTTCACCGCGTAGTCCTTGTCCTGTCGTGCACGAATGTAGCGCTGGATTTCGGTCCTCTTGGCTTCGAACTTGATACGCGCACCTTGAAGCTCCTTGATGGTTTCCTCAGCGGCGCTCTTCTCGGCCTTGATCGTATCGGTCTGCTTGTGGAGCTCAGCAACGATCTCGGAAATAGCCTCTACATCACCCATCTTCCATCCCTTCTGCTTGGCAGGAACGAGATCGTCGACAGTCTTGTTCTGTGTGCTCGGACCGGTGTGAGCGGACACGAACTCAGCCAATCGGGCGGCGTTCTTCTCGAGGATAGACAGCTCCTCGTTAAGCTGCAAGAAGTTCCTCTCAAACTCACCTACGACACCCCGCGCCTCGCAATCAGATTCCTGAATGACCTTAGCCTGCTTGTAATCGAGATAAGGTTGCAACTTCGCAACTTCTTCAGTTGCTTCAGGTGCAGGCGTAGTCGTCTCGGACTCTGTTTGCTTGGGTGCACCAAAGCCAAAACCGGAAGGTGCGGCCTTCGTCTCGGCAGATTTCGCACCGAAAGCACCAAATCCTGAGGAGGCAGGAGGGTTTCCGGCGGGGGTGGTTCCGAAACCGAAGCCGGCTTTCTCCGTAGCAGGAGTGGCCGGGGCGACAGGGGCACCGAAAGCGCCAAACGCAGGAGCAGCTTTCTTGGGACTGCTGGGTGTAGCCGCGGGGGCTGCAGGTGTTCCAAAAGAGAACCCTCCAGCAGGCTTAGCAGCAGGAGCACCGTCCGTGCCTGAAGCAGCAGGGAAGCTGAAGCCCGATGGTGAGGGCTTGGCTGGCTCAGCGAAGGAAAACCCAGTAGGCTTTGGCTTGTCTCCGTCGGGTGCACCAGCACCTGCAAAGGAGAATGCAGAAGGTGCGGCTGGTCCAGAAGGGGTGAACTGGAAGGCTCCACCAGTCTTAGGCTTGACCTCAGCTGCGGCTGGAGCAGCACCTGGCTTGGCTGTCTCACAGGCCACACATGCATTGTCCTCGTTTTTGTTCGAGATCATACAACCAGAGCATTCCCACCCAGCCTTCTTTTCCGGAGCTTTCATGCCAGCGGCGGCCCAGTTGAAGCCCTTAGACGCTGTAGGCTCCCCCATCGGCTTCTCACCCGGCTTGGGAGTCTCGCATGCAGCGCATATACTGTTCTCGTCCTTGTTCGAGATCATACACACTGTGCATTCCCAGCCCGCTTTCTTCTCGGGTGCTTTCATGCCAGCGGCGGCCCAGTTAAAGCCCCCAGTTGGAGTTTTCATTTCAGTATCCTTACTGGGGTCCTCGACCTTCTTTTCGCCCGTCTCTTCGGTATTGGTACTGTCATCTGTCTCAGTAACCTGTGGGGCAAAGCTGAAGGCAGGCTTTGTCTCAGCAGACTTGAACGAAAAAGCCGAAGCAGTTTTGCTTTCGTCAGGCTTGACGAAAGCAGTTGCGAAAGCAGACGCGACCTTGGGAGGCTTGTCGGCAGTAGCCGCAGCGGAAGCAAAAGCCGACTGGACCGGGTCATTTGGTTTAGCAAAGGAGAAGGCCGGTGGTGTAGGCTTGTCGTCCGTTTTAAACGAAAAAAAGGCTGAAGTACTCTTGGCGGCCAATGGAGACTCGGTATTCGCCTCCTCATCCGTGATACCAAAGCTGAAGGGTGATTTAGTCGAGGAACTTGGCTTCGCTTCTTGGACCTTTTCATCCTCTTCCTCGTTTCCTGACTGATTCTCTTCGTCTTCTGAAAACTCGTTCTCATCCCATTCTTCGTCGGACTGCAAGAACTCGTCCAGCTGATCGTCGAGATTCGTTGTGTCGCCTTCATTCTCGGAACCCTCTTCATCGTCCACAGGCAGGGCAGGTGGTGTGAGGGGGCCTTCCTCACCCTTTTCTAGTACCGACTCTTTCGGTGTCGTATCTTCTTTCTTGTTGCCGAACGGGAAGGGCGGAAGAGGCGCGGATTCTGCAACCTTCGTCTCCTGAGGTTTGCTGAAAGCAGACATAGGCGGTAAAGGTGCATCATCTACGACAACTTCAGGCTTCTCTAAATCCTCAACCTTATCATGGGTCTGCTTCGCTTCGGGGAGAGGTACAGCCGCAACATCTTCCGTCGTCGCTTCCTCGGATTTGGGAGCAGAGCTGAACATGGGAGGCAGGGGTGCTGGCTCAACAACAGTTTCTGTCTTTTCTTCCTTCTGCTCTGCCGGCTTTACTTCATCGGTTGTGGGAGCTAAGGAAAACGTAGACGCAGATTTATCTTCCGCCTTCGGAGCAAAAGAGAAGGCCGACGCAGGCTTGTCCTCAGTTTTTGGCGCAAAGGAGAAAGCGGATGCAGGCTTGTCTTCCGCTTTTGGTGCGAAAGAGAAGGCCGACGCAGGCTTCGCGGGCTCCTCAACCTGGTTCTCTGCTGGATTAACAGGGGACTGTTCCGTTTCTGCCGGTATTTTGTCATGTTCCTTCGCTGCCTGTGCAAATGCACTCCCTCCGAATGCACTTCCCGTGGAAGATCCGAATGCACTGCCTCCGCCTCCAAAGGCCGAGAACGGTTTCGCCGGCTTCGCAGCCGCTGGCTCCTCCTTCTGCGCGTCTCCCAAGCCGAAACCTCCGAATGGGCGTCCGAGGCCCGTCGATGATGCCGGTGCAGCTGCAGCTGTCTCCTTTGTCTGACTCAATCCCATCCCGCCAAACCCAGCGAAGGGATTGGACGCGGTTTCCGCCTTGGGCTCCTCGTCGATAGGCAGCTCATTCTCAGGTTCCGCTGGTTCATCCTCCATGTCATCATCCTTGACCGGGCTGCCGGCTCTTGGTGTCTCCACCTGCCCGGCAAAGGCGAATGCTGATGGTTGCGAAGGACCGGTGCTTGAACCGAAGACGTTGGACTCGCCAGCGGCGGCTCCAAAACCGGTAGCGGGTGCGTTGGCGAACGATGCAAAGCCACCAGCGTTACCGAGCTTGGAGGTAGAACCAAAGACACTGCCAGAGGCCGGCGCAGCGGGGAAGCTCGACTGACCGAACACTGATCCGCCACCCAAGACTGATGACTTCCCGAATGCAGAATTAGCTCCAAATGTACTAGTAGAACCAAAGGTGGGCCCGGATCCAAGCGTACTCGTCTGTCCAAGCGCACTGTTTGCGCCGATGGTACTTGGCTTTCCAAATGTGCTGCCACCAAAAGCCGACGTGGGAGTAGATGTCTGACCAAACGCACTTGCAGGTTTAGGCGGAGTATTGAATGTACTAGGTGTATTGGACTGGAACGCAGATGGTGTACTCGTCTGATTGAAAGCTGAACCGCTTGGGGTGCTGGGTTGGTTGAAGGCACTACCGGGAGTGGACGTGAAGGCGGAAGGGCTGCTCGCTGCGAATGCAGCTGTTGGCGTGCTGGTCTGGCCGAATACGCTCGCCGCACCAGGGGTACGCGGCTTCGTAAACGCACTGCCGCCGAAAGCTGATCCTGTAGTGGATTGACCGAAAACGCTGCTTCCGAAGGTGCTGCCCGGAGTAGATGTTTGCCCGAACGCCGGAGCTGCACCAAAAGCAGACTTTGGCGGAGCACTCTCTTTCTTGTCTTCCTCCATCGACTCCTCCTTGATCTCCTCCCTCGGCGTACCTCCAAATCCAAATCCCGTACCTGTAGCTGGACTCTTCACGGCGGCTGCACCGAATCCGAAACCGCCAGGGGTACCCGCAACAGGCTGAGGAGCAGAGCCAAACCCGAACCGGGCCGCAGGTGCGGCTGGCTTCATGCCAAACCCGAATCCTACACTAGGGCTAGTCGGACCAGATGCCGCTGGCGTATTTCCACTTGGGGTGACCTGATATGGGACACCTGCCTTGACAGCGGGTGCCCACACGACCCACCAGCCCCCAATTCCACCCTCGCTGTCCAAGCTCCAAATCACAGGCAATCCACTGGCTGCTTCTGGTCCTCCGGCACTCAACGGGTTGTCGACTGGTGCATCGAGAAGACTGAAGTCAAGGGCGAGACCGAGTGGTGAGGTATCCATACCGGACTCGGACAAAGGGAGGGCAGCGCGACGAATCTCGTTGGAGATGGTGAAAGTGGTGAGGGCCGAGGAAGTTGAACGAGCGTAAACGCCGATATCGGTTGATGGTGTAGCGGCGGTCACGACGAACGTATTCAGGTCATGCCAGGCGGAGGGTAACGCAGCGAAGAAGTTGTGTCCGTCGCGGGAGGTAAGACCGAAAGGTGGTGTCGGCTCTGTGGTGCTGGTGTATGTAGTCTTATCCTTCACAACACTGACGATAACGTGCTGATATTCATGGACTGGCTCCTGAGGTGCAGTAGTTGAGTTGTTGTAGACGGCCAAGAAGACGTTGTTTTCCAGCCAGAACAGTGATGATACGTAGACGCCGGGCAAGGATGGCGGTGGTGCAACGGTGCGCTTGGTTTCTCCCGCTGGGGTGAGGTTGATGATCGTGCCATTACCGAGACCCGCCGCAATTTGCTTTCCTTTCTTAGACCAAGAGATTGAAGCCACACCAGTTGCAATAGTGTTGCTAATTGTAGGAGCGGGGCTGAGGTTGATGATACTGAGCTCTCCTGTGGTACCCAACAAGGCGACGCTATCGTTTTCGGGATTCGGAGCCAGTACACGTACACCATTTGACGACAGAATGCTGCCTTGTGGGTTCGGCGGTGATCCGGCGAGGACTTGTTGGACATCGTAGAACAGAATCTGCCCGTTGCCGAGCGCAACCAACAATATTCTCTCATCAGCGGAAAACGCGACATGCGTAACAGGGCCTCCGCATTCCACTTTGACTTCAGGGTCGAACTGTATCCTCCCCTTGTCACTCGCGCCCTTCAAACCATCCCTCAGTGTACTTGTCCGTCCTCCCACAAACCCTGTCTGTGTACCAACAACATACAGTCCCTGCTTGCTGATTGCCAGCAGAGACGAGGTAGCCGGTGGTAAGCTATCCCCCGGCCAAGGCGGGCTCACGACGAGGTATGTGTCCGGCCGCAGTGACAAGAACTCGAGATCATCCGTCTCCAGCTCGTCCACTGTGTTCTCCTCCACGGGGTTAGATGAGGAGGGGGCATCTGATGCCAGAGCGGCGAATGGATTTGACATTATGTACGGATCAACCGTAGCCAATTGAGAATGGCTGATCCCGGTGTTTTTGCTGGAGTTTGTTTGTAGCCGGGGTGGGACCCTCTACGATACAGGCACAGCACGTCAAGAGCAAGAGGGTGAAGGGACTCTTGGCGCAGCCAGAAACATCGCTATACTTTGTTTAATCTATCAAACATATCTCCCGGTTTGCGGTCCTGTTTGAGTCCCCCCTTCTCACCGCTGACGTACTGCATACGGACCGCGTACTCCGACCTCGAGCGGTCCCAAGTATACGAACCTCCTCGACCCCAATTGCTCCCTTCAGTCCATCCTAAACGATGTCTTCCGCAAAGATTCACGTCCCGAAGCCAGGCTTCAACTTTGACCTTCACCAGAGGTATGTCTCTTACGCCAATGCCTCACTCAAGGGTACACACCATGCTGACATCTACGAATAGAAATGTCCACCTCGCACAGAAGGGCATGAATGTGAAAGCAACCTCAACAGGAACAACCATTGTCGGCGTAATCTTCGACGGCGGAGTCGTCCTCGGAGCCGACACCCGTGCCACATCCGGTCCCATCGTCGCAGACAAGAAGTCCGCCCTCCCTCCCTCCCTCCCCATGCCTTGCAGACATTCGCTAACGCTCGTGTATAGCTGTGAAAAAATCCACTACCTAACCCCAAACATCTGGTGTGCCGGTGCCGGAACCGCCGCAGACACCGAATGGACAACCCAACTCATCTCCTCCCAACTCGAACTCCACTCCCTCTCCACAAACCGAAAGCCCCGGCTCATCACCGCCCTCACCCTCCTCAAACAATACCTCTTCCGTCACCAAGGTCAAATTGGAGCGTACCTCGTCGTTGGTGGTGTCAGCTTTGATGGACCGAGTCTTTATACTGTTCATGCGCACGGTTCGACCGATAAGTTGCCTTTCGTCGCAATGGGCTCAGGAAGTCTTGCCGCGATGGCCGTCCTCGAATCCTCATGGAAAAAATCCCTGACGAGACAAGAAGCCATGGACCTCGTCACCCGCGCCATCTCCGCCGGTATTTTCAACGACCTCGGATCAGGCTCCAACGTCGACCTCTGTGTCATCGACGCCGAAAAGGCGCAGGTGCACCGTGGTTACAGCAAGCCAAATGAGCGTGGACGTAAGGAGCAGAGGTATGTGTTTGAGAAGGGGACGACCGCCGTGTTGAGGGAGGAGGTGAGGAAGTTTGTTGTGGATGAGGTTAGCTATGGGTATAAGAGCGCGAGTGAGGTGGAGACTACTGGACAGTCGGCAGGGGATAGTGCGATGGAGGTTGATGCTTAGGAAGGTTCGACGTAGACGAAGGAAGGGGAGGGAAGTAGAGAGGATGATTACATATACCAATTGCAAGTGCCTAGGCAACAATCCGATTTGCAATACCAATACCAAGCGGAATAACTCCATACCGTACCCAATCCCAAATTATCCCACACACACCCTCCACCTCTATTATTCGCTTTTCTGTCAGTTTCTCCTCCCCCTTCTCCTCCCATTAGCCCCAGGCTTACTCCTCGCACTCTTCTCCGCCAACTCCAAACAATCCCTACAATACCACTTCCCCTTCGGACTCTCCTCCAACCCCACACACTCCAGATGAAACCACTCTTTATCGCAGCCTTCGTTATCGCAGCAGATCATTTCGCCAAAGGAGATGCGTTGGCAGTAGCAGTAGACAGGTTCGTCAGGGTCGATGGCGTTGGGGGGGATGGTTGTTAGGGTTGTGGTGGGGGAAGGGGAGCGTGCGTGGCTGGAATGATGTTGGGAGTTGGAGGAGGTGTGGGAGGCGTTCGGGCGGGGTTTGGTGGTGACGGGTTTTGTAGTGGAGGAGGTGTGGGGTTTTGCGATTGTTGGACGGGGGCTGGAGACGGCGGCCGCGAGTGCGGATGTTTCTTTTGCGAGTTTCCGTTTTTTGGATGGTGTTCCTTCTTCGACTATTCCCTGCTTTTTGACTCCGCCGAGTCTGCCTTCTCTTTCCTGTCTCTTCTCTTCCACGGTCTTTGCACGTTGTAGTGTAGCTGGGTCAATTCCCGCCTCCCTCACCGGCACGATCTCATCCTCGATTCTGGCGTAGTCGTCTTCGATCCGAAGCAAGTGCTTCTCAACAGCATCAGCGCACGCCGACGCAACCGACACCTTCTCATCCGCACACGGCAAAGCCTCAAGCAACAGCCCCCGAATCTGGCCGAGGAGAGCGACGCGCCATGGATGCGAAAGCGGTAACGAAAGGAAGTGCGTAATCTTCTGTGATATCGCAGTCTGCAACGTCGCAAACTTCGCGTCCACCTCGCGTAACAGCGTAAAATTCCTGACGATCTCGGCCTGTACTCCAATCAGTTCAAGTCAGGATGACGTACGAATCGGAAAACACACCGGTAATGCTTCGATCGCGTCGGTGAAGTCGTTTAGGGCAGCATAGATCTCGCCGGTTGCTTTCTCAGCACGCTCAGCTTGTCCTCTTGTTGCTTTCATGGTTGGTTGATGATGGAGGGGTCCTTTGCTGGTTTCTGGTGGAGAGCTCGAGCGACATCGATACGACGGCGCCGGCCGCAAGGCACACAGTTACGCTGAGGGGTGGGACGTCGGCCTACTCGTGTTTGGATAGCAGAACTGTTTATAGATGACTAATATATTCATAATAGAAGTACTTATGCTCTGACTTACAAACGACCCACTCAATCCTGACTGTCCATGTCGCATCCCGAGCGCACGAGCCGCGTCGAACCGCCGAGTCGCGACATACGAGCTTTAAAGGACAACATAACATAAAGCAATGGCTACGCAATACGGTGGTGATGAGGTTCGTATTGATCCGCGGTGTCTCACAACTTCAGCTTATCCTTGCTTTCGCGCAGGTCTCCGCACTCGTCTTGGACCCAGGATCGGTAAGTTCACTTCCTTCAATCGCAATTGATCCCCTCTAACCGTCTCCCAGGCATGGACAAGAGCCGGATACGCCGGCGAAGATACTCCCAAATCAATAGTTCCCACCACCTACGGTTACCTCCCACCCGCCGACGAATCCTCCAAATCCTCCTACATCATCGGGGACCTCGAGCTCTCCTTTCCCCGACCCTCAATGGAGATCAAGAACCCTATGTCAGATGGCGTGATCCAGGACTGGGATGCGGAAACGCAGATCTGGGAGTACGCGCTCAAGAAGAGACTGAAGGCTGAGCCGAAGGAGCATCCGTTGTTGATTACTGAGCCGGCGTGGAATCAGCCTAAGAATAGGGAGAAGGCTATGGAGGTTGCATTTGAGACGTTAGAGGTACCGGCATTTTACTTGGCCAAGAGTGCGGTATGTGCCGCTTTCGCGAACGGAAAGGCGACGGGACTTGTTGTGGACGTGGGTGCAGGGCAGGCATCAGTCACCCCAGTCTACGACGGATTCGTCCTCAAAAAAGGTTTGTGTGTTAGCAATGTCTCGTTGACTCACGTTTTAACAATTACAAACAGGAGTCATGCACAATACCTACGCAGGCAACGCAATTGATAGCCACCTCCAAACCAAACTCTCTGCCCAACAAATCCCCCTCAATCCACGCTACCTCATCTCACGCCGCGTCGCCGTCGAACCCGGAGCACAACCCACCCCAACCCTCCGCGAAACGAAAGCAACCCAGTCATACCACGCCTACGCACAATCCCGCGTCATCAATGAATACAAAGAATCTGTCTGTGCGACATGGGAGGGACCCGGTCACTTTGACGAGCGTGCCTCCGCAGGTCGACCTGGCCGGACATTTGAGTTCCCCGACGGATACAATAACACTTTCGCCGGAGCATCCCGATATGCGGCCCCAGAACTGTTGTTCACCACACCACATTCCCTCACAACCCTGATCCTTCAATCCATCAACGCCTGCGACGCAGACCTCCGTCCCTTCCTTTACTCCTCCATCCTCGTCACCGGCTCTACAACCCTCCTCCCCGGCTTCACCGACCGTCTCGTCTCTGAACTCCAAGCCGCTGCACCAGGCGCCAAAGTCCGTGTGCAGGCGCCTGGAAATTCTGTGGAAAGAGGATGTGCGTCATGGATTGGTGGATCGATTTTGGCGAGTTTGGGTACGTTTCATCAGATGTGGGTTAGTAGGCAGGAGTATGACGAGGCGGGAGCGGAGAGGTTGGGGTTGGTTGAGAGGAGGTGTACGTAAGGACATCATCTAGAGGATGTAGATACCACCGGCGCGAAAAAGCCAATATACCAGGTCATTTTGGAATCACAAACAAATCTCTCTCATTCAACGGGTATCGATAAAGTACATGTGAGCTACGAACGGGCTCAGGCCTTCTCCTGTAAGCCTTTGTAGAGCGCAGTCTCCCACGCCATCCAACAAAACGCAACCTCCAGATCCCCCATCGGCAAAAGCTGGGTCAAGTTAACCCCAGCAACCCCCTTCGCCCTATCAATCCACCAAAAACAATTCGCGATCCCAGCCCACCAGACACTCCCCGCCGACCGTCCCGTCGGTAACTCATCGTGGGATATCAAGAACGACAACCCCCAACCTTTGCGGACGCCGGGCATGAGGTTCGGAACGGGGTTATGAAGCTCGGGGATTGCGATCGGGATGGGGTCTTCAATGGAGATCCCGAGGGGTGTAGTTTGGTCGATGAACATACTATCCACAGTACTCTTCTCCAGGATCTTCGCACCCGTCATGCTGGTGCCGTCGTTCAACAAGACTTGGAGGACCCGGCAGTAATCTTCGGCTGTGGAGTGCAGCCCGCCGCCGCCGAAATGGACTTCGATTTCGTTTTCAATGAGGGGAATCGCGTGGTGGCGAGAGGTGAGGAGGCCGGTTTCGAGATCGCGTTTGTGCATTCCGCTGTGGCGCTTGACCATCTCTGCGGTGGGGACGAAGGAGGTCGACTTGGCCCCGATTGGCTCCAAGATATGCTTCTTGACTGTACTACTTGTCAGCAGGCCTCACCACACTTTACACGGAAATGGGCTTACAGTAAGCGTCCAAACTCATCCCGCTAATTCTCTCAATGATGAACCCAACCCAATCCAACCCAACCCCATACTCAAACTTCGTCCCCGGCTCACTCCCCAACGGGGCCTCGATAGCATCCCTCGTTGTCCCAAAAGTCGCATTCTTTGCATTCCCCACAATTCCGTTCATCTTATTCCACTTCAACGTATTCTCGTTGAAGAAATCATAGGTGTGGCCAGAGGTGTGGGTGAGCATCATCCTGACCGTAATCTTCGTCTTCGGCTCCTTAAACACTGGCTTCCCATCATCATCAAACTGTGTCAAAATCCTCTGCGTCCCCAAATCAGGAAGGTATTGTTCGGCCGGAACATCCAAATCGATCTCACCCCTCTCCACGCACTGCATCGCCGCAATCGTCGTAACCAACTTCGTGAAACTCGCGATCCAGAACACGGTATCCATGGTCAACGGCTGGTCTTTGTTGTCAAGGTCGCGGAGGCCGGAGGCGTGTTCGTAGAGGAGGGAGCCGTCTTTGGTTATAGCGCGGGCGACGAGGCCGGGGATTCCATTGGGTTTGGAGGTGTAGGCGTCGATGATTTTGTTGATTTCGGGGGCGTTGGAAATCATGGCGGTCACTGGGCAATGAAGATTGGGGAGTGTGGGTAGCAGAAGAGAAGAGACGAGCAAGGTCACGCCTTTTATTCGGCACCACCAAGATGAGGGGAACCTAGACGGCAAAGGCCAGCCGTGATGCTCATGCCATGTGATGCCTCTTTCATAACTGTTGTCGGACCTCGCGGTCCGGGACCGTTCAGGGAATCTCGGATACGTGTAACGTTGATTTTGTGGGGAGCGGGGTCGGTTATCCGTGCGGGGTGTTTCATCTCGGCCCAACTACAGGTCAACCCTTTTGTGATTTATGCCTGTACGTATACAAGAAATGTTTGAGAATGGAGATCTATTTGTCTGCTGCCAATCACCAAATGACTACTCCGGCTTCTCCCCCAACCCCGCCAGCAATCCCCCCTCCACCTTCGCCAACGTCTCCTGCTCCTTCTTCCACTCCTCCCTCGTAACCCCTTGTATCCCATCCTCCGGCACCTCAGTCCTCCTCACCTGCAACCGATTATTCTCCATAACAATTCTTTTCATATCCCCAATTCTCTGTGCCCGCTGAAACCTACAACCCTCCCACACGACTATGGTCGTACCCGCGAACCCGCCTACAGCCCAGTTACATGCTTTTCCGATAGGACGTCGAAGGGAGAGTTGGAGACCGAAGAGGACGAAGCTGGCGGTGATGCCGGAGAGGAGGGAGGTGCGGGCGCAGGGCATTTGGTAGAATTTTGGGATGTCGTCAAGGGAGAGGGTCTACACTCACCCTTAGCACTTTGTCACAACTTATGGAATGGTTCGGTACCTTCCAGACATCACCCAAATTTAACTCCGGCTTCGGCGGAGCAGCGGGCTTTTCCTCTCGATCCGCACCCGTATAATCATGTAGCTTCCCCGCCAATATCCTGTCATTCAACTCTTTTAGTCTGCGTCCTTCTTCAGCCATGTTTGTGTCTTGATTTCTGTTTCTGTTCGAGGAACTTTGTCGAGGATTTTTGGTGAGCGAGGTGATATGGGGTTTCACGTGAGTTTGGACGTACGTCAGGGCGTTTCCTAGCGATAAGATGAAGTAAGAGTTCGCCGCAAGAAAATACGAAGGAGTTGATCGATACCATTTGGACCATTTGTACATGCTATAGACCCTTTCATCTTATAGACATCCCTTGGTCGTGAAGTCGATCAAAGCAGCAAAGCAGCAGCATGGAGGACTACGTCCAACCCGTCGACGACGAAGAACTCGAACAATTTCGCCGAACATGGAAAGAAGAAGTCGCTAAATCCCGCCGGCAAGCATCACCTGAACGTTCACGATGGGGTCTCGATCACCATGATCGACCGCCATCGATGTTACCGAGCACTTTTGTTGCGCAGGCTGCAAAGAAGAAGGCAAAGTCGAAGGCGAAGGCGGAGGAGGAGGATGAGGAGGGTGGCGGGAGTGTTATGGCGGGGAAGGGTAAGGGCACGGCGAGTTATACGAGGGATGCGGGGTTTGTTAGTGCGATGAAAGAACTGTCCATCGAGGACCCGGCGGCGGCGGCGGTGGTGCAGAAGGAGGACGGAAAAGGCAAGGAGAAGGCGAAACCGACCACATCAGAAGCAGGACCAGAACCAGAACCTACCTCACCACCTCGGGCACGAAGATCACCCCCAATCCCCACCAATCCCGCTTCCGCTCTTGAAATGTACGAATCCGCCGTTCACGCCGAAGCCCAGGGAAACCTCTCTGCCGCACTCAAAAAGTACCGAGCAGCCTTCAAACTCGACGCACACGTCGACAACCTCTACCGGAAAGCCCTCAAAGACGGTAAAATCGGACAGAAACCCGCTGAGGGAGAACAGAAGAAAGACGGGAAAGACGACGAATACTATCGCACGATGCAAACAACCCACGACTACACCGAAAAAGAAAACGCAGAAACCTCCCTCTCCCTCCTCCTCACCAAATTCCGTCTCGGCGACCTCCTTCTCCAGAATACCGAAGACCCCACGATCCCACCATGTCCCCTCGACCTTCTTCCAAACGAGTTATTGATTAATATTCTGACGCACGTGGCACTGCTGGATGTCGCTGCCCTGGGAAGGATGAGTCGGACGTGTAAGAAGATGTTCGTGATGGCGTTCGGGGAGGAGGGGGTTTGGAGGGGAGTTTGTAGGGAGTATTATCGGCATATGACATATGCTGAGCCTGAACCCGAGTCTTCCACTCCTCCTTTCGATGAGGACGGGGATGTTGGACCGATCGCGCAAACACCCGAGGCGAAGTATAGAATACGGGAGGAAGCCGAGTTGGCGAAATATGGTGGGAGTTATTTACAGATGTTTACGCTCCGCCCCCGTATCCGTCTCGATGGGGTCTATATCTCGACATGCAACTACACCCGTCCCGGAGTCAACGATGGCGCGTGGAATACTCCTATCCATATCGTCACCTATTTCCGATTTTTGAGGTTTTTCGGAGAGGGGAAGGTTGTCAGTGTTTTGACCACGGACGAGCCTCGGGAGGTCGTCGCAGACCTCGGGGTGGAAAAAGATGACTCGGAGGAAGTAGCCGAAGGGCGCGGAAAGCGGGTACGTGGTCGCGAAGATACCAAAAAGAAACCCGAACCGGGCGTAGCATGGGGAACCTGGGCTCTCGACCCCACTTCCTCTGGCCGCCTGCACATCCACCTCTCTGGTCACGGCAAGTATTTCTTCGAGATGGAATTACAGATCAAGTCGACGAGCAGGGGGAGACATAATAAGTTGGCGTGGGTGCGGTTTGAGAGTGTGAGTAAGGAGACTGGGGAGAGGATGGAGTTTGGGTTGAGGAATGATAAGCCGTATTTTTTTTCGAGGGTTAGGAGGTATGGCAGGGGGTGGTAGAGAGATTGGGTACGATATAGCGATACAGGGATAGTTAAAAGGAGTTCTTTGTGCAATCGGCGAGATGGTTATAAACCCCAATCACGCCGGAACTATGTCCTACGGGACATCGGTCTATTTGAAACGATACAGAGAAGATTAGCATGGGTAAGTCAAAGCGCCCGAGTTCGATTCCCACTGGGGAATTTATGTACCAGCATGGATGCTAACAAGTACTCACAGCCCCTGCATAAGGATGACAACATACGCTAAAGAGAGGACTCAATTTTTTGAGGAATTGAGGCAGCAGGATTGTAGAGCTTTCCTCTCATTGGCAGCAGCTGTCTGTTCGCTGTAGTTTGTTTCCCACGGTGTTGCGTGACGACGTCGCGTTTCTGCGCAATCGTGCACACACAGCACCCATCTGCCAAACAGCATACATCCCCTCCTATCCCTTGCAATGTCGCCTCACGCTGAAATCGCTACCGCTCCCGGCTGTGGAGCATGTTCAGGTTCTTCAGTCGATGATCCTTTGAACTCGGCCGCTCTTCCTACCTCAATTCAAAAACTGGCAGGTTCGCGTGATCATTTCAACGTCTTACTATCCGAAATCCACAAAACCCTTCTTTCCCGTCCCGATCCCGCAGAATCCCCCGAAACGCTCCGAATCCTCACCGAACTCATGTCAGGCTACGCCGTCCCTTCCTCCCTCGACTCCTCAACCCCAGCGCCAGTACCTTGGCAAAAATACATGCACACATCTCCGTACATGCCCTACACCCGCAACCTGATCTACTCAATCCCAAACGTCGCAACCCTCCTCATCCTCGTCTGGAACCCTTCGAAAGGGAGTGCGATCCACGATCATGCGGGTGCGCATTGCTTGATGAAAATCTTGTCGGGACAGTTGGAGGAGAGGGTGTTCGAGTGGCCTTTGCCCAGTACGCCTACAGAATGTGAAGAGGGGCAAAATGGGGAGAAGGAGCATGAACATGAGGAGCATACACTACATTTAAAGAGTTCGAGGGTTTTGAAGGCGGATCAGGTGGCATACATCTCCGACACGATCGGCCTACACCGTATTACGAATCCCTCACCCGAAACAACGGCGGTGAGTCTACACTTGTATTGGCCACCGTGGGCGGCGATGTATGGGTGCAGGGTATATGATGAGAACACGGGGCGAGGGAGGGAGGCGGGACAGGCTGGGTTTTACAGTGTTGGAGGTGAGAAGGTAACAGGGACGAAATAAGATTGCACGGTCGAGTGTACGATAAGTGCTGGATACAAGGGTGATAGACCGTACGGGATACGACGTGACTACATGATACGGTAGTACTGGTAAGAATGAGTTAAGATTATACCTTCCATCTATCCTATCTCCCCTCTTCATCTTCCTCAAAAAGTTCTCCAAAGAATATCAAGGATCCAAGAAGCAAAAACGCCAAAAAGAAGCCAAAATCGCAAAACAATGCCCAAAACTAAAACAGGAAACAAACCGTGCAAATCGTCCATCTTGCAGCCGCTGTCGTTCGAAAATGCTCTCCTCCCTTGTCGCCTCCCAAAGTGTGTCTCACAACAGCTTGCCCATCTCATACGACGAGATCATGATCGCACACGCCGGACTGACCTTCAACAACCGTGGAACGCATCCTCGCCACAAACCCCTAATACCCTCCTCCTTGACGATATCGGCCATTAATCTCGACACACTATGCGGCTTTCCTCCTCCTCCTCCTCCATTGGTCTTCCCATTCGCACCTCCATTCCCAATCGCGCCATTCGATCCATGCGCTGCCCCGTTCGCCGCCGCTCCCGTTGTGGCGCCCTGCACCTCAACCTGCCTCCTCGTCTTCGCAACATCAAACGGCGTCGTCAAAAACGCCGCAATCGTCCCACTCGCCGCACCCGCCACGAAACTCTCTCCAAACGTCCCCAAACCCCATCCTCCGCCCTTACTGATCATCTCCTTTGCTTGTTCGTAGCCGAGCCAGTAGACTCCGGAAAAGGGTACGTCACGCCAGAGAGTGAGTGAAAGACCGCGCCAGAGGGAGCGGGGGCCGTGGGAGGCTACCATGGTTTTTATGCCGGTTAGGACTTGGGTGAAGTGTGAGGTCGTTCCCGATGCTGTCGATGATGTTGCCTGTAGCCGTGTCCTGAAAAGCTCCAGTGGCGAGATTGCTGTTGCTGCGAGCGCTCTCGCCATGCCTCCACACAGTAGAGGAGCGTAATACGCCGCCTTTGCATCCGTCGGAAATACCTTCGTCCTCAACGTATCGTATCCAACAAAATAAATCACATTCGCCGGAATCGCCATGACCAACGTCGGACTCAACCCCCTCCAAAGACTCCGTATCCCCTCATACCTCGCAATCTTCACTAACCCCTCCCAGGTCCCCTCAAACCTTCTTTCAACCGCGCACAGGTCACCGGCAAACATGGGACAGTGAAGGGCTGAGAGGGAAGGACTGTGCGGAGTTGGGAAGAAGAAGACTTCGCGACAGCAGGATGTTACGCCGAGTTCGGAGGGTATGATGAGGCGGGATGTCGTTATGCGGGATATTGAGCGGGCGGAGGAGGCATAGGGTGAAGGTCGGGGTGGGCAGTCTGTGTGACCGTTCTTTGCAGCATTATTTGGCTGTTGGGATTGGGATTGTAATCGGGTCTTGACGACATCTAGAGGCGTCACTGTAGGAAGCATCATCAGTAATTGCTATGCAGAGACGGATGGGACATTCACACCTAGTAACGAAGTGAGAAGCGCACCAGCACACGCGCTCACAGTCTTCTGAACCATTGACGCCGTCGGTGCCGCTGGCGGATCACTCCGGCCATAAAGGTTCCCGTCGTCCATGATCCCTTGACCAATCGGCTCATCAATATCGAGCTGTGCAGACATTCGAACAAGTGATCCGTATAACTCCTCAATTAACAACTGGAGTGGGACCCCTTTTCCCTGCTTGGTTCTCCAGAAGTAGACGGTTCTTACTCTCGATCTCCAGTGTTCAAGTATTACGTCGACTTCGGCAGCAACCGCAGTTGCATCGCCACACATGTGAACATTCTGTATTAAACGTGACTCCAGATCAGATAAGTTTTAACTTCATAATGTTAAATTCGTAATACTGTAAGAAAAAGATGCGAAAAGACGACCCATTGCGAACCCCGTGAAAATGCGAACCAGAAAAGCACAAACCACTAACCTACCAGCTTACTTCTCCCCCGCTCATGGAGAGACCCTACAAGTCATCTTGATACCCATGGCAGTCAACTCGGCAGACAAGTACCTGAAGACATATGGCACCGCAACCGTAGTGACATTCTCACCACCAACAAACTTCTGTCCAGACGCATCCTCCCAAGCCTCACCCTCGGCCTCAAAGCCAGTAGCCTTCTCAGCACACGCCCGGCACCTAGTCTTGTTGCCAAACATACCGCCCGTCATCGAGTTCGAAACAGTCATCGTCGACAACAAAGATCCACAGTCTCTGCAGATAGGCGCCTGAGAGTAATCAGAGCAGTTCATCAAACGATCCTGCAAGATAAACGAGGTGCCGTGGGCAATGATAGCATCACGCTCCATTTCTCCGAAACGGACACCACCACCACGCTTACGACCACCGATAGGCTGGTGGGTAAGGTTGTGCACGGCACCAGTGGTACGGACTTGGAACTTGTCGTTAACCATGTGACGCAAACGCTGGTAGAAGACACATCCGACGTAGATATCGGCCTTCATCTCCTCACCAGTGATTCCAGAGTAGAAAGGCTCGTTACCGTGGTAGTTGTATCCGGCCTTCAACAACTGCTGACCGAAGAAGTCGGCAGCGGTGTGCTCCTCAGAGAACTTGAACGGAGTAGCATCCTGAGCCATACCGTGCAACGCACCAGCCTTACCCGCCAACGACTCAACGAACATACCGATGGTCATACGGGAGGGGAAAGCGTGAGGGTTGATAATAACATCAGGCTGCATGCCAGACTCAGAGAACGGCATGTCAACCGCCGGCCACTTCTGGGACAAGACACCCTTCTGTCCGTGACGAGAGGAGAACTTGTCACCAGTAACAGGCGAACGAGTAACCCTCAACTTGACATGAATACCCTGACACTCCTGATCACCAGAATCATTACCAAGCACACGGACCTCATCAACAAACGCCCGCTCAGTACCGTGGTACTCCTCAATCGAGGTCTTGCCTGTAGCGTCATCGAACCACGCAGCGATCGGGTCACCAGGCTGCAACTCAACACCAACCTGAGGCAAACCATCTCCATCCAACTTCTCCAACCACTCTTTGGGGTACTTATCCGACCCGAACCCAAAGTGATGCATGATCGGCTCTCCTCTCCGTCTCTTACTCGACAAGTCGACCTTCTCACTCTTGTAGACAGTACCATACCCGAACCCACGTTCATGTGCAGACTTGTTCAAGATCATGGCATCTTCCATGTCGTACCCAGTGTACGAGATGACAGCCACGACGGCGTTCATACCGTTAGGGTTGGCGTCCATTCCGTATGCATCGTGCAAAGCGGGCCTAACGATGGGGGTCTGACCAGTCTGCAGACGGTAGAGCTTGTTATCGGTACGATGTCTGATCGCAGTACCGGGCGTACCCATCGCTTGCTTACCCATCTGACACTGGTACATGTTTCGTGGAGACTGGTTGAAGTCGGAGAAAGGCGTCAAGTTGGCCACGATCGAAAGAATGTTGGTGGGAGCGTACTCAATATGAGTAGTAAGCCCAGGAAGAATCTCATCAGGCATACAAGCGATGTGCTCCATATGAACCTGCTCGAACGGTCCAACATGGTCTTCACCATCAGTACGGAGGTACTTGACGGGACGAACCATCCTAGCAGCCTGCGAGAAGAGGTAGAGCCCAGGGTACTGACCACCCGTCGACTCCGGCACGAGACCAATCTCGAGATCGAGGGGAACACCATGCGTGCCCTCAACCTTCCAGAACCTCAGCGTGTCAGCAACGTGCTTCGCCAACGCATGCGTACACCATCCAACGATCCTACCATCAAGCTGCACACAAGCCTTCAACGGTCCACCAACACTCGCGCTAGGTGGGGAAACACCCAACGAAGCGAGAAGTGCCGGGATTGCCTTCACATCCAATGGTGCAGTAGTGATCTTACACTTATGCGCCATATGGTTCAACAAACCACAGGGCGTACCATCGGGGGTATGTACAGGACACAAGAATCCCCATGCCTCAGGCAACAACTTTCGGACAGTGGTGGTCTTGAGCTCGGCAAAGAAAGATCCACGATGAACCATGCGGAAATGCGAGATATAACGGTAAAAGTTAAGTTTTTCAGCGACGATGGTGTAACCGGTCGCTTGCTGCAAGTCGAGACCAGTGTTGGAGACGAGGTTACCGGTGGAGAGAAAGTACGTGAGTTTAGCACCAATGTCGCCGTTGACCTTGGCCATTGCTTTGGTGAGGTATTTGCTGTCGTGGAGGTCGACGGCACCGGGTGTTCTCCGAATATCCTGCATAATCTGTGCGCGAATACCAGTAAGGTAATCCTCAATCTTCTCTTTAATAATCATTCCATACAAGAATCCACCAAGCAAGACTTCCTGATGCTGAGGCGAATCAGGGTTATCACCCGCACAATCACCAGCGACCAAAGCATAAAGTTTGCGGATCATGAACAGCAACATGCGGAACTTATCTCTCGGGTCCTCGAGGTGAACCAAGATGATTTTCCGAAGCCACTCGCGACCGACTTGGACGTCGGTCAACTCTTCTCCAATGTTCATCACCACGCGGAACTTCTCACCGAGGTAACGGAGCGTGTCTTCTTGGGTGTAGAGGGAGTATGCCTTGTAAGTCCTCAACAACAACTCCACACGGTCAGTCAAGAAAGTGTTATCGCGCTCCGCTCCGACAATACCATCAAAGATTTCCTTGTCGTTCGTGTCCACCAACGCCTTCAAGACCATCATGATAGGAACGAGGTACTCGTTCTTTCGCCATGAAATACGGAGCATGGCATTTCCGTCGTTGAGGTAGTGAAGGGTGTTTCCCTGCGATGACTGATCGGGCCTCACACAGCGGATTTGAACACCAAAGTGCGAGTACGCATTACCCCTGTTCGCAAAACTTGGTCGAACCAACGCCATAGCATGATTTCTTCTCGTAACAATCAACAGACGGATCAACTTCTCATTACCGTTCACGATGAAGTATCCACCCATCTCATCGGACTCCTCCTTGTGCGAGACCAAGTCGGCGGGTGCCATACCGGCGAGGTGACACCGATTTGACCGGACCATGACAGGGAGAAGACCAGCTTCTCTAGACACACTCTCCCATGGTCCATTATTCAATCGATAAGAAAGCTTCAACACAATACGAGCACGGTAAGTCGAAAGCCTCTCACGCGCCTCACTCGGGTAAATCCTCCTGTTAATACTCGTCCGATCTTTCGCGCTGAGCATGGGCTTAGCAATCTGGACTTCCTCGCACTTGATCTCCCATTTGTTGCCGCTGGGGTCGATAACGGTTTTCGTTCCGACGTCCTTTACCGCGAGATCGAGGAGGCCGCCTTCGGTGAGGGCATTGAAGGATTCGATGTGGGGAGCGACGGCTTCGGCGAGGACGGGGTAGGCGGATTGGTCCTTTGGCGGGTGACGGAAGATTTCCTCACGCTGGAGGGTCTTGAAAGTCGGACCGGCCATCGTTTTTTATGGTTATTGGGGGGATTGAGGTGGAAAGAAAGACGACACGGAGCGAGATCAGAGCCCGGGAGTGAAAATTGGGAATTTCTGAATGGAGGAGAAGCGGACTCGTCCCGGTGGTCTTTCCTTTTTTCTTCTTTCGAGCTCGACGCTGCGATTTCACCGAGGCACGGCTTCTAAGCTTTTGGATGCAGGTGCGACCACCCAACTTTTTTTGGGCCTTGACACGTGACCTGATATCAAGGGGCAGCTGAGAAATCATGTCGGTAGATAGGCCGCGACACTTAGGTGGATTGAATGTGGTGAGCGAGGGAAGGCGAAAGTCTTGTTGTTCTTACCATCTTGAATCAAGAATGTCTGATTCTTTTCTGCTTTTTGCTGGAGATGATGGCCCTGCACCGTGGGATATCGGCGGCGGCTGCAAGCACCGGTACCGATGACAGAGCGACCGGATACGTGTATCGATCTTTGCCATGAGTTTCATTATACAGGTTAGTAAAAGTCATGTCTGTTGCTCTCCCTTTGTCGCGTGCGGCGTGAGCCCAATCAACTATCGCCTTTGGCGGTTTGCGTTCCAATTGTGCAATTGCTTACGGGCCCGAGTGCTACTTTTGGGGCTCGAAGTATCAGGAATCTATCCAGAGATACATATGTGCATGTAGTGGGTATTGAATAGGGATATATCCCGAAATCCTTCTACGTTCGCGCTTGCGAAAATTCTAGGAGGGAGCTCTGTCCCGACACACTCACGTGGTATCTCGTAATCACAGGAGGACGTAGCAATATGAGCCTTGTACCTCGAAACTCAAGTCATGCTTGGCGATGGTTGGTCGAGATTCTAGTGTGCTATGCTCGTTGCTGGGCTTTGAATCTTATGGGGGTTCTTTAGCCTCAAGTCATGTTCAGCTCCTACAGTGCGATCACGAAGTAACGGCCTGGTCGTGAAGGAAGGTGAGTTAACCATGATCACATGTAAACTTTAGGGTCGAGCTCGCGCACTAGTTGTTCCATAAGATACTGTAGGGCACCGGCGCGGTTGATGAAATGGTCTTGTTGTCGTTGTGCTTGAAGGAATCGAGTATCGGAGACTGAAGTGTGTTGTCAGGCACAGCACTTCTTACGGCTCTCGCCAAGAATAGCCCTCCCCACACCCCTTCATCAACTCCTCCACGCTTCTTCATAGCTTACACAAGCTTCTCCATCTCAGTCACGGAGCACCTGATCCCCACACGGCTGATGACTCCGTAACACACCATCCTGTTCCAGCCCCCATCTCCGACCAAACCCCGGATTAACCTTACTCCGGGGCAAAGCAACCAAATCCAATTCCTCCCATATTGTATCCATCCCTCTGCACACTCCGGATAGACAGCTCACCTCCGAGCTGTGGGGAGGAGGGCGGAAGAACGATATCCTTACCCCGCTCCGAACGGTGCTGTTCCAGACCTCTTTGCTCCCCTTAAGCATAGGAGAATAGAGTTTGTTGAGAAAGCATACCGGTATGGATCAATGGAGGAGTGATTCCGTTCCCGAGTCAAGTTTGCCCTGCCCCGCTCTCCGGGGTGGCTTGCTGCACTCCGGATATTGGGTGTGCCCCGGGGTCACGCAACGCTCCAACTGCAGGCTGGTAAGGATGTAAGCGCGTGCCCGGCGGTTGGGAGCAGTATGGGAATGTTGGAAGATGGACACGAGTACGTGCACGAGTTCGCGGGAGGAAGTCACCGGAGCGGATTAACCTTTTCCGTCTCGCTCGCACTCCGGACCGGCCAGTGCTGGAGAAAGGTGTACGCCCCGTTTGAGGGATCTAGATCTATCGAAATAATATACAATGCATAGGCCTTCATGTCTGCTTGCAAAAATGGAGGGCGGAGGCGAAGGCCTGGACGACATGGCACGCGTGGAAACCGGATGGTCCTAGCGTACAGCTAGACTTTAGTGGGGTTTCTAGAGGGAAGGTTATGCGAGAGCTCGCGGATTCTGAAGAGCAATTGAGAAGTACGAAGGCGGAAGAGAGAAGGAGAAGAGACTGTCAATGCTAATTGAGAAACGGATCACTTGCACTGTCAACCTCCTCCCTCATCCCTCCTCTTGTTTCGCGCCGGCTCGGACAGCTGCCCACCCGCGCCGTGCGTGCCGCGCCTCCTCCACACCCCAGAGTCCGCGATTCCACCCATTGGACGCCCACACAAGAGGCGCCCCAAACACCAAGGCAGGCGGGGCAATGGAACAAAGAGCATGATCCAGCAATCAATTTCAGTTCTCATTAGAGTGCTTGGAACCGGAGGGACGTGATTGATCCGGCACGGCTCGGTGTTATTTGATCCGGAAGGTGGGGAAAACGCCGGTGTCCGACGGAGGATTGGAAAGGATTTTTTTTCTGGGGTTCCGCCAATGTGGTAATATGGGCTGTGGGGTACGTGAGGTATATAAGCTGGATCGATCCCCCGTGGGGTTTGGTGGAGCAGCGACAGGTCTTCTCGTCAAAGGTCCTTCCATCAGCTTGATCAATTGATCTCGAGCTTCGACTGCATCACCTACCTACACTTATCAATTACAAGGACTACAACAACCAACATGTCCTTCCCAGACCCACACGCCCCAGCTCCCCCCCTCGCAGCCCACATGGCAGGCCCTGAAGACATCATCTCTACCCTCCCCGCCGAACCCGTCCAAAACCCCAACCCTGGCCGCCAACACTTCCGTCCCCCGGCCCCCGGCGAGCAAACCGCCCCTAAATTCATCCAAATCGAACAAGGCGGCGGTCCCCCCTCCGAAACCTCCGACGAAGCCCGTGCGCGTGGAAAACCCGTCACGGCATGGACGAGGATTAGGCACAATATGAGGGAGCCGTTTTCGGAGTTCATGGGGACGATGACGATGATTTCGTTTGGAGACGGTGTTGTTGCGCAAGTTGTGTTGAGTAGGGGAAGCCATGGTGATTATCAGAGTATCAATTGGGGATGGGGTATTGCGGTCATGCTCGCCGTGTACGTTTCTGGTGGTGTGTCCGGTGGTCATCTCAACCCTGCCGTCACGCTTGCCAACTGCGTGTTCCGCAAGTTCCCATGGAGGAAGTTCCCGATTTATCTGATTGCGCAGGTATGTGGATGCTTCATGGGTGCCGCGATCGTCTACGGAAACTACCGCTCCGCAATCGACACCTACGAAGGCGCTGTCGGCCTCCGTACCGTTGGTCTCGAGAACTCCACTGCCGGGCTTTTCTGCACGTACCCTCAACCCTTCCTCACCCGCACCGGACAATTCTTCTCCGAGTTTACTGCGTCGGCGATTTTGATGATGATTCTCTTCGCGATCGGTGACCAGGACAACAACCCCGCTGGTGATAAAGGTCCTCTCGTGTTGTTCTTTATCATTTTCGGTCTCGGCTGTGCTTTTGGGTTCGAGACCGGCTATGCCATGAACCTCGCCCGTGACTTCGGCCCCCGTCTCTTCTCCTACGCTGCAGGATATGGCTCCGGCGTCTGGACGGCGGGTAACTCATACTGGTGGATCCCCTGTGTTGCTCCGTTCTGTGGCTGTCTCTTTGGTGGGTTGGTGTATGATCTATTGTTGTTCACGGGTGACTCGCCTGTTAACCGCCCGAATTTCGGATTGTGGCGGAGTTCGAAGAGGAGTACGAAGGCAACGGTGGGAACTATGGATCCGGGGAGTGACTTGAGTCCGGTTCACACATATGAGTTGGGGCATTTGGATGGGTTGCATGAGAATAAGAAGGATGATATTAAGGAGGTTTGGAGGGAGCACGCTTGAGGATCTGTGGGGATGGTGATGTGATTTGGAACGGGAGGAGGCGGGGGAAGAAGTATACGATGAGGTCTGAGTTTTGCACGCGGGTTTGATTGATACCCGCTATACCCTCTCTTTTGGAAAAGGTTTTTGGATGAGATGTAGTCCTATAGTATGCATAGTCGACTTCTCAAAAACATGATATTTTGCTTCTATCACTACTCCCTCCAACTTGTTGTGCGAGCTCGCGGTCGATTTGCGAGTTCCCACACACGTTCTCCTATCATTGTTCATCACACATTTTGGGTATTGGTACTCAACATATCATACTGTCCTCTGGTCTGTCTCTCCCCCCGCCCTCCCTTGAGCTCACTGCATATGGTTCGCTTCGCTCACCACTCAGAGCTCCGTCCTCCTCCTCCTAACCATCGCTGCAAAGTCCCTCTCCAACCCAGTCAAAGCCTCCCTCCCCTCCAAAACCTCAATCCTAACACCTTCCACCATCCCCCTAACATCTCTCCTCACCTCCTCCACCTCCTCCTTCGTAACAACCTTCTGCTCCAGTTTCTTCAACTGCGTTTCGAGGGTTTGGATTCGCTGGATGTGGGAAGTAAGGGAGAGGGTGCTGCGTTGGAGGTCTTCGACGGTTGCGAGGAGGGTAGAGGAGGTGTCGTGGTGGGTTTGGAGGAGCTGGGTGTAGCCGAGGACGCCGGTCGTTGTTAGGCCGAGGAGGAAGCCGATGATACTACAGTTCACATGTTAGCCAATCGTCCCATCCTCGTCATTATATCACAGCAGGGCCCGCCTCCAGAGCCAGTCCACGGCCAACGATGACCACGGCGGGTGCAGGACAGGGCCCGTCCTGATCAATTGACGTACCCTCCACGGAATCCACCGACAGGCTTCCGAGTCTTCACAGGCTCTACAACAACAGGCTGCGTCTGCATAGCGACGGGCTGGGAGACCTCAGCCAAGGCGCGACGAGAAGCGTGGAATGATCTTCTGAACATGATAGTGGTTAATGGGATCAATTGGGGTAGAGGCGTGTGTAACGTAGTCCCCGGTGAACCTGACGGAATTCGTGGAGTGCGTGAGGTGGGTGATAAAGAGGGCAAAGCCTAGGTGAGTTAATGACGAGAAACCCTTTCTATTCAATTCAGACTAGAAAATGATGGTAGAATCCGATATCTCCGTTGTATGATCCCTTACTGGCCCTGGACGGTGCATACCACACGACGGTCGAGTCGCGGTGACAACACCAGACAACCGAAAGAAACATAACCCAACTGATCCAGAATGGCTACTCAAGCAGGTGTAACAACCATGGAGACCTTCCACGAGGACCAGATTGTAAGTCCTCGCCTTATTTCCCCGGCAACTGGCTTCGCAATGGATCACTAATGCTGCCCACAGCATGATGCCGTCCTCGACTACTACGGCCGCCGTCTAGCAACCTGCTCCTCCGACCGCACAATCAACATCTTCGAACTTCCCCCCTCAGATGCCGACCCTTCCGCCCCCCAAAAACTCATCGAAACCCTCCGCGGCCACACCGGTCCAATTTGGCAACTCGCCTGGGCCCACCCCAAATTCGGAACGATCCTCGCGAGTGCGTCATATGATGGTAAAGTCATTATCTGGCGCGAGGAGAAGGGTGTGTGGAGTAAGTTGATGGAGAGTACCGTGCATTCGGGGAGTGTGAACGCATTGTGTTGGGCACCACATAGCCTGGGAGCCGTCCTCGCCGCCGCGTCCTCCGACGGCCGTGTAAGCGTGATGGAGTTCCGCGAAGACGGATCATGGGATACCCGTACATTCCCCGCCCACGCCGTCGGTGTCAATGGCGTGTCCTGGGGTCCCTCACTCTTGCCGGGTTCGTTGGTGACTACTACGCATGGAGCATCACAGGAGGAAGTCCGACGATTTGCGACGGCCGGTTGCGATAACTACGTCAAAATCTGGACCTACAACCCCCAAAACCTCGAATGGTTTGAAGAAGCAACCCTCGCCGGCCACTCCGACTGGGTCCGCGACGTAGCCTGGGCACCCAACACCGGCCTCCCCAAATCCTACCTTGCATCCTCCTCACAAGATAAGACCGTTTTGATCTGGACACAGTCTGCCCCTGGAGAGCCGTGGGAGAAGAAGCCGTTGAAGACGGAGAAGTTCCCGGATGTGGTTTGGCGGGTGAGTTGGAGTTTGAGTGGAGGAGTGTTGGCGGTGAGCTGTGGGGATGATTCGGTTACGCTTTGGAAGGAGAACTTGAGGGGGGAGTGGGAGTGTGTGAGTGAGATTACTAACTAGGAAACGTTCAGAGAGAACGCAATATACCACATGATTCATTGCTTTGAATGTCCCGTATCAACTGTGCCGTTTGATAGGCTCGCGTTGCAAGACCACGGTGTCTCGTCTCGGCCGTCTCGGCCCTCATGGCTGTAACATCCCATACGAAATCTCAGGGCAAAGTCATCTCAGCTTGTCCATAACCGAACATGTCTCCGGCATCATCGCTTCGCGTTCTTCGCCCTGTAAGCTCACATTAGCATCCACCAGAAATGAACAATGTGCACCCATAGATGGACGTGTTACTGGAGGCTCACCTCGCAACCAACCACCCCATAACCGCATCCAAATTCTCCCCCGTCTTCGCACTGACCGCATAACAACTACACTCCCTCCCCTCCACCCTCCCCAACTCCATCTGCTCAATAACATCATCAACACTCATCACATCATGTCCCTCCACATTCCTCAAATCATTCTTATTAGCCAACACCAGAAGGGGTATAGAGGCGAGTGTTGGCAGTGCGAGGAGGGAGTGCAATTCAGTTCGGGAAGTGGAGATTTTGGAGGGGTCGGAGGCGTCGAGGATGAATACGATGGAGGAGACGCCGCGGCAATAGCGTTCCCACATTGAGCGGAAGCGGGGTTGGCCGCCGAGATCCCAGCTGTGAATTATTGGTCAGCCCTATCGTGAAATGATTGGGCGACGGAGATAGTTCACCATTTCAGTGTCACGGATCCTTTGGAGACCTTTCGCATGTTGAACCCGACCGTTGGGATGGTGTCTTCGGTGAACTCGCCGCCGGAGAGGACTGTCAACAGTGTTGTTTTGCCGGAGTTTTGGAGGCCGATGAGTGTCAACTCCATTTCGGTCTAATGATCGTTAGCATGAACTCTAAGGAGGAGAACAGTGGATAAGAGGGGAGAGAGGAGAGGAGACGTACCGTCCAGAACCAGGAGCGGAGGTAACTCCAGATGGAGGAGAAGAGGGAGGTCATGCCCATATTACGCTATCAGAGACGGAGTTGAGCCAGTGAGAGTCTGTATATGCGACTGCTTGGACTGCTGATCGAGTGTCCTTTTCGTTGGTGGTGACCTTTGGCATAACCCCAACCGCTTATGACGTGCTGCACGTGCCGATAACGACGATGTTTTCAAGCGAAGTTACTTGAGTATGTCCTTCCGTATGATTCATGATTTTTCATTTGAAAGAGGGCCTGAAAGCTATTTTCTCAAAAGAGCCTTTGATACCAAGGGTCAACCAACGGGATTCTGACAGGCGTGGAATGGTGAATCACTTTTAACGATGTGGCGACCATGAACTCCGTATTCAAGTACCCTCTTAACGATATGGTATTCATGTATCTCTCCATATCTAGGTATACGTAGGTAATCATATCATTCTCCGTAACTATACCCTACACCTCCTCTTTCCTCAGTCTGCTCTGAGCATTTAAGGCTTCCTCCACTCCGTATGATGCTTCCCCTTCTCCGTCCCCTCATTCCCCTCCCTCTTCAAATCATATGAATGACCACCAAACAAATCCATCTCGCCCTCCATAAAGCTCGTAGGCAGTAACTCCTCCTGACCGCAGTACTTCCACCACTCCAAACTCGCAGAGATACTGGGACAGTGAGCATCGTGTTGGATTGCCCAGGCTACGATGCGTTTGAGGGAGGGGAAGTTGGTGCGGACTTCGCGCGCGACGGAGGGGTGGGTAAGAAGGTTGCGAAGGTCTTCTTGAGAGGCAAAGATGGGTTGGAGGAGGTCGGCGATGTAGTCGGAGGTGATGATACACCCTGCGCGCCAGATACGCATCACCTCGCTCATCTTGACATCCCACTCTTCGTCCTTGGAAGCATTGGCAATACAACCCATTCCCTGGATGAATGCGGCCAAGAAAGACAGGTAGACAGCCTTCCTCAAATCCTCGACGAACTCATCCCGCTCTTTGCCCTCGAGTGGAGCATTCATGGGCGTGGGGATTTGGGGTCCGTTCTTGACGAACGCAAGACGATCAGGACGGTTCGAAGATGCGATACGCATGAAATGTGCCGCGGCAATAGTCGGCGCAGAAACATGTCGCGCCGCAGCCTCACGAAGCGACCACACCCCCGTTCCCTCCGTATTGTCCGAATCCTGAACGACCTTGTCTTCGACGACATCGACAACCTCCCCCGGTTCTTTCTCACTCTTCCCGTCTCCGCCCCTACGAGTGCAAATATCCACCCCGATATCAACGAGGAAGTTGTTCTTCAACTCCCCGCCATCGCGCCACTTAGCGAGAATCTCCCCAATCTGCTGATTCGCGTCACGATGCTTCGGATCAGGTCCAGAGTTGAGGATAGCGTGAAGCGCCGCATACGCTTCAGAGATGACACCGAGCATACCCTGCTCAATTCCATTATGCAACATCTTGACATAATGCCCACTCCCACGGGGTCCAACATACGTCACACAAGGCCCACCCTGCTCAGAATTCGCAGCGACACTCTTCAACATATCCTCCACAATATCAAAAGCCTCCTTAGACCCACCGGGACTCATCGAGGGCCCACGGCGAGCGGATTGGTACCCGCCTGAAACACCCATACCGATGAAGAAAACACCCTTTTCTTCGCAGCGGCGTTGACGGCGCTCGGTCTCCTCCCACCACTCGTTTCCTCCGTCGATAATAATATCTCCCTCCTTCAACAACGGCAACAAATTATCCAAGACCTCATCCGTCGGGTGTCCATGCGAAATCGACAACAAAATAACACGGCGTGCCTTCTCATCGAATGAATTGGCGAAATGTGAGTACTCCTTCAATCCCTCCGTCGATCCACCTTTCTTCGCATCCGGATCCTCCTTTGCTAGTTTTATTGCCTTATCAACATTATCACTCACGATATCGAACACGCTTACGTCCATTCCGACATCGCGGAACATGAGGGACATGTTCAATCCCATTGACCCAGCACCGACAATGCCAATTCGTTTGATCTCTTCCTTTCCCATTGTCGTATTTGTTGTGATTGTCTGTGTATACCTTGCAATAATAGCAATTGAAGGGGTGCGGCCAATAATATAAGACTCTCCATGATCCGCGGTCTTCTCGGTCTTTGTGCGGGCCGCTGAGGGATGATGTCCACCTGAGGTCATTGCGCGCTGTATCTATATACCTGCACGTGATGGAGGAGACCGTGGGTGTGTTCGAAAATGCTCGTTTTGCCGACGAAGGCGAAATTATCCCTAAATCAAAAGTACGCCGGTGAACTCCATATGATAGACACTCCACACTCATTCGCGCATTCATTTCCACTTCGGCAAAGCCTTCTCCTTCTCCCCCTCGTTTCCTCGCAACCTCGACATACTCCTTGCCGGCGTCCCAACCGGCATCGGAATCCCACTCGTTCTCCTCGCCGTACTCGGCGTCCCAACAACCGGGGTCTTCAACCCAGCAGCCGTTCCCGGTGTCGTTCCCGGTGTCGACGGCGCAGTCTTCGCACTCCCTAACGAACTCCCCGGTCGTCTCGGCGTACCCACACCAGAAGACACCCCACCCACCCGCGACATCGGCCTCTTGACCGGACTACTCGTCGCACTCCCAACCGCAGCTGCAGCAAGCCGAGAACCCGCCGCCGCCTCACCCACATCACTCATCCCCATGCCCAACGCACTCCCCGCTCTCCTCGGCGTACAACCCCCAGTACCCGGCACCGGGATCCCACTCACCCTTCGCCCAGGAGGAGGAGGGATTTCACTGACCCGTCGTTTCGGCGTCGGAATACCACTGAGTCGCCGTACTGGACTCCCGCCAATATCACTCGCCCTACGATCCCGTTCAGGCGTGCTACGGACTACCGCGATACCCGGCGTGCTGCAGACACCGGTACCCAGCGTTCGTGGAACCCCGAGTTTTGGCGTACTCGGCGCAGACGTCGTCGGTTTCGGGAGAGCAGAAGGCGTCACCACTCTCGGAATCCCACTCGTTCTCCTCACGCTACGGGGCGCAGCGGGTGGGGGCATAGCCAGTCGACTCGGACTCACTTCCGTCCCGCTACTCACACTCACGCTCCTCATCCCGCCCAATCTGCCGAGTTTCGACGTAGGTGTGGGAGAACTGGACACGGACTCAGCCAAAACCCCGGCTTTCGGACTCACATTCCACCTCGGCCGCGCCGTCAACGGAATCAACCCCCCCTCAAATCTCCTCCCTCCCATTGTCGATGGCGTCGGACTCGTAACCCCACTCCTCAACGAGGGTGTAGACGTCGACACCACACTAGCACTAGCATTACTAGTACTCCCCCTCCTTGGTGTCTCCCCCCCGTACCCATTATGCGACACGACCCTCCGCTGACTAAACGGTGTCGGCCTCGGGATTGGGATAGCGGCTTCCCGTCGCGGCAGTGGGACTTTGAGTTGACTCGGCGGGGTACTATCCCACCCCTCCGCCGCCACCATCATCTCTTCCCCATTCTTCCCCGGTGTGCGAGAACCCTCCCCTCTCAACTCCTCCATCCTGCCTTTTCGGGGCGGTTCCACTTCCGGTTCCCGCTCACTCGACTTCAACGTCCCAAACGCGTCCTCCTCCTCCAAAACCCTATCCATCTCCCGTACCTCCCCCTCAAGTTTCTCCCACTCCTGTTTTAGTCCCTCGTAGAGACGGAGGACTTCCCCATTCACTGTGAGGCGATCCCGTATGCCCTTTTCAATGACGGCGAGGACGCGTGGGATGGCGGGAACGTAGCCCTCCCTCTTTCCTTGCCACGATAACAGTGTTTCTCGATCCCAACTCCCACTCCCGCTCCCCTCCTCAGCAGACAATTGAAGTCTTCCGAGCGTACGCAAAATGGACGAAATCATATCACTACACTGCCCTCCCGCAGCACGAAACACAACAACCCACTGATCCTCCCCCAACTCCTCCCTCACCCTCTCCACCGTCCCCTCGAGCTTCCCCCACCGCTTCTCGACGCCATGTTTACGGTCCTGTAGGGCTTTGACAGCGGAGGGGAAGATGTTTGTTGCGCGAGTCGTAAAGGAGGATAACCGGGGGGTGAGGAATGAGAGAGATGCGCGGAGGGGGGCCATGAGGCCTTCGAGGCGGGTTAGGGGGGCGGAGGTTTGGGTTGGGAGGGTGGCGAGGCTTGCTGTTCGTGCGTGTCTGGTTCCGGATCCAGTTCTTCTTCGGCCGTCGTTCACTGCGACGAGGGCTTCGAGGGAGTTGACGTCGAGGGAGGGTGATGGTGGGGGGATGTGTCGCGCTTCCTCGAGCTCGAAGATGAGTGTGTCGCACCGTATCAATTCCGAGTCGATTTCGGATAGAGTCTGGGAGACTTCTGTCCACTCTAACGCAATATCGACTTGTTGTTTAATTCTGCCATGTATCACCAAAAGGTCTTGGAATGATTGTGATAGGGCGTCGAGGCGATCCAATAATGGTCCAGCCGGGTTTTCCTGTGAAGAGGAAGATGGTGCCTCGCCGAATCCGGGGGAGGGCCGCACATCCGGTCGCTCGAGTACAGTGAGAGACACAGAGAGATATGTCGATAACAACATATTAAACCGTCCCACCTGCGCCTCAACACCCACGAACCCATCCTTGCCCTGTCCCGCCCACTCGACATCATCCTCCGCATCCAACCCTTCCAACACGAGTCTCGTATTCCGAATCCACTTTTCTGCATCGGTAGCTATGGAGGATATTTCGCAAAGTGCGTCGGGTGTTGAGCGGGAGGAGATACGGAGGGTTAGTTCGTCGGAGGAGGGGAGGGCGTGGGTTGTTAGGCGTTGAAGTTGGGTTGAGAAGGGTGCTCGGGCAAAGGTTGCGAGGGTTTCGGATCTTGTCATGCCCTTTCCGAAGCTGAACATGGAGGGTTTTGCTGGATCTGACTCCGATATTGGCGGTGATGGAGGCATACCGGAAGACATCTTATCCTCGTCTCTTCCTCTTCTTGGTGAGTTTGGTGGTTGTTTACCCTCATGCACGCCGTCGTCAGGCCAACCACGGCATTCAGGGACAAACGCGTCCACTCACCACCAAGACGCGACAGCATTCATCCCAGCATTCATCGCATTCATCCCGAATCACTTCACGAGACGATCGCAATGGCAGCAACGCACGCCCTCCTCTCCATCCCCCCCGACCTCCGCCCCCACCTCTGGTGCAAAGCCGGCCTCAACTACCCCCCCCTCCCCCACCTCTCTCCCCTCACCGCCGCCCAAATGCTCTCGCAAGCCCCAACCCTAATACGCGACGCAACCTTCCAATGGAACTGGATCGATCGCCCCAAACCCGGATCAGGCTACCTAGTCTGGATGCCACAAATGCAGGAGCGAGTCCCGCCGAGTGATGGAATGCAGTGGTTGGGACCCGAGGTATTGCATGTGCAGGAGTTTGGGGGCGTGGAGGGTTTGGGGCAGGGTACCGTATTGGAGTTTTACGAGAGTAAGTATGGATGGGATCCAACTGATCCGTCTGCCGCACCCGACGGCGCAACAACTACCACCCGCCGCCGGTATCGGTTGGTGCGGGGTGGGAATGAGCAGTTGTGGTTCATACATTATGCGGCTGCTGCTGAGGAACGCGTTCTTGCTGATATACAATCATCGCGACCACTCCCGCCACGACGATACCCACTCCCGAATCTCGCACAAAGCCCACTGTTCCACCTCCACTCCGAGCCCGGTGCCGTGCCCGCAGCGCTAGCGATGGGCCCACCACCATCCCAGCAGCAGCCGCGAAAGAGGCAAAGACTCGACCCCCGCCAAGGAGGGCCGCGTGAATGGCAAGCGATGCAGGAAGACCTGAGCGAAGACGTAGAAGGCGACGACCTCGACACCCTCGATCCCGTCGTCGTGGCACAAGCCCGCTACATCCGCCGTCACGAATGGATGGAAGAAATCTTCGGCTCCGTCTACCCCACCTCCCAAATCCTCCGTCCCACGCCCACGCTCTCCGGAACCGACGAAGAAAAGGCAGCGCAAACACTGGCGGAGAAAATCGCCGCGTTGCAGAGAGAGGTGGAGGAGATGAAGGAGGCACATGCGAAGACGTTGGAGACATTTACGGGGAGTACGGAAAACTATGCCGCCGCCACGAAAGCTCTGTCATCTGTCAAGAATTTGAACGACATCGCCACCATCCAAGCTGAGGTAGAGGGGAAGATGGGGGTGCGGACGATGGAGAGGCCGAAGGTTAGGGCGGTGTATGTTGAGGTCAAGGCGACTGCTGCACCGCCCCCGCCGAGGGACGAACAACGGGTGAGTGAGGAGCCGACGGAGTCGCAGTTGGGGGTTGAGCCGGTGGTGGGGGATGTTGGGATGAATGTTATGGAGGAGGATATACTGATGAGGGTTTAGTGATAGGGATAGCTAGTTGAAAGGCGTATAAGTGCTTTTTTGGGTGTTTTGGTATGACATATCGTACTGTCCTCAGTTGTATTGAAGACTGACTCCATTCCCATACTCCTTCAACCGATTGCGGACTGCGCGACGACGACTTTCAGATAAGGTTCATTCGAATATATCCTACACCCACTTCTATGCCTGCGCCTCCACAGCTCCCTCGTTCTTTAGCTTGAGCCACTCCTTGGGGAACTGCAACTTCTTCTTCGTCTTAACATGTCTCGTATCCAACGGAATATCCGCAAACGTCTCCCCCCCATCCTTTGCCTCCGCAACCAACCTATCCAACTGGTCACTCAAGAACTTCTTGTTCTGCGCTCTGTGCGAGAAACTATCACAGCTCGTCTTCATGACGTCGGTTGTGGGGTCGTACCGTGCTCCGGCGAGGAGCTTGAGTTTGTGCGCTTGAACGTCGGTGAGGCCGAGGTCTTTCACGCGGACTTCGAGGACGACTTTGCGCTCTGCGGGGTGTTGTTCGCCGAGGTAGGACGTGTAGCGGAACCTCAAGGGTTGCTCTTGGGTTGGTGGTTTGAAGGGCTTGCTGAGCTCTAAACACGCTTTCACATCAGCACTGTGCATGGCTAACGTAACTCAACCTCAACCTCAACCGATGGATATGGTATACGTACGCGAAAGCATAGGCAGCTCGTACGCTGACTTCCTGTAGTACTCCCTCGTCAAACGGTGCTGCTCCAACTGAATGTGTGCGGTGTTGTGCATGTCATTCTCCCAGCCCTCCTCGTTCATCCATGCGTCGATGGGGTCAGTCGAAGCTCCGCGGCCGTTGGGACGGCTTCGCTTTGAGGCGTAAGCACGGCTGGCACCGGCGACATTGAGCGACGAAGAAGTCGAACGAAGCTGGAGAGATCGCCGTAATAAAGACATTGATGGTTGGCGATTTGTGTACGAGAAATGCCGGTTGCTTGCGGTAACGACGATTTCTCCCGTCCTCAGGCCTGCTGCCCCTGAAACCGTGCATGCCGGGATCGTCAGTTCCGTAACGTCGCGATTTCGAAGAAAATACGATCCAGTCATGTTCAGATCACTCAAGGTATGTCGCCTTTTTTGCATTGAGCAGCATGATCTAATTGTTGGCTTAGTACCTCACCGCGACCGGTGTTGCCGCCGTCGGTGGAGCTTCGCTCTTGACCTCTAACCCCGTCCACGCCGAGGCTACTCCGTCCCCCTCTGACCGTCTCGGTCCCTACAAGAAGGTACGTGCCGTCATCATCACTGTGTTTGTTAATGGATTAGTACTGACTGACTGCGATAGCCTATCTACGACACCCCAGTCACCACCACAACCCTCGAATCCATCCCCCCCTCTCCCCTCGAAGTCCACATCCGCCTCGCCCGCCAAAAGGTCTCAGAAGAATATTTCGCTGCCCGCGCCCACCTCCACTCCGCCGTCAACTCCTGGATCGGATACGAGAAGGCCGTGGAATCCACCCTCCGCGAAGTCGCACCCCGAAATGAAGAGTTGTTGCCCGGAGCGATTTATGTCGTTGTTTCTGGAATGGCTGGATCGATCGTCGCACGTAACAGGATTTGGCCGTTGCGGATGTTCACCTCGGCTCTTTTCCTCGTCGGTGGAGCGCACTATTTCCTTCCTGAGACCGCGAAGAATGTGAGTGAGTTGGCTTGGAGATACGAGCAGCGTACTGTGCCGCAGGTTGCAAAGGTACATGCGGAGGTTAGGGAGAAGGTCGAGACTGCGATCCATAATGTTGAGGAGGGTGTGGAGAGGGCGGAGAAGGTTGTTACTGAGGGTGTTGAGAAGGGGAGGGAGTATGCTAAGGAGCATTTGGAGCAGAAGTAAAATGTCGATCCGGAGTGGGATCTATATACCATGGTTGTCGATGATACAGAATCAAAATATATCCTCGTTATTGATAACAAATCACCCAGCGATACAACACTACAATTATAAGCCCACCACAACGAAAACTCGACAAAACATGCATAATGAAAACATCACAAACTCATAGCCCTCCCACCCTGCCCCTCCTCAACCTCAAGACTCGCCCTACTCCTCTCCTCCTCCTCGAGTCTCTGCTCCATCTCCCTCCTAAACTCCTTCAAGAACTCCTTCTTCTTACCACCCTTGAAGGTATACCCCTTAAACGCCAGATTCTTCCTCATCTCCAACGCGAGTGCTCCGTGGACTCGATCACGCAACAGCACATCCCTTGCACGTTCAGCGGCTCCGCCAGCGGCTGCACCGGGTGCGGCGAGGGGTTCGTCCGTGCTGAGTTCCTCGAAGTAGCGGGTATCAAAGATATCCTTAACCTCCGGCTGAAATGGAGCTTCTTGATCGCGGAGGGTAGCCCAATCGATTCCCTTGAACCACGGGTGCGCTTTTATCTCCCCCGCATCAGCCTGAATCCCACCATCTCTCTCTTCCGGCCTACCACGCGCAGTGGCATACATCGAGTTAGGCCGACCGGCGGTGCGGGTGGAGAGGGAGGAACCGAGACGATCTTGACGTTCGCAGATAAGGCGGGTGATGAGGTCTTTGGCTTCGGGGGAGATTCGGGGGCCGGAGGGGAAGCGAAGACTTTCGCGCCAGCGAAGGATCTTCATGCGGGTTGCGTGACGGGTCTTGGAGACGAAGGGGGGGAAGCCGTAGAGACACTGTGTGTGATTGTTAGCGCTTCCAATTATGTCAAGCTTGCGAGCAACAATCCATACCTCGAACAGAATAACGCCAAGACTCCACCAGTCACAGGAAGCGTCATAGCCTTCCCCACGAATGACTTCAGGCGCCATATAGGAATTCGTACCAACGACACTGTAAGCTAACATCCTCTTCCCCTTCTTCTCCCTCCAACTCAGAACGTGATCACCACCCCCAAACGCCCCTTCACCGTCCGGGCCGAGCTTGTTTAGGACTTCCGCCCCCTTCCTCCTGTCAATCGTATCCCCCTCAACACCAACCCCAGTCCTCCTCAACAAATCCCTCCTCTGCGCCTCATAGTACGCCCCATCATGCTCCCACCTCAAATCCGTAGCCAATCCAAAATCCGAGATTTTCATATGACCTCGGGCGTCGAAGAGGAAGTTGTCGGGTTTGACATCGCGGTGGATGAAACCGAGGGCATGGGTTTCCTCGATACAGAGGATCATTTCCGCGATGTAGAAGCGGGTGAAGGGTTCCGGGAATGTATCGCGTTCGATGAGGAGATTGAGGAGGTCGCCACCGGGCATGTATTCCATGATGAGGTACCTGTAAGTCCCAGGGTCAGTGTATGTCGCTGATATCACAACTCCGGAACGTACAAAAAGTCAGCATCCTGAAAACTCCACTTCAACTCCACAATCCCACCCTTCCCGGCCTCACTCCCAGCAGCCTTCACCAACACATCACGTTCAGCACGGATATGCCCTTCCTGACCCCTCCTCAACATCTCACTCTTCTTGATACACTTCATCGCATACACCTTCGGTTTATTCGGGGCGCCCATACCATCCTTCTCTTTGACGAGTTTGACAACGCCGAATGCCCCACGTCCGATATTCTTGACGGAGACAAATGAGCCGGGTCCGATTGCGCGGCGCATGTTACGGAGGTAGCCTTCCTCCTCCAACCTGAATTTCTCCAAGACCTCGGCACGGTCTTGTGGTGTCAAACTCGGATGTGACAAAAGCTCTTCTTCCAAAGCCTTGATACGCAGAGCGGGTGGGGTGTAAGGGTACGCTGGAGAGGGGGACGAAGCAGACGGGTGCAAGATCTTGGAATAAGCCAACTCGAAATACGTCTTTGTCGCGGCCGACTTCTCGATGGTTGTCGGAGTAGGCCTAAACCCTTTGAGCTGCCTCTCGAACATCTCCTCGACGCGCATTGCCGTTTCTCGCGTAACCCTCCTGACAACCACGGTACTCACAGCATCGATCGTGCTGATCTCGACTTGTGGTTCCGATTGGGTTGATTTAGATGCGGGGGAGAGAGGTGGGGAGAGCGGAGTTTTGGATGATTTGGGTTTAAGGGAGGTAGGGGAGACGCGCTTCTGTTGTACCTCCAATTCGGCGAGAAACTTGTCCACTGCGTCGGCGGGGAGGGGAATAGGTGGTGCTGCTCGCAGCGGTTGGGGTGGAGCGGTCTGCAATAGCATAGGAGCAGAGATAACTGAACGGCTCGCAACTTTCAGGGGCATGTTGGAAACTGCGAGTTTGTCAGCTCAGCTGCAAGAGTAGGCAGGGAATGAAGAGAGAGAGCGGTACCCATGAGCTTCGACCCCCCACTCGTCTTCTGCCAATTCTGCAACAACACCCTTGCCTCTTCCTCATCCCTCGCATGCGCCACATGTTCGAACGCAATCGGTGCGGATATCTGATAAGTCCGGCGTTTAGCTGTATCCATTTCCGTTAGTTCAACGACCGTAACCGTAATAAAGGTAGAGAGTTGGATACCATATGAACGGAGACTCGCAAACGTCAAGAGATCCATGAATGACTTATGCAGCACCGGTCGATTCTTGGCGGATTTAGGGGGCCGGAGGGGTTCGCTGGCTGCGAACCTGGCTGGGCCCATGACTGGCTTTTGCTGCTTCTTTCGACTGTTCATCATCCAATGTTATACGTCCAGCTCACTGGGAAAACTGCGATTTGGTAGAAGGAGAAGAAAGCAGAAGAACGACTTCACATAAAGGGGGATATGATGCGGGCGTGGCGGTCACATCAGCGAGATCCGTGCACTCGTATATGCTGCAATCAAATGCTGCGAACAGGCCATGCTGTAGCAGTTAACCCAATGGTATCATTCATTGGGTCGCAACAGCTTCTTGATGGGCAAATGGTGTAGCAGTTGAGCTTCCGACGTCCAGCCTCCGCATCCGCACCCCGCGCTGCTGCCATACACGTCAACACCCGCTCCGTGCCCCCTCGGACTTCCCCACACTCAAAACACTCCACCATCGAATGTCCTCCCCACGACCCCATACCCGCAACCGCCAAAGAAAAGGCTCGTTCTCATCCTACGGACATACACCACACCACGTCCAACTATCGGATGGTTCAGGCAGCGCAACACCGAGTTCGCCGAGCTCATTACGGGAGGAGGTCAAAGTCGAGCCGGCGGCGGCGGAGGAAGGGGAGGAGGAATACGCTCCTGTACGGCTCGTCGTGTTTTCTGGGTGTGTGTCGCTTTTCTTTCGTTTGATCATGGCAAATTGCTCATTGTAGGATGGTGTGCAGTGGAACGGCGTGTAACGCCCTAACGCCTACCCTTCAATCACTTTCGTCGTCACATTGTACGTATATCCTTCCCATCTCCGACAATGGTGGTTCGACAGCCGAGATCCTCCGCGTACTCGGTGGTCCCGGGATCGGTGATATACGCTCTCGACTCGTACGACTCATCCCAGATCCACCCGGTGTGGGCGGGGATGCGGTGCGAGTGTTGATGTCGTACAGGCTCCCAGAGGCAGACAAAGATCGGGCACGGATGGAGTGGAACGAGTTAGTCGAAGGCCGTCACGCCCTATGGAACGGCGTCCCCTCCGAAAAACGCGAACTCATCCGATCTTTCTTCTCAGTAGTCGGAAGCGAAATAAGCAAACGCTCCCGTCCCCCGCACAACACCTTCGACTTCCGTAACGGATCAATCGGGAACCTCTTCCTGACCGGAGCTCGCCTATTCTTCGGATCCCTCGAAAGCGCGATTTTTTTGTTCGCGTCGATTTGTGGGGTGGCGCCGTATACGAGTGTGTTGCCTGTCACGAATACGCAATTTGCGATGAATATTGCGGCGATATTGGAGGATGGGACACTCATTGCCGGTCAATCCCAGATATCGCATCCCACACCAACCCATATAACACCTCGCGACCCTTCCCAGCCATCCTCCTCTACCGTCTATGACACGGATGAAGATGAATTGGCACCACCCGGAACTCTACGCGGCTTGGTCTCGACACCAGACCCCCACGTCCCGACGAAATCATCCGCATCCCTCGCACTCTCGAGTCCGATTACGAGGATCCACTACATCTCCTCCTACGGGCACGAAATCCTTCCCGCCCCGAACCCGAAAGTCGTCAGAGCCGTCGAGGGGTGCACTTCGATCATCTACTCCATCGGCAGTTTATACACGAGTATCATTCCTACTCTCGTCGTTAGGGGCGTTGGAAGGAGGATTAAGGAGAGAGATGTACCAAAGGTGTTATTGCTGAACAGCACCCCCGATCGCGAAACAGGCGGAATGACCGCCACAGACTTCTTGCGCGCAATCGTCCGCGCATGTCTCGAATCCCAACTCGCCGATACCGGAATCGTACCCGTTACGGTTTCCCTCGCCACCATTGACTCCACACCGTGGTCGTCCTACATTACCCATGTTGTTTATTTGAGGGAGAGTAGAGTCAGGGTCGATGTTGGGGAGATTAGGGGGAGGGGGGTTGAGTGTATTGGGATTGGGGGGAGGAAGAGGAGGGAGGGGTGGGTTTTTGAGGGGGAAGGGTTGGGGATGGTGTTGGATGTTGTTTGTGGGGGTGGGCGTAATGGGCATGGGGAGGAGGGTGGGAATGGGGGTGGGAGGGGAGCGAGGGGGGTTGTCGTTGGGGGGATGGGGTTGGAGAGGAGGATGACCTTGAAGTGAACTTGGAGAGGCCCATTTGGAGTTCTTCTTTCTGGAGTATATGTTCAATATCCACGATACCCATACCACCGGCACCAGCACCAGCACGACAGTCCAACCGCCTCCTTGACAAATAACAACAGAGATGTCTGCGCACTTGTATGAAGCCGTTGTTCGTGGGTAAAACCTGGAGTAGACAGCGGGAGTGACAAGGGTGACACACAGACCGTGTATACGTACACATCGTATTCTTTCCATTCACTTGACGTTCTCAGCAGGCTGTGCGAACGACTGATTGTATGCGCCCTCGCAACCTTACCCACCTTCCCTGGGACCCTTTTGTCCCGCGCACCCCCACCACTGCACCCAGCATATACACCCACCTACCATGGTCAGCGACCAACAGCTCCTGCTGGCTCACGAGCCTTACTGTTCTGCCACTTCTCTTCTGTCGTTACCTTATGAACTTACTTCATCCATCCTTTCGCTGCTTGACCAGCGTTCAGTGTGCGCAATGCATCTCACGTGCCGACAATTGAAGTATAGCACACAGCTCTACGTCCGCTCAATTATTTTGGTGCCGAGTCGATTGAGACATCCCTTTACTGGTGTCGATATGCTCTCTTTCGATGGAATCCCTCGGGAGGTAGCCGAGCAGTTTAGGGATGTCGAGTTCGACGTGATGAAGTGGACTCCCCCGAAGTTAACTGTGCACGCCTCTGCCCCCCTCGAACGCGCCTGGAAATCCTTCCTAACAAATTCTCTCCTCAACGAATGGCGCCGATCCCATATCCCCCTCCCCATCCTCCACAATGCCGCCGCCGTCCGCTTCGTCCTCAACTGGGAATACCGCTCCATCATGGAAGAAGACCTCCTCTATGTGGCATACTTGTTCGGTGTGGGATTGGGAAGGGATTGGGTCAGGTGGAGAGAGATGAGGTGTGTGATGAGGTGGGAGTTGAGGATGCATGCGGGATTTTGTGCGCATAGGGTTGAGTTGGAGATGATTTGTTTTCCGTGTTTGGAGCATGATATCTTGCATAATGGGTCGGGACATGGCGCTGTATGAATTGGTGGGTTACATATGGGGTTCATCCCATGGCCGGCATTAAACGGATTTCTTGGAGATTACGAGGCGCTGGACGTTCCCGTTGACATTGGCATGAGTAACGTATAGACGGCTAGTACTGCTAGACATGATATGGTATAGAATGGTATGATCCCATAGGTTGAATCCTTGCGCAATGCTTACTCAATGCCCATCTTTCCAACACCAACCTCCAGCCCCTCCACCACCTCATCTACTCCACCTGCCCTCAACCACCTCAATCGGTCGTAGGTCGGGTAAATTCCTCAACAACAGCCTCAACCCACATCCCAATCTTCATCCACAACATCCGCTCTCCTTTCCCACGGTCCTCTTCTCCTGCCTTTATCACTTTTTCAATCTTCCAACCCCCGTGCATCATAGGCACCCCCCACCTCTCCTCCAACGCTTTGGACCAATACGTAAGATTCTCGGACCGCCGATACGGGAGGTCGGGGATGGGATGATATCGTGTTATTAAACCGAACGGGCGGGAAGAGAGTGTGGTTGCCGTGTTATGGGCGTGGATGAGGGGGAGACCCGTAACGAGGGCGGCGAGGAGGGGATCGAATGTCTGTCTGACATCTCCGTAATCGAACATCGCGTACGATATCCCTCCGCCCAAGCATTGGGGCGGGATGGGTGGAAGACCCTGGGGGAGGAAGTGGAGGATGACGGCTTTGTACCAGTGGCGAATGTCGTCGAAATCCTCTCGGGACGGGAGAGCTCCGAGGCTTACGCTCTCCGTTGCAAGTCTCGCCTCGATTCCCTCGATCCACGTCTTCACGCTCTCCCGTTCAACCGAGTTGATTGGTGGGTTCGCGTCGCGGACTGCGATTCCTTGGAGTACGGCCAGTGTATCGAGGGAGGGTTTGTCGATTCCGGGGAAGGGAGACGTTGAGTGGCGGGAGTACGTACGAGCTGCGCGGATTGCGGAGATGGCGAGGCGAACTAATCCCATATCCTCCGACTCCTCCACTTCATTCTCTGCTTCCTCGGTATTCTCAGCGGTCGCGGTGGGCGGTGACGACGGAAACCACGCCGACTTGCACAGATCGAGAGCATGGATGAGATCTTGTCTAAACCTCCCCGGCGCGAGCTCAGCGGCCAGTGGCGGTGGGTGCTCCACCCTCTTCTCCTCCGGCGGTAAAGGTACCTCGTCATCGCTCTCAGCATTGCTCTCCTCATTCTCGTCTTCGTACTCTTCTTGTACGTCGTCGTAGGAGGCGTAGCAGGTTGGTGAGGACATGATGTCGGAGGAGCCGATGAGGGAGGCGTACGCCGAATCCCTTCCCCGATCAGGAGTGCTGGCTAAAGAGGAAGACTTCTGGGGTTTGTACGTCCCCCGAAATATCCGTGTCGACTTCGCGAAAAAGTGCTGAAGATGCTGGATGCCTGTTTGCAATGTGTCAGCTCACCCACAATAGGCAAACACGTTGTAGATAAACAAACTTCCTAAAGCCATCACGGATGAGCGTGAGCGGGCAGAGTTGGCAAAGGGAGTTTCTTGGGGTTTTATGTAGCCTTTGCGGCGGTTGGTCCGAATAGATGAAGAGGGTGAGGAAGATGGTGGTGGAGAGGACATGCTGTATCAACTTCTAAGCACTGCCAGATAACGTTCGCTTTGAGGAGGATACCTGATAATAAATCCTATTTACAGTCAGCCAGCAAATTGTCTATCTGAACCCATTGACTCCAGCTGAAGAGTTGGTCGGTTGCTCGTCATTGCCAGGGTACCCCGGACGTAGGCCCGCACAAGTCCGCAGTCCACGTTGGGCGGACCGCCACACCTTACCCCCTTCCAGAGACCCGCTCAACACCAACACCAAGAAACACGATCCCTCTCGGTCCTTTCTTGATCTGCTTCATCCTCATCAGGGGTTCCTTAGGTCGGCCAAGATGCCACCTGGCATGCTCCGCCTGAACGCCCGACCCAGCGACAATCCCAACGACCACATCACCTTCATCAAACCCCTCCCTTCACCTCAAAATGAAGCCATTGCTCGCGACTACCTCTGCAGAATCGCAGCTAAGATCCACCCGATCATGAGGGACCACGGAATGGGTGTGATGAGCTTAGATGAATTTCCACCGAACAAGGAATTTTGGGGACGAAACTGGAATGCGGGGGAGAATATCGAACTTGTCCTGTTATCTCATTCTCAATCATGGTTGCCATTTCAGCATGTGCAGAATGTTATGCTGCATGAGTTGGCACACATAAAACACATGAATCACGGTCCCAAGTTCTGGGCATTCCTCAAGCAGTTACAGAATGAGATGAGGGAACTCGAAGCGAAGGGATGGGAAGGGGCGGGATTTTACGGGCGCGGAAACTCACTTTCCGGGGAAGTGGTGCAAGGGAGAAGAGAGCTTCTCGCGGCCGAGATCCCGGAGAATTTGTGTGGTGGAACCTGGACCCGCAAAAAGCGCCGTTCCACAAAACCCCGCAAGCCGAGGAAGAGAAAGTTTGCCGGTGATGGTGCCAAACTGGGTGCAGACGAATCCAAACGCTCACGGCTGGAAAAAGGAAAGAAAGTGGCGGCCAAGCCAAGAGTCGCACAGAGTATACGCGGGCGCAAACTCCGTGCCGCGGCGGCGGAACGTCGAATTGTTATCGCGAAGCTCAAGGCAGATATGGCGGATGAGACGTTGATTAAGGCAAAGGAGGAGGAAAACCGTCGTCTTACCGCTCTGGGCGAGAAAGAGCTTCAAGGCAACGATGACACCACAGATGATACCGGTTCGGGGGTGGGAAGTGATACCGAGGACGAAGACCCGACCGAGGACGAGGGAGAGGAGGTGGTGGAGGTTAAACCGGAGCCAGAGGATGAGTGGGGCTTGGACGCGATGAAAAGGGAGATGGAGGAAATGTGTGGGACTTGCGGGGGACAGCCTCCAAGCTCCTCGACGATCAGGGCGGCTTCGCTGCGTGAAGAAGTCGGTGCCGGGAATGATGAAGGTAAAGGTGGAAGCAAGCAACGGTCTGGCTCGGGCTCTGGTGAGGCGTCTGCTCGTGATCCTGATCGTGGCAGCACAAGGGAGAGAGGTGGTGCTGTCGCTGGGACAACGCGAGACGGCGCATTCTCGATCCGTGCGTACCTCTCTGGTAACAAGAACCGTGATCCGCCTTCTTCGGATGACGACCACCGCAAGCCGAAACGTCTCCCAAGTCGTGAGAAGGGTGAAAGTCCACCAAGGAAGAAGGCCAAGAAAGAGAAGAACGGGGAAGAGGAGAAGGAAAAGAGGCGTACGGCTAAGGCAATAAGGGTATCGACGGAGTCTCTGCTGTGGGAGGAGGTGAGGGAGCTTGAGGAGGAAGGGGATAAGGCAAAGTCGGCAGAGAAGAAGAAGGAGTCAGCGCAGGAATATGATCAAACGTTCGAGAGGGCGAAGATGGCTTCGAGGTTGAATAAGATAGAGCACAGACAGGAGAGGGAAGAGCGTGGGATCGAGAAGGAGAACAAGACGAGAAAGGAGGAAGCTGAGAAAGACGAGGACAAGAACGGGCAAGACGAAGAAACGGAAGAGGAGAACGTGCACTGGAGGAATAGGATTCTCAACTTGATTGTAGCGGAGGGGATCGATGAGATGGATGATGCGACGACTGAGGAGGAAGATTTGGCCGGTGGCGACGATGGAGAGGATGACGAGGATGTGTATGGTGGAGGACTGGCGTTGGTGGTTCCTGCTGGCGTTGAAGGATCAATTGGTGGAAGCGGTGTTGGTGTCGCTGTTGGCGCCAGCGAGGGTAATGGCACGCCTGTCAGGACGGTCGCACCGGGAGAAGTAGTAAGGGAGGTGCCCAGGGTTGCTACCGCTCCAGTTCTTAGGTTTCCGGCGGCACCCGAGCCGAGTAGGGAAGCTGAGGAGGCGGATGGAGGAGCCTTCAGGAGAACTGGAGGCAATGCCCCGCCAGCAGAGAATCAAGGAAGAGATGCGCCGCCAAGGGAAGACGACGACGGCTTAGCGACGCCGACGACTGAAGAGATGAACGCTATCAGAGCGAGACGCCGGCCTGGGTTGTTTGGCATCGGAACGGATACAATTGAGGGCGCAGCAGAATCTTCGGACGGAGCAGGTGGTTCTGATACTCCGGACACGAATACTTTCCCGGATCTGAACTCTTTACCATTCCGGGGACATGATAACCTCTTTGGGCGTCACCGTGGTATCGCGGATTCACCCGAACCTGGCGGTCGTCGAAGGTTCAATATGGAAGGGCCGGAGGAATCGCTGCCAGGCTCTAGATCTGGTCGTGAGGATGAGGATTCGCCGTTACCGCCAACTTTTAGCGGACTCCCTTCCGCTCCGAGTGGGCCGTTGCACGAGCGTGACCATGTGAGTTCGGCGACTTGCTCAATGTGTGCGTTATGCCACCCACCGCCGCTTCCTGAGCAGTGTGAAGGTTGTGGATGGCCATTGATGAATTTTGGACACGGGCCGCGTACCGTGTACCAGTCCCGAGCAACAATAACCGCAGAAGATGCAGAAGCTAGGGAATTGACTCGGATGGAACGAGCACGACGAGAAGCACGAGACGCAGCACTACAAGCGGCTTCACAAAATGAACCGGCACGCGCGGTGAGTTGTCCGTGCTGTACGTCATTGAATGGGCCGCCTGTTCCTGTCTTGTGTGAAGTTTGTGGGAATCTGCTGCAGCCGGAGATCTTTGGGGAGGATGAGAAGTGGAAGTGTTCGTGTGATACCATGAATCATGTTGATATGGGCAGGTGCGGGGCTTGTGGGAAACCCAAGGACTGAGAGTTGGGTCGTTTTGTTGGTGACGTGTATGTGTTGGTTGGAGGACGGCGTTGTATTGGTACTTAGTATCTGCTTATATCTAATCTATCCTATAACTTAAGCTACAGCGCTATAGCTAGCAATCTTAGCTGAGAAATACTCGGATGACACAATTGCAACTGCATTCAATTTCAATTTCATGGATAATAGTAAGGACAAGGAAGCGACAATTGTGATGACCGTGGTCCGATTCAATATCTAGTAAAGTAAAACAACTATCGCTCAAAAGAGCACATCCTAAATATTTCAATAAATCCGTCTAAAACGAAAAGCGACCCGTGGTTGGGTATATTAGAGAGCGTGGTGGGTCCATAAGACAAGAAGAAAAAAGAAACGCCGGGGCCTGTGCGATGCACCCAAGAAAGAACCAAAAAATATCCAAGCTTTTTCACTGTCTAGGCAGTAACACCACCAAGACCAGCCGCATACGTCAAACTCCATGTCAACGACATACCTCCATCGAGATAGTTACTCGAGAAGCTACTCGAGTTGAAGAAGTTCCACGCAGCAACCGGATCAGCATTGGCATAATCAAGGTATAGAATACCCTTCCATCCATCAGTCACACCACCAATGATGGACGAGATCTTCGCATCCCATTGGTGCTGGATGAAAGTAGGCTGACGGACGTAGCCAGAGACGGAGATAGAGGGGATAGCGTGGATACCCTGGATGTACTGCTCGAGGGTACCGAAGTAGGTAGTGTGATCGGCTTTGTTCATGAACAAAATACCAGTGACGAAGTTTCCGATGAAGTTCGCGGGCTGGATGGTGTTGTCGGTATCCATCAACATGTACGAGTTGAGCGACCTCTTGATAACTGCCAACATGAGGTTCGAACGAGCCTCCATGTCGTTGTCACCAATAACGTTTGCCCACATCTTCTGCGCGTACCACATGTTGAAGTCCTCAGAGGAGGACTCCTCATCCTTACCGTCACCGGCCTCAAAGATTCCCTTGGACCAGGAGTGTCCGACGAACCAGTCGAAAGCACGCATGACGGGGTAATACTGGTCATTCGCAGAAGGGTTGGCAACATCACGGATCAAGTTGTTGACGTACACCTTGTTCGCAGCCGTCAACCACGTAGGGTCCAAATGTCCAATGATGGCGGCGGCGTGGATGTGGTATCCGTAGTGGAAGTGATGGTCGTTGTACCATGTGTTTCCGAAATCACTCAGAGATCCTTGCGAGAATCCCTGGGTAGAGATCAGACCAGCATAGGTAGTATCGTAGATCAAAGGCCATTGCTGAGTGTTGGTCTGGAACGTCGCAAACGCCGTCTTCAACTTGTTCAAACACGTAGTCCCGAGCTTCTTGTCACCAAGCACATCATTGATCGCCAAACAAATATGCGCGAACTTCGCCAACGCCTTTCCAGAGTAGTACATGGAGTCCAAATCAGTCTGAGCATCGAAATCCTGGCTAACCTCGGAGTTGGCAGCAGACGCAATAGCAGCGAGTGCCTTGGTCGTGTAGGTCGCACTCTTCCCCAGAGGAGACCACGGCAAGAATCCAACATCAGTAGGCAAATCATTCTCGACCATCTCCCAGACGTCAGCAGCATACGCAGTCATCAAACCCATCGTCGTACTCTGCAACTGAACCAAAGTCTTGCCAGCGAGGGTAGCGGAAGCGAAGGACGCCTCGTGGTGAGGAAGAGCAAACATCAACAACGGAACAGCACGCCCAGTCTTCGCATAATTGAACGTGTAAGATCCGTAATCACCCTGTACGGATCCACCAAGGGTAACGCCAGTAGCGTAACTTCCAGCATAGGTGTCGTAGACACTAATAGCACTCGTGACGGTGTAAGAGGGGTCAACAGCACCAGAAGTGGTAGCACCTTGGGTGTTGGGGACCTTCGCGATCTGGATCACACCAGAGAACTGTCCACCAGCGTTGACAAGACGAGAGTTGGACACGACAGTCAAGTTAAACGCCTTCTGACTCGTGGAGTCGGGGAAAGCGTACATAACCCACATCTTACCATCCTCCAACAAGATCTCATACTTGTACGAGTTCGAGTACGGAGACTTGACCTGAGTCAACGAGCGGACGAGGATACCAGAGTTGAAGGCAGGGGTGAGCTTGTAGTACTTTCCAGTGACGAAACCCATTCCGTTGACCATGGGCATCAACAAAGCCTGGTTTCCGGATCTGCTGGCAGCACTGGGCTGGAAACGGACGTTGACGGACATGTGATCGAGCTTCTCCAACGACATCGTCATGTCGGTATCGAACTCCTGAGCGGAGAAGGACAAAGAGTGCATTCCACCAGGGTTAATGTAATACTGCACCGGTTTCGCAGACGCATCAGGTCCGTAGACTTTTTGTCCATCATCGACGTGAGAGACCATCATACCGTAGAATCCAGTCGAGTTGTTGTTGATCCAGGAGAGAACGTAAGGGTGGGTCCAAGCGGGCTGCTCTTGTGTTCCGAGGTACATGTTGCCGTAGAATTTGTTCGTCTGGATGGGCTGAGTGAGGAAGGATCCCGAGATGGAGAGAGGCTTCTCGGTGTGTTCGCGGGATCCGAACTTGGAGGCGGGGTTGTCAAGGGCGATGGGGGCGAAGAGACTGTTGGAGGAAGGCTTGGCGACGCCGGCGGTGGTGACTCCGGACGCACTGGTCGAGATCGTCTTGGTGTTGATTGAGACGGAGGAAGCCAAGGAGGAAGTCTTCGTTGTAGCAGCCGTGGGAGTCGGCGCAGAGGTCACGGCACCAGACTTGTCCAAAGAGGTGGTGTAGGTCGAGGTAGCCAACGTCGTCGTCGCACTTGCAGGGATCTGCGCAGTCTCGGAAGCACCCTTACTCGTCGACACGGAGACAGAAGCGACTACACCGCTGGTGGAGCTCGTACTAGTCTTCATGGTGGAAGAAACGTCGGAGAGGGTAGCCTTAGTTGAGGAAGCAGCGGCGGAAGCAGTAACAGTCTGGGTAACGTAAACAACACTCGAAACAGTCTGAGTAGTCTTCACCGTCTGCGTAGTTTTAACCGTTTGAGTCGTCTTGACGGTCGAAGTAGCCGTACAGACCGCCGCGGTTGTCGTCGCGCGCTTCACCAATTTGTGCACGGACCCAGCTGGAATGTCGATCTCCGCAGCTGCCGAAGCCGCAGCGTATGCGTCGCGCCGGGAATGATCGTGCAACTGAGAGGATTGGAGAGGAGTAGCGGTGGTGGAAGTGAGTGTGATGAAAATGAAAGTGATAAAAAGAGCGACCTGCGCAAGCGAGTGAGAGCGGAACGACCTCATCGTGATCGAGATAGAGCTAGCACCGAGGAGTTAGACTCTGGAATTCTCGAGATCGGTGTGCGACGCGTGTGGGAGGGAGCGTGAGTGTTCTGCGAGTGTAACTGTCGAAGCAATTGAAGTTCGAGGAGCAGAGAGATCGAAGGCTCGAGGTTGTTCGTTTGCGATCGCGTTCCGTGAAAAAGAATAAAGTTGAAGTTCGAAGTAAATCACCCGGACCAGCCGCGATGAACTCGAAAAAGAAATGAAGGGAAGACCGAGACGAAGGTAGTCACAGACACACAGAACACTCCCCAAACCGGGCGTCGCACACTCTTATACAACGTACCTATCTGCAAGCCTCTCTCACAATGAACCAAACGGTCGATCTACGTACACCCACGTCGTGCTACATTTCTACGATGGATGCGCTGGATCTCATGGTTATATCTTACCACGACACGACGGACGGGTTCGCAGCGTTGCGTGTTGATGGCGAATCGAGCAGTGTGTTTGTTTTGGAGTGGCGGTGTTTCGTTTGGGGTGTGGCGCGCCGCACGGTAAATGGGCTTTGGGTTTAGTGCGCTAGGTGGGAACCGGTGGTGCACAGACTGAGTGTGGCTATGCCAAGATGCCGTGGAGAAGGTGTTTTGGCTATGCTGGATTCGGGTGGGTAATGCCGGCGGTGTCGTGGGATCTTTCATGCTCTTCTTTGTTCGGGTCGCGATTGGTCATAGTCATGATCCGAAGGTCTTGGCGAGAGGTGGCCCGGAGGGAAAGGAAGGGCCACTGGACGTACCATAGTCGAGGAACTGGCCTATGTGATCGCATGAACTGGGAATGGTCCATCAAACTGTTACTAGTACCAGACTCAGCAATCTCCTCAAGATGTTCAGGTGTGCTGGCACGTGTGTGCACCGCCTTTCCCACGCCTCAACACACGCATATATAGTTACTTGCGACGGAGTTGCGCGAGCGCTATACATCCTAACACACCGATAAAACCTGTGCTGCAAACCGTGACGTGTTCGTCTAGGATTGTAGACAAAATAAAGTCCTCAACGTTAACCGCATCCGCAGGCAGGAGGCTTGAACGGAACGTATCACGAAGAAAATGTACATACATGTAGTTTCAACAAAATTAGGTATTACTGGGTATCCAAGAACACATACATGTCCCTAAAGCAATACACAAAACTTCCACAATCTTCTTCCAAATATTAAAATTCAAGACAAGAAATGACTCCCACGCATGCACCGAGTCCAAAACTTTCCCATACAGCCCTTATAGTTTCTCACACGATCGCTTACAAAGCGTAAACCAACCCACCCAAAGCAACAACACCGGCCATCAAACTCCCACCAACCTTTCCAGCACCGGAAGACGCGGTCGAGCTTCCACTCGCAGAGGGCGCAACAGAAGACCTGGCAGCGGTAGCAGAAGAAGAAACACGAGTCATGCTAGCACTCCTGGATGCAGAAGCAGAGGCAGAGGTAGCAGCGACGGCGGCAGAAGCTGTAGAGGTAGCGGACGAAGCAGCGACGGAAGCGGAGGAGGAGAGAACGGATGAGACGGAAGCAGCGACGGAGGAGATGGCGGAGGAGGCGATAGAGGAAGAGGAGGTAGTAGTGGTGGCGGACGCGGTGGTGCCGAGAGCGGACATAGCGGCGCTGGAGGCAATGGAAACAGTGGAGATCGCGCCGGCCGCAGCGTAAGTCGAGGACGCCTGAACGCAGGTAGAGCACAACTCGATGGCGAAGTAGTGCGAGTAGTTCACGTCCCCTTCAACATCCATGATCCTCAACGCATAATCCGTGCCCGGAACAAGAGCCGTAGTAGGGTCCCACAAATACGCTCCGTCGTTCTCAGTGCTGTCTGCGAGGGTGGTGAGGAGGAGGAGGTTGTTCGCGTCACCCTTCAAGAGGGCGAGGGAGACGTTGCCGGAGGCGGAGTCGGAGGCGAAGGATGGGCTCCAGGTGATGGTGAACACGCCGCCACCGGCTTGGATGACGGTGCCAGATACGGGGGAGGTGAATGCGTTGTCGGTGGTCTGGGATTGCGCAAGGGCGGTGGTAAGGAGGGAGGCGAGAGATGCGGCGAGGGCGAAGAACTTCATCGTGTATTCTGTTGTTATGGTGGAACGAGTGAGTGGTGTCTAACGAGTGACGGGTTGAAAGAGTGAACGACGAACGACGAACGACAGACGGTGAAGTTGACAAGATCCAAGCAGCAGCGGGACGGGAAGGAAGTACTTATATTCGTATCCATCTAGACTATTCACTATCTGAACAATCACGGCAAAGCCTCTTCAGCCTACAGTCTAGGATTAAAGCAGACCCAGAACGCACGGATCTCCTCGTATGACAGGTCTAAGCTCCCGCACGCGGTCGTTCAAGACTTCGGTTCGATCGGTAGACCGATCCATGCAAGCTTTTGCATAAAGCCAAGCCCGCCCCGTTTGTACATCCAATGAGAGATGCCAAGGACGTTTTTATGGTGAAATACGGGCAGTTTGTTGTTGTTTTGGGGGTGAATGCAGGGTTCTCTAGAGATCTGGTTCGGGAAGAAGATGCGGGGATGCAAGGGATGAGGGAGGATGCGTGCCGCCGTGCGGGAAATGGTGAGGTGGAAATGACTGCGCCTTTACTCACGGAGAAGAAAGGAAGGGAGGTTCGTTTCAGATACGGGTTTGGAGATGTCTGTGTCGGCTGTTGTGACCTGTCGATGTCGATTAATGCCTCGTTGGGGCGTCGAGTTCAGCTCTTATCCAGCTCTTATACGTCGGTCTCAGGATGTCTGAACTGCTTAAGACCAGAGATTCGCCTTCAGTAGATTGCTCATAGAGTGTCGGCGACACCATTCATCTATGCGGTGGCCTATTTTTAGAATCACTTCCCACATTAAGAGGCAACAGAGATGCTCTTCTCCTTTCCCTCTGCCGCAAACGAACACGAAGAGTCATGATCAAGGCATGCGCATACACCCCACTCAAAATGCACAACATCTGATATATTCCAATCTTCCCAATGCAACTCCCATTTCTCTCTAATCCCTATCAGCAATACTCTGCAACCTTTCATCAATCTCCTCTACACTCAACCTCCTAAACTTTCCCCCCTTCCCCTCCACGACACCAATCTCAATCTCCGTCGCCTTAAAATCCACACTCAAAACACTGCTCAAACACATAATCCCCATCTCCACCGTTTCCTCAAGCGTCTCGCACCACTTATCATCTCCATTCGCTCCAGGGGCGGTGGAGCGCTTGTATCTCTTCTCGAGCCAGTTGGTGGCTTCGGTCATCTTGGGACCTTGAGCGACGGCTTTGTAGCCGGTATAGTAGCCTGCTGGGTCGACTTTGAAGACTTGGGGACCGTACTCTTCGTCGACGCCAACGTAGATTGAGGAGATTCCGAGGGGACGCATGGAGGCGCGTTGAGTTGAGACTTGAGCAAGGTTGGCGATACTTTGTGAATGTTAGTAAGAATGTAGAGAAGAGGCAGGCGGTTGGGATTCGGACCGTTTGGAGAGAGCGTCGACGGGCATGTCATACCCATACTTATAACGGAACTCAGCAGCCTCTGACCTCGCCCTGTTGATACTCGCTTTCGCATCCGCTACAAACACCTTCATTAGCCTCCACCTTCATTTGTGACCCCTTCAGGGTTCACTTACGCATCATCCCAGTAACAACAGCCCCAACCCCCCCACTAACCTCAAAAATCCAACTCATACTATCCGCATCGAACAACTTATCCGGCACCTTCTTCTGCGAAATAACGACTGCGCAATCACGGCCCTTGATACCGAGGGCATTGATGGAGGCATTGGTGATTGCTTTGAAGGCGTATTCGACTTGGTAGAGGCGGCCTTCGGGAGAGAAGATGGTGATGTGGCGGTCGTAGCCTGATTGGGAGCGAGACATGGTGGGTGGTTATGTCCTGTAGATGTTCGGATGGGTATACTGTGGGCCTCGTTTCTGTTCCTCAGCTGGATAGGACGCAATTGAGGGTGTACTGCTGGTTAACGTTGCTCGAGGTCGGCGCTGCGCATACGCGTACGTACGACGACGCATGATGCAATGACGGTGACAAGCTCAATTCGTCGCAAAGGAACATCCATTGTTTTCTCATCATTTAGAGGAGAATTATCTAGCCTACACTCATGCTCAATAATCCTGTTCTTTTTTGGTACTGAAGCTTATCGATACGCCGTACACCCCCAAAACACAGCAAACAGTACTCACACTCGAGAACCCTTAACTTACCCCAGAGCCAGAATCGCAATGACCGCTCCTCAACTCCGTTCAGCACGGATATTTGCTAGAGTCTTTCCAAAGGTCAAGTCGAATGCCCTTTACAATACGAAACACGCACTCTTACGTTGGTTCGACGGTAAGTAAGCTTCGTACAAGAGCTTCAAGGAACCCGCTGACAAGTCTACAGACCTCGGCGCTGCACTTACAAATGACCTGCAAGATGCCTTACAACATGTATCACAAGACATTGGCGCAGATCAGTTGTTAAGTTGGTACACAGATTGCGTACGGGCACATTTCGTGCAGCGGTACGCCGTGCTCGGACTCTCACTCAGCGTTGCGACATTGCCGGATACATTTGCGACGTTGTACCGAGCGTATGCGCATTACTCGACTCCAATACCCCAGAACAATGCTCTCCAGCATGCGTTCAAGGCCTTGTGCACCGGCGCTGTCCCCACCACCACGCTGGAACCCCTACTTGAAGAATGGCTACGAGATAACCTGCAATCAAATGCGAGGCCAGAATTCTTGAAAACAATTACAGCGATACGGGCATGCGGGTTTGGAAGGGTTCTTGATGGTGTGTTTGGCAGAATGCTGGGAGCAGCAGTGAAGGAGGCTGTTCATGAGACATTTGCTGGGCAATGGGATAAAGCGACGCGTGAGCCGGCGCAGGAGTATGTCTTACGGCGCTTTGGAGATGTTACAGCGCTTATTCTGCATGCTTCGAGCAGTACTGGGAAGTTACTGACATCGTACACTGTTGATGTGCTGCGGAATCTACGGACTACGGAGTTGTTCGATATCATCACTGCATACCCAACTTCACAGCCCGCTCTCGAGGATCTCCGGCATATCCTTACCGTACCGGAACACAGGGCACATTTGACCTCTACCTTCTCTGCCGCCGTCTCTAAGCGTTTGTTGCACCCAGGCGCTGACACGGGGTTGATCCTGACACACTTTGTTCATACCGTCCGCGCATTCCAGATTATCGATCCGCGTGGAGTTTTACTGGACAAAGTGGCAAGACCAATTCGTGCATACCTGAGTGGACGGGAGGATATGGTACACTGCATCACCCTTGGTCTCTTCGGCGCCGTGACATCCGATATCGACGGACCCAACCTCGCGGGTGAGCTGGAGCGGAGTGCGAAGGAAGCCGAGGTGGAGGACGAGTGGGGCTTGGACTGGCTTCCTGATCCGAATGATGCGTTGCCCACTTACAGAAGTGGTCGTGGTAAGGATGTTGTTGGTATGCTATTGGGGTTGAGCGAGAGTAAGGATCCGTTTGTGAAGGAGATGCAGGTGTTGTTGGCAGGGCGGCTGTTGAGGGATGAGGTGCTTAAGACTTGGGCGTGTGAGGATGAAGTCCGGACTGTGGAGTTGTTGAAGGGGAGGTTTGGGGAGGGTACACTCAATCAACTCGAGATTATGCTGAGGGACATACAAGAGAGTAAGGTGATCGATTCGACCATCAAGAAAGGTGGTGATGGGAATGGCTTGAGTGCGGTTATCCTGTCGCGATTGTTTTGGCCGACATTGAAGAAGGAGACCTTGAGGTTGCCAGCGGAGGTAGAGGAAAAGTTTGAGGCTTACGAACAGGGTTTTACGAAGTTGAAGGCGAGTCGGCAATTGGCGTGGCATAAAACGCTGGGTGTAGTGAATGTTAACTTGGACTTTGAGGATGGGAGGAGGGTTGATATAGATGCCACACCTGCTCAAGCGGTTGTTGTGCATGCTTTTGGTGAGGAGAGCGAGTTGAGTGTGAAGGATTTGAAGGCAAGGACCGACATGGATGATGCAGGAGTGAAACGCGCACTGGCATTTTGGGTGAAAAACAAAGTCCTGCGAGCAACCTCAGACAACACCTATGCACCCCTTGAAGATGCCTCCACAGCCTCTACCACCACCGCCCCAAGCTTCCTTCCGACTGACGCCGAACCAGCTTCAGCAATCCAGAGTGCAGCCGATGCAGCAGCGGAGGAGATGCGGATCTACTGGCAATTCATTGTGGGAATGTTGACGAACCTGGGGCCGATGCCGATTGAGCGGATGCAGATGATGTTGGGGATGTTGGTTCCGGGAGGGTTTACGAGGTCGCTGGAGGAGTTGAGGAGTTTCTTGGAGGTTATGGCTAAGGAGGGGAAGATTGAGTTGGGAACTGGTGGGGTATATAAGTTGGTGTAAGTCGTCAAACGTGATGCATATTTTGTTAGGAACCGGGGTGCACGGTGTTGATGGGTACTAGCTAATCGCAATGCTGGTATAGGTAGTATAGACGGATTAACAACACCTGTACGCCTGAGGTCCAGTTTCAACCCGGTTCCGCTGTTACCGACAAATTCATCCTATGCATAGGATGAATTTTGAACCACCCCTTTCGGCTCTTCCAGCTGTCACCCAAGAGATTCCGTCCACATCCAACCCCGTAAAAGAATCCGATGTATTGTGAGAAGCCCTGATACTGTTCTTTGGTCATTGCCCTGCGGGCCGGCCCCGGCACCGGTATCTTAACACGAGTCCGGATGTATTCCCTTGTGTACACACAATGACACCACGTTTTCCGTTTCTTTGCACAGACTTCCTCGTTCATGATCGAGAATTCGATCTCCGGTATCTGAAGCATGTCAACGTCGTAGCGAGCTTGATCGCGAATTTTGGCGAATCTCCGGAGCTCCAAGGCCTACATTGATCATAGGACAGCAAGACGTTCACGTTCCCACGCACCTGCCCTTAATCGCCGCTCAGGTCTGACGATTTTTTACAGGCCTGCAGGGGGCCGGGCCCACTTTCGCAGAGGTCGAAGAAGGTGCTACATGTCTATAGGATGGAGCCATCCTGTAGTCCATTGCTTATCGAGGGAGGAGGAGTGGGCGTGGAGGATATCGACCGTTACAGATGGATCTAGGCAGCGAAAGAGCTCTGAACAACAGTAAAGGACTTTGTTTAGGACAATATTGGCTACATGTCACTTCAATCCAGCGCCAGCTTCATCCTGAAGGTACGAGTATATGCGTCTACTCCGGCTTGCCTGCCTTCGGCGTCGCAAAAGCGGTGTTGAAGGGAAAGGTGCGAGGACACCTGAGTGAGTTGTGTATTCTCTATGTTTCTGATCTTTGGTATGAGCCTCGGTTCGTTCCTCCACACAATCGCGCTTTTGCAATCCATTTTCGATCCCCGTTATGCACCGACACCGCACCGGGTTTTCCTGAACACTCGCATCAACCATCATAAGTTAACGTGCCGGTACCCAACCTTCATCGAATAGGTCTCACCCCACCCAAACACACTTCATACCCCAAATCTTCTACACCAAACGCTCCGATACCTTCCCTTCCTCCCTCACCGCCGCCCAAATAGCATCGATACCCTCTCCCTTCTGATCCTTATGCACGAAGAAATCCGTCTTGACACCCTCGTACTCGCCCTTCAGCTCCTTCTGTACTGTGACATTCGAGAGAAACCTCGAGTCCGTGCTGTCGTACTCGTCTGTCTCCATCAAGACCTTTGCTGGGAAAGTCGCGGTCTTTTTTGTGCCGATCAGGGAGAGAGTCGTGAATTCAATTTGGCGCCCCTCGGAGGATGATGAAGGGGAAAGAATAGTCCGTGCCCGGATAACGTACGGCGATGTCAGGTACGTCACCATCAAAGTATTCAACGCCGAAACAGTAAACGCAGTCCCAATCATGACCATCTGCGCCCCTGTCGATTCCATCATTATGAAGATTGGGGTAATTGCTGCTGTCAGACCTAGTGAGCCGACGGAGAAGATCTTGAGGCCGGTGACAGCTTTGCGGAGGGGGGAGTCGTATTCGATGATTTTGGGTGATGGGGAGGACGGAGAAGAGGTAGAGTTGAAGCGGGCGAAGCTCACAACGGACCCACGGAGAGGTAGGGCACGGAGGCCGAGAGATTGGTGGAGACGGAGGGCAGATCGAGTGCAGTTCATGATAGTTGACGGGTTGTTGTCGGCGGAGTTGTATCGATATCTTCGAGCCCGTGTTAACCGTACTTTTTGAGACACTCCAGTGCAGGGACCCGAGTGTCCGTACTCCAATCCTCTTGATCTGTAACACGTAAAAGACCTTTGAAAGTCAAATAGAAAAACAACCGTCTCGGTTTCCGATTCTATATTTTCTCCTGGATAACCTTCGTTTGTGTATCAGCCCCACATGCTCAGCTGTACCGTATGTTAGCTAGTTAAGTACCTGTTTTGAACGTAGGGGTGAATGGGGTTATATTTAGGACTAGCTGACATACATATCGTACGAAGATGAGGCACAGCAGGCCCTGGAACAGTGGCTAAGTAACACGTGCAAAATCACGGGTCCACAGTACCCTCTCCTTAGAGACAGACCAGTCTCGTCCAACAGTATGTCCTCATAAATCCACTTATACTGGATCGTGAAAATAGCAAGAAAGATTCATCCCAATCCCAGGTATGTCGGGACCCTGTAAGCAACCAAAGAGGCATGCGTCCGGTTTACAGGACTTCACGCAGTGAAAGAAAACAAAAATACCCATCATCTCAGAGGATCAGCTTGTCATCTTCTTCCCAGGCGAGCCAGTGCCTGAGCTTTGATGCATTAACTGGGTTCTTGAGAACACTCAATCATTCAGCTTCATTCTTCGGAATTTGGCGAAGTTTGTAAACACCTTTCTGCCAGACGTCGTGAACAATGTAAGGACCCTTCCAACGGGGTGAGAAAACTGGAGCTTGAGCCTGTGAATCCAGGGCGGAGTCCCTCAGCCACACCTTATCTCCGAGATTGAAAGATTTTGGGTGCACAAGTACAGCATTACCCTTTTTATCCTTCACATATCGCATGGCAGCTGTACGTAAACCTGGAATCCCTTCACGGAGCCACTCAATCCTCTCAGCTACCTCAGTACGGTGTTGAGCCTGCCCCATAATCATTGCAGGCGACACCACTTTCTGATTCGCCAATGTAGGAGCATCCACCGGAATTCGGAGCTCAACGCCGTAAACCAGATACGCGGGGGAGGCCTTGGTAGCATGATGTGGCATAGACCTGTATGCCCACAAAACCACATACATAGCAGGCTTCCATTTCACAGTTCCATCATCATTTTTGTCACAATCCAAAATAGACTTCTTCAGAGAAGGCTTCAAAGTACCCAAGAACCGTTCGGCACGTCCATTACTCTGAGGATAATATGGTGTAGACAGATGATGACGAATGGACATAGTTTTGGCCAACTGCTTAACAACATCGTTAACAAAGTGAGATCCATTATCTGATTGGATCGATAACGGCACTCCGTAGCGTGCGATGATCTCTTCATAGAAGAATTCAGCTGTAGTAGCTGCATCAGCTGTTTTTACAGCTCGGACTTCGGCCCATCGAGTTAAGGACTCGACGGCAATAAGGACATATTTGTAACCTTCAGGTGACTCTGGGAACGGACCTGCAAAATCTGTACTCCAATGACGGAATAAGTCCTTTACGTCAGTCTGATAACCAGGGACCTTCAAAGGACTGTTACGCGAATGCTTTTGGCACGCTTCACAGCGACCAATGTGACGGAGTACCAACTTTTCAATGACAGGGCTCCAATAGCGAGTACCCCACCATTCGAGCATAGCCGGAGCACCTCTGTGCCCATAACCTTCATGTAAATGTTTGAAGATGGCCCGTCGATTCTTCTCACCGATAATCACTTCAACCCTAAGAAGGTTCTTGACCGTCTTGTAGAGTTGGTTATCCTGTAGAAACACGTTCTTGGAGAGTTGCTTGACTCTCTTTTGTAAACTTTTTTCGTTTGGTAATGTGCCATCTGTGATGTACCCATGGATATGCGACAGCGCACGGAGATCTTCATATTCCTTCCGCGTCAAGGCGGGTAGATCAACATAGTCTCGGCCACGAAGATCCTCAGTACCATCCGTTTCGGGCTTCTCAAGTTCCTCGTCAGGCAACCCCTTCGAAAATTTAATGCTATCATCCTCTTTGGTGATAACCGATTCCGTAATGGGCGTCTGAGTCTCTGCCATCTGAGCCTTTTTTCTAGTCAGGACGGCATAGAAGGTCTGAACTTTGGCCTGTGCAACCGGAGATTGTTGAAGCATAAGGAGTTCCGCGGAAGGGGTAGGCCTCTCATTCATAACCAACCCATGAACGATATCTGCTGTTGTCAATCCTTCCCCTTTTACAGATTCGATACGGAGCCTCGAAATTGTGTCTGCTATCATCGTTTTCCCGGCAATCCATTCTGTAGTAAACCGGTACTCGCTTGCAACAAGTGCATATCTCATCAACGCCGGAAGGGAGGAAGACGCAGCTTTAAAGATGTAGTTCAAAGCTTTGTGATCAGTACACCAGACAAATGGTCTTGTTGATAACCATCCATGGAATTTCCCAAGGGTCCAGATGAATGCCAGTGCTTCTTGCCTTGTAATGTGGTAGCGCATTTGCGCACCATTAAGGACCGCTGACGCAAAGGCAACCACCAACTCACAGTTTTCCTCAGGATTCCACTGAGTGATGACACAGCCTATGTACTTAGCACTTGTATCTGTATACACTTTCGTCAATCGGTCTTCAACCCAATGTGCTAAGACTCTCTTAGTCCTCAACGTCACCTTGATCCAATCAATCTCAGCGATCGCCTCAGGTGTTAATGTAACTTTGCCGGTCGTTTTCATTAGAGCCGCTAGACTGCGGGTGTTGTCGGCGAAGGCGGGCATTTGGTCCCTGAACCAATTGGCAAGTCCAAAGTAAGAGCGTATCTCTGAACCAGTGTCAGGTAAACGCAAGGACATAAGAGCGTCGATCTTGGAAGGATCTGCTTCCAAACCGGCAGCGGACATGATGTAACCCACAAATTTGATTTTGGTGTGAGCCACTTTCAACTTAGTCAACTTAAACTTCCATCCATGGTTCAAACCACGACGAAGTAACTCTTTCAACAGCTCTAATTGGTGTTTGTAATCCCCAGCCTTTGAACCCGCAATGAGATCATCCATGTAATTCAGGATGCGTTTGCCTTTCTTCGCTGATCCCAGCATAACATCGGCATTCCTATTCCAAGTAGCCGGCGCATTCACGAAACCAAACAACATCCTCAATGATTCAAGGTGTTCACCAAGACGTTCAAAAGCAGTAAAGGTAATAGCCAACAAAGCCATTATAATCTGCTGAAATCCTCTATCGGCATCCGCCGATATAAACATGCCTTTGTCGGCCTGCGTAGCCATGATATACTGTACAGGGACTGTAGGGTAAGGGTCAACAACCATGATTTCATTGATCATTCTTAGATCATGACAAACACGATTCTTGCTCGCTATGACCAATTGGGCTCGATGCGGGGACGTAGAAGTCCTGTAAATGCCCATGTCGATGAGAGGGTCAGTCTTCTCGCGGATAATCGCCGCATTCTTAGGGGTATACAGATGTTTCCTCATAGCCATGACGCAAGGCTTATCAGAAGTAACCTTGATCTCATGTGGAACATCTTGGATACAACCCAAGTTGTGATCATTCCAAGAAATGGCATCCGCATATTGAGCAATTAGCTTCGCAACTTCGGAACAAAACCAAGTCGGGGCCTCTTCTCCTATCGAGACCTGGGAGAGAATGAACTCTTCACTGAGCAGTGGTTTGCCAGACTTCATCAGTGCAGTCACTACCTTCTTAGCCGAAGCTTCTTCTTCATCTTCGGCCAAGTATTCTCGTTGACCAATCAAGATGGCTTGACTGGAAGGTTTCGCATACAGAAACGGAACTGCCTTAGTGTCGGTACACTGCAACAAGTTAAGTTGTTGTTCGCGTCTCGTTTTAGACATGGTGGAAGGACCAGACGCAGTAGGTGGATCAATCGATTCCACAACCTCTCCATCTTCGTTCGTCCATTCAACCTTCTCAAGCTGACGTACCAATCCAAGATCCGGATCTTTTGTAGATGCATCGAGAACCATCTTAACAGGCTTCTCAATAGCTATGCAGCCGTACTGCGGGAATAATGAAGCTCCTATCAACCACATAAACTTTGTACCCACCAACAATTGGAAGGAGGCAGACTCTATGACATAAACCTTGATGATATAGTCTTGTCCATTGAGCCTGCAGAAGAACCTGTCAACAATCCCGATGGGATATGTATTCTTGTCCTCCACCATCGTAAAGTGTACATCCGAGGCTGATGAGATCTTGTAACCGCAAGCCACTAATGTAGATCTCAGAATGACGTTACAGCTTGTGCCAGTATCAAAAACCGTAAGCATATCCTGACCGTCGACTGTCTGACTCATTAGCCACACATTGGTCTCCGGAGCCGTCTTAATCTTGGGTCGATTAGGGAGACGGATGACAATATCATCCTCTTTAGCTTTGCCCTCATCTCCAAACTTCGTACCTACATATTTGTCTTCCAAATAGTAGTGTAACTGCGCATTTTGTGAACGCCTCGTGGTTGGATCCCATAGAGTATCCCCTTCATTAACTACTTCATGCTTCGAAGTAACAGCAAGAGCATGATTGAATGGGACATTCTTTTGAAACGGGAATGTTTGAACCGCGCACATTTGAGCCGCGCTCGATTTGTCTCTTACCGCCTCTCTTTTTAGCGCTGTGATCCCGTCATTATTGTTCGCTACAGCATTAAAGCTGAAGAACGGGCGTGCCTTCTTCCTTGGAGGAGAAGGCAGCATTGAATTAAGGGTAGCGCCTAGACACTCTGTGCACCGACAACCAGGAACATGAACATCTTCTTCTTGAAGACGATTTTCTTCCTCTGTCGTGTCGAAAGCGTTCAACGGTCGACCCTTGTGCCTCTTTTCAGGACAATCCTTGCCCATGTGCCCAAGTTTATTGCAATTATAGCAACGAGTAGCTTCTTGTCCCGGAATGACCACCGAAGAATTAACTCCCGAGGCTGTAGTCATTGAAGTGGTTCGGCGAGAAGTTACAACCGGACCAGTAGAGGAAGGTGGGGTGGGAACGTTTCTTTTCTGACGACATTCTGAAACCACATGTCCGATCCTTCCACAATTCGTACATTTCTTTTTCTCACTTACCTTCGTAAGCTTCTTACTCGCCTTGATTGAGATTTGAGTAGCCACTGCATCTTCAATTGCAGCCCACAAAGCGTCATCACTGGAGGGCATTCCTATACGCAATCTCATTTCTTCACGTGGAATAGATTCCAGGATGAAATGACGACGCGTAACGAACTGATCACGGTCATTCAACCGTGCTCTTATGATCAGACGCTGTACACGGGTGCGGAAGTTAGGGACTGTTTCTTTATTGAAATCCCACTCGAGACTGTTCAACATATTGTGAGCAGCCTCAACATCGCGTGTATCAGTGAACTGCATTTGTAGCATGCGGCGCAAGGAAATCTCAATCACATTGGACGGTTGATATCCAACTGGGGCTGGGATCCAGCAGTTTGGCCTGTTGACCTCACCTCGCGATTGACGTTCAGCATATCCCAGCCACCAATCACGAGCCGATCCCTCTAACTTCTCAGCAACCTGCACACAGAATCGCTCACCCAACTTGTAGTTGGCACGGCGATCGGCTTTATCCACCGTTGGATGTTCTGCTTCCAATGTACGAATGTACTCATATCCATCATCGTCGTCGCCCATGACATAGCCTCCCTGTGCTAAGGGAAGGTTGTTACCAATGATGTACGCAGATACAGATGTGAAGAAATCATCCATATCCGCAGCGTTGCCATCCCACTTACGGATGGTCTTGAAATTGCCTAACCTAGGCCATTTAACATTCCTGCCTTCAGTCATTCTAACGTTGAATGCTGGGGCCACGAAAGGATCTTGTTCGTTTGATGATGTAGTTGGTGTAGCAGCCGGTCGGAAGGTCTCCTGTGTAGGGGTTCTGCTTCCAGGTGCTCCAAAAACGTCAAAATCAACTTCTTCTGTACTTAGAGGAGGAGCGTCTGCAAGCTCGATATCGGCAGGACTCCAAGGATAAGAGCTTAGGTCCTGTTCAGGGGTCTCAAAGATTCCTGAAGAATCGAACTGTGCAGCTGTTGTGTTCGGGGTCTGTAGTCCTAAAGCTGAGGACCCAGACGGCGGACGAGTTGATGTATGTTCGGGTGGAAAAGGTGAGCCTTTGCGGGGAATCGAACGATGGCCCGTTTCTGCGTCACCGTCTATACCGTAATCCGTACGTCGTCTCCAGTTGTTATCGGCGCGGTTGCCCTCAAGTTTCGGTCTCTGTGTGGCTGGTCCACTGTGAAGAACACTACTGAGTAACAACAGGTCGATGCGTTGGAGAACCACTCCCGAACTAATTACTCTCAACAAAAGCGGTGTTGAGAGGACTCACGTGTGCCTGCCTTTAGGGTGAGAGGCAAGGAACTAGACCAGCTCAAAACGTAAGAAACAATTAGCACTGTACCGGGTTCCTTCTCCCTCTCCTTTTGAGTGAGAAGTCGGTTGGTCGCCAACTGTTAGCTAGTTAAGTACCTGTTTTGAACGTAGGGGTGAATGGGGTTATATTTAGGACTAGCTGACATACATATCGTACGAAGATGAGGCACAGCAGGCCCAGGAACAGTGGCTAAGTAACACGTGCAAAATCACGGGTCCACACCGTATGGCGCATGCGCTGGCTCGGGTGCTGCCTACCGCGTAACTGTTACGTTTAGAGACCTCGTCGGCCTCCAACCTCGATCCTATTCTTCCTCGCCGTCATGAGTATTCTGGCGCAAGCGAAGCTGGTCGGATCAGTTCTGATCATTGCCGCGACATCATTCTGTCTCGGTATCCTGTTCTCCAACTGGAGTGCGGATCATAGTGTTTTGTACGTATACTCCTTGCTATTGAGGTGGCGCAGCATTGTGTCTACTTTGCGCACCTCAAGACCGATGTTCTGAAGAGGAACGAGTACTGACAGGGTATTAGATGGGTATCTGAGCTCACTGAACAAGCTGTCGAGGCAGCGGAGACACACTACCTCCTTCTCGCCCACTGTCCCCGCGTAATGCAAGTCGTCCTCCACTCCATCATCGTCTGGGGCTTCATCGGCCATGTCCTAAAACTCTACCGCGCGACAACCTCCAACTACCTCTTCGACGGCGCCTCCCTCATCCTCTACCTCGTCGCATTCCTCATTTACGGACACGGTACAATCACAGGCATCATCGGTGTTCGTGACCGTGTGTATGGAGATCTGAGCAAGGAGGATCATTTGAGGGTTGTTGCGGCTGGTCATTGTATTTTGGCGGTTGTGTTGAGTGGGGTTTTGGTGTTGCAGGTTGGGCAGTGGTGGGCGGAGAAGGCGGAGGAGGAGGAAGTTAGGGAGATTGAGGAGAAGGAGAGGTTGGCGAGTCAGAAGTTGAATGAGGGAAAGGTTGAGGAGGTGTTGAAGGAGGGCAAGAAGGAGGCTGCCGGTAAGAGCACTGCGAAGGCATCGCCGAAAAGTGCGAGGAAGAGGGCTTAGGCGGTTATAGGGTTGAAGGAGTCTGTGCATGTTAGACATCTTGGTGGGAAGCATTTCGAGCAAACATGCCATGAGTGGTGCGCATGGAAAGTTTTGGTGTGGTTGAGAGCGACCGTCACAGGAAGGACAATTAAAATTCAGAGGGCCATCGTGGGAAGGTTTTGGGCGATGAACGACATGATTAGAGAGTTGATGTGGAAGAGTTGTGAATACCACGCGTTTACCGTTCAGCTTGCCCTGTCATAAGTCACATCTACCGATGAATCTCATGTCGGTGCCGTCATTGTCCTGCTTCTCTGATGTCCCCCTGACGATAGAAAACATAAGGTGGCCGCCGCTATCCTATGCCGGAAAGCTCGTTGGCAACATCGAGAACATGTTATAGGGAAAAACGAATCATACACATCGCCATCCTCTACATTCAGCGCAGCGTATGTTCGCGTTCCGTATCTCCAATGGGAAGCTCCTGGCAAGATGACCACGCGTACGATGAGTGATGAGTTAGCCATGTTACACCGATCTTCAAACTCCTGCTCCCTTCTTCTGGCGCCTTCTACACCTATTATCTGTGCCGTGGTTCATCGTCATCGTCATCCCACCACTGTAGTCATAGCTATCTATGAGCAGTTCGTACGCATACATCCCCCAAATTACGCTCGGACCCGCAGCCGCACTGCTGGGACTGGCGTATGACTTCCTCACCGCACCGAAACATCTTCACGCCTCCTTACGACGTTACCCGACCCGCTATTGCCGCTGGGGGTGCAAGTCATGGCTTGATCTGGCCGTGGTGATACGTCTTATTGTGCGTCTCAGGTCTCGGGTCTCACGACGTGTCACGTTATAGTTACGTGGTCGCGTATGAGATGCAGCGGAAGACCGTCGGCAGCTGTACCGTGTAAGTAAGCTACGAGGGCAAAAGCTTGTAACCCGGCGTGCATACAGTCACTTTTGATACTCTGAAGAATCGGGGAGAAATCCTGCGAGGTGGGATGTCTGTACGAGAAAAACGGCGGAGGTGGGCACGAGTGACGTGAGTGGAGTATGAAACCTCGGAGATGAGCATTCAACTGCAGTTGGGTGGCGAAAAGAACGAGGACGAGCCGGACATCGAGATCAGCCAGACCGGAGGTCAATCACAGTCCTACGGTATGAGGGGTGAGCCAAGGAGAAGACCCAATTACAGAAGAGTCATGTCCATTTGAACGACCGTGACATTGCCATAACAGGGATCAAAAACAAGCATCCCTACCCGGATTAACCTACGATAACCAGCCTCCCTTGGCATGCACTGCTCTCTCCTACGCCGGTGTCCCTCGCTGCTCCTCCGCATTCAGTTCCGGGACACGCGCATGCGCCTTCCCCACCACAGCAATTGATCAGCACCCTTATTTCTCAGGCTGCATACCCGAAATCATCCCCGAAGTTACGTAGCTATTTTTAGCAACAGAAACGGTTGGGACGGCTGGGACGGGATTGGTGGGATGAAGTGACAGAACCTTCGCACGGACGGCGTGGGTTCGTAAACGAGCGGGTTGGCACCGGAATGAACTTCTATTGAAGATGGGCATCATGACTAGCCCAGCCGTTCGCATCTTCCAAGCAGCAGAGATCTTGGTCCAGATGAGTGACGTCTGCTAGCTGATCAGCCTACATGTATCCCAAATTTACTCGAAAGTGTCTGGGCAAGCCACGCTCTCACACCCTACGTCCTCCGCACTCTTCGTCCCGACCAGCCGTACGTCGATAGGCGTCCACGCCAACGCATATGCATACCATCCCAGACGGAAATTATCTTGGAAGCACCCAACACGTTCCTTGAGTAGGACAGTGTAGCAACCCCAATCTACTGCAGCACCGTCGTCCCTCGCAACAATTTGACCCGGGACGCCGATCATGGCCAGCCCACCCAGGATAAAAATGAGCTCCAGCCCACCCACTTGATCCCTTCATACACACACTCGCTGGTCATACTCCGTACACACTCGCTTTTTCTATACCACCTAGATCAACAAAAACGATGTTCGGAAACCTCTTGATGGCCGGAGCCTCTTTCGCCTCCCTCGCCGTGGCCCAGATGAACTCCACTGCTGCTTCCTGGAACTCCACTATCCTCCCCGCTTCCACAAACGGTACCGTCGTCGCCTCGAACGGATCCGCTGCCGTTCTCCCTGTTTCTACCATTACCACGACTGTGTCGTCCTACACCACCGTCTGCCCCACCGCCGGTGTCTACACCGTTGAGGGCGAGACCGTAACCGTCACCGCCTCCACCGTCCTCACCATCACCGACTGCCCCTGTACCCGCACTCTCGCCATGGCCCCCGCAACGACCGTCACGTCCGTCGTCTCCTCCTACGAGACCGTCTGCCCCACCGCCGGCGTCTACGTCGTCGAGGGTGAGACCGTGACCGTGGCCAGCAGCACCACCATCACCGTCACGGAGTGTCCTTGCACCCGTACCTCCGTCGTCTGGACTGAGGTCACGCCGGGTGCTTCTTCTGCTGCTGCTACGGGAGCTGCAAGTGTGGCCCCTGCCGTTGTTACTACTGGACCCATGTGGACTAACGGCACTACTACTTGGAGCAATGGAACTTACTCGAACGGTACTACTAAGTCTAACGGAACTACCTCTGGTACTGGGATGACTGCTTACACTGGTGGTGCTTCTGTCAACACCGTTGCCACCACCGCCATCCTCGGATTGGTCGGTTTGGCTGCTGCTTTTGCCGTTGTCTTCTAAACACCCTCATGGCATGTAAGTCATGAGTATGCTTCAGATAACGAGAAAATCCCGGACGTTGTTATTCTTTTTTAGGCAGGTGGTCTCTTCGTGATTGACAAGAGTAGAGTTACATTAGATGGACGTTTCTTGAGATGTGGACGCTTCGATGTCAATGTTTGAAGGCTTTTTGTGGTTTATGGATTGCACGTTCTGATCATAAATTGTCTTTGAATTCTTTCTTTTACTTCTCTCTTTTTCCAGACGGATTTCACTTCATGACGATTGCAATCGTGTTGGTGAGCTCTTGGCGATCACTTGGCAGTTGTAGCCAAGAAGTGGGGACCGGCCCATAAACAACAGCTGCGGTCGATCCAGCCCGGCGTCATCGGCCCAAGCATTAGGTTCTGAATAAGCTCGAGAGAGCTAGTGTTTGTTATTCGGACCTACAATAGTTGCACACTTGGTAAAAAGCTTCGCTGCCCCTCAGAATGTCTTTTCCCACGCTCTGATCTCCGCGCAGGCAGGTCTACGTATCCGCACTTGGCCAGCGTATTAAAAATGCGAACCCGCTAGTAAACTTGTGTTTCCTACACCTTTGGTACCCAGTTCATTCGGAGAGATGGCGCTTATGTCGAATCTTGCCAACACGAGGCGCAGATGCCAATTTGAAATCCTCTAACTATGCCTTACGACCATTATTGTTATATTATAATGTCCTTGTATAGCAACACCGTTACCAGATTAGCCGGTACGGGTTCTTTGCCCTTTTTGATTCATACCAAAGGTTCCTGCTTCACCGTACCCCCTCTCAACACCGCAATTATTTTTTCATGTATAAGCCGTAAGACACTCCCTCCTTTCTCAGGCCTACATTGTAGCGCCCTACCCAATGGCTTAATCCCATCATTCGCTCCGATACCCTGCTGCCACAGATCATGCAGCCAAACCATCTCTTTGAAATCCCTCTCACCCTTCGCTTTTTCTATTCGAGTCTTCATGGCGGCGTCTCTGAGCAGTAAAATCGTCGTTCGATCCGCCTCGCTCCGCGGGGCGAAGCATATTTCGAGGCTGTGCGGCCCTTCGGTGTACATGATCCGGAATAACGATGGGGCCAATGCGACGCTGATCGTCGAATCCGTTTCTGCTGTGCTTCGGATGGATTCGAGTGCTGTGAGAAGTGGATAGGTGAGTTGGAGAAGCATGGTCAGTTTCTCCAAATCACCAGAGAACATCCCAGCGAACCGTTTAATAAGACCATGCGGGTTTGCCGCTCCCTCAGTCCCATCCCTTCCAAACTGAATCTCATCCCCAATATCAACCCACAGACCCTGCTGATACCCAAGCCGTACCCACCCCAACTGAAACCCAATTAATTTGAAGTATTCCGACGGTTTTGCAAGGGTTTGCTTCACCAAATTCACTGACTTTGCAATCGCGGCCCACTTCCTGCACAACATCGCCCCAGCATCTTCACCATCCGCGACACATATCGTCACCCGACCAGAATCCACATCATAGACAACCTTCACATCCTCCTCCGCCCTCTCAGCAGGCGCAAGATCAGGAACAACGACCCTCTCCTTCAACCGACCCTGCAAAACGAGTTTAACCCCATCTCCGTCCTCCAAGACATCCACGAACGAATTCTCAAACGACGGGCTTTCATCCATGGACAATCCCTCGACAGAGGCAGCCTTCATCGTAACCCTCTGAACCTTGACCTCCCGTAGCGAATCACCGTTATCGAGAACATCGTATGCGACACCCTTTGCAATAAGCCCATCCTCAGCCTGCAGCAACGCTTTCCGCAACTTTGCATACCGCTTAACCTTCGCCATAAACTCCAACCCCGGCACGCCCCTCGCGTGACTCCCCGAACTGGGTCTCGCGGGTTCCTCATCCCTCTTCCTCTTCCGATTCTCATCCCCAACGACAGGAGGAGCGAATACCTCCGGAATGAGCTCAGTACTCTTCACACGCCACGCACCCTCCACACCCGCGCATCTCGCCAATACCCACCTAACTCCAACACCGCCACCGACACCAGCACCACCCCCCTCCACCCGGTCCATGACAGCGACAATGAACCATCCCTTCGCGGCAGCGGCGTCGGCGTCGACAGAGAACCAACTCGCCCATTTAGCTCGACAGGTTGGATGCACGGTGCGACCAACGGCGAGGCTATCATCCCCCGTAAGTCCTAACGCCCTGATATCATGCCCTTCCCACCCGAGGAACCGCGCACGTGTCTCAAGTCCGTCCTTAACGACCTCAAACCTCAATTTTTTAAGGGCCTCGACGACATTCGCCCACGGCCCCGTCTGAGCCTGATTATAGCTCGGCACAGGTTTAGCTGGCTCATTCATTCCACTTTCCGCAGCCCTCAAGAAGTTCGGCCGGATCGTTCCGCTGAGGACCTTTTTCCCCGTAAAGGGATCAATGGAGATAGTGACACTCACACCTTCACAAACCGTCACGTCGACAACAGGTCCAATACCCGTACCCCCCTTCCCCTCCCTCATCGCAAAAGTAAACCCGCCGTCCACACCCAGTGCTTCCGCGATACTCTCAACAACATACCGTACATGCAACCCAACCGCAGCCTTGATCACATCCACCGCCTCCCCTCCACATCTCAACGGCACCTCCTCACCCCCAACCTCCCTCTTCCACACCCTCCGAACCTCAATTCGGGAAGACGCCACGACTTTGTCTTCGGCGTCACACACCATTCTATCCTCCGCACTCGGCTCCACCTCCTTCATGGAGATCTCGACGGCGGCTTTGTCGCCTGCCCAATACTCGATTCTCATATCCTGCCTCTTCGGTCCGGTGAGTTGGATCCATAACGGGGTCCCGCCCCAGCGTAGGTTGCCCAGCGCGCGGCCGAGGCGGTCGTGTCGTCGTGCAGCAGCGAGGTAGGAGAGGAAGGTGTAGATACTAACCAAAGGCTGTGGTGAATGGAAAACACCAGACCTGGTCATACTCGCCTCCACCTCCAAAAACTGCGGCGCAGGTAATCCCATCTTACCGTCACTCTCGTCGCCATTGCCTTCGAGGAGGTCCGTCCACCCAAAATTAGCGAGATACCAGTGGGATTGGAAGAGAGAGAGTTCGAGCCACCATCCACACGCGCCCTCCGTCTCCTCACTCACGAAGCGTACGCGACCGTCGTGGATGATCCATTGATCTTGGGTTGTCCACCATGCCATGGGGAGGGTGTCGTCCATCGCTAATCTCCACCGTATTTGGGCGTTGAGGTCTTCCAACGCTTCGTTCACGTCCGCGGGCGTTAGGGGAGGGGGGCCAACCAGGCCCTCTGTCTCCCGCCCCAGATTCGTGGTCGGGAGTCCCTTAAAAACCCGTAATGCGACTTCGAGATCGGGGGGTGGGGTGCGGAGGGCGGCGGCTTCTTTGACGAGGGGTCCGAGTTCGAAATCGACCAGGTGGTGGAAAGATAAGTTATGGCCTTCGAGGTACGCGTCGATACTCCGTAATAGAGACGCATGTTCGGATGATTTCGTTGCGTATTGGGTTAGGATCAATAACTGCAATAGATGCTGTCGTATCGTGAGGAGGTGGGGGAGGAGGGTCGGACGATGGCTGTAAGCGGGGGCTTGTGATAACCTGTGCAATGTCCGTAAGCACGTATTCAACAAGAAAACTTGTGTGGACGATGTACCTTTCCACGACCTCCTGGAGCTCCGCAAACCCACTCCTGGCTAACCTCTGAACCAACACCCGTAACGACACCGGCTGTTCCGCAGGATTGGGCGGTAATGGTGGTGGTGGTTGTGGTTGTGCTATCGTCGGCGCATCATCAACCATATGCTCGCCATTCAAGGCAGCCTTCTTGGCGTCCATAAGCCGGGGCGAGGCGTTCTTCTGTAAAAGCGGAACCAGCGTAATGTCGTGTTTGACAGGGCGTGTGTTATGAGTGGATCCGGACGGTGGACATACAAAGGATTGGAATGGATGCTCCGAGATTGCTATGGAGACCAAGCTTGAAAACGTACCGTCCTATACGCTGAAGCTGGCTCGTTGGTTACCTCAAGGGTATAAGGTTTGGTGGTGAAGTACTTACGGCGCTGCTTGCCCGGGTTAACGCTCGGGGTCCGCGGTCGTGCGTCGTCCTGCATCCCGTATGAACCTCACGCTTTCAACGTTACAGGGCAGAAACGCGCTCAACACCAACCTTCAACCCTCCTTCGCACCAATGTCAGCAAGAGAAGAACGAAGAAAGCAGAGGGATCTGGATGAGGCAAGGAAGGCAGGAACCTTGCCACCAGAGAAGGACTCTGATGGGAGCGAGATCAATCCGCATATTCCTCGTATGTCTCCACTCTGCCATCTACCTCGTTTTTGTACCGCACTTGCTAACATAAATGTATAACAGAGTTCATCTCGAAAGCACCATGGTATGTCGACCCCGCAGGCCAAACAACCCTAAAACATCAACGCCTCGACAAACCTTCCAACGACACCCCCACAACCTCCTCCCCCGCCACCGACTGGTACGCCCGCGGCCAACGCGCCGGTCCCGCCGCAACCAAATACCGCCGCGGAGCCTGCGCAAACTGCGGTGCCCTCTCCCACAAAACCCAAGACTGTATGGAACGTCCACGTAAACTGGGAGCAAAATGGAGTGGGAAAGATATCCAGGCTGATGAAGTTGTGAAGGAGTTGGATATGGGGTGGGATGCGAAGAGGGATCGGTGGAATGGGTATGATCCTGAGGAACATCGGAGCATTGTTGAGGAGTATGAGAAGTTGGAGGAGGTGCGACAAAAAATTAAAGAGCAGGAAGCGGGGGGCGCAAGCGAGCCCAGGACGGCAGGAGAGGGTGCACAGGAGACCGAGGAGCTGAACGCAGCAAAATCCAAAAACCTTCGAATCCGCGAAGACAAAGCAAAATACCTCATCAACCTCGACCTAGACTCAGCCCACTACGACCCCAAAACACGCTCCATGCGCGAAAACCCCAACCCCTCCTCCGAATCCCAAACCGCTTCCGCTTCCGCGTTCGTTGGGGAAAACTTCACCCGCATGACAGGCGACGCACAAACCTTCCAAGACCTCCAAGTCTTTGCGTGGCAGGCCGAGGAGAGAGATGCGGGGATTCATCTCCAGGCGAACCCAACCGAAGGCGCACTGAGAGTTGCGAGGGAGAAGAAGGAGAAGCAGGAGAAGGATGAGGAGATGCAGCGCGTGTTACGTGAACGATACGGGGGTGGTGCAACAATTGGACAGCAAAAGTTGCGGGAGGAATTGTTGTTGGCGCAGTCGGAGACATATGTCGAGTACTCCCGCCACGGCCTCCCTCTCAATAAAGGCCCCAAGGGTTCGAGTAAGTCAAGGTATGACGAGGATGTGCACCCGAATAACCATACCACCGTCTTCGGCTCGTGGTGGAGTAGGAGTGATGGGGGGAGGTGGGGGTATGCGTGTTGTCACCAATTCACGAAAAACTCGTATTGTACGGGACGGGAGGGGATCGTGGCGACTGAGGAGGCTGCTGCGCATGCGCGAGGCATGGCCTCCCGTGCCGAAGATGAAGAACCTGTGAGAAAACCTGCGGTGGAGGAAGACGAGGAGAAGGGGAAGGACGGGAAGGACGGGAAGGACGGGAAGGACGGGAAGGACGGGAAGGACGGGAAGGACGGGAAGGACGGGAAGGACGGGAAGGAGGGGAGGAGGGGAAGGCAGAGAAGAAGAGGAAGGAGGTTGGAATGGGTGTTACGGAGGAGGATTTGGAGGAGTATCGACGGAAGAGACGGATGTTTGAGGATCCGATGGCGGATTACAGGGATGATGGGGGGTTATAGGGGTTTGAGGAGTGGTACAAAGGAATAAAGATCGGTTTTCCCTACCGGAGTGCAATTTACGAAAGATCCTTTGCCATTATCTGACCTGTATCCCATACACTTTTATTGGTATTTCGGGCTACATGCCTGCTCAGTCTACACGACTTCGCAACCTCTCCATTGTCATCAACCGTTCAATTCAAGGCCAGCAATTGCTATCATGGTGTCATCGTAAGTATATCGTGCTTATATTTAGTACGCTCAGGGCGGAAACGGTAGATGTGCGGAGGTGAACCATGATCGCGATCTGAGGTAGGCTGATCGGGCCGAGATGCCATGGCCAATTCACAGAGGAACCTTGTTCGAAGCCAGAAAATCTTGCTGACGCGCAATGATGAGCGAACAACCAAAACCCAGTATGATGGTAGCTATAAACTATATAAGATCGGTCAGTTTCGTTTTTCCAGCCTGAAACACCTACCGGCAGCCAACGATGGTTTCCCACGGTTGCGCCTCGCTCCTCCTTGCCTTGCAATTGCTCCTCTGCGAATCAATACTCCTCCAACTCGCCTCAGCAGAGGATAAAAGACTCTTCAAGTTTCCGGTACAGCGTAGGTTAACATCATCCACCAGTGCGGATTCACGAAAGATAGGAAAGCGCGACCATGTTTTTTCGGTGTTGGAAAACGCCAACATGCTGAATAGTCCCGGTGTCTATGAGTACCTCATCAACGGTAAACAGGCTGAGCGCACTGATAGCTAAATTCAGATGTTGACACTTTGCCTAGTCACAATCGGTACACCTCCTCAAAATATCACACTTATCATCGACACCGGTTCGTCCGATCTCTGGGTCAACACCAACGCGAGCTGTTCAGCCTTCGACGACAGCGCCGATGCTGCTCTCTGCAATCAACTCGGTGTTTACGATCCGACGAACTCGTCCACCTTTGTGAATTACACCGCTACGGATGAGTCGTTCATCCTCAATGTTACGTATTTGACTGGTTACGTTCTCGGGAGTCAAGGAAGCGAGACGGTTGGCTTGGGATCACCGGAGGTGCGAATCAGTAATATGACGTTTGGGCTTGCGGAAGAAAGTCCGGTTGGGGTTGGGATTATGGGTATCGGGTTCGAACTCAATGAAGCCGAGGAGATCATGTTTCCGACGATCGTTGACCAGCTATACAACCAGGGATTCATTGACTC